GAACCATCTTTTAGCTAAACCATATCAGAAGAGATGGGCCTAGCTAGCTCAATCGGTAGAGCGTGAGACTCTTAATCTCAAGGTTGGGGGTTCGAGCCCCCCGTTGGGCTTTTTTTCCTGCATGCTTTTTGTCCATGCTTTACCTGAATATCCTTTATTAATGAAAGGAGATAACTTGGTCTTTACTGATTTCCTTTTGTTTTCTTTTCTTTTGTTGTGTTACTGTTGTGTTACCCTTAGATAAATTAGATGTAACTTAGAATAAGTATATATAAGCAACAATTGTATAAAGAATAAAACCCCAGTCTTTTCTCCTATCATCAAACTTCGTGTCTTCGTCGCTTTGTGCACGACATTACCCCAATAATTAGTTTAGTTTAGATGTAACATTCAAAGATATAAAATATAGAATAGTCCAATAATTAATAAAGTCATTCTTTCCTCTGCTTCTGACAATAATCCTACCTTTGTGGTATTAGTATATAGTCTTATCGTACAGTACTTGTAGAGCAGAGTTTAAGCTTTTTGACGTGTTTGGTGAGATAATAACTACAATACTCGAGTACGTACAACCAGGTAGAGAATACATTCTACCACGGTCTACAGTGACTCACAAAAGTGTTACAATGTTTTTAAAAATTTTAATTTTTCGACTTTTTCATGCATTCTTCCCCTTGAGCACATACTTAAGCACTGATTTTTTTTTGCGATATGGAAAGTAGTAGTTCTAAGCTATTCAGTGATATAGCTTGTGTTAGGATTCATATACATTTGCTTGAGCACATTCGACATTCTAATCGCTCATTTCGACATTCGCGATCTGTAGAAATTCAGATGGTTGAAATGATGAATGTTTACAGAGCCTTTTTTCCTTAGGATTTTTCGAATTTATTGAGTTTCAGCAATCTATCAGAGGTCAATTTAATGTTGAGTATCATGTTTTGTCAAACTTGTACCTTTTTGCTTTTCGATTAGTTACATTACTTTACCCATTCACAAAAACCGCAACATTAGACAAAGCTCATCATGCGTCCCGTACCTTACGATAAAAAAATGATATTTTAGCTAGACTGCGTACAGGAGAGTCTCATAGAAGTATCGCCAAAAGCTTAAAGGTATCCAACGTCACTGTTGGTAGAATCGCTAAAGCTAATGACATTGCATGCAACGAGAAGACCGGCCGTCCTAAGTTAATCTCGAATCGTCTCGAGAGAATGATCGCAAGATCGTTCTACTTAGGGCAGTTCATAACAGCAGTTGATGCTGCTAGGAACCTGCGGGGTCAAGGAGTAGATATTTCTCCACAGACCATACGTAGGGTCCTGAAAAGATCCGATTTCGATTCAAGGATTAGAAAATCAGCATTGCCATTAACGAATGATCGAAGAAAGGATCGGTTGAAATGGACGAAAGCCCACAAACACTGGACGTTTGATGATTGGAAGAAAGTCGTTTTTAGCGACGAGACCATCAATCGTCTTGGATCGGATGGGAAACAGTGGACTTGGGTAAAGAAGGGAGAACCCCTCAAGGAGCACAACGTCAACTACAAGTATAAAGGCGGAGGTGGCAGCCTCATATTGTGGAGCTGCTTCACTCAACATGGTCCTGGCTTCATTGCCAAGATACAGGGGGGATGGACTCGCAATTATATTGCGAGATTCTGAAAGGCGACTTCATGGATACATTAAAGGATTATGGCCTGAAATTGAAGGACATTATCCTTCAACAGGATAATGATCTTAAACATACGTCCCAGTATACCAAAAAATTCTTTAAAAAGCATGTTGTATACGATAAGATAAAGTATAAGAGAAAAAAACAAAAGGAAATCAGTGAAGACCAAGTTATCTTCTTTTATTAAGTAGAATATTCTGATAAAGAATTGAAGACAAAAACCATGTAGGAAAAAAGCACTTCTATTTATATTTGTGGATATTGTAAAAAACTTTTTCTATCGAGACTCTTAGGTACAAGATGACCTGATGATAAAAGAAAAGACATACTCAATTGTTACTGCACGGTTCATCATGCTATAGCGGTGCCTTGACCGATTGGATCGGTGACAGGAGGTAAGTGGGTTGATCTTACTAAAGGTTCCTTTTGTCGATATTTGAGGCACGATGGCAATATTATATGAGTAAATCACTCAAAACATCTAACGAAATGTAAAATAAAACTTGATCTCAGATATGAGTACTGCTCATATCTTCGTTCCCGTTTGGTAAGTGGTGTGTTCGATTGCATACATTTGAACCTTAGATCAAATGTATAACAATAAAGATAAAATAAGAAAAGAATATGGATTAAGGATAATTCTTATGTGAGATTGGCTACCCCACATAAGACTTGAACAGGTTATCTTTATGAAATATATTTTACTTAGATTATCTATGGCTATATGACGTTTAGCTATATAGCAGGATTGGTATATGTACTCGTAGGATATATTGATTCAACAACCAGAACATAGTAGGTCACGTTACTGCTCCCTGTTCTGGAAATAAAGTATGGTTGGAGATAAAAAAGGCTCAACCACTCTTTATTAACACAATAACTGTTCACGCAATCAAAAGAACACCACGCACGAATATCTCTTCCTAGCCAACATCTATAATCATTCCCACAGTATCTGAGCTACACAACTGGTGGCCGATAGATATTGGATTATAGATGTAGCTGCATGATCACCCTGGATCTGCCAGGATAGCACATTACAAATCAATCCGCTCTGGGATGGACGAGTAATTATCCACTTAAAGGGAAGACCTATTCTTTTACGGAAACCTCTGATTCACTGAGTATTATCTGACCATAATACATCAGTGTCAGCTATAGATCCTGATACAATCATTTCGTAGACAGAAAACACAATAGATCTTTATTAATAGCAGTAATCTTAGTTTTCTTTTCTTTTTCTTTAGTTTGTTTTTGAAAGAGAAATAAAGACGGTGGCTTGATTTCGTTAAGCTTTCGAGTTTGTTTTCTCTTGTGTTATTCTTTACCTTTTAACTTATAGTTAAAACTAGCGAATACCACAATTACGTATCATCAAAAGACCCAGTCATTATAAGAACCGACAAGACGGTGTTTGATTTCGTTAAGCTTTCCTGTTTATTTCTCTTGTGCTATTCTTTATCTTTTATTTTATAGTTAGAAATAACAAATACCACAACCTCTCCAATATAATTGACGTGAAATTGATAACCTCCCCGTCCGGAACACCATAGGTTACAGTAATAACCGATGTATATCTGCGCCATCACGAAAAATAACGCATGATGGCCAGAGGAAGATCTCATTCCTCATAGCGGATAATGGACTAAACAAATCATTCATACTTTGGAGGGTCAGTATTGGTAGAGTCCGATAAACAGCACTTGGCTCTTCATATCGTCTATATTCATCGCCTTTAACGATCCCTGAACGGTAGATTTGTCTTTCCGTTACAGGCCCATTGTTTCTTTGTGTATATTGGCCACCTCTTCTTACTGCTATGTATTCCGTCACCTGCTGATTATAATTCATTCTCTCACCCTCTACCCAATATGTTCTATATATTTGCTTCTGATAGAATTTTCTCATTCTACCTTACCATGGAGTGGCGTCTGAATGGCGAGGTTACCCTTGGTATCGCCTTCCAATTCTCCCCTTCATTCATTGGGTCTTTTATCTTTGGTCCATGATAAACTCCCACAAACCATTTAGTTTATACCGCTTTCATCTAATCCTCTTTGACTTAGCATTTTTATACTGTTTACACCTGCTTCCAAGCTAAAACTACAATGGTTACTTAGTCTGCTTATTTAGAATGTAACCGACCCCTTCCATTCTGCACCAATTGATTGACGCTGGTGGATCCCATTTTCCGACCGTCGATTCTACTGATAATATTGAACTGTCTTAGTAAATCCTATAATCACTCATTGCTGCCAGATACGTCTCATTGATGTACGTCTTCTATTTAAAGAAGAAGATCATTGCCTCCAAGTTATCGCTTGGTGTTATGACGCCCCCTAAGCGAATACAATCATTAGAGAAGTTTCACCTCTTTAAATTATAAATATGGCTCACCACTGTAGTTAAAACATCCTCAGTGTTTTTATCCTGCTCTTTCTCGCCCTCACATTATTTTCCCATACATCTGTTTGATAAACGTTATCATATTAAGTACTATCTTTCTGTCGTTGTAACTTATCTTAGAGACGTTAATAACACCAACCCCACTGTCTTGTTCTGTTAATTGGTCTTCATCATCTCTGTCACAGCTCACAGTCATTACAGTTGGCCTGCTACGTCCCTGCTAGCATGCTGATTTTTCATTTTATGATGATCCTCCTCAAAGTTCTCAGTTATTGGCTTCAGGGTATCGCCCACCACCACAATGTAAACGGTTATGATCTGTTCCTTTCCTGTAGACTTTAAGCCATGGTGGTATTTGTAACATGATTGGATTGGTTCTGATTAACGACTTTTTCTGACTTCAGCAACCTTATATCTTCATTGCCAAACCTCTCAAAGGGATAGCTATTATTTCTCCATTGAATGCCTCAAAAAGTGCTCCTTTTGGAATAGCTCACTACAGAAACTGAGTATACTAGATAATGCGTCAATATCTACCGCTGTATGGCATATCATATTGGTCCTTCGCCAATCAGACATTGGCGCATAACTGCTTCATGAAAAGGTTATCGGATTTGTCTTTTGGTATATTTGAAAATAGTATTGGCATTACATCTTTCAAATAAAACCTCGGCTGCTATCAACCAGGGCCGATTACTTTTCAATTATCACTGTCATTTGCTCAATCTCTAATTGTCACTAAGGAAAAAAAATAAAAATGTATCAGATCTGATTTTTATGAGAAAAGTGAAAGAGCAGTCAACTATTGCGAAGGGTAAAAACATCGCAATCTATGTAGATCAATTACATTGTCTAACAATTCATCCTTTGTAGGCTTTTTTTTTTTTTTTTTTTTTTTTTTTTTTATGGGAGAATTACTCCGGTTTTATTTAAAGTTCTCTTAATGTCTTTATGAGGGATGAAGAAGACTAAATATAATTGTGGATGAGAACTTTTTGAAATTCTAACAGGTTAAGAATGATCGAAGAGAGACTATAAGATTTATCCGATAAAGAAAACTAGCTCACTTTGTTGATCAAAGAGTGACATCGCGTTCGAGACGAGAGAGTACCCGAGACACAGACGCAAAAACCCGAGACGGAACGAGAGGGATGTCTCTAAATACAAAGGCCCAATGGGCCTTTTGTAGGCTTTTATTATACTGAAGTGTATAATAAATATTGTATTAAAAAAAATAATTAAGCACCCAAAAAAAAACCACTTAAATAGCAAAGTCTAAAACATAACTGTGTCTCGCAACTGAAATCTGTGAATCTTCCTAAAATCACCAACTTTTCCTAACTGCCAGAGGTAAACATCCAAACCACCGGTTGTCATTGTTTCATTAACAGGGCCTAAACCAGAGCGTGCCTTTCTTACAATTTCTTCACAGGCAACTACTGCCGCTGCTCTTAGAGTAGTCGCAGCTTTGACAGAAAGATCTTTATTCTTGTCAATATCATCTTGCCATGCTTCAGGTACATTGGTAATTACACCCAAATGAATCAGCATCGTCGGTATCACATTATCTGAGAAAACTGTGAGCTCGTCAATATCTTTGAAGTCGAATAAATCAGGGACTTGTTCTTTAAAAGTGAACCACAGGTGATAAACAATAATCTGAGCTTTCTTGAAGAGATAAACGGGAGATTCATTTGCAGAGAATTGATAACAATCATGAAGACCTGGAAGCGCTTTCGTGAGATGCCCCACTAAACTGACTGCATTTTGAGGGTGTTTCTTGACGTGCTCCATGATAAAGGAAGCAAGATCTTTGTAGTTGTTATTGAGTAGAAAGTCACCGGTTGTGTTAAGTACAGCGGTTAATCCAGCAGCGAACGGTTTTAAAGGCGTTGGTTCGGTAACCGTTACGAAATCGAGCTTTTCATGGCGTACTTCTGTATCAATAGGAATTTGGAAGGCCTCCGCAACTTCAAAGATAGTCATATTCTTTAATGCTTCTGCGGTCATGGGTTTACCCCCGATATGAAAAGACATGCAGCCAAAACGAATAGTATCGAACGCACTGGAACAAACAGTTTTTTTTTAGTACAATAATTTGATATATTAGTAACCGTTGAGTCAACATTGTTTTTGTTTCTTAACTACTTACCCTCTGCCAGCTAATTCATGAAGAGGTATTCTATAACCACTTCCGAAATTCAAGAGATCGATCAAAGCAACGAAATTGATTTCATCTTCAATAGTTTCAAATTTGAGAGGCATTTTCATGGTAGAGTCATATGCTAATTTTTCGTATTGGTCCTTGTCCAAGCTAGTGAGGAAGTTGTCGATACATTTATCAGAAATAGTGACAGGACTCGTATCTACAAAGGCTTGACAGGAAGACCGGACAGCTTGAGGATAGTTCGCCTCATCTTGTGGCAGTTCGCAAACATACGAGTTGAAATGGTGAGCAGTTTTGGTTGTAGCAGACATTGAAGGAACAGAAGGCATTGATTTGCAGCTAATAAACAGAAGGAGAGCGGAAACGAAGACTGTAGTGATTTTTTATAAGCAACTGAACGATGCCGCAGCAGAATCGGACTTCTGATGCTTTCGAAGGCAAAAAATTATTCCACTGATTCAGATGATAATGATTTGTTATCAATTTATTAAAGTTAGTAGAAGTCTTAGAGACAGGAGAATACGTGTATTTATTTTATTGCGCTTGTAAGCGATTTAGACTTTGAAAAAAAAAAGGGAAAAAGAGGGGAATTCTATCATGCGTTAGTTTTATTGGCACATTGGCCGAACTATCTACTTTTTTCAAAAGGTGACTCTTTATTCAATCTCAGAATTTGGTGCACCCAAATTACCAATCTTTATTCCTCCATTGTATTGCTTTTGCAAACGACCTTGATCATGATTGTCGATTCTACGGAAAAAACAAACGAAATAACAAAAGTACCCCAAAAAAACGAGAGAACACCAGGAACAACCATACTGCCTCTAGCTAGAGTAAAGCGCGTCATCAAGGAAGATAAGGATATTGCACTTATCAATGCTGAGGCAACTTTCTGCATTACTTATGCCACCGTAATGGAACAAAATTGAACACTTAAAGACAATTTGTGGGTTGAAAGAACTGTTATTAAACATAATACCTCTTATAGGAGCTTTTTATAAAATACTTCGTAAACGAGGCTTTTGCAAAGTCCAAGAAAGACAAAAGAAAGACAATCTATTACAAAGATCTAGGTAAATCTATTTCGTTTTTCTTTTTCTTTTTTTTTCGGTAATTTCCGTCTGAAGATCTTATTAATGTTGATCAAACAGCAAACACGGTCTCCGATGTGGAACAATTCGAATTTCTGGAAGATGTTATACCCCAACCGATCCCTTTGAAAAGAGCGCTTGAATTACAAAAAGAACAGTCTGGAGAAGGAATTGGATCACATACGGCTAAGAGAACGAAGACATCAAATACCAAGCCTAAAACGTCTGCTACAGTGACTAAAAGCAGTACAACAAACGCCACGACAAATAGTATTAAAAATGCATTCTTAGCAAGCACAAGCTCAAAAAGCAAAGACTTGTCTAAGAACGAAGAAGAGGATGGAAACAGTGATGTGAAAGCTGTCGTCAGTGATGACGAAGACGATCTGTCCGAAGCTGAAGATTTAGCAGACGACGGAGTGGAAGAGACAACTGTCGATACAAGCAGTGATATAGCTATGGGGGATGCCTGAGGAAGACGTCTAGAAACACATATCTTTTACACAGTACCGTGGCAGCAACTGATGTTTTATTGATGAAGTTGAGCAATGGGCATGGAATAGTATGCTAGTATTTACATTTGGCACCATTACTTCATCACTTTAGCAATAGAGAGCCAACATCAATATTCAAGACGTAGCGTTGGATATCTGTGTATCATATCCGTGGAAATAATTGAAAAGTTAATAAAAGTATCGTTCAATCAGTTTTTAATGACTTTGTCCGTGGAATTTCCTTACTATTTTTGTAGAGAGGCAATCTGTTGAACTCACTTCGGTTTAACGTCTATATTTATGGGTTAAGGTAGGAATGCATTACTGCTTTGAAAAAATGATATGGGTCCCAGTGAATCCTATTCAAAGCGGTTATCCGGTAAAGTTGCCACTCAAAAATCTAGAATGCGGATTGTATTCTTGAACGAGAGTATATTCTTTTGATTCGTTATCTCAGAAATATGTGGAAAGCTGTAAGCCACCAGGTGAATACAAAATGCAACCCAACGCATTGGAACTGAGACTTGTAGCCCGAATAATGTATGTAATGTATTGTATCAACATTTTGAGATGTAGCAGTAGTGGCTTCATGATAGACCGCGTGTAAGAGAGGCGAGCGATATTTGAATTTTATAGTTTGCTGCCTTTTTTATGCTTGAAAAAATAGAATTTGTAATAGCTCGCAAAAAAGCTTACTTTTGTTCGCTGTTGCATAGTAAGGTCTTAGAGAGAGTGAAAGTTGATGAAGTTGAATTTTATTGAAAAACTATGTATCTTCATTGTGGACACATTATAGTAATAGCAGCTTTGATTATTCACAGTTTGAAATATCACATAAAATACTGAAGTTCAAAAGTCTCTAATTCTTATGTTTACACGTCATTCTGCCTTTTCACTTTACTTTCTCAAATGGCTTATATTCGGTTGTTTCAAGTGAGCTGATTTTGTAATTTGAGCTGCTTAAAAGAAAGCTGAGCTTCCTGCAATGTTTTACATTGATTTAGAAGAAATAAAAAAAGAAAAAAGATGAGCTCATTTTCCTCTCTATCTATAACGCTTTGTTCACAATTTGAAAGCAATCTTGTCAAGAGCTATCAACTCCTTTTATCTTCATGTTTTATGAATCGCAGCACATCACCCGTTTCACAGCAACTATCATCAAATGCTCATCAGCAATCTAATCAAATTAGCAATATCAATACTAACACTAGTGTGACCAGGCGACGGCGACCGTCAGCTGTCCCATCGATGCGTACAGCACGATCAGCGGAGCCTCCTTTAAAATTTTATGACAGCCCCATCCAAGCAGAACAACAACACTATCAGTATCAACAACGATTAACATTTTTTCAACCGTTGACAACAGATACATTAGCAAAAAAAGATGCCATAGACTTTTTACTTAATAACAACCCGTTCTCAACAGTGGAAAGAAGAGTAAAAAGGCGGCGCAGTATATGTAACGGCTATATTGGTCGCAAACTATATAACGAAGATAACACTCCAATTCTTTTCGCAGAGCCCTCCAAGGAAAGGAAGAGGTACAATAACTCACATGCTTCCATTAACTCAACTATAACAGAAGCATCAACCAACAACGTGCTATATTCATGTCAGCACCATGATAGTTTAAGCCGACGGCGGCATTCATCTTATGCCATCTTGCCGGGAATGGAAAATAAAGAAACGACATCATCGATCAACGGCTTACCGCGTGAAGAAAGACATCACCATTAAGTTGGCAACTGTCCTGTCTGCAATCCACAGGAAGCCAATCAGTAAATGCAAGTTACGCTTCTAGTCACAACCTTTTTCTGAATGATAATGATCAGTATCCAGAGATTGCATATCCTACCCGACGATTTTCGGGTATTGTGCGGTTATCAGCTGCCCATATTGCCCTGAACAGATCAAAGAGAAGAAAGAAGACATATAGTCGGTATTTGAGATTGCATAAGTGGTTGCGACAAATAGCGGGAATGGCAAGGCGTGTAGTAAATATCCGCTCTCCAGAACCTGCTGATACTCTGATGCCTAAGAATGAACTGTTTACGCTGTCATCATATGTGTATCAATTGAAGCACGGGTTACCTCAACCGTGTTTGAATGATTCTTCCTCTGAGCAAACTTATAATGATGATGACAGAGAGTTTGATAGTGAAAGTGAAACTATTAGTACGAGAGTAAATAAAAGAGGTCAGATCAGTAAACACCGCCATAACAAACCTGCCATAAGAGAACTTACTGACGAGCCAGAAATCTTGCATCATCATTATGAGCATCGGGATACGCAGTCAAATACTACAAATTCTCTGTTTATACCAGAAAGTTTGTCTTCGGAATCTGATATACCCTTACCTATAAGCAATCGAAGAAAAATGGGACTCCATTTAAGTAGTTTAAGTAGCATTTTCCCATTCTCTTCTTTTCGTCGAATACCAAGCTTTTCCCGATCTACACCAGAAGACAATCAGCTGCAGGATGACACTAGGACAGCCGGGGAAACAGACAGATTATTAGCACATGTAGGCACAACACTACCTTCTTATACGCATCTTCAAAATCAATGGTTGCCAATTGATACGATAGGAACATGCACTATACGCGAGATATATAATAATGTGTACAGTCACACAATAAAGCGATTCTGTCAGTTGTTGGAGAAATTCATGTATAATTTGCAGCATCAGAATAGTCAACATAATACTCAAATAAGATTTGAAGGTTGGTCCTTATTTGTCTTTTCACCAACCCATCCACTTCGCCTGTTTCTTTGGAAAGTCGTCGCTTCAAGGTAAGCAATTAATTCATTGCTCTCCATTCTCAAACGGTAGTTTGATATTTTCTATTTGACGCTTTATAGTTCATATGAAATCTTCACATTTGTTCTACTGGTAATCCAGTGGCTCTTAATGTCATTTATCCCTGTTATTTTTGATACAAACCATCCATATATCGACAGAAGTACGGATTACTTGCTGTTAATTATATACATTATTTATTCGTGAGTAAACTTCCTATTTTGATCTAATCCCTCCTTTCTCTGAACTTATTTTATATTCTTTCCCTAGATTCGAAATGATATCGAAGATTATTGTTTACGGCTTTGTATTAAGAACTCACTCAACGTCGAAGCCGACCTTTTTTACTCTGTTACGAGTAGCTCAAAGAATTTGTCGCTTATCGAAATTTCTTCAGATAGCCCATGCTGATGGGAATTTAAAGACTTGGAAGTCCCTTAATCCTTCAGGTCTTCATAACGGGGATGACAGCCGGCTTGCTAATACACTCAAAGACCAGAGTTAAGATTCATTACCGTCGTATGCTGTCAGAAGCCGTTCGTTTTCTTCAGGCACATTTGCAGCTGAATCGATTAGGGACACGTATTCTTCCAGCTACCGTAGTCCCAGTAATAGCAGTACTAAATCACGGTCTCTATCTGTATTATTGAGTCGTATTAACAAATCAGTGTCAGAAGGAAATTATTTGTTTCAGGAAAGTACTTCTCAAATTCTATCACCTAACCCGAACTATGGAACCATTATCAATTCGATCGACGTACATCCTTTAGACAACATTGATGAGCGGAATAACACCGATGAGGATGAAGGAGATAAAAACGATTTACCAGAGTCGTCGATGTATAATGAACTAGAACATCAAATATTTGCCACTTTATCACCACCAACAGCTCAGCAACAAACAAGCAATGACAGCACTATGGATTTCCTGAAAATATCTCACAAAAGCTTTCTTATCAAACATATCTAATTTGATTGACATGGTTTCTATAATTTCTTATTGGGCTGACATATTCATTCTTGTGGTTCTGCACAAGCGTCCTTGGCCTGTATTTCAAGCATTCGCCGCGGCACGTCTTCTACGTCTACTTGTCATCACTGAGGGAAGCACTATCATTATGAAATCACTCAGCAGCAGTTATGATATGCTCAAAAATGTATTAGGTTTCTTCATTTTTTTTCTGGCTATTGTTCTCCTTAGCTGCTTTATTTATCTTCATGAATGCTTTTACAAGACGGTGTGCTGTTATGCCCGAAGAGGGTCGTTTATATCAAGGAATGACTGATATACATTACGTGGAACCGCGAACATCATGCGCCGGGTATATGGTGAGTCCTAAAGAACGAACCGGTCCCTTCGACCTTAAAACTGGTACGCAGTATATCCATCCTGGCACAGATGGTTTCTTCTGTAAGTTAGGTCAAGTTTGTATTCAAGACAGAGCAAATCAACCCGAATACGGCTTCATGAGTTATGAAAACATCTTTTATTCTATGCTTAATGTGTTAACCGTAATCTCTACCGAGAACTGGACTGAATTGCTGTACATTACTCAAGATAGTGTATCAGACAAAGGTGCAGCTGTTTTCTATACTTTTTGTATTTTTCTCATGACCTTTGTACTTGTGCCAATGTTTATTGCCGTTATCACCACATCTTTTTCACATCTCCGAGGTGATATGCGTGAAAGTGCATTTTCTTCGAAGAGAAAGGCTCCTATGATTTTGTCTGAAAAACAGTCAAGAAGCTATAAAGCCCGATCTGAAGAGCTGAAGAAAACGGTTGTCAACGGCAACATGTTTGGGAATGATTATTCACATAGACCATCAATCTTGCATAGATGGACGCAGTATATTTCTGCCGACCCTAGGTTCAGATATCTGAGAAGTCTTTTAGTAGCCTTGAACATCGTGTTGATGATGTTTTATCGATCTGATTTAACGGTCCAACAAAAGAACTATCTAGGTATGTGTTTATCTTTCTTGTACAGCCGAGACATTTTTTTTTTCTTTAACGTATCCCTTCTACTTTACGCAGACTCTCTGAATCTTTTATGCACAATCATTTTTGCTGTCGAAATTGTGATGCGTATACTGAGTTATTCCAAATGGAAGAGGTTCTGGAAGAAGCCACGTAATCGTATTGATTTTATAATAGTCATTGCTACTTTAGTTGGTTTATTGGCTCCTGTCCGGTCGAGTCAGTATCATGCTCTTTTAGTAGTATTTCCTGTCATTAGATCATACCGTCTAGTGTATCTGTTTCCTGGAGTGCTTCAGTTGATAGTAAGCTGCGCTTTAAAAGAAGTCCTCTTTACTATATTAGCATCTGACTATTGCTTTTATCATATAGTCTGATATTGTCAGTGATGGACAAGGTATACGAAACCTCACAATTTTTACGTTTCTAGTCCTCCTGCTGTTTAGTCCCATTTCGGTTCAGTTATTCGGTGGAGGTTTTCAGTTTGTTGGCATAGATGAACCATCAATGAGGTTTGACAATTCATATCAGGCTTTCCTTGCATTATTTCAGGTACATACCTACAGACGTTTCTTTCAGTTAGTCAATGAATTGATCGCATGTGTCAAACTATATAGATTATGACCGGTGAAAATTGGACAGACATATTATACGATGCAATGCATAGTCAGGATGAGTCGTCAATACCTTATGCATCATTGTTCATTGTACTTTTATATTTCATTATCCATTGTAAGAGGTTTACTCGCAGTTATGCTTTCCTATGGTTGATAATGCTAATGGATCATTTTACTCTTCTGAGCAGATATTGTTTTGAATCTGTTTATTGCCGTCATCATGGAGAATTTTGACCTGGACGAGGAGGAAATCAAACAGTATCAAATTAGAAAGTACATTCATGAGCACCAATGGAAGTCTGAAAATTTCAGAATGGATAAATTGGGCAGGTAATTAGAAAGTATCTTTATGAATTTTCAAGCTCTAAGATGGTTTGTTCGTTTAGGATTTTATTGCCATTATTTGTTAGGCAAGATAAAAAAAAACTGCAGCTCAAAAATTTGCCTCAGAATGTTACTGCACTAGTAACAGTGAGTAAATTTGAAGACTTTATGAGAAGATCATCCTCCATTGGAACTTTCAAGCAAGAGACTCGTGGTGGACATATTAATCAGCTTCCGCTTCATTCACGATCTGAAATATCAACAGCAATCCATAGGCGTCCTTCTTCAGTATTTTCCAGTGAAACTCCTATACCTAATATTAGGAGGCATTCAAACTACTCTCAAGTCAGTATTAGTAGTTTACAACTGGAAGCTTTAACGACGTCTTACACTGACTTCGAAAATGAAAATCAGACAAAGTATGATGATGAGTATGAATTTAATGTCGCCCAGGAAAACAAAGCCGTTATTTTGGAGAATTTAAAAGCATTTCGATCGTTCGTTTTCTTCAAAATGGATAGTCTTATTCGTCAAATATGCATAAAGGTATTGGCAAAAGAAAGGTACAACCACCTAATGATTGCCCTTATCAGTGTTACTACTTTATTGGCTATGTGGACCGATGAATTGAATCGTGAAAAATATTCGACTCACGTCAACCATATTATTGAGCCTATTCAAGCGATCCTTCTTTTCGTATACTGGATAGACATTTTCATTCATATGACGGCTGATGGTGTGTTTATGCTTCCGAAATCTTATTTGCGCAGTGGATGGAACATACTGGACATGACTGATTTATTTCTTCAAGTGATCTTCACAATATTAAGCTTATCGACTAACGGCTTTGACAGTGACCGTATCAAAATTTTTATTAGCTGCCTACGCATATTACGCGTATGGAGATCTGTACGGATTGTTTACTATGTTAACACCATGCGCACAATTTTTGTGGACTTGGTTTATGGTTTGCCAAAAATGATTGATGCAGTTACTTTGAATATTCTTGTTTTTGTTCCGTTTGCCATATATGGTTGCTATCTATTTAGCGGACGATTTTCCCTTTGCAATGATAAAGATGTGGGTTCAAAGGCAGAATGTTACGGCGAATATTTGACGAACGAGGATGGGATATCGCAGATTCTATTACCAAAAGTATGGCGAAATCCATATGATTATTCGTTTGACACTTTTGGACAGGCGTTACTGCATCTTTTTGAATGCGCCTCTGGCGAAGGATGGGTAATTTGTTGTGTAATATTATGGGATGTATAATCGATGTACTAAGGGGTAATTCTATGTTAGATATTATCGCTGTTTTCTGCAATGAGCGTCGTCCCTGGAGATAGTTCTCTACCACCTCATTTCAATTGGTCTTCCACATCTGTCTACCATTCAATTTATTACGTTGTTTTTATGTTTGTTGCATCGCTTTGTTCAATTCAGTTGTTCATCGGCGTAAGTAGTACTCTAGAACATTAAATGGGACTCTTGCTAATTTTTGTTATAATTGTTAGGTTTTTTTAGAAATATTTAAGCAGCGCAATGGTATCTCTACGTTGACAAACACTCAACGTCAGTTTCGAGACTTGCAAAGACAGTTAGCCCTGGTAAAACCTTCGTTAAAAGCAAAGCGGCCTCCAGATAGTAGTGCAAGAGCTTTTTTTTTCGATTTAGTTATAGATAAACGCGGTAAATTTGCTAAGTTTATACCGCAATTCTTACAATAAATATTGTTGGCTTTGCCACACAGTACCTCCATCAGCCGACATGGCTCAGCAAAATTCAAGGTAAGATACTCGCTGCATTCCTTATTTTGGTACCACTTACTGACATTCTATTAAACTGAAGAGGCTCTGAATGCTTTATGTTTATGCTGCTACGTCTTTGAAATGTTTGCGAAAATTGTTGGGTTAGGTTTTTATAAGGTAAGTCTCAACGGTCTAAGATTGATTCTTGATAGGCAAACTTACAATAACCTTTAATTTCCTTAGTGGGTTTTCAACAGATGGAACATGCACGATTTTGTATTTGTTAGTTTGGGTAATGTAAATTGGCAATGCACTTTTGGATTATTGTTACTCAAAATCATTTGTTACTCTAGCAATCATCACCTCTATTCCCAAAATGTATCCAGAATTGCCAGTGAGTATACGAAATTAGTCACTTTCTCAATGTCTATCTGTATCTCAAGCTTACTCTCTACATTTAGTTTGGCTGGGATGTTACTCGAAAGGTAGTTCTTATTGGCATCGCTTTCAGATTAGCTCAACGCAACGAATCATTGAATATACTATTCCGGTCTGTCAAGTAAGTTTAATGCAGAAGTAATATCTTCGTTCACTCATCCATAAGTACTCAGGATTAACTTATGATATCATAGACGCGCTATCCCTTCAATTTTCTCTGTTACTTTTGTCTTTTTTATTGTAATTATTTGCTTCGGTGTAGTTTTTCAAGAATTATTTTCCACCACACGGTACGGGATGTATGGAAATGAGCATGCAAATTTTCGGTCTCTGTATAATACGATCCTGACGCTTTTCCGCGTAACAACAGGTGAAAATTGGGTATGTATTCCAGTTCTCAATACATATCTTCATTTACGTAATTCTAACTATGATTTGTTAGGATTTCTTGATGCATGACTATACCAAATCCGCTCCAGAATGTGTAGACAAGAAAGACTGTGGGTCTCCTCGCTTAGCGATTACTCTATTTGTGATATTTTATGTCATATGCACCTATATATTTGTCAATCTCTTTACTGTGGTATTTTTATGATTATTTTTATCCTTCTATTTTGAAGATTGCTAACTTATAGAAATAGATTGTCATAGATCATTTTTCCTTTACCTTTGATAAGCGCAACCAATTTACCTTGATTACCAGAACAGATTTGAGAAAGTAAGTTGTGCACTTTCTCTTTGTTTTGCTTAACAACAACACTAACATTTTCCGAAAACGATAAAGTTTTAAACGGGCATGGTCTGCTATTGACCCCAAGGCAACGGGATATATAAACTTTGACGATGTACCTAAATTCTTAAATGTAAGTTTTACTTTTCATCTTTTTCTTTATGCATGGATCAGTTTATTAATTCTTATTTATCAGACATTGGAAGGCGCACTCTCTATACGTGTTTACGGGGCAGAACATTCTTTGGATTCCTTGCTTGAAGTCAGCAATCGGCCATCCGCTGATGCAGACAGGTTGATTGTCATACCACTCTCAGACATGACAACACCTCACAATAAATTTGCGAGGGTCAATGAAATGGGTGAAAAATTGTTCAACTTGCATGAATTGAACAAAAAACTATCCAATATCCAGCGTGAGGTAATTATAGAAAGAAAGCGGCAGTATGCAGAGATTTATCAGGTAAAATCGTTATTAAGATGATGTATGTGAGTTGGAACTGATATTCTGTTCGTAACATCAGGAAATAAAAAACACAGCCTCGCATCGTGGTGTTGCTTTTCAAAAAATGCTGGAAATATTGGCTCTTCGCTTAGTCGACGTTTCTAAATCATTGACGTATGTGCCTAATTATCTCCTCTCCCCCGGATTATTCCATATTCGACTAATTTATTTGATAGATTTGAAGAACTTGTCAATCGTGCCAAAATAGAGGACAAAATTGCCAATGATTTATACAATGAACGTGCGAAAGGTTTGGTAGCTATGGTATTACAGAGAAGAAGACTTTTAAAGAAACTTAGCAAATTTAGAAGCAGCCATGAAATGTGTAGTGGAAACAGTTTGGAACTTCTAAAAAGTTGGTTGACACCTGTGAGCCCACCTCCTACGGCAGAGTCTGTGTCGAGTTCTATTTTTACCAAACGAGCCACACCTACGGTGCAATCACCTGCAGTTCAAACTGATTCCCCCAGCAGCTTCCAGTCTGAACCGTCTATTTTCACATGTATGAGTAACAATAATTTTCTGCTATGAACGCTATAATGACTACTTTTCATTCCTATGTTGTGTTAGTTCCTAAAATTGTTGTGAACCCTGCGCGGCAACAAAATGTAGACAATTTAGCAATAGCCTTCTCACCAAACTCAGCAAGCCAACCTCCATTTTTATTTCTATCTGATACTTGCAGTACAATTCCAAGCAACAATGCTGTGTTACAACGACGGAGATCTTCATCAGCCATCAACATTTCTACGCCTAACACATTATCTACGATGAGAAGATCCAATCCTACATGCAATACCACTACTAACTTATCCTCTTCCTCATCCGAGACCTCATCTGTAGTTTCAGTCATATCTTTGCCAGAGCAACCAATATTAAGGAACACGAAGCCCGTGCTACTCTTGAAAAGTACATCGTTAACTGCAAATAATGAGGGAAGCGATGACCAAAATGATATTTTTATTCACTATTATGCTGCTGATACGGCCATGGAAAATATGCTATGTAAGGATGCAGATCGAATTACAGAAAGACTAGATAAGAGTTTTTGGTACAGTAAGTATACGGCGCTTTTCCAAGGGATGTATTAAGCTGTTCAAACTGATTAACAGAAACTTGTTGCAGCTTTATTACAAGATGCTACAGATTATGATATTTAGATAAACAGTAAATACTAAGGTGTTGCGCAATATAAACTTAATATTATCTGGGTTATTATACATGATACTTATAAGCGGTTTACAACATTGTTCATAATCTTGTCCACTAAAAAAAAAAGGCACAGGCACAGACTATTACATTTTGAAATCTGTAAAATTTTTGTTATCGCTTCTTCATGGAAGAAAATTTGGTTATTCAATCAACTTCAATGTTTATTGTTATACAATGTATATAACAGGCGCTAGCATACAAATGTTTCTTTGGTACACAAATTGAAAGCTCTTAATACAGCTTTATGCTTAATGAATGGCCCCTTACAATTTCAGACGAGACGGTAAATCTACAAAAAATTTAGAGAAATGGTAGGTAATACATAGTTAAGCCAAGTGAGCAATAAAATATAATCAATAAATTGCAAGTAGTACTTTGGCCCATTTTGGCTGCAGCAAGCCTAACGGGAACACCACTGCCACTATTTGCTTTAGAAGCAGTTCCTGACGTTTGTTTAATTGTTCCATCTATATTATCGATCAAAAAAGTTTGCCCATCTGCTGTACTAACTTCTGTTGTAGAAGTCTGAACAGTTTGCGCGCTTGCTCCACGGCCACTGACTTGATTTATCCAATTGTTGAAGTTGCTACTATCTTCATTGTACATCGTTGCTCCTTGGGCAGGTAGGTTATCGGGAAAAGGCATTGCCTTGATTGCAGTTTGCATTGTGATAATAGAAATTATAGCGACAAGGAAGAACTTCATTGCTTGGTTTGCGTAATTCATTGTGTACGAGTAACAAAGAACAAGAAAAAGTATGGAATTGAATTAAAGGGTAAAATAAACGCGGTTTTACTTCAATTTAATATGACGATGATCGGTTTTAGGGAGGAGTAAAACCCACCATTAGAGACTAGCTGTATGAATAAGGAGTTTTTGTATATCATGGTTAAATGTAACAAAGGAGAAAGTGCTATTCTTATTGTAAAAATTTCCAAAATCGGTACATGCGAGCAACAGTCAGCAGCTTTTGTTCATTCGTAAGCACTGGATTTTCCAAATCTCGTATATCCTCTAGAAAACGTGCTCGAGTGTTATTACGGTGAGGAAGTAATTGGGAATACGAACGTAATAAATGAACTTCACAAAGCAGGATACCCTGAGCCTCACAGTTAACTTGGTGCTGTATTTCCCGCTCCATATTTGTGTTGAGCATCCATTCACCAACTTCATCCTTTTGAAAGGTCTTGTGTATAATGAGTTGTCTCTCAATTCGTCTATAACACAATATTCAACAATATGAGTAAGAAAAGTACGAACAGTCGGGTATCAGCATAAAAGAAAACATCCTACCGAATTGTCTCTTTAATGGGGAGACCAACCTGGTTTGTTTTCTGCTGGGACCTTCCTCGAAGTCTATTTTTAAGCCACGAAGCCGAAGCGTATGTCAATAGCATTGAAGGTGCAACAGCTAAATATTAAATTGATTAGTCATAAATCAGATACTATTGTTCAAAAATAACAACAATAACAAAAGAAGAAAAAAAAAAAAAAAGAAAAATTTGAATTACCAAGGAATGCAAAATTGAGTTCATTAGATTTGAGAAGTTTATCAAGGGCGGACATGGCGAGATCAACGTCTACCTTCACTTTTTGTACTTGAATAAGCATTGTTTGTAGTAAATTACCAGTAATAACATTTTTTAGAGGGTTCTATGTTCGCTGTTAATCAGTTTCTCCTGGCTTATCAACAATGTTAACCAATGATATCCTACCTTTATTTCTCTTTCATATTCTTTAAGCAAAACCGATAAGTCTCCTTCTCTAACATCTAGAGCTAAATGAGATAATTCGTTTTCGGCTAGATGCAGGTTATCTGTGGCAAATCCAACTACCATGCGCTCCAAAGACTATTAGAATTTACACGCTGGTACATTAATCAATCTTACCCTTTCAACATTGGTTTAGCATTTACTCACATCCAAATCGCTTTGCAATCCTTCTTTACTTAAAAGACTTAATCTTTGATCTTTAAGTCTGATAGTATTGTATACTTTTACCATGGGTTCCCACACCCAATTTAGCAAGAACTCGTAAGCCGTTTTACCAAATTCTCGGGTATAATGTAAGATATCGTCCTGACGGTCTAAACCATATCTTATAGCATAATCGCCAGCATAGTAGAGCAGTAATGCAGGAATCCAGTAACGCGACAGCGTTGATGGAATGCCGTATAGTGATTGCACTGTGGTGAAATGACTTTCGCACGATAAAGACCACGTTTGTAGAATCTGATTTAATTCACTAGCAATATCTTTTGCTGACGTCGTATTTGATTCTTGCAGAGAGAATTGTTCTTGAAAGTGCTTATCATTCTTCTGACTGTTTCTTCTACCATAGCTATTGTAACTTGCTGTACGATCTGCTCTCATGATATAGTGTATCATTTCGACGCATTGTTTAGTTTCCTTCGGTATACCATCGGTAAACTGGGGTGGAGTTAGCAACATAACACCCAAGCTGGCAGCAAGCTCGGAGCGTATCCTTTGCAATGTCGTCTTTTTTAGCTCGATTTCATTTCGAATAATCTGAAGAAGAAAAGGTCGGTGACGTAGAGATGAAAGATTGAAGAATTTTAGCAGGTCGATAGCGGTTTTGCGGCTGCGTTGTTTTTGATGTTGTTCATTGTGGACAGGAAATAGTTGTGTAATAATGAAATCCATTGAACTTAATTGGTGAAAGTTGACCGATTTGGTTGATAGATTTTTCACAGTATTTTTGAGCAAGTGATATAAGCGGCTAGGAGCAACTGTGCAACAACCGATAAAACAGTTGTCATTTAGTCCGTGCTAAGAAAAATTGACTATACTAGTTTTTAAATCCAAACTTACTTTGCATAGCGTAGTATATTTCTTGCATAGTATTTCCTTGTATACTATTCCAGTAATTGATAGACTCAGAAACGGGTAGTGTCAGTTCCAACAATTTTGAAAACACATGGCCGTAAACAGCAATAGTGCACTTGGCAACAAAAAACCATTCTAGTTCAGCATTCGTTGTGGCAGTTGAATTGATATCATTCAAGTATTTCTGAAGGTACTCCTGCAACTTTTTTAGAGAAGGTATATTGCTGGCGTTTTGAAAGTCGAGAGCTTGAATTGTTTGTATTAAAAATTGATTTCCTTCATTCAGAGCTTGAAATGACAAAGAAGAAAAGTCTAGACTTTGCTCAAACGAACGTGATAATATGGTATCCAGACGCTTCACCTGCTCATCGACAAAAGTTGACATTTACGTTCGTTAGCAAAAGTACTAAAACTCATTCAACGAAAAACGCCATTTTTATTTCTTTCCCCACAAAATCACCAATGGCGTCACGGACATCCAATACAGTATTTTACCTTATATTTTAGACGATTTACAATTTTTAATGGACAATATACATTTTAATTTTAGATTTATTAAAAAATATTTTTAGAAAAGTCCATAGTATTTGGATATTTGGATACTCAATTATTCAGTGATATTCAAGCAGCATTAAGGATGACATACAATCGAACCCTAGAAATTAGTCTCTATCAGTAAGAAAGTCGCCAATAATGGTTTTATTGATGTTATCTTGCAATAGGGCAAACTACAAAAAGCTTGACAACTTTTTTACTAAATGACGATGTGTTCCGAGACCAACAAGATATTCGTTGGTGCCTTTTTTGGACAAGAATTCCAAAAAAAGTTAACTTTGAATTGATTGACATCAAACCATTGATAGAGGGCTGAGGGCCATAGTATAACAGATACCATAGCGGAACGGGATGGCTATATTATCTGTTGTCAATGTTTTTTGTATGCGTTCATGGGTGACTTTCAAAAATAGGCACTATAAAATATATTGTTCTCTTATAGTCAAATGTTGTCTCTTTCACTTTTATTTCACGTTTTATGATACATACTATGACCCATGTTCAAAACAATAATTTATGAAAAGAAAAAGCAAATTTTTAAAAAGAAAAAATCAAGTGCTGTTAATGGTAACTTGCCTTTTGAAAGCCTATATACCTGATCATATATATACGTAGAGATTAATCATCGTGTACTGTTAGATGTAACGTGTATTGATTGCGGTAAAGGGGGTCATTACACCCAACAATACTTTAAATGTCAATTGTATGAGACAGAAACTGCAGATCAAGGTAAGCACCTCATGTGGCTTCAAAAGTTGGTAAATTCATCGTTAGTAAGCGACCTCATTGTACCTATAGTTGGTTCGATAGGCAGAAAACGCAAACAGAACTTTGAAATCAAGAAGGAAAAGAAGAAAGCAAGGAAAGAGAATAATGAAGAACCGGATAAAGACAATACCTGTTGTACCAAATGCAAGCAACCAGGACATAAATCGGTGCGTTCTCCTCTGTGTCCTCAACATGTATTATCAAAGGCAGAGGTCTTTCAGCATCATTTGGGAAGTAATTACAAGGCGTTTACAAGAAGGTTGCCTCTTGATAACTGCGTTTTTGGTGACTATCGCAACACATTCAAGTCAAAAGTTGTTGAAGCTTGTTCTGTTATCCGAAACTTGGTTCTTAGAGCCAAGCTCTTTGTGAATTATTACGTCTTGGAAAATGCCACTCTTGCTGAGCCAAAGTGTATTAAATGTATCTTTACACAAAATTTCTGGTACTCTGTGATACAGCTAGTGAATGGACAGAGACCAACAAATAGTAGGCTGATATCACAACAATTACTGAGCTCGTTTGATTCTTTTAAAACGACTTACCCTAAGATTGTCTTCCCTGTCAAGCTCTTTCCTGGACTTAGTCAAGCCATTACAGAAGCATGCACCGAAATTGCTAATTCCTATACGAACAGTATAGTGGAAAATTTTGAGGAGAAACTTCTCTATTTTTTGATATATAAAATACAAACGGCATTTGTGGTAAGTTGCAACTCAATATTACTTGGGTCTTACATGAATTTTTAAAAAAAAGCTCTCATCTTGCGTAGTGTATGCCTTGGAAGCTTGTAAAAAAAGTCACAAGTGATTTCTGCTATCAAGAGATATGCCAAGGAGAACCTAAATGGCCAACTGATGACTATCTTACCAAAGATATAAAAGCAAAGATCCAAACCTTTTGTGAACCTTGGAAAAAGAAGCTGGGGAAGAAAGTGAACATGAAGACATTATCTGCTGATCCTGGGTCTTTCGTACCCTTTTTGTTATCTTTGAACGCAGAATTTGAGAGAGAACACGATGATCATAAGTCATTTGACGTACGACGACGTCCTCTTCCAAAATTGCTATCCTTACTGCCAAAGGTTTCCGTTCAATGGAGGTTCATTACCTTGAGCGTGAACGCTCTGTCTTCTTTTGTGAAACGTTCTTTACCCCGCAATTACCAAAGCCAATTAGAGCTGTTTTTCCATGTCTTTGATTTCAAGAAACTCAGGTACAAAAGGTAAGCATACAGTTAATACGGTATGCAGTCGAGTATAATGTATGAGGTTTAACTTCTTGGGCACATGTAGTATCTCTGAACTTACACCGAATGGTGATAACAAAGAGCTCTTTGGTAATATTGTCAGAACGGATGGGTTTTCAGTTGACTTTCTTTTTTATAAAAGACAACAATCTGGCCATGGTGCCTCGTTCCAAAAATTTGACCTCACTCTTGATGATTTCTCTCTGGATGAAGTTGACAATACTTATTTACCTATTACCCTGGATCCCGGAAGAAAGTCTGTTTTTACTGCTGCTATTGGCCTTGAATATAAAAGACAAGTGCGAAGATGCACTACATCCGAATACTATCATATGGCAGGGTCAACGAAATATTGTAAGAAATTGAACAGTATAAAAGCTGTTACAGGAATAGATCTAGTAGAAAGTCAAATCCCCTCGTCAAAGACCTCTCGTCTAGGAGTATATGAGGCGTTCACCAGTTATATGCTCAATAACTTAGACGCTCTCTTTAGTTTTTATGGACATGAAACAGCAAAGGACCGGTTTACGTTGTACCAAGGAAGGCAAAGAGCACCCGAAACTATGGCCAACATGTTGACTCATGGAACGGCCAAGTACAATCGCAAAAAGAGAAGCAAGGCAAGGAAGAGGAAAAAACAGCAGAAGAAGAAGAAGAAAGGAAAGAATGTTGACAAACAGCCGCCAATCAAGTGAGTATCAATGAATTACATGTTCATCGTTTAGCTTACGCGCTGATTGATAATTTTTAGAAGTGACAAGAAGTGGAAGGCTGATAAGTACTCAGGATTCCCTAGAAGGGTACCATTGATTGTCTTTGGTGCTGGAATGTTTGGAAAAGATGTAGTAAAATTGAAAGGGCAAAGATGTGGTGTTGTCGGTAAACTTTTTGCAACTCTGAAGAAACGTGAAGCTGAAGGTCAATTGATTGTTGTCACAATCGATGAATTCAAAACCTCTAAAACATGCAGCCTCTGTTTCTATGATGATATGCAAATTGTTAATACCCCTGGATTCAAGGGTACCGGCGTTCTTCATTGCAAGCAATGTCTAAAGCTATGGCAGAGAGACATTAACGCCGCTATTAACATGATGACTATATCCCAAGCAGTTTGGTCTGGAGCGGGAAGACCCGACATTTTCAAGCCAGCGAAGAAGAAGAAATAATCGCCGTAATAAACACGGTTTTCCTTGTATTTCAAGGATTTAGATCATTACAGGTGAGGAATAGTACGGTTTTTTTTTCTTTTTTTTTTTTTTGTTTCGCACTGCTAACAAGTTTTTGGAATTTGAATCATTGTTTAAACGGTTTATATTTTGGTCTACAACACAATTGCAACTCATCTAAAATAAAAATATTAATTGTCCAAAAAAAAATGTATTTCATCTAAAATATTAGTCAAAATACTGTAAATGTAGGGTTTAAACACATCTAAATTATCAGATAACTTTGAACGATGGAAATTTGTCAACATTGTCTGAATCAATAGCAATTAGTCGCACGTTTCTTACTCCTTAGAGTTGAGCACTTTACTGAGAGTTTTAACGTTTTCGATGGTTTTTTTAATTTTAAAATTCGATTCAGATGCTACTAGGAAGACTTCGTTTTCCATCTAGAAGGAATAAAGAGTAGAGTTATTTTCGAAGCTGAAAGCCATAATGTTCGGTTCAAGATTGAACCCTCCGAATATCCCCCCCCCCCTCCAAAATAATAATAATTCCTTCGATATCCTTGCTCTTCAAAATACGAAAAGGTAGCTCACTTTAAGTATTTGAATGGTTCGAGTCCAACACCCCTCTGTTAAGTAATGAGCGGTACCTGGAGGCCTATTTTTGCTAAACCAAGATAAAATAACCTCGAATCACTATATAAACCTTTTTGGTTGGAACGCTTGAGAGATTCTTCACTTCGTTCATTTTAAATGTAATTTCGTCAACTTGGACTTTTTACATAGTTTAATTTACTCGAAATGCTTAATATTATACGTTATTTCAATGCTTGATTGCTGTTACGTCTTATGTCCTCCACTGAAAAGTTATTGCTTAGTTGTAAAACTAGTTCAACACCAGTTAGTACCATAATTCTCATATTCGTAAGTTTACTCTCAATATTATGTTATAAATTTGATTCATTTGTTGCAGTCAGTCTGTTTATTGCCTTATTATTATTTTTTAAGTTATAATATTGACCAAAATCATCAGTACTCCTTTATCTCCTTTAAGATATGGGAAGGCATATCCAAAAAAAAAACTAATTGAATTCAGCCTTCCACTCAAGAATCAGAATTGAAGGTTTTTGAAGGCGCTCGATAGAATCAAATTATTGACGATATATCTGTGGCTGTTCAGTTTCAGCATGGTTTTGTAAGGTGGTAACAACCAGAACAGAGTACCAAGCATAGCATTTAATGGAAATGCTCTGATTTTATACGCTTAGGCCTCTCGATGATTTCCTCAAATACAGTATAAGTCTTGATTATCGTAGGTAGAATTACTTCATATCACTTACAGGCTGACAACGTCGAATTTTTTTGCGACTTTGCTTGTTTAATACGGCGATGCAACTGTTTTCTCAGTGTTTCGCCCAAGCAGGCTCTGTCCTCCTTCTGAAGTTTTTCGTCAGTATTGTATATCGTAACTTTACCACAAATCAATTTTACTCGCTCCAGATCATCGGTCACTCTTTGTGAGTTCGGCTTGACTATTTATAGACTGCTTCTCTCGGTATAAAATAGAAGATTAAGATAAAAAATGATCGCTAATCAAATAAAAGAATAAAAACAAACCAATGGATATGAATCTTAATCGTAGTTGACATGAATCTCTGCAAAATTGTTATGTTATTCGAAAGACTCCCCAGACATATGTGGAAAAATGCCCTCTATAGTAAAAATGTGGTCGTGGGAGGGGGGAAAGGTGATGAGACTTTGAAATTATGGGTTTCCGTTTCAATATTGGCCAACTAATTACAAGCTTACATGTCTCTATTTACTAAACGTTCTAAATGTCTTCGGAAAAGAACCGAGAGTGAAGAGCCTTTTCTGGAGGACAATTATTCACCAAAGTGTTTGATATCTGAGTCTAACTCATCTCAACAGAACATATGATATCCCATGCAGCAGATGGTCCGAAATTTTGAAGCGCTGTTGATCCTTTCCACACAATTGAAAAACGACTACAGCATATCAATGGTGCTTGATATAATTTCCTGAAATTGTATAGTACACAATCAAACTATTGAGAAAGGAAAAACAGCATCTTTTAAACTGTTTGGATGACATATGTTTGCTTTAAAAATCGAAGAGAAGATTTCGATGTTAAGGCACAAACCTACTCAACTTCAACAGAAGCTAGGCATCATAATTTCCTACTACAAAAAGCAGACTGGTATCCTCCAAGGTACAAAACTTGTCCAATTATGTTCTTAACTGAACCTTTTTCGGATACCAAATTGTATCAATATTCAACTCAACATTTCTTACTGGTGCCTATGATACTATCAACTATCAACAAAATACAGGTCGCAATGTCAGTAACATACTGCCTATAGGTTTTGGAAATCCTACACATATCACTTCATTTCCATCAGTTTTCAATCGGAATTTCATAAGTAGAAGGTTTTTTTTTTTCGCGTCGTTTATAACAAAGTCAAACATCACTTAAAGGTGTTTTATTGAACTTGATACGTTTAGACACCCTATAGAATTCTATCCAGACTACCATATGTATATCCCAGTGAATAACGCTATAATAATTAAAATAATTGATGAGACTTTAATCTTTTCTGAACAGCACTACAACTACTAAATCTTCTCTTTATTGTGATGCTTTCGAGCAGTTCTCATGTGCTTTGAATCTAATTCCCCCCTATCGCTTTAAATCGAGAGCAGTGTGAATGTATGGCTCAAATTTCCCCAAAACTACTACTTCTGTGATAGTATATTTTACAGAATACGCATTGAGATTAACTCAGCAATACCATACAATGGTTTTTTAAAACGATAAATGAAATCAAGAAACGCGATAATTGTCTATATGCATGCATATTGGGCAGATTAAGGATCTTGTGTAGCTTTTACAACGCTTTTACAACGCTTTTACAATTTTGCCTTCCTTGATTCCCTCAGTTTGGGACAAAAAGAGGAGTTTTTATATACCAACTCCTTCGGCCATATGTAAAAAAAAAAAAAAACTTATCTCTCGGTTTATCCTTAACGGCAACCTTTCATTTGGCATGCATTTGGAAAAGATATCATTCGACAGAAGGAACATATTGAATTTCCTATCTGCGGTATAAACATTTGGATCTGTTTCTGAAAAGATTTTTGCTCACCTTTTTTCTCCTTCCATTTTCTTACCTTTTCGTTACGAGCAAGCTTTATCTAGTAACTTGATTTATATAATTCTTACCTTCCGCTTTGCGATATAAGTATATATATAGTCAATGATGGGTGACTCGAAAGGTGAATATAGAGTGGTCATTGACCAAGAATTTGATGAGCAACAAAGACAACGTGACCAATCTCCAATACGATCTCCACAGCAAAGCACTGTTGTTGCCACATCGAAAGTTCAACTATCTCCAGCAGTAAGAGCAGCACTTCCCATCGCTAGTTACTGTTTTGCTTCCATTCTTATGACAGTTACCAATAAATACGTGCTAAGCGGATATGATTTCAATATGAACTTTTTATTGTTAACTGTTCAGGTAGGTTACACTCATCTAGTCGTTAGGTTAATGTTGGAAGTTTCTCGTAGAAAGAGGCCTAAGCATTTTGGTTCGCTATAATGTAGAATTTGGTGACAGTGATGTTATTGCAATCGTTCAAGTTCCTCAACCTTATTAAATTCCGTGAATTTGATAAAGATGAAGCGCGTAAATGGTTACCCATTGCCGGCTCATTGGTTGCCATGATCTACACTGGTTCAAAAGCTTTACAGTTTCTTCGAATTCCTATTTATACTATTTTTAAGAACCTGACAATTATTTTGATTGCTTATGGTGAAGTCCTTTGGTTTGGTGGTAAAGTAACTAATATGATGTTGAGTGCTTTTGGTTTGATGGTAAGTGGTTCGGGTGAGGGATAGGCAAATAAGGATCTTGTGCCTGAATATCAGAGGGAGATGCTCGCTTCACGATTGATTGTTCTAATTAAACGTTTGCGGGTATAGGTGCTTTCATCAGTCATTGCAGGTTGGGCAGACATCAGTGAAACTTTAGGTCAAATTGTGCAATTGGATACAACTTTTGTTGGTTATTTCTGGATGGCAACCAATTGTCTTGCTTCAGCCGCATTTGTACTCTACATGCGTAAAAGAATCAAACTCACCAATTTCAAGGATTTCGATACTGTTTTCTACAATAATATCCTCTCTATCCCACTTTTGATCATTCCCAGCTTTATCTTTGAAGACTGGAGTGCTGAGGGATTAGCCAAGAATTTGTAAGTAAAAATCTGATTCAATTTTTTTCTTGGGTACATGTAGAACAACTATTGAATTACTTCTGTTTTGAATGAACAGCCCTGCCGAAGTTCGCCAGTCAATGATCATTGCCATGGTCTTTTCTGGTGTCTCTGCTTTTGCTATGTCCTATGCGTCTGCATGGTGTGTTCGTACAACATCCTCAACTACTTATTCAATGGTCGGCGCTTTGAATAAACTACCAATTGCTGCTTCTGGTATTTTGTTTTTTGGTGATCCTGCTACCTTCGCTAATGTCACTGCCATTATTGTTGGTAAGTTTTGCTTAATCATTCTTCGGAATTCAATTGAAAGAACCCAATTAAGCTAATCACTCCTTTATTATTATTGAATAATTACGTAGGCTTCATTGCTGGTTTGGTATATTCTGTTGCTAAAACGCTTGCAAATAAGGCACCTGCTAATAATAAGGAAATTATTCCCATGTCATCCTCCAGTCAAAGTGCATCCGATGCTGTTAAGGATCATGGTAAACCATAGCATATACTTTTTCTGTATCCATTTATGCATCTTTCTTTAAATTCTTCGTAAAAGTGAAAATTATCTTTAATTAATTGATTTTTCATACGCTGTTTCATTTAATCATAAACGCTATTGTAGCCAATCAAAATGTGACGCCGACTTTTAACACGTACTTCTCTGGCTTCCAAGAGAGATTTAAGAGAAGAAAGTAACTCTATTCTTGTTAGCACAATATCTTTATATTTAATCGAGTTGGAAATGCTATTTGATGATAACGTTGGTTTTAATAAGAATAATTTTTTTGATGAATCGGCTTCAAATTTGAAATCCTCTTTCGACCTTGGGTCAGTAAAAGAAACGTACCATACTTGCCATTTATAAACAGGCCTACTGTAAGAGGTGTATATAGTATCTGTGTTTGGCGATATATCTCCCGCAGGCTTGGGTACCGTTGATGTAGAAATATCATACGCTTTTCAGTAGAGAAATACCAACGAATATAATAAATCTTTCCATTTTAGTTGTAAAAACTGACTTCTGTCGAAAATACCATTCACATAAACAAGCCGCTAAATTGACTTGGAAAGTACTTTTTTTCATAACATACAAAGAAATACATTGACTTTTGCGGATATAGTATGTGTAGATCATTTTAAGATTCTCTTCAGCTTTAACCCCATAGATCACTTCAAGGTAGTGACGAAGACTTATAGATGAACGGACTTGAGTTTCACAAGAAAATGTTTCAAGTAGAACAAGAGTTAGCCCAAAAGCCTCGCTGCTCACAACTGTAAATATTGGAATAAATAGGAATAAAACGAAAGCTCCATGTCATAGCCCTCATGATTCTGTCAAAGCAACCAGATCAGTATTAGATATGATTCTTTATTGTATCTTTTGATTCGTTGCTTTTCATAACTACCGTCGTACGCACACCATCGTAATGATACTGTCTTTGAGGTCATCCTCTATTTTGGAGAAAGGATGATGGTTTATTACCACGTAATATAAAAACTGTAGTGTTGAATTAAGATACTGATGCTTGTCGCCTTACGTAGGCTAGAGGGAGCCTTTAAACCTGGCCATCATTCTACTTGGCTCGCTTGAATACTATTGTAGATAGCTCTGGATATTTTTGCTTATCCTTTCGCTCGTGAAATACCAAACTATTCGAAAAGTGACTTCACTTCTTGCTTCTTACCTAAAGCAAGCTATTCAAGTGGCGAGACCAAAGCTGAGACTCTGTTTCAACTCATGGCATATTCAATGAACAGGTACATCTAATTAGTAAAGGCTTGACAATGGAACTAGCATTTAAGAATACAATGAGGGGAAAAAAAAAACGGGTAACCCTGCTGCTTAAAGAGTCCAACGTTTCATTTGCCTTTTTCTGCTTAATTACCGGCACTAGGCGCTGCTGCTGTACGATGCTCTTTGTTGGTTATAGAAAGTTGAGGATTTCTGCCAGGGTTTGAAAAAAATTATAATAAACACCCATTTAAAATATGTTTCGTAAAGGTGAGGATTTTGTTCTGTATCTTCAAGGAAGAATCACTCGATGAGAAGGTCGATCCTTTTCAACCATCTATCGTTGAATTTGCTTTTATAAAGGTGAGTAGAAAATATCTGATTTATTTGGATGGCTGGTTGCAAGGATACACCATTCATAATGTGAAACACTTGATTCATCATGCATTGCAATCCTTGTAAAGGAACAACATACAGCAATTGACAAATAAGTAATAGTGAATCCATCACAAGTTCATAAGTGATACCTCGTCAACGTTCGAGCAGTAGAAAAGATTTTTACCTATTATACAGGCCTTTCATGAGCATTAAGTTTCGGTATCGACATAAAATAAAAAAAGAAGAAAAAAAAATAAATGAATCCATGTCACCGGTAGATTGAATAAAGGGATACATGCTATCAACTGCATTGACTCGTAAGAAAGAGATTAGTTAACTAAGGATAAGGAGGCTTGCTTGTATCGTTGACTGTTTGGAGGTCGAGTGACAAGAGGATTTTGTTATAAAAAGCCCCCATGTTTTCTCTTTGGAGATCTCTTTTCTTCTCTTCTTTCTCATCTATTAACGGCCATTGTTTACTTATATCCTCTGTAACGCTTGCTCCTCGGCTTTGGGCGGCAATCTACTACAAACTCTGTTCTTTATTACCATTGATCTTGTTCTTAATTGCCACCGGCAGACCATAGGACAGTTTCACTGGGCTTTGTAAATCCCTCTGTCGCTAGTGTTGGGGTTGAGCGGTCATCTGTCGTGTTCTGGGATCCTAACACTGAAGGACGGCGGTAGATTGTTTGTCATGGCCTTCACACCTTTCCCTTTTTATGTTTCCCCTCATGTACCACTTGGTTATCAAAGAGTTATTTTGTCTGTCTGAAGCCTTCATCATAATCCAGAAGCGCTTGGCGAGAGGGGCAAACCGAATACCTGCTTTTTTTGCAGAGTACCTTTTATGACCTAGCTTAGGACTTTAACTTTTATAATCCAAGCCTCTCCACGTTCCATAGTTTTCTTTTTTTTTTTCGGGCAAGTGGTTACATGTTATGAGGATTGTAAGGAGACATCAGGCCAAGATTCCCATACCCGCTTATCTAGTTTAACTAGTTAAAACAAGAGTAATTAATTTTACTCTTATTCAGGTTCGAGTCCTAGGATAAGCTAAACTGAATGTCTCCCTCTGACTTTTTTTTTTATTTTTATTTTTTTATTTTTCCTTTTTTACTAGTACGATCGCCATGCCCTATTACTTTTGATGAGGTTATTCATTATAAGGTGCCCTCAGCAGTAGCGTCATTTTTTGGCAAGTAAAAATGTTGGCAGGTGCAAAAATGTTACGGTTTGAAGTAAACTTTTGCTGCTTTAACCATGCTCAAAAGAAGAGTTAACTGTACCCATGTAAGGTAGTAACCGAAATGAAATCCATATGCTTACTCATTAGAGAGTGAGTAGTTAGTCCAAATGGATGGATGAAATAAATTTTTTTAGAGCACACACTTCCCATTTCTGTGTTATACTTCATGATGATTTACTGCATCAGATATACATAGAGTATAAGATTTATCTGACATTGCAGACAATTTCCATACGATATTTAAACCCTCCCTCCTTACTCCCCTCTCGCGGAAGATTGTCATCAACAATTATAAACGTAGGGCAACAGTCAAACATCAAACCAATAAAATGTGAGAGCTTGCTTATCCATGGATAAATAGTGGTAGTTTGGTCATTGCTGTACACTCATACATTAAGAAAATGACTATTTTGGACGAGATTTTTTTTTTTTTTTTAAGAAAAATTTATGATCATGCGACTGAAAACAATAGTAGGGAAAATGAAATATGAAATAAAACAAAAGAGTGGGTATATCCGTTGGACTACATAGGAGTGTAGAGGGAGCTTTTCTTTTTTTTTTTTTTTTTCTTTTTTTAGTAGTAAAGTGATTCATGATGAAAAAGAGTAGCTGGCTATGTACAATGAACAATCGATTCAATGACAGAAGTCAAATGAGCTTCGTTATAGATAGGTTCTTTGGATGAAGTGGGAGAAAGATCGCCTTTCATACAAATGCATTGAATACCGAGTTTTTCAATAGCTGCTACATCTACGGAAATTTGACTGTTATCCAAGTAGATGAGATGAGTAATGAAAGCATTGGGTGGACTTGGATAGAAGCTGTTATCTGGGAAAACCGGGTAATCAGTGTTGTTATTTGGATGGTGATGTGGATGGTGGTGTGAATGCTGCTGACTAGTATTGTTGGATGGAACTGTGATGAAAGGTGTCAGACAGACGTGACTGGTGGGTGGGGTACTTAGCATGGTACTATTGCCGCTACTGCTACTGTTGCTACTACTACTCATCATACCTGTACAAGTGCTTTCTCCGCAACAAGAGTAGTCGTCGTCCCCATCACAAAGTGGCGGATGATGGGTATGGCCAACAGATTGATAAAATGCCCATTTTGCATCGATATGTTGGCTTTTGTTCAATGCAGATACAATAGCATGGATGAAATCAAGAGCGGTATAACCATCGGTTTCGCGATCATGGCTACCGTTCAGCAATATAATTTTATGTTTTAAGCTCTCGGAGTGTACAATGGCGTTGCCGACTTGACGAAGCATCAGACAGGGTATGAGAGAGGTATATAAAGAGCCAATGCTGTACACAAGGGTATTTTTTGTAGAGAGTTGGTCCAAGACTTTTGTATTGGGAAGGGGGTAGATTTCCTGTCCATACTCATTGATATAGTAGATGCGGTCGATAGGAGAAGTGAGCTTTTGTTGTTGGTCGACATTTTTTGAAAAAAATAGATTGGAAGCTGCCATAGTAGGATGATGATGCTGATGATGATGATGATGATGATGATGATGATGATGATGATGTTTGCTATCGGCTTCATGAGATAGGCCTACTGATGCTAGAGACTCTTTTGGCTCTTCTTCCTTGGTCGTCATATGAAATAGAGGAGGATAATGATATTCGTCAAGATATGAGTTGAAAAATGCATCCATCATGATAGGATCGATCATACGATGGTTACTTTTTGTAGTAAGGTTAGAAGAATAAGTGACTCTATGTTGCATGTATTGACGTTGAATGGTCATGGATGTGGCGACAGTATTACAAGGGGAGGGATGAGATATTTCGCATTGACCCACGAGGGAGTCCCCATTTGTTAAAGCAGCAGCAATAGTCGCTGTTTGGTTCGTATTAATGACAGGTATCACAGATGTTGCTGGGATGAAGGAAGTGATATTGGTCATGGAAGCGAACAGAAAAATAGCTGCTTCCAGAGAGCCTGTAAAAAGTCGTGCACCGGTTAAAAAGAAGTTGCCTATACTTCCATTGGCAAAATTAAATCGTTTGTGAGCTCTTTTCAAGATTTCAAAGTCGAATAAAGTGAGAAATCCACGTATTGCTTCTTTCTTTTCGACAGAGATATTTTGCCAGAGACTAAAAATGATGAAGAAAAGATGAATTGATGTTCATTCAAAGACAGAGAATAGTTTATACCGTTTATTGACCTACCTGTGTCGACCTTCAACGATGGAGGCCCATTCAGCGCGACTAGAATAATCCTCTTTTTTATCTACTGGCAAACGGTAACTCAACAAATCTTTGATGGCTTTCATTTCAGTTGAAGTTGAATTTTCATCAATCATATCCATGAGACGAATGAGTCTAGAACGTAGATCACCCACGCTGGGACCACCAAGGACACGCAAAATTTCACTCTATGGGGTTATCATGAGATTAATTACATATGCTGTCACTGCAGGGTGTGACGATGGACGATGGGAACGATTGTCTTACAGTGGAACCACCATTGTCTGATATGCCTAATATGTAACTGACATGATGATCACTGATTTCATGGAAACTGTTCAGGATATGATTGCAGGCAGATCCACCTGAAAAGACAACAAAGGACGTCGATATTGGCGTATGTGTAGACGTAGAATCCATGGTTAGGAAGATTGAAAAACAGTAGAGAAATAGGGACAAAAAAAAGTATTCGTAGTGGTTGAAGAAGAAGTAAAGGAAAAAGAAAGGAAGTTCAATCGGTTTAAATATGATTTTAGTCAATAAAAAAAAAAAAAAAAAATCTATAAGGCAACGATATTCAAAAAAGCTTTTCCCGAATTATAAAGAGATAAGATAGAATTAAATTTTGGGCCCTTAATTTCCTTTTTTGGAACTTTTTTTTTTTTTTTTTTTTTTTTTTTATACACAACAAAAAAACCACAGGCTTTTTGTTTGACTGGCAGTACAACGCAAGTCAACCCCCTTTCCTTGGTTTCATATCCATTTTCCGTTTCCAAAGGAGGAGTTGACCCCACACTATCAAGCTGACTAGTGAAAGTGTCCCGCTTTATGACATAAGGGAATAACAATTAAACACAGTAAAAATAAGTACAAAGTGCTGTGATGGACAATAGAATTCTGTGGGGGGGGATAAATTCCGCGGTTCATTTTCTGGTAGTGTTTGATCCTCAGCATCATGTCTGATCTGGATCAGCGGTGTCATAGGTAACCCCACTCCCCACCCCCGCTTAAAAGTAGAACACGTTGTGGCTCATAGCCGTTTGTTTAGTTGTTCACTCGTCAATCACACATAACAACAAGAATGAATGGGTTTTCTCACTCCTTCCGAGGAACCAACAGACAAGATTGTGGAATAGATGCACAACATCGTGTCGGAACCCCTTATCGCGCAATATACTATATATAGCTCGAATGCCTTCAAATCCTGCATCATGGTAAATTCCGTGAGACGTTTGTAAAAGTACTGTGACAAAGGATAAAAGATACCATTAAGCTATCGGGAAATATCGATGAAAACAAAAAAGCATCCAAAAGTGAGAGATAAAAAGAGAACCAATGAGTTTTTATCTCTGCAGCTTTTCTTTTCTGTTGAATTGTCCCATTGATCTGAGCTAAAAATAGAAGGTAACACGGTAGAAAAGGTCAACGATCGCGCGTGCACTCTCACCAAGTCTCATTGAAAAGCACATGAAAAATACGGAATGCTTTCTGTGATCAGTAAGAGTTCCTTTTATGGCTCGATTTATTTTGCGCTATCCAAAGCGATGATAAGCAGCACTTTATCCGTATTCTGATTTTGGTTTTCCAATAAAGGGAATCAGTTCATAGAAAAGAGAGAAAGAGAAAAAGAGAGAAAGAGAGAGAGAGAGAGAGAGAGAGAGGCACGCTAGTGGCGGTTAATGGCAGTCCAACGCACAGTGGAATTATTTTGATATGGCCTGCGGTGAGAACTATTTCTCTCTGAATACCATAAACAACCTTTACTCCACTTTCTACGACGAATACTGAATGATCTGCCTATGTCATCAGTACGAACATCATCCGTCTGTTGAGTTGCTAGCAGCTCGTCGTCTTCATCCTCTTCTGGCGAGGATAGCTCGAAAGAACTCAGGCTAGTACTGCTATTGCTAACATCCATAGAGATGGCCTCTTTGTTGGCCATAGGATCCTTTTGGATGTCTTTTTGGAGAGACGGTTTCATCGTCGGCGTTCTTTTCTCAGCTATAATAGAAGAGCAGACTCTTTTCTTCTTTTCCTTCTTTACTGGTGGTGGTCGTTTCAAGAGAGCTGTATTTATGCGCGAAATAATAGGTGGTTGAAAGTCGTTGTCGGCATCTTCATCATCATCATCATCATTGAAATAGGAGATATCCATGGCTTTAAATGTAGTCATTGTGATTTTTGTTACTGTGGCATGCATGTTCCCGCTTGGAGACCTTGACGCACCATCCTCAGGATCGTCTTTAAGCTCACTTTGAGAATGAGCACTGCTCAGATTGACTTGCTTCCTAGCCAAGTAACCCACGTGACAGCGCCTTGGTCTTTTCATGATGTAAGTGAGGAAGAAAACCGTAGAAAAGGGGAAAACACCTGATTGATTTCATATGCTTATAGGTTTAGAAAAGCATATTGACAACAATGTCACTTGTAATATATATGCGTTTTTATTGATTTATACAAAAAACCAAAAAACCAAAAGGCAAGTCTTTTTTTTTTTAAATGCAGATAGAGAGGTAAATTTGAACTGAATAAAAAATAAAGAGTCTTTTTTTTTTCTTTTTTTTTTTTTTTTTTTTTTTTTTTTTTTTTTTTTCTTTCCTCTTTTTTTTTTCCGGCTTTGGGAGTTATTTACATTTGGGAAATAGATGTCACTCATGGAGATAAAAGGGCTAAATATGGGTTGCGGTTAAAAAGGTATCACGATGGTCGGGTGGGGTCACAGGACTTGTTATCAGCAACGTTTCGTCTTGTTCTTTGGTTGCTGTTGTCTTTGCAGGACTTGGAGGTGAAGTGGGCGGTGAAACAAGTAACTTGTCTACAGGAACATCTGTAGTCACCTTTAGTTTCTTATTCTGACAGTTGTTGTCTTTGTCGTCGTCTTCTTCCTCTTCTTCCATTTCGGCTCTGGAACGTTTCTTGCCACGTATCTTGGTATCATTATTTACAGTATGGACCATCCCGTTGGTAGTCGTATTCATTTTAAGAGGAGTAGTAGTAGTAGTAGTAGTAGTAGTAGGAGTAGTAGTAGCAGTAGAAGTAATAATGGTAGTAGGAATGGTTGAATGGGTATCATGGATGATTTCAGATGGGTTTTCAATAGTACTGGTGTTAGTAGTAGTAGTAGTAGTAGTAGTGGTAGTAGTAGTAGCAGTGGCCATGTTGGTATGGGTGGGCAAAGAAGTGGTGGAAGGTCCATTTAGCCATGACCAATCATATTCATTTTCTTCCACCAAAGGACTGACAAAATGAGGTAAGCTTAATGCACGTATCAAATCCATAGACACAATGTCATCATCATTAGCAGTAGCAGCAGCAGCAGTATCATCATCATTAGCAATCATGTCTTCTTGGTCTTTTTCCTCATCAGGATGCGATGGCTCTTCTTCTATTGTTGCTGCGACAATGGTTTCTTGACCCATAGTGGCAGCATGAGCAGCAACCGCTGTAGTCGTGCTAATCATACTAGCAGTAGTGGTTCCATCACTTGATATACCAACCACTGTTTCAGCCAGCATGGTCAATGCATTCGTCGTTCTATCTGTAAGCTCTGATTGCGCTTCAAGAACGGCATTCCAAACACTTTATATAAACCGTAGCTTTTTCTTTTAATGACAATGCCCCCAATGCTTACTAAAAGAAAAAAAAAAAAACCACTTTTGAATGACTCTTACCCTTTGACCAACACTAACTTCCTCAGTGACACTTCATGTGGCAAGCCTGTTGGATATAACTTGGTTTGACTTGCAATAGACAGTCTTTGTAGATAGATGGCTTCTTCAATTTCTTTTAAAGAATTGTCTGCCTGATCATTGTGTACCAGAGAAAAGGAGTAAAGTAGTGCAGAAGAAGAAGAAGAAGAAGAAGAGTTCATTTCTGTGTCTCTCTCTCTATATATATATATGTTATCTATGTATATAGATGTATGTGTGTGCCTGGGTTTTAGTGGGTGTGTGTGTATGTATATGTGTGTGTCTGTCAGTTCTGTCTATATCTCTCTCAATTTCTCTCTCTCGCTCTCTCTCTCTCTTTCTCTGTGCGGTTGTGCTGTAATGGCTGCTGTTTGTTTGAGTCCCTTATCAATAGATGAGAGTCACTATACTAAAGAGTGTGATTCTTTACTAAGAACGTGCTTTATTTATTAAACTTATTTTTCTTCTTTTTATGTTTAAATATGAATGGAGCAGAAAAAAAGAAAAAAAAAAAAATAAAAAATAAAAGAAAAAAAGCAGTTGTTGTTAGAGGAAAAACTATGAGGAGAAAGGGAAAAGGGAAAGAAAAAAAAAAAGGATCTCAGGAAATTTTCAAAGAAAAAATATAAACCCTCTGAACCAATAAAAATGCTTTGCATCGGACATTTAACACTATCAAAATACAAAGTAACTCAATAGGCCCAACTCATATGCCATGACTGATATCAGTCAATGCTGCAAAACGAAAAAAGGACCCTTTCGCTTCTGTCTTTGTTATTCAACGTTTGAAGGAGAACGCTTTTATGCAGTATTCCACAGCTCCTACTGTTTTTACTTTGGTTTGCCTACCACAGGGTATGCGCTGATCCCCCTCCACTGAGGATCCAAAAAGGGGGGCAATAACCACAATAGCAGCTCATGGACAGTTAGAATTGAGATAAAAGGACATTTCGTTGCCCCGGCCATGAATAAACGTGACTACAGATGAGGCGAAACAATGCTGGCCAGGTCAAGAGAAATACCGTCAATGTCCTTGGATCAACATCCACGTGATTTTAGCTCGACCTGGGTGGAAAGAATCTCACTGAAGCTTCACTCCATGAGATAGGTTCAAAAAGAAATGGCCTACTTACCATCTAGTCTACAAGTACAAACAAAAACACTTTGGACATTGTCATTCTCTACGATAAAATATCTTGGTATACAAATGAACCGACAAAAAGAGGTCTACTCATCAATGCCTAATTTTGCATGTTTTCCCAATTGCTCACATCAACCCGCACCTTGGCTACACTGATGACTGTCACGTAATCTCAAGCATTGAGAAAATATTGCTCGGAGAAATAGACGAGGTAACAAAAGAAGGAAACGAGGCAGTTGCTCGACTCTTCAACATTAGCCAACATTGGACATCTCAACTCATCAGCGTAACTTCCAGAAAGCATAAGACTTTGAGTAGCCAAGACACGAGTCTGCAAAGCACTGTGTCGACGATTCACTGTGCATAAGACAGACACACTATTTTTTTAATGGCTGCATTAAATGCTTAATTTAGCTTACATCCTGCACCAGCCCCTGATCCACAGTTTTTTTTTTATTTATGGATTTCAGGCTGAGCTCTGAAAAAGAGAGGGTTAAGGTTTTAATTTTTTTTCTTCTGCTTTTAGAAAATTTGCCTGTGCTTGTTTATTGTGACACCTACACATTATGCATCTATCTACTATCATACAGCCATCGTCTTTGAAACTACCATTTAGACTATCCGATACCATTTCTAAATGTAAACTCCATGCCAAACAAGCAGTCAGAAACCCCTTTTTTTCTTTTTTTGAGAAAAGAGAAATATAATACATCTGTTTAATAGCTGGAAAAGAAGAGTCTACCAATAATATATAAATGTTTAAGCAAAGATAGATAGATATATATATATACACATATATAATGGGTTATGGTCATTATTTGTAGAAAGGGAGGGAAGAAAAAAAAAATAGTAGAATTGGGCGTGAAAATGATTATATATATATATATATATATATATATAAAAAGCCAAGTCGTGATAAATAGATATTTTTAGAAGGCTTCAGTAAAGACTTTGATTAGCATCCTCCCCCTCTCTATTTCAATGGATAATGGGAGGGTGGGTCCAAAAGTTGTATATTCCTGGGAGTGTTGCTATAATGATAATGATGATAATAATGATGATGATGGATGTCGCGGTGATAAGTGAGTCACCCTCCCCCTGCCAAGATGGCGGGCGTTTTAAAGCATGGACATGGAGATGGCCGTGAACAACAAAGCGGCACCGGTGAAACCAATGGAGGATTGAAGTGAGTAAGCACTGGACAAGCTTCCAACAGAATTGGCAACAGCGGCATTAGAAGCTCCTGAGCCGTTGTTGTTGGAACCGTTTGAGACAGAAGAACCCGCGGTCACTTTACCACCAATACCCTTATTCGCAGCGAGTCCGACACGGTTGTTGCCCATGTCATACACCATGTAAGCAGAACGAAGCACTGAATCACCGACGAGATACATGTTGGAACCAATGCTGCCAGAACCTCCCAAAGGAGCAATGCCAAACATACACAAGTTGGCATTATCAATAGAAGTGCCGTCAATAGGAATGACCAATTCACTGGCAGGAACACTTAAGGTGACAGGGCTGTTGCTGGCCTTGTTCGTTTGCGACATTTGCAATTCAAAACGAGCTGGACTCTTACCTACGGCACAATCCACAATGAACACACCAGAGGAACGATCCAGAGTGTATTTATCACCCGCAATGGCCTTCACGATGTCTGTAGCGACTGAAGTAGGGAAGTAAGTGAGCGTGGTGCCCGTATCGAGGATGAAAGCACCGAGTTCACGCAACTTCCAGCTGGGGTTTTCCACAGGCGAGTTGGTGACGCCTAAACCTTGGCCATACACCATCCAATAATAGTATTCTTTCTCAGAGCTGCCAAAGAAACCAGAGGCCTTGGTTTGCAAAGCTGCCACAGGCAAGTAGACCAAATCACCGTCAAATTTGGTCGAGTCAATACCGCCAAAGATGATTTCACCCGACCAGTTGTCTTCTTTGATGCTGTTCAAGAAAATGGAAAAGACGGGCTCATTGATCACCTTCTGTGCAGCCAAATTGAAAACAAAAGGATTGTACGGTCCTTCACCCTGACTGTTGGCCTGGGTGAGAGAAGGATAACCAAGACCTAAAATACCATTGGCTTCGACATTGGCTTTACTTGTCGTGTTGAATGGTTCTGGTGCATTGGAGCCAGCACCGCCAGCAGAAGGGTTGGGTTGTAAAATATCTTCCGTCATGGATGCTAAGCCGAACTGTTGGTTGGGGATGGAAGCACCGCCTACCGTGACAGTATCGGTTGCATAAGAGCCGTTGACGCTACCGATACCATACTGAATACCAAATGGCTTGTTCAACGTCTTGAAAGTAGACGATTTTGAACTGTCAAATCGGTAGAAAGGACAGTTAGAAGCTGGACATTCTGTTGAAGGAACCCAAAGATCAGCACTGTGATGGACAGTATTCATATAGAAGGATAAGATGGCAAGTCAGTCAACAAAAAAAAAGACTCTACTTAGAGCAACGTGATGCTTCTTACCTGCCAGTATCAAGAGTGACAGCAAAGTTTTGTGGTGGAGTGCCCACCCCGACTTGAATCAAGTACTGTGATCCTTGGTCATTGTACAAAGGAGCCTTATATTGTTGATCTCTCTTGTCTAAATAGTCTTCGGCTCTTCTATTAAGCATTCGATATTTCATTTTAGCAACTTCTAAAGGGTTACCCAAATTCGGGTTACGCATGATGGGTGCACGAAGAATTCCATCCTCAGCAGTAGTGACAGCAGCAGCGTTGACCGTGTTCAATGTGGTGGTAGCAGCAGCTACAAGTGTAATAATTGCCGCGGAGATCTGCATTGGTTACAATCTATTATCAAGAAAAAAAAAAGCTATCTAACAAACAAAAAAAAAAAGGAAAAAAAATAGAAGAAAGAGAGAGAGAGAGAAACCAAAGTAGAAAAGGTAAAGCCTACAAAGTCAGAAAAAAGCAAAAGGTTTTGTTGAATTAACTAGGTAAATTTACGAAATCTATTCGCTGGGTTAAAAAAATGCAGTGTAAAAAAATATAAAAGACAATAAAATGTATACACCGATTATAAACCCGAGACAAGGATATATAACTGACGTTTTTCTTTTGAACTGAATCAAAAAGAAAGAGAAGAAAAAAAAAAGTACTTCATATTTATATGTACACAGCAAGAAGCATATTGAAAAAAAAAAATGATCAACGTTCGTCATTTAACTTGAGAAAATCATGTATTTCCATAATATCGCATTAAAAGGCTCAGAACATGCCTTTTTTATCGCAATTCACAGTACCTGAAATTATTATATTCTTTTGCATAAGCCGCTTTTCATGGTTCGCTTTTGCTGCAAAGCACACACAGTATGGCTGACAGGTTTTATATCAGCTATTACATTATCAATTTTATCATTCAAGCAATGTGGCATGGCTGAACCTTATTATTTTGACAGATATCATATTTATACTTTGTTTCATTTCATAGAAAAAAAAAAAAATAGATAATTCCAAACTGTTGTGCTGAGCGCTGAAGGACTAAATTTTGAAGAGGAGATCATATTTAGATTGACATTAATGTATGATTGTTTTTATTCTACTATTTTTTATTTATTTTTTAACTGGAAAAAAAGAGGCAGTATTGCCAAGAAAACGATGTAAATAAGGGTAAGAGTGATGCGATGGCAGTCAGTGCCAATAGGAACTGATGCGTTGGATAGAATACAAAGGCTTGGCTCGTTTCGACTCTCGATGATAAATCACTATTCTTATTGGTGTCACTTTTAGGCACTGCATTACCATGGCTGCTCCTACCATTAGAAATTGTACTCATATCAGTAGTACTCGTACTGCTGGCATTGTCGTTGGTAGTGTTAACATTTGACACCAATTTTCCAAAGCCAACCCTATTTTGTTGCAGATCAAAAACAGTGTAAACTGATCTCAACACTGATTCACCAAGAATCCAAGTTTCACCTTCTGTTAAATCAAGGCCAGTAGGAACAGGTGCAATACCAAACATACATGCCTTGGCCGATGCAACAGCATCATCAACATCTCCAGAAGTAGCCGTAATGTCATCATCCAAAGGTATCACAAGTTCTGATACAGGTATTTGAATCGAAATGGGTGTGGTCGAAACAGCTGACGCAGATGTAGAAAATTGAAAACTGACATAATCATCATGATTTTTTGCTAGTTGTTGACAGCTGACTCGATAAATGTTGTCTAAAGTGTCAAGCTTCGTTGTGCTTGCATTCTTTGTGATCGACATGACGATAGCTTCAGCGACTTTAGCAGGAACGTACGTCAGCGTCGTCCCCGTATCTAAAATGTAAGCATCCATTTTTGCTGCTGCTGCTGCTGCAGAAGTGTCATAATTATATCCTGATGAAGTGGATACACCTTGACCGGGTATCGCCCAATACAAATAATTTTCTTGGTTTTCCAGGCCTGATGTTGTCATATTGCTCTTCTTCTTTGCACCGAGGATATTAGCAGACACATAAAACTGCGATACATCATAGCTGATGACGGGCGCGTAATTCAAACTTCCCACAAATTTGCTTTCGTCTACACCACCCAATATGATCTCTCCAGTCGACCCATAGGCCAACTGTTTATTTAAAAAGATGGAAAAGATGGGCTTTTGAATGACCTTATTTTGATACAGGCTCATCACAAAATGAGTGGGCTTGGTACCATTCTTCATACTGATATCTGGGTAGCCAAGCCCCAAAATACCATTAGACGGTTCTGATGACGCCGTGGAGGGAGCGGTCAACATATTATCGGCCCTAGAGACAAGCCCCACAGTAAAGTTGGGAACAGTGATGATATCACTATCACTCCTACTACTGCTGCTGTCAGCAGCACCCAATGTAACCGTTTCCATGGCATAAGCGCCTGTACAACTGCCTGCACCGTATTCGATCGATAGTGTATCATCTAGCAGCTTGAATGAGGAAGATGTTTGATTTTGAAATCGAGCATAAGGGCACATGGATGAGGGACACGATATAGACGGAACCCATACATCAGCACTATTATACAATCATAGCAATATCATGTAGAAGAAAAAAAAAAGTGTATGCGTCACGTAAGCGTTTTACTGCTCTCTTGTGGGTTCCAGATTTTTTACATTTTGCTCTATGAATAAGGGCTTTCAATATGTACCTTCCTGTATCGAGTGTGATATTAAAATATTGTGGTGGAGTTCCAATACCAATCTCTATCAAATATTCTTTTCCATAGGCATTGTACAATGGAGCCTCTTTGAATGATGATGCTCGACGACTAAGTTTGCTGTTGTATGTGTTGATTTCTGTCACGGTCGTTGTTCTAGGCTTCTTTCTACGTCTAATGGGCACTTTTAACAACTCTGGCACTGCACCAGAATTAGTTCCAGCTGGAATGCCGGTTTCTTTTATAGAAACAGCACAAGATTGCGTCAAAAATGCGGCCAACATAATGGTGCTTGATGTATAAAATATTGTTATTGCAGACTTCATTCGTTACTGTTAGCTGCCTGGAAATCAATAACCTGTAATGAGCGGGTATAAAGGATTGGAATGGGTTAAATGTTTTGTTGAGTTACAAAAAGAAAAGGTCTAGAAACGAAGAAAAAACAAAAAAAAAAAAAATAGACAGAAATGATGTGCATTTCTCATGTTATAATTACTTATGGGATCACTTTAAGCAAAAGTTGTACAATGATAGACGGCAAATAGGACTGAGAAGAAGCCAGAATGTTGCAAAATTACCTTCCATAATTTTGGGCTGCTGCTTGTTGTAATTCTTCAAGTTCTGTGCAATGTTACACAAAATGGGTTTTCAGCGATTTGTTAGTCAACAAATGCTTATGATCGACTTGATATCAACTTGCAATACGCAAGTAACAGTTGCACAATCGTTACTTACTGTCGTTTTGCCTATTTTATGAACTGACAATATGTTGCTGCTTCTCAAACGTCCAAATGAGCTGTAACACTTTCTCTGATATAGCAAGTTAATTTTAGTAACTCTTTTGTGTTTGCCATTTTTTTGCGAAAAAACAGTAGAGAGTAACAAATTTCAGTTGCCACGTTTTTTACTTTGACATTTGTCTAATCAAATCAATTGAACATGTAAAAAAAACGATTATAAGTGTATATATGTAGTTTATCATAATTAAATAGAGGGTATCTTAATGTTTGTAATTGAGCCATATGCTAACACTGTCAGGTCCCACAAGGTCGCGGATGGTTGCTGTCAGCAACTCCAACTCTACAGCCAATTGCTCAGAGTTCATCAAATAAGCGCTATAATAAGTGTATTCTCGATCGCCTAAATGCTGATAAGAAAACACCTTCAATCTGCGTGCTTTGTTGGTTAGTTCACGTCTAGTCTTCGTAGGCCGCATGACATACGGTGGTAAAGGCGCTTTGCTCGTTAGTGCATTTGAACCCAAATGCAGTGCAGTTAAATAAGATGCAATCTTATTCAATTAAAAAAAAAGCTTGTTTAGCAGATCATTAAATTAGACGACAACCTCCAACCCCCTTCCATCTCCTCCCTTTCCTTATTTTACGCCGACTGCCTTACCATTCTTTTCCTCTCTTTCCATGTACTTTTCACAATCATCATTCTCCATTTATGAGATATTTTTTCTAAAGAATATTCCATCTCCAGTAACAGGCTCAGTATATTGTCCAGTATCTGCAATATGTGCAAATATTTATCTTCGGGAAAAATACCACGCAAAGCTGGCTCGAATCGGCTTTGTTCTAATAGAACCCGCTCACCTTTGATTTGCTTACGTATAGATACGGCTACTGATCGAAACATTTTTTTGTTTGCTTCTACAGCAGCCTGACTTGCTTCGTCAGATTTCAATAAGAGGGCTAGAAAAGAGGAGTAGAGTGCACCTAACTCACTGAGTGTTCGTGATATACGATGACGCAATACAACTCGACCGGTTCGAGGAAAGGGAAATACGCTGATAATCAGAGCAGCTATAACACCAACTACACAACTTGCAGCTCGCTATAGAACAAGACATATCATCATTGCGTTAACCGCATAAAGTTGGATAGTTGTAACTAAGCAAACCACAAGATCACCTTACCTCCCAGGCAACAGTGAAAACGGAAACTGGACGCCCTTCTGGTCTATAACTATAAGCATAGCCAATAACTGGGAAATCGCAATCATAAAAGAAAAAAAAAGAAAAAAAAAAACTGCAGTCAATATACTTTGTGTGCATTGAACAATCACATTCCCAAGCAAACCCTACTTAATGAAATTGTAATAAGCGAAAATAGACCCGTGGCCTTCCAAAATTTGCCATTGATGTAGATCAACCACCACGGTAAGTTAAAGATGAAAGTTAGTATGATCAAACCAGGCACACTACCTCTACTGGCTTCCCAAATGATGATCGCTTGGACTGCACCAACTAATGTACCTACAAGCCGAGTCATTGTACTGTATGATCGGAAAAAGAAAAAATTAAAGCAAGCAAATGAAATTAGCGAGACCGGAATGGTCTCATTTTCGCTGCTATCCTAACTTACCCGAAAAAACTACTACCCACAGATGTGCCCATCCAAATCAACGCAACCACAGCAGCCCATTGGCCACGTGATTCTGTATACCATATGACAGAGTCTTCAAAGAAAGCAGGTAGAGACAAAAAAACCACCAGAATACAAGCGCGGATAGCAAAGCCAACATCCGCTGTATACACATTCTTGATCAAGAAAAAGTAAATACGATAAAAGAAGCGTTGCATCGTTGTTTGAGGATAAGCCACATCAGGATCATGGTAGTCGAGTGGATCCAACGTATTCAATCTCCAAGTGCTTGCATGAAGCTCTTTCTGTACGGTATGAAAGTAAGGTTGATCTTTGTGTTCTCCAACAATGGGCGAACCACGATGTGGAGTTTCTAATCTATACAAAACACGTTGAGACTCAATATCCTTAAGCTGTTGAGGTTGTTGACTGGCAGCTGCAATCAAAGTCGCCCGTTGCGTTACAGTTCTGTTCAATGATAACGGATTTGTAACATCAACAACAGCCCCAGGTGTATCTAAATCATATATTTCTTCAATATCATGACCCCTCAAAAACCATTTACGGAAAGGAATGCGTGGCATCCAAAATCTTTGCTTGTCTCGAAGTTTATCCATTTCATATATGAGAGAGGATAATGTGTAAATATGCTCGGCATATGCATGCAAGTTAAATTGAAATGTGAGTAATAGCAAAAGAACTCTACGAGGTGCTCCTGATTTCGTATAAAGTCGGTTTAGCCCCGTTAAGCGATGTTCGTGAAATTTGGCGATCGCTTTCAGTAAGGGTATCGACGGATCCAATTTGGGATCGTACTGGTAAGCTGATTTCTCTTCTTCGTAGTGTGCTGGGCCGACCTTCCAACGGTAGAACCATTTATAGAAAAAAGGGCGATTTTGAAAACGTGTTTCCAACTGCTGCATACGTCTTAATCTTTTGACTGACTCTCTCAGTGCAACAGAACAAGCATCTGTCAGTTCGACATAAATTGGCTTCACTTCATTCAGAATATCATCATAATCGTCGCGCCAGTACGTCAACACTTTCATTGAATCTTCCCAACGCAATTTCCGGTGTCGTGGCTTTGCTGTGGACTTATCAATAGATGTGCTGGATCCTCTTTCATTGCTCGGTGTATTTATAGACTTCTCAGGTGACTCGTTAAATAGATATTTGGGTATATTGCCTCCACTTTCTTTTTCAAAGCTCTCGAAAGGGGATGTGAGCTCTTCTTCGATCTCTTCTTCGTCATCTGTACAGCCGTAATAGCTACGTGGTCTCTCCAAGTTGGATAAATTGTTGATAATGCTTTCATACATGTTGGATGCATCGTTCATTTTGCTCTTATCCGCTACTGCTTCGCGCGAGGTCATTTCAGCATCAGCTTCCAATCCTGCCTTACGCATATTTTCCTCCATTGCTCGACTTAATCCAATGCCAAAAATCGGAACCTTCAACTTCTTCATGATTGAAGTGATCTCTTTAATGTCAGTAGGCGCGATCGTATTGAAAGAAGGCTCACGTCGTACCATTCTTTTTCTTTGAACTAGAGTCGTGATCAGGCTTTCAACTGTTTGATGAATTGTGGCTAAAGTCTCAATATTCTGATCTAACAAGAATTGCCTGTCATTGTCACGCAAAAAAGCAGCTACTTGACGTTGTGTGATCTGGTCGAATGTTTCAATTACTTTAATCAAATGTTGCACAAACACAAGTGTACTATTTTCAGGAAAGATCAAAAAGAATACTGCAAAAATTAATGCAAATCCGACAATCGTTGGTAACAGTACTTGCAACTAATAAACGAGACTGAGTAAGTTTAATTCGTAGATCAGAGAAGCGGACCAACACTTTTTTCCTGAAGAAAATATGTGATTTTGCACTCTGTTTTCAATTAACTGAACTTACTGTAGGAATGGCATTGAAACTTTTTTGAACTACAGCTGAGGTGAGGGAGAGCACCATGATAGTGGCAGACAGCATACCACCTACATTCGCTTGCTCTACTTTGACGCGAAATAAAGTCAAGAAGAAACATCCGAAAATTAAAAAGCAGACCAAAATAGCACATACTGGAGATTGGGCCATAGCCGGATTGTGTGTGTCTCTAACAAGAGAAGCTAAGAAAATACCAAATATAGACCATGCAGCGGAGACGCAACACATAATAGTACCAACCAAGACATCTTCAAATAAGAATCCATACGATTTGACAGGATGAACAAATTCAACGGCAACGCAAGCTAAAATACCGCTTTGTTGTGTCAAAGTGCGAATGGGATCAATAAGCACTAACCCAAGAGCAATTGTCACAGCTGCATTGGCTTTCAATATTTTCACACAGATGGGCCAAGTGATAGATTGCCAGATGCCTGTCAAACGTCGACGAATAGTTTGTAGAGGCAGTAAATGCCCAGACGTGGCCGAAAATCGAAATCGAGAGGCATTGTCTACTTTTACTTTTTGCCTGTCATTTTTAGCTGTGTTTTCCGTTATCCCACCCTTGTCTCTCGTCTTTTTCATATATTTGTTGTAAGTGTAGACCAAAAGAAAGAAAAGACGTTATAGCAGGAATTGAGAAAAGAATGAGAAAAGAGGAAAATAAACAACGGAAATCTGCTACCATTCATAAAACTTCGATCCCAGCAGCATACAATAGAACCAGTTTATTGGGTGTGCCTAATCATAAAACGATCACGATCGATCCAGCTGCCTTTACGTTGTTCCGTTATTTTAAAACATCGATCCCGATACTTATTTGCATGTCTTTTTCAACCTTCGCAGTTAGCAGCAGTAACCAAAAAGCACAATTTATGAAGATTTTACAATGAAAGGACATTTTGCTTATTGTTTTTGATGGAAAAAAATTGGAAAGCAGATGTCCCGTTTGTTTCATAACACATATAGGTCTTTGAGCAAAATTGATTTAGGGGTGCCTTTTAACGCCAGCCACTTCTCACTCTGGTCGAGCCAATTGCTACGTCACTACAGTATTTTCGGTTTTTTTAGACGTTTTTCTATCAAAATTGGGTTTTTTTTGATAACGTAATTCAGACAATCCAAGTAATTATTTTCCGATAACTTATTTCCAAAATTCGGATACTTTGTAAGATAATCTCAATTTAATAGCAATTTTGTGCGAAAGTCAAGCGAAAAAACAGTACAGTACAAGCTATAATCGCTAAATCAAAAGTATTTACCTTCTTTTCGACATTTCATAAATTTATCCGTGTAAAATGAATATTCATAGATCGCTATATATATCCATATTTTGCCAGCATCTAAAACCTTAAGTGTCTCCTCTTCGAAAAGTTGAAAGCTTGGTACCAGTAGCCTTTTCACTCGGAGTTTTTCTTTTTTTCTTATGGTTTCAACTTCCGAACTGCATGCTGTTCATGTTCGTTTCTTTGCATATCCGAACATGAATTAACGCCATGGTGAAGGCGAGCGGTGACCATTACTGATATTGTCCAAATGATATTGCGATTATTCTTAAATAGTTCAAGACTCGCTTGCAGCAACATGCATGGCTGCATTTTGCTTAAATTAAGATACATGGTAGCTTATGTGAAGCGTTACAGCAAAGGGCTTGCTGAATTTACTTAAGCACTATCCAATTTGTGTTCTATTGTGCTAAGACACCTCACATGGAATAATCCTTCGTCAGTGAATGGATTTCGTTCATTTCCAAAGTTACTTGGCAATAATAGCGATGGCTTGAAGAATGCAAGTTATCATTTGTAAAGAGTCTGTATTAACGAAAGAGTCAGTGCTTACAAGAAGACTATCATCCAATAACAAGGAACGATGCCATATTCGAGTACAACCATAGACGCAATCCTACATCAGTAGTTGGAGTCTGGCTATGAACCACGATATAGCCCTTTTCTCTACAAAAGTGCCTACACTATATGAGCAGAGTAAATCCAAAGAGTTGACTTTAGTCATTCTACCTAATATCGTAGAACCTCCTGAAATATTCTTTAAAATTCAGTGAACACTTCAAAGAGAAAACATAAATTGCATAAGGGTCAATTTAGGAGTTTGATATAAGTATTACTGAACCTAGTTAATTCCTCTAAAAATCACAGCCGAAAGAATCTTGGGCAACAATTGAAATTGCTTAGGTTGAAATCAAATTGTTTATGGCGTTAAACCTGTACGAATAAAACGATACTGATGTTAACGTTGCTATAAAGCATCACATATTATTGACCATTGAATAATACTTTATCTGAAAAGTTTGCAAAGATTGGGCTATACCTTGAGGAGAATGAATGAAAAAGGCCGCCACATTAGCGCTTAAATATAACATGTACTAAAAAAAGGAGAGTTGATTTCTGATCTTCCTGTCCAAAAAAGATAAATGTCGACAATCATATTTAGCCTGTTCACTATCAGACGATACTCGCAATAATAATTTACACTAACAACATCAGCGAATAGTCTTGTCAACATCTTATGAAGAAAATTGCTATTAATATACTAACAGACTGATAATTGCTACAAAGTATAAATTAAGTGAAGTGGGTCAATCTTAAAAATGTCAACGTGTTGCAGAAGCTCGAAAAGATGGAGCAATAACAGATCAACAAAAATCATTCTAAAATGCTACGGATGTTGTAATGAATACTATTGATGAATGGCTGGCTATAATGATCATAATATCGCGTATCATAGAAGTGCCAACTGACATAGTTCAATATGCATTCAGTCAGTACCCCACATTTTCACCCAGTGGCTTTTAAGCTTATGTAAGTTGTGTGACTGATTTCCTTTCTGAATTTTAAGTAGAGGTTAATGCAAAGCGAGAAAAGCTAATAAGCAAATTAGCTTTCCTTATTCCGATAAAGAAGTCTACGAAATGGCCAAGGACCGTTCTGCCATCAGCAAAAACATGGGTAGCAAGAAGAGAGTATCAGGTACTCACGTCTCTGGCCTCTCTACTGCAAAAGCGTCGAGTAAAAGGAAAGAGGCTCCTATGAAATATGGTCAGCTTTCTAGACGTCAAAAGCAAGATTTTGAAGATTACGGTGAATTAGTACCCAGAGATTTTATAGACGATGACGAGGAAAATTACAAGTAAAAATCTTACAACTAGTTAAGGGATATACTTGCTGCTTTATAATTGCTCAAACCGTTAATATTGTGATTGAATGCTTTTGTAGACGCAGAAGAGTAGTATCAGAAGCAGATTTGGATCGAGAAATAGATGAAGCTCGACGAGAGGCAGCTGCACAATTTGCTTCAGATGAAGAAGGCGAACAGGGAAGTGATGAGGACGAGGACGAGGGCGAAGATTGGAAGAAACCTTCAGCATACTCTTTGCTAATGGGATCATTGAAAAAGAACTCAAAACACAGAGATTTCTACGAGAAAATTTATCGAGAACAAGAAGGTATCGAGGATGAAGTATTTGCCACCAATGAAGAAGATGAGGATAGAGACTTAACAGAAGAAGTACCATCCGATGAAGAAGAAGGTGAAATGGAAGAAGATGAAAAGGTAGAGTCAGTTGTTGATGATGACGAGGTTGCAGAGTTATCGAGAAATCCTGAGGATGCTGAGGATGCTGATGCAGCTGATCCCTTCGAGGAAGATGATGAAGAGGAGATTGTATATGTAGGAAGTGATGCAGAAGAGGACGAAGACGAGAACAATATTGGTAAGGCCAATTTATATGCTAGTATTTAAGACCAAATTGGTTGACAATTATGTGCGTGATTTACGGAATTCGGAATAGCTGATTTGTTTGAGACGCGCTACTGCGATGATCAACCGGTTACTTTTGACGAAAGAATTTCGAGTATCGAACAAAAGAAGTACACCACACAAGTGTTTGAAGATGAGGTTTTGACAGATGTCGTGGCTATGATTCCTTCCAGCACAGCAACAGCAGCGGCCGATAAGAAAATAAGTGATATGCCAATAATCAACAATCTAGCAGATGTCAGAGTGAAGAAGCGTCCTGTTGAAAACTGGCCTAAGGCTAACAAGGATGTTGTTAAGAAAGGAAAAGGCACATTTTCTCCTTTGCAAAACTGTCTGTTTAATCAGCTGAATAATTATCGTGATATCGTGTATTGTAATCGATCAATGCATAATGCTAAGGAAATCAGAAATGCATATGTTTTACACGCTGTTAACCATGTGATGAAGTAAGTTCGTATCTCAGACCATCTAATACAAAATGCGAGTTCCGTCCCGTACCAAACATTTCTTCAACATTTTTTTAGAACAAGGGATCGTATCATGAAAAATAATGCTAAACTAGCAAAAGCACAGAAGGAAGGACAAGATATTGGCGAAACGCGTGATCAAGGCTTCACTCGTCCCAAAGTTCTCATCCTGCTACCTTTTAGAAACACCGTTTTGGACGTCGTTGATACCATCATAAAACTCTCTGGCACTGTGAAGCAAGATAATATAAACAGGTTCCTTGAACAGTTTAATTTGCGTGAAGACGAAGCAATTGATCCAACCAAACCAGCTGATTTCTTGCAGAATTTCCAAGGCAATATCGACGATCATTTCCGTTTGGGTATCAAATTCTCGAAAAAGTCGTTAAAGTTGTATGCAGATTTTTATAATTCAGATATTCTTATCTGCTCACCTTTGGGTTTGCGTACCCTAATTGGAGCAGAAGGGTAGGTAGTAATTTTTTTGAAAAGTCAAAAACTGAGCATTTATATTGACGTCTGTTCGTTGATATGCAATCTTTTAGTGATAAGAAGAGAGACTTTGACTTTTTATCATCTATCGAAGTTCTGATATTAGATCAAACAAACCATTTTTTGATGCAGAATTGGGAGCATATTGAACATATATTCCAGCATCTCAATCTAATTCCCAAGGATAGCCATGGTTGTGATATTTCTAGAATTAAAAGCTGGTATCTGGATGGAAAGTAAGTTTTGATTAATGCCACTGTTCGGCTTATAAACTCTTAATATACTTACTGATGCACTCACTTGCTTCGATTTATAGGGCTAAATACTTAAGGCAAACACTTTTATTTTCTGATTTTTTGACACCAGAAATTAATGCCTCATATAACAAACACTTCAAGAACATTGCTGGGAAGCTAAAGATTAAACAAAAAGTAGAGGACGGTTCAATAGTGGACGTTATCCCGCAAGTGCAGCAGGTAATGTATTGGCTTAGAAAGAAAGTAAGAATTTCAGTTTGTTAAACATGCATCCGATTTCTAGAGCTTCACACGTATTGATGTTTCAACTTTGGCTGCTGTCAATGATGCACGTTATAAGCACTTCATTGAAAAGGTACATGTCAAACAAAATCATACTTGACGATAAGACCATTTTATTTATAGCTGTTTCTATTAATTAGACATTACCCACCCTTCGTAAATCAGCTATTATGCAATCACATACCCTTATTTTCATTCCTTCCTACTTCGATTTTGTGAGAGTAAGGAATTACTTTGAGGACAACAAATATTCCTATGAACCATGCTCAGAGTAAGTATTGAGTGTGATCGCTAGTGATATTAGTTTTTAACTTTGTTACATTAGGTATGCGTCTGGAAGTCAAATTACAAGATCTCGTTCCAAGTTCTTCCATGGTCGGTCTGACTTTTTGTTATACACGGAAAGATTGCATTTCTTCAGAAGGTAAAGGTTAAATATTAGCAGTATTTGGATTACCTATTGACATTGACTTTGTTTCATACAAATACACCTAGATACAATATCCGTGGCACTTTCCATGTGGTATTTTATGGCCTCCCTGAAGACCCTCAGTATTATACAGAAATCGTTAACTTCCTAGGGCTCAAATTCAATGAAGCTAGTGCAGCCGAAGAGGCTACTTTCTCTTGTACAGCGTTGTTTACTAAGTATGACTTTCTTAAGTTAGAGCGTATCGTGGGCTCAGAAAGAGCGAAAAAAATGTGTGCTGTTCAAAAGAATGTGTTTATGTTTTCTTAAGCAATTTCGAAATAAATGGAAACTGACCTGAAAGCAGCAATAATTTTACTTGAAGCTACTATTTTTTTTAAGAGTTACTACTACTATATATGATTTTTGACTTGTTATTATTGTTTGTGAGATATTCTTAAGTATTTTTATAGACCCAAGATAGAACGAGACCGAAAAAGTCAGATAGTTAGGAGTAGTAGTCCGTGAAATAACTATGGTTGGTTTTCCAGTATAGATTTTGTTGTACTGTTTCTTAACTTAGACGTAAGAGTGTTATATGAACGAAAGCTCCTTTGTTAAAAGTATATTTCTCATCTATCCATTTAAACTATTCAACTTCCGCACATTCAATCTACCGAGCAACGAGCCGGACCTCACGTGCTCTAATTATATTGGTTGGGCTGACAATCTATCATACTCCGTATACCCGTAAGGCTGACTGTATACCGCCGTACAATTTGAAAAACTCGCCTTTTGACCTTAAAATAATTATTTATGGGGCTCTTACAGCCACAATATACTCTTTCTCAATTCAGTTGGCACACTCTAAAAGCATGTTTGAAGATTGCTCAAAGGCAATTCTATCTTATAAAATTGTCACAGATAACTGTAGAAAATATCTACTGAGGACCCAAGAGACACCTTTTGAGAGAACAGTAACCGCAAGCATCGGTTGCCTAAAAGCAAGAGCTGAGTCTAAATAATTATGTAACCTAAAATATGCTTGAAAGCTTGAATACATAGGAATGCAAACATTACAAACTCTTCAATTTCACATCAATCGCACTTCTACTCTGAATGCCAACTAATTTAAAAGTATCTTCCCACGCATCGGTAGCAACAAACACTCTAACAGCAACAGGCATTCCCAGTATATTTGTCATAGATGAGCAGAAAATTAAGCCTAGTGAAAATATAGAAAAACAGGAACTTTATGTATTTCAATGGCTGGCTTTGGTCGAACGCGAGATTAAAACTACCGAAATTGTAATTACAGCAAAACCTCGTTCAGTATTAGTATACAAAGCAAAGCTTTACAATTTGTCATCTTATCTATGAATAGGATGTCTTGAAGAAATCGCAACCTGTCATTGAAAAAACGTTGCTTCAACTGATATCTCTTACAACCGCAAAACCAAGACGGCCCATTCGATTTTTAATAGGTCGTTGCTTTGTCATATTGTATACCCGTGGTGATACTCGAACTTTATTTGATACAGTAACAGCATTACATAGTTTGATCAATGCGAAGAAGGATGTGGAAAAGGAAACAAAGATGTAAGCGGTGGATTCTTGGTTTAATGTTTGATCTATAGTTTGTATAAATTTGTAACATTTGGTTCAGAGCTGCAATAGCGGCAATAGGTGCTATAATGGGGGCATGCGGCGGAAAGGTATAACAACTTTGACATGTTCTTTTAGCGTTCTAGAAAATTAAAAGTTGTTCGTTGAATCAATTCAGGTCCTCTCTTTATTCGCTGAAACAGCTACGCTACTTTTGAAAATCGTGAAAAATAGCAACGTAGGCCGCATCTCAGTGTTGCAAAAAGGTGGACTAGCTGTCTAAACTAACTCTGTCTCTTTTTAGTCTCCATTGTTAATGAAATTAGAATGCTTTACGACATTTGCACTTCTACTGGAAGGGGCAGGAAAAGCTGCGACGGAACAAACTTTAAAAGATTTGATGAAACAGTTGAGAGCCGGCCTCGTAGATAAAGCTTTGGTTTTAAGGATTGCAGCAGCACAGGTAAGTCCATTATTACGTCTGATGAATTTTTACCGAAACAGTGATTTGATACTTACATATGACCACTTAACTAGTGTTTACAAGCCGTACTTAAAAATGCAATGCAATCCTTCACCCAACATGATGTGGAGTTATTATTGCAACATTGTCTAAAAGCATTCGAAAATTCAACGTTTCCAGTACGCAGAGCTGTCTCTTCGCTTTGTGCAACATTATTAGTGTTTACACAATCACAAGCAACTATCGACCAAAATAAGCCAAATATTAGATATGCATCCACAGGCGTCGATTCAAAGAAGACGCAAGCGATTGGTGAGGAAAATATAGCCAAAACTGTAACATTATTAACAATTGAGGAAATGCTTGCGCAATTATCACTTGCGTACAATCGCCCTAGCTCGTCGCGAGAGCTTAAAACAGGAATTATCGAAACATATGCCACTTTATTTGTATTGTTGGGATCGGAATTCGCAGAAGCAAACTATACGATCATTACAAATCACCTAATAAGTGAAATATTAGACAAACATGAAAAATTAGCAGCGTCAGATGCAGCGCATGTTAGATCCCAGGTTAATTTTTTGTTATATAACACTATTGGAAAACGTCTATTGAGTGAACAGGGACAAGCGAATGCAGTCCGGCTATTGACAGTGAATTGGATCAAAAAGTGGCCACCGTTAATGACAAATCAAGCCGCTCCAAGCGATGATATCTTGATTTGCGTCATAGATTTGATTTCTCGGCTTGTATGCGAATTGGAAGGTGCAGCTAGTTCAGTGCAGGTAAAAGTGATGTTAAATTACTCTGAAACGTAGAAAAAAACTATTGTTGTGCCAAAAGATTAACATTTGGATGAATAGGATATATTGATTGAACCTTTGTTTGTACTGCTGAGTCACCAAAACTTTGCAGTTCAAATGGCAGCAGTTTGGTGCATAAGATGTGTTTGTAATTCGGTACCTAGCAACTTGTCGCACCTACTACCGAAATCATTAAGCCTACTAGAAAAGAATTTAAACAACTTATCCAATCAATCTGCCACTATCAACCTTTTCCGCCGGACAATAGCTTATGCTTATACCGTTGCAAGCATTATGAGTACATTTCCCTCACATCCTAGTTATACATCTTTTGAGCTCAGCGGGAGGGCCATGTCCTTAGCTAACCAACTTTTGAAACAACCAAACAAGGACCATAAAATAGCTTGCGTTCAGGTTCAAGCAGCATGGATCTTGATCGGTTCCATCATGTGTTTGGGGCCCAACCTTGTGAAAATTCATTTACCCCAATTACTACTATCATGGAAGAGTGGACTACCTAAACCTACAGGCAAAGAAGCTATTACGATTCGATCAGAATCCGAATGGTCTTTTCTATTCCACACTCGTGAATGTGTAATTAGTTCCATTTATAGTTTCCTTATCAACAACAGTCAATCGTTGGTCACACTTGATATTGCTAAAAGAATAGCTGCTTTACTCAATAATACTTTAGCTTTTTTAGCTACAGCGCCCAATTCATTTCCAACGACAATGCATTCACCCTGTACGCCTTATGAATGTCGACTGATTGATCAACTCTACCGTCTAAAGTACCGTATCTTCCAATGTTTCACTACGCTCAGACCTTCACTCTCAACGTACGAAGCATCGTTAAGCAGCCTGTTGCGAAATTCGTTGTCTGTTTTCACTGAGCTTGACAAAATATCACCATCCTTAGGAGCCCACCATCAGGTGATAGGTGTAGTTCCTGGTCAATATACAAGTCTTTGGCATACCTTCGATGGTCATGGCTATGGTGTTACAAGTAGGATGCAAGGCTACCATATCAGCATAGCTTCTGAAACAGATGAAGGTAGTGAGGAGATGAATCGCGGAAAAGAGTGGATGACGAAAGACCGATTTGAGCGTATTGAAGAGCTTCTTGAGCGGCCCATGCTGGGGTCCTTAGAGTTTGATCCATTTTATACTTACAGCAGTACATTAACAGACAAAAAGTATAATGAAACTCTGGTTCAATATGAGCAACAATTACAGCAATCCTCAAGTGCAGAACAAGGGAAAAGGAGAGCAAACATTCCGCAACCGTTGTCACCTTCGACATCGTATGTTGATGCCAGCGTGGAGTTATTTGCTACCTTATTCCCAAATCAATCTGCGCCTACGCAAGAGGCTATCTTTGAACAAATACTAAAAGCTATAAAAGATCCCAAGCTGGAAAAGAATTCTCCAAAACGCGCTGCCATCCTCGTCAATGTTGTCGTAGCCTTATTGGGTGCGTTCAAAAACATCATGGCTTCAGATCGAAAAAAAAAGAATGAATCAGTTGCGTTCAGTCCAAAAGCTACCCAGTTAGTTCAGCAAATACTTATGGAAGTAGTGATACATCCTGACCCTTATTTGCGAAATGCCGCTAGTGAAACTATTGGTCGTCTAACCTCAATAGTAAGTGGATCTTTTGCAGCTGCTCAAATGCAAATCTTAGTAGATATGGTCGTATCAAACCGTGATCCTGATGTTCGAGCAGGTTGTGCATTAGCAATAGGATATATTTACAGTCATGTTGGAGGCATGGCTGCTGCATCTCATTTGAAAACAATTGTAGGTGTTCTCCTGTCATTGAGCAGTGACCCTCATCCAGTTGTTCATACTTGGGCTCTGGAAGCGATGGCTATGACAGTGAGCGCAGCAGGTCTTATGTTTTCCAATTACGTAAATAGTACTTTAGGCCTGGTAACCAAGCTGTATCTTAGTGAGACACATGAACCTGGTAGTGGCTCTCTGGCCGTTACCAATGCCGGTATGTCCGTAGGTTTTACGGCTTATCAAGAATTTGGTCGGATCATCTATGAATTGATTGGCTCTCTTGGCCCTGAGTTGCAGTCATCTTCAAAGGTTAGGGAATTATGTCTGAACATGGTGGAAGAGCTCAAACTAGAACCTGACGAGCGTGTCAATGTTGAAGCAATTCGTTGTATTCAACACTTCTTAATGTTTGCTCCGAAGCATCTTGAAATCCAGGAACTGGTGCCCTACTTGCAAAATCAAATTAGAAGTCTTCACCTACCATTAAAAAAGGCGGCAGTTACTTGCCTATATCAACTTGTTCAGCGCGATTCAGAATCCGTATTCAATGCAGCAGAAGCAGGCTTGGATAGTGAGTTATTTAAAATGCTGGACACGGATCCGCAACTTACAGATGTAAAAAATGTTATTCGTATATGGCTGAAAGAAACGGCTGTAGCCGAACCCTCTATTTGGGTTAATATAACGAAACGAATTGTGGCAGGTTCACAAACTACTACGAACAGTGCCCAATCTCCTGCCCCAAAACAAGTATCAGATTTTTCCCAGGAAGATTTTGCGGATGATGATTACGGTGAAGACTTCGGCGATGATGACGCAGATGGCTTTGTGGAAGAAGATAATATGGATTTGGCTACCACAGTTGCTGACATATCTGGTATAAGTAGTAAACTATCTGTCACTGTCGAGATACCGCCAAGATGGAGAACTCAGTTATTTGCACTTGAATGTCTGCAGCAAACCATTGACTTGGATTTTGCCAGCGGTATTCGCGAGCACTTTGATCTTATAGCAGCACGCCGTCGAAGGCAGCAAGCAGGCTTAGGTGATTTCCTAGTTTTCCGTGTGCCTGATCTCATCCGATTGTCATTTACAGCTGCCACAGCCCATGTAAATGAACTAAGATTGGCAGGTATTCAACTTTTGAAAATGGTCGTTGAAAAGTTTTCCAATACTTTGGATGCAGATATGGAAGATTTGTTACTTTTGGAGCAGTACTCTGCTCAGATTGGTGCTGCACTTACACCTGCTTTTGATGCCAACTCTTCGTCAGAGATTGTGTCTGCAGCAGTCCGTGTGGCTGCAATTTATGTTGGCAGTGGCATTGTTAAAGATTTATATCAATTAGGAAGAGTTTTAAAGTTATTAACATCTTCACTAGAGCGATGTAAGGAGGATGCAAAATTGACAGGTGTAGGTGAAGTTAAGGATTTCAGCTCTCATGCTTCCGTTATGGTGAAACTATCCGTTCTTAATGCTTGGGCCGAACTTCAAGTGGCCGGTGCTAGTCAAGAATACTTGAAACAGGTATTGCGCCCTAACTTACCAGTACTTAGCACGATGTGGTTGCGTGCACTTCAAGATTACGCCCGTATTCGGTTAGAATCGGATATCGTGGCTTTGTCGACTACTTCAACAAATCGTATACACGCCTCGTCCAACAGTGGTATTGACTCAATGTATTCAGCGGCCACAAAAGACGTTGTCTTACCATATTATAAGCGTTCATGGCTGAAAATTATGGAAGCAGTTGCATCGCTAATTGAAGCTCGAGAGCCATCAATGATGGCAGCCATTGATAGCAACCCTGATTCAAAACAGCCAGAAGATGGCCCATCAAACCTTTTCTTTACGCTATTTGGTTTATGTGTTGAAGGTCTTTCACGTATTTCTCTAGGTTCGACTAATAGCAGCGGTAGCCGGACGGAAAATCCTTCCGTACCTATATGCCTTAAAGCGCTCCGTACATTAGTTCATTCCTCAGCTTCCAAAAAAAACTTTGTGACAAAATCTATCCTTTTGGAATTGATCAACGTATTCGACAGATTAATACAGACCGAGGGCTATCGTACGCAACTCATAATTATTGAAATTATCCAGAGAATAATAAGTAACTACGGGCAATCTTATCTTTGTGATGATATACAGAATGATGCTGAAGGTCTAGTAATTATTGACAGCAACATTGATGAGCCAGACGCTTTCCCCGCTAGTAGCAAGCTATACTATATCTTGAAATTATTGATGACAGTATTATTGCAAAATGTTCCTGAATTACCGGGAAAGGTGATACGCCAATCGGTACATGATAGAGCCCAAGGCGAGAACCTGCCGTTGCTTCTTGGTTCCACATTGGATACACTAGCGTCCCTTATGGCCATTACACCTGAAGTATACAAAGTCAATTTGGCCGCTGTTTGCTCCAACGTATTCTGCAAAATTTTGCGTTCATCAAAATTTGAATTGACCCTTGGACCTCGTGTTCTAGTTTCTTTAAAGGCAGCTTTTCATGATTTTGAGTCAAGGTTATCACCGGCAAGGGTTGAACTACTAGCTAATGTTATTCATGATGTGAATCAAACCTTACTCTACGACTTCTTCACGTAAGCGTTTGCTAATTAAGTTCCTGCGCCAGTTGCAATTATTAACCCCATGTAATCAATCAGGAATAGTGAGGAAATTTCAATAACTGTTAATTCAAAGAAGAGCCGAATACTTGCAGCTGTGTTGATAATGTCTAACTGCCCCAAAGCAGCTCTTAAGGATGGAAAAGGTCGAGCTCTCTTTAACATGACGTTGCATAAAGCTCTGCATTCTGAAAACTCGGAGGTAAGTTAGACTAATAAATGATAAAGATAACAGGCCTGCTAAAACAATAACTGTAATAGCTTTGCTTCACGGCTCATCAATGCCTACGTACTTTCATCACCATGTCCGAAAACAAAAGTAATCAAGCTGCAGCGCAACTAGGTCAATCCATAACAAGCTCTCTTTTACCCCAGATCATAGCATTTGCTTTAGAATCAAAACAGCAAGCTTTCGACTTAAATGATACGAGATTAACGATTGTAAATGAGATCATCAAGACTCTGACTACGTTACTAAGCAGCGTGCCAGATGAACAAAGTAAGTCCTTTTTACTGTATAGTATAGATATTTGCAATTATACATGTTTACTAACATGTAACTTTAAGAATGTGAAGTGTTAAGTTTTATTTTGCCGACATTAACATATTTTCTGGATGATTTACCATATAATGGTGGTCAAACGAAGCTTCATGAATTCAGTATTGCAAATATAGTGGCATTAGCCACAGACATTCCAGATGTATTCCGCATCGTGGTTAGTAAGCTACCTAATGATTTCAAAGCCAAGCTTGAAGCTGCTATGCGATATAACCTATTGAAGTCCCAAGAACATGAGAAACGACAGTTAGAAGAACAGCAACAAAAAACATCCCTTAAAGCGGCCAAACAGCCTACAATCGCTCTAAAAATGGACTTTAGCAATTTTGGCGAAAATGGAGCGCCTTAAGATTTTCATTTGTAATGATAGGACCTATACCGCATGTACAATAACTACATGGAAAGCTTGTATATGATAAAAGCCTCTCAATAACAATTGAAATTACCTGTTGTCAATAAATTATTTTTCCAAATCAATCCTCACAATTTACCTTTCAAACAGCATTAACCATGTATTAAACTCAGGGATTGCTTTATTATTGTTTCAAAAGGGAAGGATTTCGAAATGATACAGAATCTAAGATTTACTAACGGACTCGATGAGGAACCGATAGAAATAGGAACAAAGAACACATAGCAATTTCAGTAATCCTCATATGCTTTATTGATCAAGCACCATATATGCATTTAAAGCATTTGTTTACTTAATAAAGGAACAATCAAAGCCGCTAACAACTAAGAATGGTCTGGTCAAAAAAGTATCAAATTTACCATAATATGAAAGACTTAGGATACTCTTGACCGTAGAGGTAAGAAAGCAGGCTTTGGAGACTATATACCCTCTCCTCTGTGCTCCAAACTGTCATTCTTTGCTTCCATCTTTTCAGCAGTGGCAATGAGACGATCCGACTAGAACTGATTACAGTGACACCTTTGAACCGATTGAGCAAATAATGTTTAGTAGTCAATATGTCAAAATTGGAAGAGTGGCGTTTCTTAATTGAGAGAGTTGGTGTTTTGAGTGTACATTATAGTTTTTTCGATTAAAATCGGAAATACTACTAAGCAACTTTGGAAAATCGAGAATATTTATGAGAAAAATATATACATATTTTAGATAAGTTTTATTATAAATTCAGACGTACTTACCAGAAATTGCCAAATTGTTATCGAATTGTGAGTTGAGTAAATAAGGTCGAAACAGTAAGCATTCGGCCTTTGGTTATACTTTATGAATATATTACAACTTACACTGGAGGGATGTGTGAAGGAGTAATATCAATCACACATGTAGGTCTCGTTTGAAAGATGTTTTTGGCAGCATTGACGTCGCGATTCCAAATTGTATCGCTTTGACGTCGCTGTCGTTACATTCTCCAAATGTCGAATGCTTGTGTGATGTCCTCTATAATTACCTAGGTCAAATATATGTAACTATTCACCTAAACAACATTACATGTATTTTCCTATCTGCCCATAATTATTTACAGAGTCTCAGACATGCCTTTCTCAAAAACAAATTACTTATTCCAAAAGATATAAAAGAGACCCAAACATTAACTCGAAATAAAGACAATTCAATATCTTTTTATAGTCTCGCTACTTAACTTAGTCCACTATAATCCAAATTGATAAGATTTACAGCTTGCAATTATTACAGCTAGTCATATATTCATTGATGGTGCAGATTTCCACCTTTTCATCTTCACCATCAATAGGTACTTTTGCCTTCTTGTTCGGACACAGATTGCTTGTAGGCCATGCATGTGTGGCTTGCTTACAGGATGGACACGTAATCATTTTCGTTGTTTTATTATCAGCTCTGACTTCTTGGAGAGCTTCTTTTTTTACGCCTTTTTTGACAACACTGGCTTAGACGAGGAAGCACTCGAAGAATCATTGTATGCCATTGGTATTAGTGTGCGGGTAACTGGAGCAACGTAGATGACTTGATAGAGTCGTAAATAAGATAGCCTTACCTATCCAGCTTGGGCCTTTATAAGGGCCGTTCTGAACTGGGAGGCGTTGTTTGCCTTTCCACTTTTGTTTAAGAGAAAGAAAGCAAAAAGGAAAAGAAGACTGTGTGTTCTATTGTATATCGCGTTCCTTTTTCTTTTTTCTTTTTTTTCTTTTTTTTTGTTGTCAGAGAATTGCTTCATTAACAACATCACGATCAACTGACTCAATAAGTGACGGCTCTTATCAACATGCACCAAAGTTTTGAAAAGTCATTGCTATATACAGACAGTGACGTATCTCTGCTCCTCAACTAGTTTTTTGATGTTATAGTATGCTTAATATATTACACAGGATAGTTAAGCGCGCTGGTTATTGCTCTTGTTTCCTCATCACCCCTCCGTTTTTATAGTGCCCTGAGTTCAAATTCTAAAAAATTCATCTCAAACTGAAACTACTAAAATCTAAAAAGTATTTATAATATTTTCAAAATTTGTTATTCTGTTCGTCTGAAGCAAACAGTATGAAAATCCTAATCATAAGTTAAAAAAACTGTATTCGAACGGCTTTTGAAATTTGAGAAGATGCCAGGACATAATCTATAAATTCACCCACGGCTGTTGAAATTTGTTAAGATGCCAGGACATCTATAAATTCACCCAAGTTTTTACATTTCCCCACACACTATCAACTTTTCTTTTTACTCTCACCAATTCTTAAATATGCCTCGCCAGGTAAACATATCAATTCGGTTATTTGCTAAAAAAAAATGTTCAGATTATTAATGTCAGAAAGACTCATAATTATAGACTAGACGCTCTGCCCCTGCTCAGCAAACACGACAAGCACACACTATGCCCGCTCGTCAAGCTCCCCCTCCTGCTCCTGTCCAACGTCAACAACCACCAGCAGCCAATCCTCCCCCACAACAACACTCTTTAACTCCAACACCTGCAACAGCACAGCCACCTGCAGTTGCGCATACTGCTCCTCAGCAACCCGGCTTATTTGCACAAAGTAAGCTAGAAGCCTTACAAAGCAGAAAATAATAAAAAAACCAGGGGTAATTTTTTGATCTGATCAGGAAATTTTTTCTTTGTCTAAATAGTGGCTACCACCGCAGCTGGTGTTGCCGTAGGCTCTGCAGTTGGTCACACTTTGGTAAAACAAATTATTCTCTTTTCTTAGATTTGCCAATACTATTTTATACGCATGACTTACATTTTTGATGTAGGCCAATGGAGTTTCTTCTCTTTTCAGTGGGTCATCCGCCTCTGAACAAGAGCAACAACCACAGCAGCCGCAACAGCAGCAACAATATCAGCAACCTCAATATCAGACTCAAATGCCCGCTACGAACGCATGTGAAGCCGATGCTAAGGCATTTACTCAGTGTCTGGAAGCTAGTAATAACGACATTAGCGCCTGTCAATATTATTTTGAAGCTCTGAAATCATGCCAGCAAATGGCTTCCCATTATTAGACATTTATTAACTGCATTATAGAGCAGCATAGTCATTTTTGGGCGTATGGACAAAATGATTCTGTTGGAAAATAAATCTTTTCATTATCATTGACTAAAAACTGCATTTGAACCTTGACAATTGGATACAAAATTTACAAATCCTTTTTGTATTTTATTGAGCATTATGTTGAATGACCCATAGAAAGTTCGCGGAAAAAATGGGCAAAATATAGATCTACATAAGGAATAGGTGAACAGATTACTATATCATTAAAGTGGCATAAACAGGGGAAACATTTGTACAGCTATTCAAGATTGAAGCGTTTGAGAAATTGATTATTGTTGTCATCGTTCATTGTTAATTATTTTAAAGCCTTGCTTTAAGCTTTGCTATATTGCAAGTTGGCCAAAATGTCTTCGCAACGATTGATATTACGCAAAAACCAATCACCGTAACGACGGCCCACTTTACTTTCCGCAATGTGGACAACATCCTGCTTCAAGCAAAAATCGACGTCAGATGTAGGCAAATATTCGCCTTCCAGAAGGTTGCCATTCACCCATTTATATTGACGAGACTTCTGCTTGAAGACCAATAACTGAGTCTTCAATTCTTCAGAGTCAACTTCTAAGAATTTAGCCAACTTTTCAATGCCCATGGAAGTGTAAAGCTTCATGAAAGAGCGCAAAGTAGGGAGATTGATTTGATTTTGAATATCGGACATGAAAACTTTGAGCTGATGTTGATGAGGATCAGCAGCCTTACCAGTGGGAGAAAGGAACTTAGGGCAAGCAAATTGGAACAGATCAATGTAAACAGGAAGAGAATCTTCACTTTTCTGCATCTTGAACAATTGTTCACCGTACTTTTCACGAAGTTGAGAATGAATGTTTTCGTCCAAACGGGTGGGGCACAGAGCAATACAAATAGCTAGAAGGGCATACATTTGATCACCTTTCTTGGCAATTTGGTCGAATTGGTAAGAACGAGAATGGTATTGCTTGGTTCTTTGGATGAAAGACAAAACAGTAGAGAAGGATTTGATGGCATCAGCGTAACGACGAAGCATCATGTAAGCGAAACCAACGTAATAATAGGTGGTAACGTGGCAAGCAGTGACGCGCGCAAACATGGCCTTCTTATTTAACACAATGTTATCCATCATCTTCAAAGCCAAAACATAATCACCTAACAAACAGTGAACACGGACAAGACCAACAATCGAAAAGTAGCCCAACATCTTGTAGAACGGACGGGAGCCATATTCACCGGCAGCTTCCATCATATCACCACCATTCTTACTAGCAAGTAATTGCTCGTTGATACGAGATTTTTGAACAAAAGAGTAAAGGACATTCAAAACGCTGTAACAACTCCAAATTTGAGCATTTTCTTCGATAGTAGCAGCCTCAGCTTCAGACTTATTCTTAACACGGTCACGGTAGTTGCAGTAAGATTGGAATTGATAGATGAATTCATCAATGATGTCCCAGAGCCATTGATTGGGCAATTCTAATGAAACAGGGCCTTCAGAGTCTAGAAAAGAAGTATTCATTTAATATAAGTAACAATCCTTGATGGCTCGCAAAATAGCATAAGTATATTTACTTAAGATGTAGTTGAAGAGGTCGCAATAGTTTTCGTATGATTGAAAGCGCTGTTCTAAAGTAGGCGTTAAATAAGAGTAGATGTGACGATAGTAGAGTTCGCGATACAGAGTCAAGAAAACTTGGTCTACAGAAAACAGCACATAAGCAAAATGTTTATAGCAAGTGTATCAACAGTGCATGAGTGTTGTTTTCCTCCTACCATCGTTAACCAGAGGCGCGATGACCTCAGCTTCCGGCCAAGCTTGCTTTTGATAATATTTCTCGGTCAGTTTGTTAAAAGAACTGTCATAGATGTTGTGGAGTTCGTACACGTTGTTATCCATGACATTACGGTAAAAATGAAAGATAAAGTTTCTGACACCATCAGGAATTTGTGTTGTGGCACTGGATTGTTGAGAAGGAACAACTAAATTCCAAAATAGATTAGTACACAATTTAAAAGTTAGAAAAGTGCAAGTGAAATACCTTCAGTCTCAAAACCATCGTCAACATCATCATTTTGAGTATAACGAGCTTGAGTTACAAGTTCAACTTCAGCGATCAAGTCATCATCTTCAAAGGTATCCTGATACATTGTTAAGGATTAAGTATACTTGTAGAGAAAGGCAGCAGGTGGGTTTCACCCCCAAATAATAGAGTGAAAAAAAAAATCTCGAAAGCGGTAATATGAGTTACGCGAGTCACATACTTTTCTGGCCTTCTACTTCATTGCAATTTTGAAAGCCACCTCAGAGGAAGTGCATAATGAGCTGCGGCAAGCATTAATACTTTAAATTGAATCTTAACACTCAGCTCGATATAACTTCTGGCGATTCTATGTTATTTCGCTTTCAAAAATCATGGAAGATAATCAAGTTAACATCTATTATAAGTTATGCTGCACTTTCTATTTCAAAATAGAATGAAATACCATAGCTTCGAGTATCTTAATCAAATCATATAACTACAAAAATATAGCATCGTCAACACCATGGTCCTTCTTAACGTCAATACTATTATTCCGACTAATTGATCTATTGCTGCCGTATAATAACATATAAGCATATAATCCCATCAACTTTCTGAGTCCAATGCATTATATTCAATAAAAAAGAGGCATGTGAGAAATAACCAAACTCAAAACTCTTGCTATCCTATCTATTTCTGTGTAATGTATTCTTCGAAAGAAGAATTTAGTCCTGAAATCGTATAAGCATTTCGTTCAAATGTGATTATTATAAGAATATTTGACGCAAAGGAATTTTTTCCAAGAGCAGCAGTCTTTGAGACACAATAGAATTATATAATGTCTATTTGAATGTCTTGTCATGTACTCATTCAAGTGTAGAATAATATAGCGATCAGAGCTGATGCTACGAGTATAACTCAATAAGTTATAAATTATACCTTAGTTTCATACTCATATCGAAACACGAAAGGAAACGGTACCCTTTTCCGTTGCCATCTATAGTTACAGCTTGAAAATAGTCAAACAACAATGTTTTTATGGGTTGATTAAAAATGCAACATAGATATACAGCAATCATATCAAACAGATAGGAACTGACTGAATTACAGGCACCTCTGGAGTTCTAAAAAGTCTCCTCAACGCTGACTCTATCAAATGCTCATACACATTACTTTATCAACTTGCACTAAAACAAACATACTTGCCTCGGCAAAAAAAAAACCAAAAAAAAAACCAACAAAACAACGAACTATTGAGGCATTAGACCCAATTTTGATGCAGATGTTGTAAAGTACGTTGGAATTTACAAATAGAACTTTCATCTCTCTTGAGTGCGTGTGACTTGAAAGTTTATTTGCTGCTGAATGAAAAAAAACTGTATAAAAAGTCGAGGAACAAAAAGGCTCTAAAGCGTTTATTTACACAGTCCACATCCTTTATTGAAATGTCTATCCAGCTTATCCGAAAGGCTGTCCCTGAAGCTGATGAGGCTATTATTGAATACATTGATGGATATCTGCGTGAAAATGACTTCGATGAGGATGAGGATGCTGTTTCCGACTTCATTAAGCCTATTTTATTAGATGCTGGAGGAGAAGAAGATAAAATTGACGAACTATGTGAACAACTCTCCGATTTGTTACAAGCCAAGCAAAAAGCAGCAGCACCTAAACAGTTATCTAAGCTAGAACACTCCATTACCATGGCTAACCAAAGTGGCCTTTCCTCTACTACCAACCTTGGTCGAGGATCTGTTGATTTAGAGCACGCTTCAGGGCGACGTGTTCAATCGCAAGTTAATCAAGATAAGCTGCGTAAAGCTGAAGCCAAAATTGCAGCCAAAATTGCCAAGCGTCAAGAAAAGAGTAATTTGAAGATTCAGTACGAGGCATCTCGTTTATTAGACGAGCAAAAGGCTTTACAAGAAGAATACAAATTATACAACCCTATTTTGGATTACACATCAACCAAAGGCAAAAACAAAGATATTAAGATTGACAACTTTGATATTTCGTTTGCAGGTCGTCGTATTTTGACAGATGCTAGCTTGACGATTGCATTTGGCAGACGTTATGGTGTAGTTGGTAAAAACGGTATTGGTAAATCTACTTTGTTGAGAGCAATCTCTCGTCGTGAAGTAGCTGTACCTCAGCATATTTCTATTCTTTACGTTGAACAAGAAGTATGTGCTTTCAACAAATGGAATACTGCTTTGTAAACTTTGGGACTAAATAAACCTTCTTTAGGTACATGGTGACGATACGCCTGCCATTGAAATGGTCTTACGTGCTGATGTATGGCGTGAACATTTACTCGAAAAGGAACGTGATTTAACCGCTCAGATCAATGCTTTAGATTCAGCGGAAGGAGACTTGACAGAAGAGGAGAAGAAAGCAAATGAGGCAAAGAGATCTAGTCTAGATACTGAATTGAAGGAGGTGTTTAGCAAACTTGTCGAAATTGAAAGCGATAAAGCCGAAAGTAAAGCCTCTGCAATTTTGGCTGGTCTTGGTTTTGATACCGAGCAACAAAAGAGGCCCACTAAGGAATTTTCCGGTGGTTGGAGAATGAGAATATCGCTTGCTCGTGCTTTGTTCTGTAAGCCTGATGTATTAATGCTTGATGAACCGGATAATATGTTGGATATCCCTGCAATTGTTTGGTTGGAAAATTACTTACAACACTGGCCCAATACATTACTTGTGGTTTCTCACGACAGAGAATTTTTGGATGAAGTGGCAACTGACATCTTATACATGCACTCTGAAAAATTGGACTATTATAAGGGTAATTTTTCCAATTTTTGGGGTACTAAAGAGGAACGTCGTAGAAATCAACTCAAGGAGTATGAATCACAACAAATGTATCGTAAACATCTTCAAGAATTCATCGACCGTTGGAGATACAATGCTAAGCGTGCACCTCAAGCACAAGCAAGAATCAAACTCCTCGAAAAACTACCTGTTTTGGAGCCACCGGAAGATGAAGAAGTTGTTACCTTCTCTTTCCCTAACCCAGAGCAATTGTCTCCGCCTATTCTACAGATGTCAGAAGCGACATTCGGATATGTGCCAGAAAAAACTATTATCCGCAATATTAACATTGACGTTAGGATGGACTCCCGCATTGCTGTGGTAGGTCCAAATGGTGCTGGTAAATCCACCATGTTGAAGTTATTGACAGAAGAAAATAAACCTACCTCTGGTATGGTGCACCGAAATGGTCGTCTTCGTGTTGCTTACTTTACCCAACATCACATTGATCAGCTTGATTTGACCAAGAACGCTGTCGCCTTTTTGGCTGACAAATTCCCAGGAAGGACAGAAGAAGAATATCGCCGTCACTTGGGCTCATTCGGTATCACTGGTATGGTCGGTTTACAAGTGATGAAAACACTATCTGGTGGTCAAAAATCACGTGTATCTTTTGCTACTCTTAGTTTACAGAACCCTCATATTTTGGTTCTTGATGAACCGACTAATCATTTGGATATGGAGTCTATGGATGCCTTACAGGAAGCGCTAAAGAGATTCACAGGTGGCGTCATTATTGTTTCTCACGATGAAAGATTCATCAATTCCGTATGCAATGAAATTTGGATTTGTGAAGGCGGTGTGTTGAAGAAGTTCTCTGGTACTATCAAGGAGTATAAACAGCTTATCTGTCCCAAGGAAGCGCCTTAGCTTTTTAGAGTTTGCTTTGAAAGCATTATACATTATAAATTCTCGTTGATGTTAATAAATATGCCCTTTCTCTTTATTGTAAATAACAACTAATACCATAATTGCACGAACTTATTGCATGATGAAGGCGTTCTAATTCATCTCATCAACAGTTTGTACGAGGAATATCATCAAGATTTTTATTCTTTTAATGTGCAGAATATAGATCTGCAGGTTTCCTTCCTCTCTTATCAACAAATTTAACTGTAAACAAAATTTATATTTATGATATCTCACGATAATGATATGCTAAAGCGCGGGGCATCGTCAGCATAAGCAATATGTAAGTATATTTCAACAATAAAAAACCTCCAAGCAAAAATTTGTGTCTGAATATGACTTACGACTTGATTTTTTCCTAGCGAGGGACTTCCGTAGTGTCGATAGTAACATTGATTCTTAGAAGCAAAGATACTTTCCGTAATAGTACAGCTTGGAAAAGCGTTATATATGGGTAAGTATATTACGGTTTCATTTTGTAAATAAAAATATTACTTTATACATATCTGGTACTAACCAAGGCGATTATGCTACTGGGCTACTGATGATGAAGCATAATTACTGTATTCTATATCAATATTTCCTCATGCATACTCTTGGATATCAATAGTAATGATACTTGTTTGAAAATTATGACTATGGACGGATACAACCAATAAAGAGCCAGGTCTTTTTTTCTTAACATAACAATGACAAGTTCTGAGGCTTATCACTACTAACATCACTTCTTAACCAGCCGCGGTGAAACAGGATAGCATGACAATTGAGAAACAAGGTAATACTTGTGCTCAGCACAAATATGTGGTTTAATAATTTGTCAAAAGACGAATTATGAACATACCAATTTGTTGGATATGTCATTTTTACTATACAAAGCCTATATACTAAATAGATTTCTAACGTTGAGATATACAGAGATTTTTTAATGCAGTAGGTATGCTGCTGAATTTTGTTTCTAACAGAGGCAGCTTTCATTTATTTGGCAATTCTAAAAATATTTTACGCAAACTGCCTTCGATATGCCAAGTATTCGACGACTGCAAAAGAGTGATATATTGGTTTAGGAATTAAATATTACATTGGGCGATAAGAGGTGATATAAAATTAGAACCCAAGTAGAGGGCTGGTTTAATAGAGAACGATGCTTGACCATCCCATTTCGCGATCTTCCCATTCCACACCGTGTAATTGTATCATCAAGCCTGAGTCTTTTTTCTTATTTGTGTTATTAAATTTATATTCAATCCAACAAGGCATTCTGGTTCGTCCTCCTCCGCCCTTGCGGTCTGGTTCTCCTAATGCTTGAACAATCTCATAAGCATGCATACTACTGGTAATTCCACAGGGTAGTAAGATATTCTGCTGGAAAGGTAAAAAGCCATCAGGTGTTTCACCGTTGTATATGTCTATCGCATCCAAAATTAGATTGTCCATAGCATTGTTGCTACTTGTACTGTTTGAAGGCGTTGCGCCTGGTTTCAATGCTTCTGCTTCAGTGCGTTCTTTGTATGTAAAGCAAAATGATATGCCTAAAGGTTTGAAGGCGTAATAAACATAATCTGCTAGTTTAGATATGGTTGGCTTAACATCATCTGTTGTGGATAGTAGAGCTTTAAAATCGATGCTTGATGGGGCTGAACCCAATAGACAATATAATTCGTTGGCTGTAGGTATGTCAATGGCCATTTTATGTAATTACTATAAGAGGTGAATGAGTATTGGATAAGAAGGTTTGGGGGCCTAAGCGACTATTTTTCTTATCAAATTTCAATGGAAACAGAGGAGAAAGCTTTTTTTTTTTAAAAAAAAAAAGCAAATACAGTGTTTTAGCTGCAATTTTACACTTTATACAAATTTTATTGGACAATATATTTTTAATTCAGATAATTTTAAATTACTTTAGGATGAAGTGATATAATATTCTTGGAAAAATGTCCACTGACCTTCAAAATAATGTCTCCAATTATTTATTCAATGAATCGTCAATTGATAGTGGCATTACGTTAAAGTACTACGAGACGTACTGAATATTTTGGTGTAAAACAGGTCTTATTAGCAATAGATACAGGGTTATGGTTTACGAGACTTTAATTATGGATCATATGAATTGAACTACGCGTTAAACCGATCCCAGACACGTTCTTCCGCCAAGTAGATAACGGTTGTTGTTGCCAATCGTAATAAAAACTAGATGTTGCCAAACTCGAAGCATTTACAGAAAATAAGTTTGAAGTCTTTCCTTTGATTTCCATCTTCTTCTTCTTATTCTTCCTTCATACTTTCTTTCTTCATCCTGATAGCTACTACTCACCATGTACAAAGCCAAAATCTTGCAAAAAATCAAATCGGTGGCAGAAGCCCATAAGAATTAAGTCAAAGATGAGTCCTTCCGTGATCCAGGGCGAAGATCTGTCTTCACAGCGGCAAGCGGACTAGATCATAACAAACATCAAGTACGCAGCTGCTCTACCAAGGAATATTATCATATGACCGAAGTACCAGATACGCTGCTAAAAACATATTGGCAATTAGCGTTTCGATCTGGAAGTCAACGGGAAGACCTGCGGAGTTTTCTAGAAAACCAAAGTCACCCGCAACAATCACTTAACACCATCCTCTAATCGCCAGCACGAAGCTGGTTTGATTTTTACAGGTAAGCGTCTCAATTTTTGTGTAGTTTAATCTTGAAACTATAACTTAATCGTCTCAAAGATTTACTTCTTTCGTCTACTTATGTTGCCCCAAAGTAAAAAAACTAGGAGATAAATACTTCCTTAGGGTGCCAACTTCGATTTTTACGGCGGAGAGCCAATCATAATTTTCTGTTACCGAAGCTTTCAATCAGACCAACGTCTGTCAACTTAAGTCATATGTGTGCGTTCAGCAAAAATGTTCTGGAGCGTGTAATCTCTCCATGAGTATAGTTCAAAAGAAGCTCAAGTGGCAGTTTAGGGCGATCCACAGCAGTAAATCAGATCTCTTCTTTTGATTGACAGTTCCGTGATACAGAGTAATGCATGCCTTCTTTTGGCGGAATAAACTTTCTTTACATACACCTTTCGCCAAAATGGTGAGGTTTAAGTGTTCGTAGTATTTGACGAAGAACTCTTCAGAAGCAAGGTGGTTGTTGGCTCTTGGTGTTTTTAATTGATTCTACCTGTGTTCAATCCGGAACTAAAAAATAAGTAATGTTAGCGTAACTTTTGTTATAATTAATGTTAAGGATGGAATTCTTAGAGATGAAACAATCGTAATTGAAGTGGAAGGTGATTTTGATTTGTATCGACAAGCTATTGGAATTACATTTCTGGATTCTAGCGAACCTGAAAATCCTCTAAAAAATCAAAACCTGAGCCTAAGCGGCAAATAGATTATGATGTACATGAAAAAGTCTTTATATATTAAGTAAACAAAAATACTTCTAGCTCTAGTGAGAAGTCAACAGTAGTATTAGTGAGAAGACAATGTCAACGACTAATTCCAAAGCAAACGTCAGAGGGCCATATCACTCTTTAACTCTTTTGCAAACCCAAGGACTACTTACCGTAGTTATTGAGCAAAAAATGTCAGACAGAAAGTCAAAATTAACCTTAGTATTATCCATACGAAAACATATAAAGATAATGAAGGGAAGCGTTTGCCAAGAATCATTAAAAGCCATCTCGGCAAAGAGGAGATAATAGAAAGTCTTGAAGCAAAGCCCGCTGGCATCTTTTTGATTTGGATAATAAAAATGCCGCTGAAGTTTTGTTTGAGAGGCAAGCGATACATTATCTTACTCTCCAAACCTCAAAGAGGGTTTATACTTGGAAAATATAGTAATTGCAGATACTAGCTTCCAAGTTGCCCATTCATCTTGTGGAATCTTTGTAAACAACTTCATTAAGCGTTTTAATAACTACTCTATGGGCCGTTCAACTTATTGAACAATTATATGCACACATACTCTTCTCTACAAATATACAACACTGTTTCCGTGAACTTTTTTTTTTTTGCGACATCGTTTTGGCAGGTGCATTCCATTTGAAATCCCTTGTACTTATTTGGAAAATATTTTTTCTGTAGGTTTCAGAAACTTGCCTCTTGTTAATTCTTGAATGATTGTCAACAACGTATAGTATTAACGAACAAACTGCACATGCCTGAAATGCGAGTTTCATACACTACGAGAATTTTTATTCCGTTCCATATTAGACGACCTGATTGGCTGAGTATCTGTTTGTCAGCTATTTGATTATGTAAATCATATCTCTTCTTAATGAACCCTATTCAGGGTCCAATCGTTCTTAAAAAGGAACACCATTCGACATTCTATCCCCTTTTCTATCGACTGCTATTAGGCAAAAACGACTTGCACTTCCTTGATTTACAAGGGTTCATTTGCTATTTTCTGTACAATATATATTTGCTGTAGCAACTCTTGTCTCATCTAGAATTGCGAATGAATATATCCTTTGCAGGACCGTCAATTATGTAGAGATACAAGCCATGTTAAAGTATTTATATAGCCTGGCATGTACTTGAGTTTCATTCTGTCTGATGCTTCAGCACAAAATTGTGAGCTTAATTCTCTGGCATCCCAATTAGCCATTTTATTGAAAGAGCTGGCTTTGAATTCAATGAGGTGGGGTTGTCATATTGAGCGGGAACTATGGTAACTTCCAGACTTGCAATTGGCAAAGTTTCAGTCAGCCCGCTTTTGCAATCAAAGCAGGTCCAACTTTAATTGTCGAAATCAAAAAAAAAGCTAAAAAGAAAAAAAAAAAAAAAAAAAAAAAAATAAAAATAACCAGAAACCAAAAAACAAAGCGCAATTCATTTCATTACACTTTGTTTTCTTTCTTTTAACTTTTGTTTTCCTGTTTGAGACTGCAGCAAAGTTTTATCTTTCTATCCTCATAAAAACGGGTTCGCTATTCGTAGATAGTCTCATATTAGATTTATCTATATCATTACTATTCTACCTTTTTTCCTTTCAGGAACATCTTTCTGCAACGATTTACAGCACTTATTGTTATTGTAAGCTTAGTATTATAAATCACCGTAACACTACATCAGCTACGATACATCAATTCTGTCTATTTAAAGCAAAAACCGTGCAAAAGAATGTCCAAAAAAGCATCACCAGCCCAGCATAATAATGAAGATCATCCATACAATCCTACACACCAGCCGTTGACGCCGGAACAGCAACAAGAGCAAGCTATTTTTGTAGGTTTCTTCTCTATTTGTGCAAAACAAATATTGATGTAATACTAATTTGGAATAAAAGCTCGAATCTTTCTATGACCGTTTGATCGGTATGACCTTTGATGAGAGTGCAATAGCTATAGAGAATTGTAGAGAGTTGTGTGCTGAATACGGCTTTACTGTCAAGCAAGAAGCAAGTACACATAGAGTAAGTGTTTAAGCAATACATATGTTTGAGTAAAACAAAATCACAGAAACATCTTTGCTTAGAAGATAGAACTTTCCATGCTCAATTGTGGTTTTCATTGTAAAATACCTTCCGCTCTAACTTTTCGAGCTACTTCTATCTCTCCCTTTTCTTTCATAGAACATCTATGTGTACTGCTCTCGAGAAGGTCTCCCTGATTCCCTTCGAAATCCGAAAGCCAACCCACAAAGAAAACGTCCTTCTAAAAGGTGCGATTGCCGCTGGCGCGTCGTACTGTTCGAAAATGAGAAACATAAATGGGAATTTAGAAAATCCTTAAATCCTGAAGCGGGTAAACATAATCATGAGTTAATGAAGCCCGAAGAAATCGAACGCTCGTGGCCAAAAGAGGTAACCGAAGCTATTTGTCAACTAGCTCGATTACGTTTACAGACTCAAGAGATTCGAAATCGTGTCCGAGCGCAATTTCCAAATATTCATTGGAACGAGCGAAGGTTCTACAATAGACTCTCTGAAGAACGTCAAAAGATCAAACTACGGGATTCAATTGAACGCACCGAACAACTGAATCACCTTTGGAGTAAAGTTTGTATGGCAGCTGCTGGTAACGAAGATCTGTACCATGTCGTTAAGCAAGAATTGACAATGCTCTTTCAGTCCATTTGCGAGACGGTCCAGATTGATCCTCAAACATTTCCAAATCCAACGATCATATCAAATAATCGCTCTGTATCCTCTTTCCCTACTGAGCTAACCACAGAAGGAGCTGGTACTTCTTCTCCATCTTCTTCTACTTCAGTCCCTCGACATCCTCAGCAGCAAACATGTTATACCCAACCACCACCTGGCACCAGCAACTTCCAACAAACTTTGCCTGTGGGCCCTTTGGAAATCACATCAAAAAACAATCTCTTTATCAGTCGTCAACAACAACTACCATATAATGATATGCCCAATAGCACAACAAAAAACTCTTTCAAAGAAGTAAATCGTAATAGGGCTACATTTTCACCAATGCCTGCAACTCCATCATCAACACTCGTTTCAAAATCTGATATACCAGCGCCTAAAGGTTTCATATCTGTAGAATTGTCGAGGCAAATATATTTCGTAAAAATCCACAATCACCGTCAGTTAAACGATACTCAATTCCTCAAAACACAACAACAGCAACGTAAAGCTCGTGCTCTTTCTGACGACCCACAACTCAATAATAGTAACAATAATTGCCAGTACCTAGAGCCTGTTCGTAAACAAGCACGAAGAATAAAGCAACGACATGTGTCGGCTGACCTTTGCAGTGATGGACGTTTTACATTACATCAACCCTTTCCCTCCATTAATAATAATCTATTTCAACAGCAGCATCAAAATATAATCACTCCAGCATCATTTGCACAAGCTTCACTACCTCAATCTTTTCAAAAACAACAAGAGCAACAACATCAACAACTATCATATGCAAACTACAACCATCCAAATAATAGTACCGCTAATAACAGTAGTAGCAACAGCCATTTTGGAAGTAGCAGCCAACATAGCACAACTGCTAACAACAGCACCAATTTAGCCGTTGGTTCAATATCTACTACACATGAGGCAAGTCTGCCCCCTGCAGCTTTTGTTTATTCCTCTTACGAAAGTGCTGCTGCTGCTGCTGCTGCTGCTTACAATTTGGCCAGTGCAGATAATAGTTCACCCAACACACAGAGAACATTTAATACACCTACTCCATCTGGCATGGATTTTGATGCAAATCCATTTGATACTGCAGCTGCTAATACCACTAATGCAGCTGCTATAGAGGGCCATCAACATCATTCAAATCAATCACATAAGACAACCAATGAATCATACAATACAACTTCAATTCACTCTGCATTAAACCATTCATCTATATCAGCAGCAGCTACCGCTCCTCCTACCAATTCTACCAATTCTCTTCTGTCTCCTCAGCAGTCCACCTCATTACAGTCAGCTTCTTCTACAACAACTTGTACGTTCAATACAGCCACTTGCATTAATAATGATTCTTCTGCAAACAGTACACCTGCCACTACTCCTTCAAATACAGTTGTGTCAACAGCTCAGCAACAACAACATCATGTTGGATTTAGCTTCACTGATCTATATAACACTTCTACTGCAGCGGCTGCAGCAACTTTGACGGCTTCAGTTACTAACACAACTGCTGATCCGAATGAGCGCTTGCTTACTCGAGAGAATAGAACAAGCTCATCAGGACCTATTTCGCCATCTATTGATTTCTCATCCATTATAACATCTCATCAGCAGCAGCAGCAGCGTGCATCTTTTGATCATAGTAAGAATACTCAGTACCAAGAGTTATATCTACGATCAGATCAACGTACTGCTGATTCTTCTGTTTTACCAATATTTTCTTCTCCGTCCATGGATGTTGATACGAGCATCAATCAGCAACAGCAGTAGCACCTCAGCAAAAATGACTTAGTGTAAATATATCCTGTCGGTTTCATTCGAAATGCCATTGCTGTTGTTGTTGTTGTTTTGTTTAGCTTTATATTTTTGACATCAAATTATTACTAAGAGACATATAGATAGAATTGTGCCCCCTTTCATCTTGCATTCGCCTTGCATTCGCCTTCACCCACGTTTCATTTATGCATATCAAAAAAGCCAAAGTTTCTCTTATAAGCATTTGTAGCCATACTCTATTTTTGCAATGCTTCCAAAGACATGCTCATATAAATTGTCCTCTTGAATATCTCGTTTTTTATACACCTTAAAAAGGAGATAACCCTAAAGTATTATATATCAAAGCAATCAATCTCATATCTTTACGGAACCGCGCTTCGTCTATATTTTCCTCCCAAAATGACGTGTATACTCAAACTGTCGGCTTTTCAAAACCTTTTTCTTTGGCTTTTTTTTTTTACTGATTTGCATAAACCATTTTAAGAAAAGGCTTAAACAAGGAAAAACTTACTATCCTCAGTTGTTGGTCCCTCTTCCATCTCATCCGCTGACACGCTGAGCATTTTTTTTTTTCTTTGACATCATATGTTCCATTCTCATTTACTATATTTTCCTTTTCAATAGACTAAACCGTACTGCCTCGTTTATCTTTTCTTTTTTTCCTTTCACTCTACTTTTTGTTAGTTTTCCATGAAAATTTCTGATTATCTTTTTCCTTCAATAGAAGTCTGCTAAATCATGTACCGGTTATCTGAATTACCTATGGAGATTCTATATACTATAATGGAGTGTTTGAGTACAGAAGATATCCTTATGATGGCACGACTGAATACCTGGTATGGTTATCACCTGTCATGGATCTTGAGTGAACGAATAGAAAGACATGTCCGACAAGATGGATGGCGCATACATATTGACATTCTGGCAAAAACGCACATACAAAAGACAGTGGCAACGAACGATAACCGCCTGTTAGCATCGGCCTACTACCCTTCTGACAAGAGTACTCATACCAATACAAATAGTAGTAGCAGTCTTCTGAAGGATATCTCCCATTACCGTCAACTCGATTATACCAGTAAATTGACCCCACCTTTCACCGAAGAATTGTTGTTGCTTAGCGAGTATTCTGGAGTCATAAACCCTTACACGCTGACGTTAGAATTCAACTTATACCCAGTCGATGAAAACGGCTTAGATACTGTTTTGCATTCAAAACAAATCGAACGATCCGTTGCTTTCATCAGCGATGAAAAAGAGGACCAGCTGATAGCGGAAGAGAGCAAAAATGATAATAATGTGGATCAGAATGTCAAAAGAATGTTTCGCTTGAAAACGAATATCGATATAGTTGCTTATTTTGCTCAGATATCAACGAATAATAGAAGGTTACAGCATGTCAATCAAGCCGGCGCAGCGGCAATAGCGATGAAAGAAAAGCAGAAAGGTAAAAAGAAGATTCATCCTAGCAGCCGTAAAGAGGACTTGAACGCTGCTTCAACTAAGCCTGCCACAACAGAAAAAGATAACTGCTTGGTAGCAAGGATGGGCAAAGGATTCAATATACAATATAAAATGTTTAACATGCGAGACATTAACAGCAACGAAGATATGTCTAATTTGGCTGGCAGATTCCGGAACGACTTTGAACAATCTAGAATTGAACATGTAGGCATGACAGACAGGTGTAACAAAACCGCTGTTGCTGGCATAGCGAACACTGCGATAGACATCGATTCAATTGCAGTGATAACTTTTGATAAATTGCATGTGTCCCCTGAATGGTGGGTAAACCAAATGAAAATGCCCACACTGAATAGTAATAGTAGTGATTTGAATAGCTGTGGATTCTCTTCCGGTTTCTTTTAATAAATCACGTTGCTAGCTAATAGTTTATTTTGTTATTCATATTTACCGCCTTTTACGCTCTTGTAATATGTCAATAGCTCTTTGGAGACTTCAGCTATTTTTGCCCTATCATCAGCGGTCGCCTTTGAGCCATAAACTTCTATCTTGTTTCCGTATTCATCCATTCTGGGCTCGGTAGGCGGGCTTAACAATGTCCATTCTAGGCATACTTCCTGGAATACTTCTGACCGCGATACTTCATAAAATCCAAACTTTGATTTGAATAAATTGATGCTGGGCTCGTTTTTTAGGCTAATCTTTGCATGAAAAGTTTTAAAGCCGAGCATCTCCAGAGCTGTGTTTTGGTATGTAGACAGAATACTCAATTTGCGGAATTCCTACTGCGTATTATTACTTTTATTTAACTTACCATATCCCATCATTATTTTGATAGCTTCATAGCCTCTCCCTGTTCGTCTGAAGGCGGATTCAGCTATCATCAATTCTATTTCACCAAATGTTCGATCTTGGTCAGGATCATTCAGAAAGATATTAACATCGCCAATCATGACTGTTTTGTCTTTGACTGATGTATCTGACATTTCTTTCAAAGCTTCTTTAGAATCTTCAGGCAATGCAGTTAGGATAAACGTGAGTTCTATGCAATAAATACGAAGGTGAAGTGTTACAGCAGCCTGTCACAAAATCGCGCAGAAAACAAAAACAAATCCATTTACTGTCTTCGTCCAAGTGCCAGCTTCTTTGCATTTCATATTCTTCATCCAGTGTCAAGGGCTCTGAAGCAGTCATTTCCTGTAGAAAAGGTGATTTCATCCATTCATGATATTTTGGAACATGCTCGGCTCTATAAGGCACCAATGCAACCTTTTCGCCAATCTAATGTAAGGTAAGATAACCATTAAAAAGAAACTGAATTCTGTATCGTTGGCCTGGCTCCTGAAAGGAATATTCTACTTTACAAGAATTGTATTTTCGTTCAACTTCATATTCTATTTGTCGACCACCAAAAAAGAAAAAGAAAAAAATATTAATGCAACTATTGAAAAGAGAAATGCAATGGACACTGTCTTCATTTTTTATAGCAATTTTCATTAAAAATAAAAAGGTAATTGAAAAAAAAAAAAAAAAGTGTGCTGTGACTTTATCATGCCTTTCCTTTTTCCTTCCTATTCTATTTCAAATTCATCTTTTATAACTTTTTTTTAATGAATGAGGCGAGCAATGTATGTTCAAATGCGCTAGTCAGCACACAGCAGACTCACATGAACATCCCTATTATATCTATTAGGGGACTATTACAACGCTTCTTGTGAAGCATTTACCCGACTTTATCATAAAATCCATCGAGTTGCAACAAAAGTACTTTCGGCCTTACAAGCCAATAGACATTCGATTTATGCACACAAATATGATGGTAAACGCGAAAGAAGATATACTTTAAAAGAATTGACATGATGTTGATGATAAATCTTTCGCTGCAACTAAAGCCTTATACGTATAACAGCCTGGATTTGTGTTTTTAGACTTCCCTGACCGTGACACAGCTGAAAAGGCATATCAACAATTACAAAAGATCAATTTCGGTTTATACTTTAAAGAAATCTGCGTGGAATATGCCACGCCAAATCCTAGATCACAGCATGCGGCTTCCATGATACCAACCGCGTCGATATTCACAGCGGAAGATAAGGAAAAGGCAGCCTATCCCATATCATCAACACATGGTCTTCTCTACCCACCAAATCCTCACCTTAAATATTGTTATCCGGATCCTACACTCGATATCATAACCAATATTTCTTATGCTATTGCATCAGTTCCAAGGCTTTATACCCAAGTTCTTCATTTGATGAATAAATTGAATATGCCTCCACCTTTTGGTCCTAATGTGAAAGAAGCGAAGCCATCTGTTTTAAAAAAGAGCAGTCTGCAGAAGGATAGTCTGTTAGCCAGTGATGAATCTGAACTAGAAGAGGACACTGTGGAAAAAGAAGATGAAAATGAGCGAAAACGCATGTTAGACGCAGATATAGAACCTACACATGAGAAAGTAAAGAGGCTAAGGTTGACTAGAATGACCGCAGAGAAACAGAAGGAGGCTATTCATCAGAATAAAGTAATATTTGCCCATAGAGAGGAAGATTTAGCCCACCAAACTTCGCCTTCTTCAACCAACTTAGCAGGACGATCCCTTCATAAACAACCCAACAATAACATGATAAAGATAGTTGTTAGTCAAAAGCCGGCTATTACATTACCTTTAGGTGCTAATGAAGAAGATCTGAAAAGGGACACGGAAGGAAAAGAATCCTTGTCAGCTTCTGTTGCGACCGAAACAGCAACAACCGAACCATTAACTACGACAATTGGATTGACAGATGAGCAAAAAGCTATTAAAGAAAAATGCCTTCCCATGTCTGAACTAGCTGCTTTGTCAGCCTTTAGAAAATACGACGCTGGAGAACCTAATTCAAAACTGTATGTTAAGAATCTACATAAACACGTCTCACAGGAGGATCTCCAGAATATTTTCAAGGTATTTTCAAAAGACGTCAAAGTTGAATTAATGGTGAAAGGCAAATTAAAGGGTCAGGCATTCATTACGTTCCCTGACGTGACAACTGCTCAGCAAGCTTTGGAGTGTACAAATGGTTTCCCATTGAAAGGAAATAGGCCTATGGCTGTTCAATTTGGGCGGGCTACCAAACCATCTGACGAAGAAGCTAGGACAAACGTTTAAAATACAGTATCCTAACTTTTTTTTATTTTTTTGGAAATAAAAATTGAAATCGTCCAATGAAATGCGCCCATTTCTGCCCAAAATTTTCCAAATAGGGTAGGTGCGAGAAGTGAGTTAATCATACTGTAGAATTTGCAGGAACTTTCCAGTATTATTAACTCGATAGTTATAAATACTACCTCAGGCCAACACAGTTGCTTTACCATCAAAGTTTGTCTTTTTTGTATACTCTAAACTATTCAATATGCAACCTATGCTCAATCAAACCACTTCATCTAAGCGACGTTTAAACAAAGAGACTGAAGAAGAAGAGCTTGAAGTCGAAATGGAAGCTTCTACTTCAAATACAGCTATCCCTGCGAGCTCATACTCTGGTCAAGCTGGTTCAAAGATTATAGTAACCGAATTTGATCTTGCAATGGAAGCCCTTTTTAGAAGAGTCCGTGCTAGCACTGCTATGAGTTACAGAATGCCTTTAGAACATTGGAAGGTACCAAATCAATTAAAACTTTGTATTAACTATGCAACTTTTTCTAAATTCACTTTATTTCAAGGATTTTTGTGAAAAGAATCGTGTCAGATACCCTGTGATCCTCTCTACCCGTACACAGTTGGACCCACTGAATTCATCATAGTCTTTTTCAAAGAGTTCGTATTCAAGCGTACTTATCAGAAGAGCGTCTCAATTGAATCTGACGTTAGGACACAGGTTGGCTTGCAGACTGAGGAAAATGAGGGTAGCCGAATGACTTTGCTCCAAAGTATGTAGCATTATATAACACGAATATATGTGATTAGACTCAATTAACGTTATCTTAATAGTGGCCAGAAATGCTCCAGTAAGCAGGAATGGTCGAAAGAAACTAATAGAAGTTCCTATCGGCATAGAAGCTGTCAATCAGTATAGGAAAGCCTTGATATATCTATATGGTTTTCATCTGAACATCGAAGACTGGGGTGGCCATCTCCCAACAAGACAAAGCAAATAACTGATCTGATAAAGAAGTACGAAAATGATTTGATTTACGACCAAGTGCAAACCAACGTGGATAGAGCTGCTCATTGTGTTATCCGTGATTCGTACAAATCTGGCGAATTTATTAGAATCTTGAAAAGCTTATGTGTCTCTGAAAGCCAAACAGCCTTGCGTGAGATGTTCTCCATTTCATCGCGCCACCATATGCTACTTCGGGATCAAGACCTCAGAAATTTAAACTTTGCTGACTGTTTCTGTACTATCATACCAAAGAAACAGCATAAGGGGATTCAACAGGCTGTAGCTTTAGTGTTTAGCTTAGACAAAGGCAAGGCACTCAAAGAAGGAGAAGTAAAATTTGCTTGTGCAATGCGCCATGAAAACCTCTTCGGATGTCCTTTCAGTGCTTTTGCTTTTTTCATGTTTAGTTTGCTTCAGATAACTCATTTGCCCACAAGAGTTTAGTATCAAGTTAGAAGGAGCATTAATCCATTTCTTTTAAAGAACAACGGTGATTTCCTGAAGGAAGATAGGTGGCATAATTGGAAGGTTTTGCGTGGACGTGGCAGCCCAGAGAAAAGTTTGAGTGGCGTTTCGCAATGGAAAACTGCAAAACAAGCGCTTTTAGATGAAACAATCCATACAACTAGAGTGACTCACGGTGGACGCCATGCTGGTGCAATGGAGGCTGAAGCTCTAGGTATGCCTATTGATTTAATCAAGCGTGGTGGAGGATGGAAGGATCGTCTTGGCCGATTGGAGATTCATTACCTCGGAAAACTTCCATCACAGTTCGCAAGAGGTATGGCCGGCTTCTGGGATAAGCCTTTCGGATTAGCAAGAAACAGCGTATCACCGCCCATCGAACTGCAACGAATGATTTTCCCTTGGGTTGAGTATTATTTTGGAGAGAACAACATTGAATGGATGGCTGTATGTGAGCGAGAAATGAAAGAAATTGACGAGAATGAAGATGAGGAGGATAACATGGCCAATGTAGAAATCAGTGAAAATTCATTGGAATTTGTAGAAGAGAATGGAATCATGGTGTCTCGAGAAAGACGAAGAAAGGGAAAGCAACGAGCAGTTCAGAGCAGCTTAGACACAGCAAAGAGAGGCTTTTTACGACTTTTGATCAGATGTAGACGGATAATTTTACAAGATGCAGCAGTATACATGTATTTGAACAAGGAGAATAAACTCGTCAACTCCAGAAGCAGTATCTTCTCAAATTACATATTCAAGCAGTTTCAAGAAGATGTTGTAGCTGCCGTAACCAGTCCTTCTGTTGGAAAATTAGAAAAGCACGAAAAACTTGTGCCAAGTCTTGTCGATACACATAGACGAGTAAGCCAGTCGAGTAACGAAAGTCAATCATAAAATTGTACGTTTGCAACAGCAGCAAAATGACCGCTTTCAACAGAATGAAAACAATTTTCAGCGATTTGTTGAACAAAGCAATCGTACCAACCTTATGTTGCTAAACACTACTCAACAGTTAGCACGAGACGTTCGAATACTCATGATGCAACTACAGTGCTTGAATTCTCAAATGTAATTGCTTTTGGCTACCAACACTTCATTAAATACGAATATCAACAACGATATGCCTTAAGCATCTACCTTTTCTGCTGCTGTTCCAACACAGTATTCTCCCTTTTCTCCTCTCGCCGCTGAGCCTACACCTTCTGCTCAGCAACCTGTTGCTATAAGCCCAGTCGCATCAGCAACAATCAACAATGCCAATACCAGTGGTTCATTTAAACCAAGGCAAAAAAAGAAGACGAAATTAATCAACTACGAGCCAAGCAGCTCCAGATAATTTCATCGATAATATGTACATTTTCATCTATCTAACCATCATATATGCATATCTAGCAATAAACATATGTATTACGCAATCATTAAACAAAAAAGCCTTACATAGTTTGCCAAAAATAAACTAACAGATAGTAAAAGATAGGAATACAAATGGTGGTATCAAAAATCCTAAAAGTATATGGTATAGATAGTCATACGAGATAGTTACTGTTGGTCTCTAACATCCATCATGACGACAAACGATCATCTAATGTCAAAGCAAATGATAATATATTTTTCTGGCCCTGCGGGCTCAGCATATGTTTCCCCCAGTATTTGCGTGATTCTATCCCAAAAATAGAAGAATTACTACAAGTAGTTGTTTTTTCCATTACTCAAAAAAAAGCTCCTTTTCAGGAACAGTTACTGTAATTTTTTCGTGTTTTCTTCTTTTCGAACAAACAACTAAATGAGTAAAATCGTTCATGTTAAGTACTGCTGCAACTATTGCCAGCGCCCGTTGACTGATTCGACAAGACTGCGTAACCATTTATCCAAGATTCATAACATTCATGTTCCTTCCATCTCCAGAGGAAAAAGGCGCTTCGATACCCAGTCAATTACCTATGTCAACAAGCTTGGTTATGGTCAAAATCAAGACATTAATGAAGAGTATGGCTGTCCTTCGTGCTATTCCCACTTTCCCGAGATCGATTCACTGCATTCACATATCCAGGAGGCACATGTGAAGCAAAAGAATGAGCATGTTCCGATCAAAGTGAAGAAGACGGTAATACAAACGCGACACTTGTATCTATTGCAACAGACAGTGGTAAATCGATTGATTTTTCAGCATCACACAATATATACGAACAGCATCTTCCAAAGCTTCCAAGAGATTGCCTTAAATTGCTGGAACGAATAGTAACAGTTGCCTTGCCGACCAACAAAGGTTTAAACAAAAAAATGCGTGACGAAATTACCAATGAAAACAGAAAACAGAGAGAATTAGATACCCTCCAGTCTTTCGCAAATGTACAAGCATTCCTGCTGGCTGCTTTAGAACAATCACTAGACACTTTACCGCGCTGGATATGGATGCAGACAAACGAAGATATCGCGAATATAAGCCATGAATATCAACTTCTTCAGACATCCAAATTCATCCTTACCACATTTGCAGACAACTGCACACAGAAAAAGCGGCAGAAAACCAACTCGGAACGAACATACTGGGTTAGGCACATAGTACATATTTTTCAATCATTTGCGAACCAAACTGGCTATTTGCAGTTCAACTGGTGCGAATCTCAGACCAAGCAGCATGCATTGGCAGAAATCAATCTGAACAGCTGGACAAAGCCCACAACACGATTCTGTGATGGTCTCGGGTTCGACTGGCTAGGCAAAGAGAGATTGTCAATGGAAGGATCTAGCGGTCAATATGAAGAAAAAATCGATCATACTATCAGCGATACTGCCAAACAAATAAGCAATACTATTTCAATGCTGAAAGGATTCACAATGGCAAATATGGACGCAAGCTTTGAAACATTGAAACTGGTTAAAATCTTTGGTGTGCAAGCTATTGAAAGGACGATCACCTTGACGGAAACAAGCTATGACGATGAATCTACCAAGTATCTGTACAAGGTGGTACGAACAGCACGGATTCCAATCGAGTATGAAGAGCGGTATGATTGGCTGCGAGTATTTGAATTATTAGCGTACCTGCTAGTTGAATTGAAAGAACAAGTTCGTATACATGAAACTCTTAACAAGGAACAAACCAGCGTTAGTATAGTTCAACCCGAAGAAACTGTACAAATCAAGCTGGGCATCGGTTTAGACGACAGCGCATAAAAATGATCAATATTTATTCTTAGTATTTATGGAAGCAAGACCATTATTTATTAAATTATTCATTCTGCCTTTCTAAAGAACATTGGACTTTAGCCTTAATGTAAGTTCGTAAAAAGGTTTTTATTTCAAATCATTGTGTGGCCCGGAGTGTCTGCAAAGGATTCTTATTCTATTATCGCATTATTGAAAATAAGTAAACCAGTTTTCTCATATTATAACCGTCAGTAACTCCTATTGAAGCCGGCACACAACGGTATACATCAAAACACTGTCGTGTTTGAGAATAGTCTAGTAGAGAAAACAATCAATAAACAAGAATGAAACAATATTCAAACAACTAAATAATCTAAAAAACAGAAACCAATTAACATCGCCATCGTCACTGAAGATGACTTAAAATGTGATCTCGGGTTTAAGACAATAGACCTAAACATTGTTGTTGTACTTGATTTTTTGCTCTCAGATATGAGTACTGCTCATATCTTCGTTCCCGTTTGGTAAGCGGTGTGTTCGATTGCATACATTTGAACCTTAGATCAAATGTATAACAAATAAAGATAAAATAAGAAAAGAATATGGATTAAGGATAATTCTTATGTGAGATTAGCTACCTCACATAAGATCTGAACAGGTTATCTTTATGAAATATATTTTACTTAGATTATCTATGGCTATATGACGTTTAGGTATATAGCAGGATTGGTATATGTATTTGTAGGATATATTGATTCAACAACCAGAACATAGTAGGTCGCGGTACTGCTGCCCTGCTCTGGAAATAAAGTATGGTTGGAGATAAAAAGGCTCAATCACTCTTTATTAATACAACAACTGTTCACGCAATCAAAAGAACACCACGCACGAATATCTCTTCCTAGCTAACATCTATAATCATTCCCACAGTATCTGAGCTACACAACTGGTGGCCGATAGATATTGGATTATAGATGTAGCTACATCATCACCCTGGATCTGCCAGGATAGCACATTACAAATCAATCCGCTCTGGGATGGACGAGTAATTATCCACTCAAAGGGAAGACTTATTCTTTTACGGAAACCTCTGACTTATTGAGTATTATACATCAGTGTCAACTATAGATCCGATACAATCATTTCGTAGACAGCAAATACTATAAGTCTTTATTAATAGCAGTAATCTTAGTTTTCTTTTCTTTTTCTTTAGTTTGTTTTTGAAAGAGAAATAAAGACGGTGGTTTGATTTCGTTCAGCTTTCGTGTTTATTTTCTCTTGTGTTATTCTTTACTTCTTATCTTATAGTTAAAACTAGCGAATACCACACATGTTACAATTAGTGTTAATGTAGTTGAAATGTGTGGTAATTGTAATCGATGGAATCTAATGAAACATAGAGCTGCTTAATTATGTGAAATACAATATGCGAAACTGTCTGGCCCTCAAAATACTTTTTTTTTTGGTGTTTTTTGGAAGTTCAATAGTGATTCGTGAATTTATGCAAAATGCCCGATTGTCGACATTGCAACAATTCATGTTCGTAATTGCAGATGAAGTGGTGCGATGTCAACGAAACTTATACCAATAGTACTTGTAATATTGCTCTTTATTGTCGTATAGCTAAAATCAAGCTAACAGTACTCATTGTCTAGCTACAGTGAAAAAACCGCACAATGCAGAATCATTGAGCCATTTTGTGAGTCACTGTATTATAGGAGGTATGAAAATACCACAACACTTAGAAGCAAATTTAGTCTGAACTATGACTTCAATAAAATCAATAGCCTCCAGTGTGTGTCGGTCTGTGTCGGTCTGTGTCGATGTATGTCGGTCTGTGTCGATGTGTGTTGATGTGTGTCGATGTGTGTCGGTCTGTGTCGATGTGTGTCGATGTGTGTCGGTCTGTGTCGGTCTGTGTCGATGTGTGTCGGTCTGTGTCGGTCTGTGTCGGTCTGTGTCGGTCTGTGTCGATGTGTGTCGGTCTGTGTCGATGTATGTCGGTCTGTGTCGGTCTGTGTCGGTCTGTGTCGGTCTGTGTCGATGTATGTCGGTCTGTGTCGATGTGTGTTGATGTGTGTCGATGTGTGTCGATGCGTGTCGATGTGTGTTGATGTGTGTCGATGTGTGTCGGTCTGTGTCGGTCTGTGTCGATGTGTGTCGGTCTGTGTCGATGTGTGTCGGTCTGTGTCGGAGTGAAGAGAAATTGGTGATTGAAAACAGTCCTAACTTTTTTTCTTTTTTTCTAATGAGATGCCTCCCCATTTTTGCACAAAATTTTCCAAGTAGGGTAGGTGCGAGTTAATAATACTGAGAAGTGAGTTAGAATTTGCAGGAACTTTCTAGTATTATTAACTCTGATATATACAGTTACTTTAGAAGACTTATAAAATAAAATAAGACAGTAAAATGACCAGACACAACAAAGATACTCTTTATTCAAGTTTGTTGAGAATGATACTTTTATATGAGAAACGGGGTTATTAACGGGTATTCAACTATTAATACAACTGAACTAAAACTATCATGAGAATGATAAGATCTTAGCCGCAAGCGGGTGTCAAAGTAGATGTGTATCAGATTGTCAAGCAGGTACTGAAGTCGTTCTGTAGTTTAAGACGTATAGTTGTATCTTGGATACAACAAACTCGATAGTTATAAATACTACCTCAGGCCAACACAGTTGCTTCACCTTCAAAGTTTGTCTTTTTTGTATACTCTATGTGATATTTGTAGTTGTTTTATGTTTAGTGAACGCGACTTATAACTTTGATATAAACTGTAAGGTGAAATGAGTCTCCTTTAGTCCTTTTTTATACACTGAAAATCAGAGAGGGGAGCGTTCACAGCAAACTGATTGTTTGTATTTAAAAAAGAAAAAATAAAAAAAGTCCTCGTTCCTTAATTTCTCAGCCAGTAATAATGCAGCATTTTATATGCGCATCTTCAGAAATACAAGATGACGTGTACAAGTGTTATTATGATTCTATGATCATAATAACGAGCCAAATGCTTGAAAGTGTGTCTAATTCGTCTTTATATATTATAGGAGGTATGGGAATACCACACTCTAAACCATTCAATAGGTGTTGTATCCAACAGCATATTACTCTTGGATTATTACATAATACTGAAATAAGAGATTGCGGATCCTTATGAAGGTTAGAATAACCGTGAGTGATAGATTTGTTGGAACAATTCTTTTCTTTTGCGGAAGAATATTTCATCTGTATATCCGAGACAACATTGGATGAGTAATTGACTTCATTTAGAAATAAGATATTATAGTATTTGGATTTGATTAAATCAGATAACTTTATTTAGCACATCGAACCACAGTACATAAATCTAATCTACTTAAGCTATTATCTTCTAACTTGTTGATCCTTACTTTACCCTTTACATTCTGACAGAATTCAATAAGACTGAAACGTAGACGTCGGCAGACTTAAGGAATAGTTTATCCTGTCCGTCACGTTAGTTATAATGAAACTGTTGTATACGATAAGAAAAAGTATGAGAAAAAAGAAAACAAAAGGAAATCAGTGAAGACCAAGTTATCTTCTTTTATTAGGTAGAATATTCTGATAAAGATGTGGTATTCGCTAGTTTTAACTATAAGATAAGAAGTAAAGAATAACACAAGAGAAAATAAACACGAAAGCTGAACGAAATCAAACCACCGTCTTTATTTCTCTTTCAAAAACAAACTAAAGAAAAAGAAAAGAAAACTAAGATTACTGCTATTAATAAAGACTTATAGTATTTGCTGTCTACGAAATGATTGTATCGGATCTATAGTTGACACTGATGTATAATACTCAATAAGTCAGAGGTTTCCGTAAAAGAATAAGTCTTCCCTTTGAGTGGATAATTACTCGTCCATCCCAGAGCGGATTGATTTGTAATGTGCTATCCTGGCAGATCCAGGGTGATGATGTAGCTACATCTATAATCCAATATCTATCGGCCACCAGTTGTGTAGCTCAGATACTGTGGGAATGATTATAGATGTTAGCTAGGAAGAGATATTCGTGCGTGGTGTTCTTTTGATTGCGTGAACAGTTGTTGTATTAATAAAGAGTGATTGAGCCTTTTTATCTCCAACCATACTTTATTTCCAGAGCAGGGCAGCAGTACCGCGACCTACTATGTTCTGGTTGTTGAATCAATATATCCTACAAATACATATACCAATCCTGCTATATACCTAAACGTCATATAGCCATAGATAATCTAAGTAAAATATATTTCATAAAGATAACCTGTTCAGATCTTATGTGAGGTAGCTAATCTCACATAAGAATTATCCTTAATCCATATTCTTTTCTTATTTTATCTTTATTTGTTATACATTTGATCTAAGGTTCAAATGTATGCAATCGAACACACCGCTTACCAAACGGGAACGAAGATATGAGCAGTACTCATATCTGAGAGCAAGTTTTATTTTACATTTCGTTAGACGTTTTGAGTGATTTACTCATGTAATATTGCCATCGTGCCTCAAATACGACAACATGAGACTTATTCCTTACGACAAGAAAATGGATATTATTTCCAGACTGAATGGAAACGATTCCCACAGAAATATTGCGAAGTCTCTGGGCGTATCGCGTGCAACAGTTGACAGAATTGCTACCGATCTTGCATGTGCATCTAATAGCAAGAAGGGCAGGCCTGTAAAGATCAGCGCATTGCTCGTTAGATTTTTCTATACTGGGCAATTTATTACTGCGATTGAGGCTGCCCGGAACATTCGAGGACAAGGATATGAAATATCTGCACAATAATACGCAGATTCCTCAAATCAGCCGATTTCGATTCGAAGATCAAAAAGTCGGCATTGCCATTGACTAATGAACGTCGCAAGAATCGGTTGAAATGGGCAAAGGCTCACAAAAATTGGACGGTTGAAGACTGGAAGAAAGTCGTTTTCAGCGAGGAAACCAAAATAAATCGTCTAGGATTAGATGGAAAGAAGTGGACGTGGGTCAAAAAGGGAGAGCCTCTCCAAGCCCACAATGTCAACTACGCTTATAAAGGAGGTGGAGGAAGTTTGATGTTGTGGAGCTGGTTCACCCAATATGGACCTGGTTTTATTGCCAAGATAGAGGGCGGGATGGACGCGCAGTTATACTGCGAAATTCTGAAAGGGGACTTCTTGGAGACCCTAAAATATTATGGCCTACAGAAGAAGGACATCATCCTTCAGCAGGATAATGATCCTAAGCATACGGCCAAAGTAACTAAGGATTGGTTCAGAAAAAACAAGGTAAATGTTCTTGACTGGCCTTCGTACTCCCGGACCTGAATTTATTCGAGAATTTATGGTTCTACTTGAAATGCAAGCTTGCTTCATACGATAGTGCACCGAAGAACCTTGGGGAGCTTTGGGAACGTGTAGCCGATGTTTGGTATAACAAAGTCACCCCCGAATTATGCATGAGGCATATAGAAAGCATGCCAAAGAGAATCGAAGCCGTTATTAAGGCTAAAAGGGGCTGCACCAAGTAGGAGGTAGTCCGAAAGTAGATTGGGCTTTGCCCGCTGCGCTAGACAAATCCCATGTAAAGAGTAAGAGACAACTTAGTACCTATAGCCAGTTTTAACCAGGCGAAGTGTGGTTGCTTTTAAAAACTATACCGAGTAAACTTTTGGATGAATTACAACTTTCTGGATAAGATCGGTTGGTCACATATGGATAAGTTAGCGGTTGTCTCTTACTCTTTACATGGGATTTGTCTAGCGCAGCGGGCAAAGCCCAATCTACTTTCGGACTACCTCCGTACTAGTTTACATAGTTTCTCTTTTACAACAAATAAAAGGAACAAAAACTTAATGAAATTTGGTATATCTCAGCTTTATCGGTCTACCACCATATATAAAAGTCATGCACAAATTAATGTAAATTGTGTTATTAGAAAGCTAGGAAAATGCTCTTTTCATATATGTAAGCGTTTTACTAGGTTAGTACAGAGATTACTGTCAGTATGAGCAGAAGAAGTACAAATTATGCAAAATTCCCAAAACATTGGACCATTTTTGTGAGTCACTGTATATAAAGACGAATTAGACACACTTCAAACATTTGACTTGTTATTATAATCATATACTTTGTACACGTCATCTTGTATTTCTAAAGATGTGCATTTATAATGCTGCATTATTACTGGCTGAGAAATTAAGGAACGAGGACTTTTTTTTTTTTCTTTTTTAAAATACAAACATTCAGTTTGCCATGAACGCTCCCCTCTGATGTATCCACATCAATGCTTTAACTAATCCACTCTTTAGAGAAAACTGAGACATAACCAGTATAATCTAAGACAAATCATTATAGAATAACAACGCTCTTCTCATTGAATAAAATGGTATTTTTTAAGCTCGTTTAATACTTTGCTATTGCAACGGATAAATCACCCTCTCTGATTTTCAGTGTATAATAAATGGACTAAGGAGACTCATTTCACCTACAGCTTTTCACCACATTGTATAAGTTGCGTTCACAAAACACATAATAAACCTCAAATATCACATGGTGGAGGTGGGTCAAATTCATGAAACAAACGATCGAATTCATGGCCGTCCAACGGACGGTCCATGACTGGCGAGTGGCGGCTGATCGAGGGAGACGGGTGGGAAGTTGCTTCAGAAGATTAGACAATGGATCTAGAATTGATATTGGCATCATCAGGCGTTGATGCATCTGTAAGCACTGTATGGCACGTTATTTTGGCACGATGGTGGTGGAATGATGGAAGCAGAAGTTGGAATGACCATCAGGTAGCCATCCGAGACGCCGTCGGATACAGCGGCTACGCTCTTCGCTGTTCATCGGGAGCGAAAGTATAGGGTCTGAGCTGATGGATGCCCGACAAGCAGAGAGTAACTTTGAGTTCGGGTGTGGTTGTTGCAGTTCATGTAGGGTTTCTGTTCGAAACTCACGAATGCATTGGTTGAGGGCTTTGTGATCAATGGACTGTTGTTGCTGGACTCGGTTCCCAATAGGAGAGCGGCTGAGACAAATATAGGTTGATTTGCTGGAGGGGTCTGTGATATAGGGGTATAGTAAAGTGAAGAGAACATCATTTGGTAGGTGGTGAGAATGAAGCATGTATTTAGCCTGGAGAATCGCACAGCATTCTTTCATGGATGGTAGATCAGCCATGTGGAGCATTACTTTAACAGATGAACGGGACGAACCCACCAAAGAACCTTCGAATACAGGTATTTTGGGCCTTCTCCAGCCGGAGGATGTTGGCGGAGGTGATAGGGCATATAACTGCACCATACTCTAGTTGAGGCCGGATCATTTGAGCGTGAAATCGGAGGGCCAAGAGTTTCTCAAAGCCATGGTTGTTTAAGCCAATAGAGCTGAGGATGTTCATCATAGCCAATGCTTTCGTGGTATTGATACGAATGAGTTCGTTGGGATCCAAATAGCCACCCAGGAGGAAAGGAACACCAAGGTACGGTATGATGTTCTCTATAATTATCTAGGCCAAATATATGTAATTATTCACCTAAACAACATCACATGTATTTTCTTATCTGCCCATATTCATTTACAAGGCCTCAGACATGCCTTTTCTCTAAACAAATTACTTATTTCAAAAGATATAAAAGAGACCCAAATGTTATCTCGAAATAAAGACATTCACATCTTTTTATAGTCTCGCTATTTGATTTAGTCCACTATAATCCTAATTGATAAGAGTTACATAGGGAAATGAGTTAACTGACTTTAAGGGTGATTCATAAAGGCTATAGGTCATAGGGTCATTATGAGGGCCGAGAATAACACATTTATCAGGGTGCCAGCGGTAACCAAGGGCGTAACTGTAACTTTCACATTGATGTAATAGATGTTGTAGATGGTGACGGTCTGCAATCAGTACCACATCATTAGCGTATAACAGGCAATTCAGCCGAGTGGCTAGTTCACAGGGAGATAGATGATGTACAGGTTAATGTGAGCGTAGGATACCTGGTAGCTCATTGATGAGTATGAGTAGAGTAAGGGAGATAGGACGGCCTTGCAGGACTTCGGTGGTGGGGTGGAATCGGGCTGATTTGGCATTATGCAGAATCACTTCAATTTGTACCTCGTCAAAAGGTGTAATAGCCAGCCACACTGTACGTTTAAACAAAGATTCTTATTACATAATATTAATTTTTAAAGGCCAATGGACACGAGATAATAATCTTATCTAAATTGCCCAAAGCAGCTCCAAAGGCTGAGTAGTATCTAAAAACCCCTTAGGGCTCGAGAGTAAAAAGGATTATGTACTAAAGGTTTGGGGGAGGGGAAGAGGGTAACCAGTCGAGCAATAGATGTCCTAACCGAGGAGTTGTATGCGGTTCTCGAAAGTGGTGTAAGTAGTCGAGTTCAAACAAAATGTGACAAAGTACTGGCCAAAGAAAATGCCAGTTTTGCATTTGGGATGGGATGTGTAGGAAGACGGTTGAGGACATGAGATATGGGATCACAGACTGATGGGGGAGTCGTAGGCGGTGCAGCCACACTGTACAGTTTTTTCCATTCAGATTTGGACAAACTTTTAATTTTTTTAGATAGAATTAAAGTATATAATCAGAATACTTGCAATTATTTTCTAAACGAAATGGGCAAATTTTGTAAACCGTACTCGTCATTTCTATTAGATAACCTTTTTTGGTCAATCGAAAAAGTTGATTTTTACAATGCTTTAGACGCTTTCAGCAACACTTTTCTCATGTTTTTGTTGTCAGAGTTATAATAATGAAGAGGTTCTTTGAACCGGGAAAAGCATCCCCCTTTTTTGTAACTTTCAGCCCTGCCCTACTCATGTATAAAAATTCTATTATATAGAAAATTAGATCTGTAAAAGAAAAGCATAAGAATCAGATTAAAAAGAATCCATTTGGTAACTCAGACATATTAGGAATATTAGACACCGTCCGTGGCTGTAGTATCATTATTTGCAAAACTTGTAAGATACTATGGAACCGCGATGTCAATACAGCAAAAAGTATGATGGCTATCAGCATCTCTATCTGGAAGATAATTTCTTAATCCCTTTTTCTTTTTTTCGTTATAGATTATTTTTATTTAAAAATAATAAATTAGTAACACATCGCTGAGGGGTGGGACATGGACAGGAACAGACAATTTCTTTGATGCTAATTAGTCGAAGGCAGCCGCGTCTCGCAAGCGCTGCGAGGAAGACAAGCTCAAAGAAATAATATTGTGGGCTTTACTAATGACGGATGGGGGGGGGTGAAAAGGAATGTCATGGAATATCATTCGGAAGAATGACGTCCAGATAGCTCAATGGATACTGAAGCAGACGGTGAAAAATCGAGATTGGTGAGACGAAGGTAGCGATAATGGCGTGTGTAATCGGAGAGCAGCAGAGATGCTTTGGATCAAAGCAGAAGGACGGGAAGTATACCGCGAGGCCTTTTGCCATATCTGCCAGCGTAGAGGGCAACTGGTTATGAAATGGTCCAACGTATCAGTATCATGATTACAAAGTCTGCAGGTAGCCAATGAAACTACCCCTACGGCTTGTAAGACTGATAAGCATGGTAATTTTTTCAAAATGGTGCGATAGCCTAGGTCACGAGACGGAAGAAACAAAGGGAGGGAGCAGAACAGGGTGAACATCCGTTTGGAAACTATCCCTATACCTGATGCTGGTTGTATTTGTGTGTTATGATAAAGCCTAAACGTTGAAGCCGAACAAAGGTTACTGTTGGCCAATCGTCGTAGTAGTGAAGTTTCCAATGCCTTATCTGATTCGTCGGTAGTTATAGAAGAGCTTGCCCGCAATCTATTGATATAGGGGTGAAGTTGCACTGTAGAATCTGTGAGTAATTGGCCCCAAGAGATGTGAAAGCTACCGCGGTTTCATATTATATTCTCCTGGTCGTTCCATTATGAGGCGGTTGGTGGACCGATCGTAGACGAAAAAGGCGTTTGCGAGCATCTTGGGATGGCGTTCTAGCCAGTGCGATTCTGGTAAGCTTATAAGCAAAGAACTTAATGGAGAGAGTAACAAGCTCCCGAGTGGAATATCCTCTAAAGGGAGGGTAAGATCCAAATGACCAAACGCTGTGAACATAATCGGTATAACCGAGGTAGGGTGACAAATATGAGGAGTTCGATGAGTAGCGCAAAAGAAAGGAAGTTTGGGACTAGTAAATGTGATGGCCATCAGCCGGAAATGACGTCGAAGGAGTACTTGAACTAGGGACGGCTTTGGTGAAAATAGCATTATTAACCATTTCATTTGCAGGATTAAATGTTGTATCGCAACGGATGACAAATCAACTCCTCCTAAGTGTGTGAGCAGAAGCAGGCGAGCATAGAAAACTAATGGGAACTCTTTCCGCCATACAGACTGACAGCTAAGTTTCTGTAAGGCTTTGATAAAGGCTTGGTAGGATGGAATATACGAAGACAGTACCAAATTTTGGACAATATAAGTGTATTTATTATCGTTACCCGACCGCGCAATGATAATTGTCTCTGTGAGTAAAGTGCCGGTTGCTGTTGAACAGATTCTATTAACATATCCTGAACAGAATTTCATTGCCGAGTCGTATATGGTAGATAGAAGCCTAAATACCTGAGAGGGGAAGGAGAAAACTTAAGAGTAAAAAACAGAGATATTATGCGACTGCAATAAGGATGTCCAAGACATGGATTTATCCCCTGATAGAGAAACGGCTTCCGTCTTGTGTTGGTTGAACTGAGCGTTAGAAACTTCTGCGTAGTGTTGAAGGTGCTGACGTAACAGTTGAAAATTATTCGCATCTTTAACAAAAGCGCAGATGTCGTCTGCATAAGCGAGACATTTAATTCGCTGTGGTGATCCTTGAACATGCGAGTAATAACCCTGAAATGATTGATCCTGTTGGATAGATAGAAGCAGTGGTTCAAGTACGAGGTTAAAAAGGAGAGGGGTTAATGGATCCCCTTGTCTCAGTCCCCGGGTCTGGGCAATATCATCCGTGAAAAACCCGTTGGTGTTGATTTGAACAGCATTGCCAAAGAAGAGTTGTTGAACGCAAGTAATTAACTTGGCAGGGAAACCGAAGCGCTTCATAACTTGTTCCAAGTAGCTGGGGTGAACACGATCATAGGCCTTTTCTTGATCTAACAAGAGGCCTATTCCTTCTGATCTGAACTGTCGCGCTTGTTGTAAAATTAGATGTACTATCAATCCATTCTCACCTATGAAACGGTTTTGAAGAAAACCTTTCTGATATGGGTTGATGATTCTAGCCATAATGGGAGCCAAGCGTTGTGTGAGGAGGCGCGTAAAGATTTTCCCGTCGCAATTAATCAAAGAAATGGGACGCCAGTTCTTCAAAGACGTTAAGTCACCTTTCTTGGGCAAAAGGCGGACCCGTATATCTTTCCATGAGCTAGGAAAGATCCCATCACTTAAAGCATAATTGTATACTTTTAAGATAATTGACTGAAGAAAAGGAAGGCTGAATAAAAATGCTAAGTACGGATACCCTAGTCCGTCCTTTCCAGGGCTACTCTGGGTAGGAGACCGCTTGGCCAACTGGCGTAAGTCATCGATTGTAACGGACGTTATTAAGTTCTCAGATTCGAATGATTCTACTTTAGTTGGGAAGTGGATGCTATCTAAATATGCCCGAATAGATTCAGGTGCAACTGGCTGGGCGGTGTACAATCTTTGATAAAATTCTTTGACAAGCTGTTGCATACCCTGTTGATCTGTGATCACGTCATTAGCTTCATTGGTTGTGTCTCGGCGGATGCCGGCCATGTATTGTTGTGTGCTTCGTTGTTGATGTAATCTTTTCAGGTATGAGGCTGATTTCTCGCCCTGTTCCCTCCATCGAACGCCGGATTTTAAAGCTGCTATATCTGTGAGCTCCTGTTGTAGTTTATAAATTTTGCCCATCAGCGAAGGTAATTTTTCTGCAAGAACGGACGCAGGTGGTTTGGACCGTAACAGGCGGTTGCGTTATTTTTCAAGTTGAGTTAGAGTTTTTTGTCGCCAACAAGAGATTTTCCTTCGATATGTTTTGGCTGTTTCTTTTGTAATTTGCTTTATTTCCCACTGGTCTTGAGGCGTAATTCGTGAGTCAAACGATTCCACGAGACGCTCTAATCGATGGGTGAGATGTTGTTTGAATTTATCTTGTCTTAATAAAAATGGGTTCGCCCGAAGCATTCCAGGACCTAGTTTGGATTTGCCTACCCGTAACTGGATGGACAAAATCGAATGGTCAGACCATCGAGGGTCAATTCTTATATTAGCGTTGTTGTAAATACCGTGTCTAAGGCTTTCGCCCAGATAGATATAATCAATGACGGATGTGACGACCGATGTCGGTCCGTGTTGCCGTTGAAAAATGGGTAAGCTGTCCATATTGTTAAGTAACATACTATTGAAAAAGGATTCGGTAAGCAGTGCTTCCCAAATGTTAGATGTGGCAGAGGTTAAGTCATTTTCACGGAGATGCGAATAGTTAAAGTCTCCTGAAATAATCAATCTGTCTAACTGGATGGTTGTATTCAAATTGTGTAGTAATTTAGTCAAGTCGGAAAAGAAAGAACGTCGAGTCGGTGGGGATGAAGCGGGTGCATAGAGATTCAGTATATAAAAAGGTGTAAAAAACTGTTGAGGATGGGCAACTTTACAAAGCTGATATCGATGGGATGAGTACCATGCTGAAGTATCTAATAAAGTCAATTGATAATTTGGTGAGAAAGAGATAATGCCTACATAATCAGTCCAAAAGGTTTGAGTAGGTTGTAATTGTAGTTGTAAGCGATCGATTATGTTTGAGGAGTAGGTATGCGTTTCTTGTAGACAAAGGATATCAAATTTTTGAAGTTTATGATATCGTAGATAGTTATGGGTTGAAGTGGAAGTTGAGGATGTGATGGTCTTCACCAAGCCGTTGGCATTCAGTGAAGCGTAGTGACAAGAGATATGTTTTGTCATTATATACATATTGTTTAGGGTAATGTATTATTGATGAGCCTCTTCGGCAGAGGCGTCATCCTGACGTCTATTAATTTCCTTTACTAAAACAGTTAGATCATCATGAAGCCTGCGCAGTGCATTTGCATCTTCGGTTGATAAGTCTTCCACGGCTAACCCGTTGTTCTCCATTTGATGTTCAAGTTGAGCTTCGTCAAACAATTTCCGTTTATATGCGATCATTAATTCATCCAGAGGTATATCTTTCTCTGCGACTAATTGTTCAACTTCCATGTCATCAATATCTTCGTCGGCGTCACTGACGATATCGGTATCTGATTCATCCTGAACGCTCTCAGCTTCAATTGGTTTACTAGGTGATGCGGTTTCAGTACTGGCTGCATGAATAGATTCGGCGATTACGGGAGCGGGAGTAGTCTTTCTTTTCTTAGCTTGCGGATTAATCGTCTTACGAGGGCATTCAAAAACCCGATGGCCAAGTTGGTGGCAGTTGTAACAGCGGATTCTTGCTTTGGATTTTTCACATTCAAATTTAGTATGACCAGTTTCATGACAATAGCGGCACCACGTGGGCATGTTGTTCCAAGTACAATGGAAGACTTCATCTGTGTTTTGCCACATAACAGTGTGTGCTAATTGAATTATTGTGGAGTCGGTGGGGTTTGTGCTCAGTACAGCGTAAACTGATCCCATGAACAGGCCGGTGGTAGGTTCAGTAACGATGCCTATGTCAACTAAGTCTCCAAACGGTTTCAGGCTTTCTTGTAAACCAGCCAATACTTCGGTGGGGGGCAACATAGGTAAATTCGTGAGAGTGACTTTAGTAATGGTTTTCGTGTCATCGATAGCTTGGCAGGGAAGAATTTGTAGTTTGGCTTTGGGAAACTTGACGCCATTATAAGCGAGATCATTACTGTCCTTCTGGATATATATCTCAAGATATCTGTTACTACCGTCGTTTGCAATGGTGCACCCATATACCTCCAGGTGCTGTTCCTTGACTAATTGCATACACTGAAGTTCGGAGTACTCTTTGAGAACCGGTGAAATAGATAATAACAAAGCCCCCGTTGTACGTGAGGACCTATAGACACGTGTTTGAAGGCGACTATAAGTCGTGCCTTCATCAATATCAGGAGCTTCGATGCCTTTATGCATCAGCGAAACACGTTTAGACGCCGTGACCACTTGGGCATAGGAGCGTTTAGAATGATTTTTGGGCTTGGAGGCCGAGTTGGACTCCGCTGACCAAGAAAAGTGTTGGGAGTTGGGAAGAGCCATGAGTTAACATCTATAACAAATGTGCCAGAACGAAACTGGCTTGATTTTTACAAGTAAAATGTCTCCATTTTAGTGTAGTTCAGTCTTCAATTTAAACTCAAACGTCTCAAAAATTTTGTTTGTCACGTCCAGTTATATTTCAGCTTTGTCTAAACCTGAAGCTGAAAAAACTATAGTCACGTTTTTGAATAAATTTTTTATTCAGCTTAAGAAATATAAAGGACCGTGTCAGTTTTTTTATTGAACTGTAGTCTCTTTTTTCTTCTTTTATTTTTGGAGATGTCGCAGTTCTATCTGTATGGTTTGAAAAGGTAAAGTATCTACGCCAAAGTTCAATATGCTCAATTTGGACAGTCTGAAAGCGAAAGGATGGCTTGTTAAATGATGGAAAACTTTTTTGGTCCCGAATCTTTACATTTTCCGAGCGGTTCACAGTCTTTCACGAGATGTGGGTTAACCAAGGTGAACAATCTCTGAGACAAGCTATCTTTTCATTTTCTTTCTTTTAAAATTGAGCACGTATTACTTTTCTGTTACATGATTACTAATTTTTGCTCCTCTGCACGAATAGGTCTTACAAACCTTCAAACCTCTGCTGTCCTCCCTTTTTAACCTTTTATTTAATATAACAATTTCTTAAATGAATAAAATAAAAATTGTAATGACCAGTATACATATGAACTTAGTTGTTTAGTATCATAGATGGGTATCATACCCTTTGTCATACCCTCTGTTTTCCTATCATTCAGCATATAACTCTTCAAAGTTTCTTTATGGTGATCCTAAGTACACAATCTTTTGTTTATTAAAATTCTTCAATATAACATGGCCTAAGCTTTCATCAGTCATCTCATGTATTCTAGTCCTTCAGTAAGCATACATGTTATGATATCTTCTATTTCTTTGGCAATGTTGCCTACTTCATCTATCTTCGTGTATAACTTAATGTAGCTAAAATAGCCTTTCGAGGTGCACATCTGTCTCTGTGCTTAATTTCCACCAGTAATTTGTTAATTGAATGGCCCATGGTCGTGATAGGCGATTAGTAAATACTTTCTAATATTGACGCTGCTATCGTTATTTGAATGAATTTCCTTTATCTGTCTCGTTTTCCCCTTGATGATTTATCTGAGGGCGAAACTTGTTGTATGGTCATTTGATTGTTACTAGATGAACATATCAGATTGGGATATGAACATAAGTGTCCACAGAATCGATCGACTGTAGGGACCTACCCTTTTCCTTTCATAACCATTTGAAAAAGAGGTAGCAATCAGAAAAAGAGAATCTCTATGTAAATAGAAAGAAAAACTTGACTTCTGCTCACATACATATATAACAATATAATATTCTTGGGAGGCAACTCTGTTAACGGTCAGCAACTGCCAATAAAAGTGGAAGCGAACGCTCGAAAACCACATGCATTTGTATAGGTAACTTATTTCATTTTTTAAAGCACCGGTTAAGAAAACCTAGTTAGCCTATGAAGCGTCGAATTATCTTCGTGTGAATGGCAGTATATAATGCTAAACTTTTGCGATCTACTGTATGCATTTTAAAAGTATCTTTGCAACTTGCATTCCAACATCATCACTTATCATATTTCAATTTCCTATGGATTAAGGTATATACACCTGCCAAAACTGTACATAAATTCTTTTTATTTACTTTTACAATAAGAGCGACACATCTCCTTTTCGTATATGGTGATGTATAGGAGTGAAAAGAGAAATGGAAAAGTCGATAGGGTGTGATATAATAGATTAGATTTAAGAACATGGCTATACGATTATCAGTATGTCTAAAATTGGATTGTTTTGCCTTAATGGAACTGAAAAACGTAAGCTCTTTTTCATATTACTCTTTATCAATTTGGACAGAATTGTTTTCCCTTGTGATTAAAGTCCACTACCACCTTGAGATTCACGTTGAAGTCTAGCAACATAGGCACGAGAAACAACGTTCCAAGCTTCCATATAACGATCCATACATTTAGAGAGACAAGCTTGTTCTCCAGATTCAAGACGAGCGCCAGGCTTAGGAACACACTTTAAGTAGCATTTTTCATTAATTTTCTATAACGAAGGTATAAATCAAATTCATCAATATCTTCTTTCAACATAGACCGCTAAATCAACAGCCCTTCAAGCCCCCTTCCCCCAAACTCTCTCACAAGAAACACTACTAACATTGATAAGTTCTTGAGCATTGGCTAAAGCAAGTTCAGAACGAACTTGGTCCATTACTTCTTGCTTCTTGTTACCCTAAGTTACAACGGGAAATGACACATATTTGTAAATGTCGAATTGTTAATGCTGATCAGTTCGCAGTCAAATTTCTCAGAAAAAAAACCCTTGCCGCTTTTTTCAACATATAATTTAGCTTCTAACTTACGGAGTCACCACCAAGACCATAGGAAGGAGTAGAATAATCGCTCATTTTAAGTGTATTAAATGTCGTGAAAGATGTTTAAAAACGAAAAGAAAGCGGTGGTGTACCCCTACAATAGCTAAAATTTGAAAGGACTGGAAGCCCACCGCCCTCGACCCCAGGTTGGCCCAGTCACGGTCGCCAGCTTGAAAATTGGACGTTTATGCACGCAAGCTTATTTGCCAATCAATTATATAAGGGCTTTTTTGTCACTTTGAGCAGCCAATAAAATAACACGATATAATAGTATCTTTTTCATCAAGCCAAACAGATGTTACCGAATCATACGTATATGAAACTGGTAAATAAATGTGAAGCCATTTAATTTGATGGAAGTGCCTCTAGGTGTCTCTTACTCGAAGAACAGGATGATATTTATGGCAAAAAAGGTAAATAATGGTTCGAATTGAAGGGTTTCATTATGAAAAGTGCACAACATTGGGGGGGGGGGGGTAAGAGGGGGTAACATTTTCGAGGGTTATGATGGAAAACAAATCAACTGCTTTCCCATTATATATATTGTTTAAATTATTTAAAAATGAAAAACAAGATAGATCAATGAAAGGCAGCCACAGGTGCTATAATGTTGGAGGGTGCTCGTTCCTCAATGATCGCAGAGTTTTCATCATGTGCAAACATAGAGTAATTGATAGGTTTGTGTTTAAGCGGGCTGCCAGCGCCGTAAAACTTAATATCCACTGATTTTGCTTGCTCTTCTGAACCAAAACCATTAATATCGTTCCTGGAAGTGATGAGTGAAAGATGTAATTTGTTAAAGTGCATTATATCGTTGAAACGAATGTTATTGCAGGTAGGAAGGGTATGATTGGTGTTCATAACAAGGGAATTATCACATTGACTCCTACTCATAAAGGTGGTTCTTGTTGTAGCATTGTTGAATTTTTCGCGTTGTTGTGCTTCTTCAATTGGAATCTAACAAAAGTAATGTTATTAAATGCCGATTTATATGATTGTGTAGTGAATGCTAGGCTTATTCGACGTTTACAAATAATTTGTCCATGTTTGAGATTCCATCCATACCAGCATGGTTTAAATGCTTAACAAACATAGGTTGATTATAGATTTATGAAGAGGTCATCGATTCGTAAAAGCGTATCTACGATACTTACAACAAAATCTGTAGGATTACCGATAATAAGTTCATTTAAACTACCCTTCTTATTTGTTTTGTTACGTTTATGAAACTTGTGGCGTCTTTTTTCATTATGTAGTTTTACAGTTGTAGCTGCATCATAAGGCCCGACCTTGATTTTAGTGGATCGTTTGTCATGACCATGCTTAGAAACAGAAGCACCCATTATGAACAATATACTTGTAACAGAGGCAGTAAGGAAAACTATATGCTAAAAGGTAGAAAAAAAAAAAAGAAACCTACAATGGAAGAATGAATTCACGGACTATCTGGGTCACTTTTATATCTCTTATTCTCTTTTTGTTTTCTTGCTTACGCCTACTCAAGCAACGAAAATAAATTTTAAAACTGAGTGAAAAATTCTATGCATGGAAGATCAAAAAAAAAAAAAATTACTTTTTTAGATACAAACAAATACGGTGTCATAGACAATTCACAATGATAGGGCTTTGATTACGCAAAGCCATATGCTTTCAATGAAAATACAATCTTTCAACTACGCTTACATTTCGCGCCATAGCTCTCTAACCAGAATAAAACATCGCGGCCTTAGTTCATGAAATTGCAGCATAGTCGACTAAATGCCCAGTCATTAATATAATGGACTATTGTAAGCTACCCAGAATACAGAAAAATGATGGAAGCTTCTCAATTTTTAGGTGACATTTACCATGAGAACACATGATCGACTTGCTGTAGACAAAACATCTCATTTGAAAGCTCTCTGTTTGAATTTATTCTTTTGCCTAAAAAAGCAACTCTAAGAAACGACGTTTGGGCAGGCGCGGGGATCAAGTAAAAAAGCTCGGATCGCTTGGTTTTCGCACAGAATGATTAATATATTGAGATATTTTTACAGATTAATTTAATAAGCATTTTGAATGATAAGCATCGTATTGGGATTATTACTTTTTCCGTCAAAATGCTCAATGTCAAATGTGCGACCTACTCTTACTCAAAGAAGGTACTTTGCCAAAGCACAAAATATCCACCCTGTTAGAGGATTTCATGCAGCAGTCAATGAAAATTGCAGAAACGTACACTGAGAAGTTTTGCAAGATGAACTCACCTATATGCGTAAGTATCAATAAGCCGTCTGGTTCCGAGCAACCGACAGCACTGTCTTCGCTACGGCCATTCTGTGGAATGAATTGTAATGGTCTTCCATGACCTGCTCAAACTGAAGTGGCGATAGTCATCATATTCTTTGAAGTGTTTATATCACATTGCCAGATAATTATGGCAGTGCTTACAAACTTTCGTACTGTGACACCAGAGATTTGCCCTTTCATCTTCACTGCGTCCTTTTCCGTACACTTCCCTGACGAACACGACAAGAGGCATGAATGACCTTTCTTCCATATATTTCTGTGGTCACCATCTACCTCCGTCTTCCCTGTATCTGAATCAAAAGTAGGTCTTCAAATGCCTTAAGAATAGCATCTACCGATAAACACCTATCAGCATAACCCAACGTCTTCCTCTTTTCTCGTCGGCTTCTTTTTTGTCATTTTTTTTTTTTCTTCTTCTTCTTGAGCCTCCATGCGCTACCGTTTTGTCATTTCAACTGTCTTCTTTTGGCCACTATTTAGTCGTTGTTTCCTTTTCTTGTTTCTGTTTGTATTTTCTTTTCCTTCTAGTATACTTACGACCACCGTCGATCAACGTACTAACTACAATTACATAAGGTTTTCGAAGAGATAAACAACATTAGAATAGAAATACCACTTTAAATTGAATAGTATGTCAATATTCAGAAACGCATGAATGACCAAAGAGTTTCCTGACAATCTGTGGTCTCCAACATTGAAACAATTTACAATTGTAGCAAAACAGATAGAAACGGATAAATGTAGGGTCTACCATTCTTCACTTATTGAATATCCATAACAAAAGCAGATATAATCCTCTTCTTTATTCATCTTAACCACTAGTTGTTGATCCTATGAGTGAGTGCTAGGCTAAGGTTAAAAATTAACCTCCAAGGTACTCCATTAGACAGCAATAATGCTCTTATACCACGTGTGGTAGGCCTGCAAAACAATTACTCCTGAGGAATGTAAGGATTGGATCAAATATGCTGAAGACAGAAAGAAGTGGGCATAAGATACTAGAAGTGTCCAAATTTTGAAATTAAGTAGTCGGAAAACAATTACTTGAATTATCTTGAACTGTGTTAATGAATAAATTCAGTTTTTTATACGAAAAAGTTTAATTAAAAACCGAAAATACAGTAGTGAGGTCAAGTGCATAAAGAGTTCACATGGTATCGTAATGTAAGACGGGGTCAAAGACCGAATTCTACATCAAAACTGATACAGAAAAAGCTTACTATAATGCTTGGCGTTCTGATCAGATTTCTAGCGATTGTGAGACGCTATAAATATACGGATATTCGCCAAGTTACAGAGTATGAGGCGGCTTTTGAGTAACCAGTTTATCTTGAGGTATCCGTTATTCTTCCATTGGTTCCATTTTGATTAAAACATCTACAGGCTCTTGCTTAATTTCTGGTTTTACTATTGGGTGGCTGATCTTATTTTCATGGAAGGTAATCCAGCCTTCTCTTCTCAGGGAATTCTTTTTGCCCCATAGCTCCAAAAATCGGCCTCTACCTATTTTCTCATCAAAAGCTGCTTTTGGTAGCAACGTTTCTATCATCTCATACACTCCAGGCGGTTTCGGTTCCGTATATTCATCATCGATCCACTCCGTAACTGGCCTTTGAAAGTCAATAATAACGTCAGGAGAACGCTGATGTCGTAATTCGAAGCCATCGCCCTGTTTCAGAAAACGCATAAATGTTGTAACATAAGTTGCCTGTTATAATGGACATCTGCTACTATTTTTTCACACTGACCTTTTTAAACATAAGCAGAATCTCTTTCGTTGAGCTGAAATATGGGCTAGGCTCATCTAAATGTACATTATTAACTGATTTTTTGAACCATACGAGGTTTTCTACATATTTACAGTCTAGAGCACATATATGATATTCAATCTTTTAAGCGCGTTACTTTCCATAAGTTTAGAAATATGGCTCGCCTTACCTAGGGTATACATTGTACGTACTACATCTGCTTGAATCATTTTATGAACCCAGACAAAAACCATGCCGGCTGTCATGTGCTTGGTTACTTTTTCCATTAAACTGGAAAAGTCGTTCAAATTTAGCGTACAACTTCCATCATTTTTTCCGTCTGCAACATAGTGATCCCAAGGAGGGTCGACCAAAATGCCTTCCAAATCTGACTGCAATTGTTGGCTTTCGGTTGGTGATGTGTCTTTGGCTTTCGAATTACTTATGATATTGTCAAGCATGGCTGAACATTCGTTCATATCATTCAATTCAACATAAACATATTTTGACAAATCAGTTTTTGGCTTTTTCACTAGAGGCCGTATCTGTTTTACGCCACTGAAGAGATCATTAGGTATACGGACGTGTGAAATTAAATCATCCGGGGTGTCGATCTTTCTCTTTTTAACACCTGTGAAGAATCGAGATAAGGACGCTTGCTGGATCTTGTTAGTTGTTGCACTATTTGGATGTTCATTCGAAATGGATTTCTGTAACATCAGTGCAGTATTCTTTTTCAATATCATCTCCGTTGTGGTTAAACCTCTGCGCCATTCTTGCTTATCTAACCAATATTGATGCCTGGTATTTTTGTCTAAGTAAGGTCTAACAAAAAGAAAGCATTGTTAGTTCCTGTTAGTGGAGTAAATTTGTTTTGTTATCGGAATTACTCTAAAAATTTCTTATAGTTCTCTAATCGAGATTGCCACTCTGTTTCCCAATCTCTCTGTTGAAGGTGAGCTATCTCCGGATCAACAGCCTCTATCATAAAATCATAATCGGTCCCGGTTTCTCTATTCTGTGAAGGCATTTTTTTCAGTAAATTTCCTATGCTTGATCCTCTTGATGTCGTTTTCAGCACTCTTGGAGCAGCTTTTTTCGCAGTAGATGATCGTGACGGACCTTTTTTTAAGGAAGCAGATCCTGCATGAAACTCTTTCACCCATTGATCTACGTTTTTTTCTATCTCCTTCACTTCTTCATCTTCCCATTCTGGCCCTAACTTATCCATTACCGGCACTTTGTATCCTGGGGGTTTGCCTCGATTCGTTTGTTTCAATTTTCCATTGATGGTCTCGTAACTGTCGTCGGTTAACTGTCCAGCACTAAGGAGTCGACGATAATTGCCCATACATTGATACCCAACCTATGTTCAGCATGTAAGTTGAAGACAAGATGTCAAAGGAAAGTGAAATTCAAAAAGGCTGTAGATATCTTACTCTGTGAGGTATAGCGCAGCTAAACATTCCCCAGGATGCACCAATTTTATATTCTTTTTCTACCCATTCATTATATCTTTTCATAAATAATGCTTGTTCTGCAGGACTCCAAGGACCTGTTTTAACTCCTTCACCGGGCGTAACAAATCGAAAATAAAAGGCTTCAGGAGACTAAGAGTAGATTTCAATACCAAAAAAAAAAATAATAATAATTATACTACAGTTTCAGTTGGCTGTTGGGTACCATTCATTAACATGGTTTTTTTTTTCATCTTCATTGACTGTCGTTACCGTGTATCTAGACTGCCAGGCTTTTATACGTGGCTCTTGCCAATTCTTCACGCTCTGTCTGGTAAACACATCCTCCCCTACGGTTGGCTTTTTTTTTTTTTTCTTCATCTGATTCTCAGTGGCTAATTTCTTGCTTTCATTGTCGTCAGATACAGACAATGATTTCAATCGGGGTGTCTCTGTATCAATTGCATCACTAATTGTGTTCTTCATTTCTGTATCGGTACTGTTTTCAGGTTTCATATCAATGTCATCATTGTGGTGAGTTTGTGCAGGCTGATTTGTATGTGATTTGATTAAAGTGTCACTCAAAGTGGCTGCCTGCTGCCAAAGTGAGCTATCGTCATCGTCGTTCTCAAGAGTCATGTCTACGTCTTCTTCCATATCAATATGCATACCTCGTTGATGACAACTAGTATCATCTGGTTGCTGCTGTTGTCGTTGCACTTCTTTGATGGGTTCCAGTCTTCCTTTTCCCTTTCCTTTCTATTGAATGGTACGGAACAGATGCATTTTATGAGTATTCTAAACAACACTGTAATAAAGATGTAATATTAATTTTACCATGGTGGGTTCTTCTCGCTCTGATAAACATGAGAAATAGTTGGAAATCTGAACATCAGCTTGAGTGACTTTTAGATTGGCGATCTCTTTGGATCGATGACTTGTTGTTGCTTGTGAAGTTGACTGTATTCCGTTATTCTTTGACTTTGACAAGAATAAGACTTTATTTTTGCTGCTGCCAATCTTGGGAATAGAATGTGGACTCCACGATGACATGCTCCTTTTTTTCGAAAGTCGGTGTTGTTGTAAAAATTGAAAGGCGGGCTGATGCAAGATTGGAAAATTGTAACCTTTCGTTTTTAATGCGTGGATACAGTTGGGTTTGGACCTTTTTATCGCGTTCCGCGTTTTTTAAACACTCCGACATACAAGTAAGCGCTGGTACCTGAAATTCTGGATTGTGTTGGTCATCTTTTTTTTTTTTTTTTTCAGAAAGCATGTAAATCGTCTAGGTATAAGCTTAAACTGCTTCTTACACCTTATATCATTGTTCACTTTCAGTACAAAAAGAGTGCTTGTAATACACGGGTCGAACACTGTTGCACCTTCTCAGTAAAAAGTGTAGAGTGAACAAGGAATGTAATTTTATTGATTTTAAGCATAATATTGAAGCAATCAGTTCTTTGAAAAAGATATCATTGAAGTTGTAGTTTAGACAAAAAAAAAAAAAAAAGTATTTTTTGATTTAGGTGACATGACACTATAATAGAATTCTTTCATTTACATATGAGCGATTAAATAGCATTGTCTTAAAAATGTTTTTGATCCGTGAAAAGCATCAAGTGAGAAAGAGTCAGCTTTTCGCCTTTCTTTCTTATCCAACCTTTTGAACGCATGTTTTTCTCAATATCATAGTAGAACTTAGTTTTATGTGCACCTACTGTTCTGCTGTTACCCGAGTTTTCTGCAATCTTTTTCCATTCGTCCTTATTGATGTGAGCATTGGCAAAATCCTTTTTTTCACTCAAAATTTTGTAAACCGTTGCATTCAGCCTAGCAATTTCTTCCTTCGTCCATCGACGCCTATTCAATGCAGTAGTAGCTGACGCAGACGCAGACGCAGACGCAGACGCAGACTCAGACGCAGACGCAGACGCAGATGCGGCAGAAGCAACAGAAGCAGAAGCAACAGAAGCAGAAGCAACAGAAGCAGAGGCAGAAACACGAGGAAATTTGCAAACACGAGTAGCATCTTTTTTGGATACATTGAGGATTGAGATGTTGAGTTTTGATTCAAATCTAGGCAAGCTAATATATTTTGCGGCAGTAAAAACTGGTGTAGAATGGAAGCACTGTTCGAACAGTATTATAGTGGATTTTGGTTGGGCCAGACGCGGCTTAGAAGTTGACAAGAGTACCTGGAACATTTTTGAAGCTGTCTATTACTTTAAACGAGCGGGAAACTGTTTGAATTGAAGTTATAAAAGGGAGGGATGTTAATTGTGGTTGATGTCTATATAATCTTGTTCGAATAGAATGGCTGGTTTATATAGGTTTTACTCATGCTATGGTAGCTTAATCTCGTTTCATTGTTCTAATCATTTAATTGTTTATTACTTTCATGGTAAGCAGATATATACAAGTAGAGTTCATCTATCATATTTGAGTACTTAGAGTATTAATACAGCAGTAGTTCTTTGTACATTTTGTCACTTTGAACAATTTATCCAAAACATAGTTGAGGCCATAATGACTTTAGTACAACAAAACTGCTAGTTATTGCACGTGGAAGTAAACAGATAATATTAATACAATGAATATCCATACCATACGACCTTCCAAGCAAAGAACAAATGCAAATATACAGGCAATCCTTTTGTTCGACAAAAAAAGCAATTCATATGTTTAAAAGTTTTCCTGAAAGCATGCAACAAAGCTGACGTAATCTCCATCCTTATTTCAGTCGTGGCAGATCAATAACTCTCAACAGTTGAAAAGAGCCGCTGTTGCTTTATCACAGAAGTAACTTGATAGGCAGGTTATCGTTATTGAACGTATGATGCACAGAAGCTACACTTCGGTAGCTCAAGGGTTTTTTGTGGTTTTTGATATGTTATCTCAAAGTTATTGAAAATAAAGCAGAATTTTACATATGCCGAAAGGTGGTACATCAGAATATTCGCTTTTGGTCTGTCTATTGTTATTGCTGTTAAATGGACTTGATATGCACTATGGGCAACGCTAATGAGCGGTTTTTAAATAAAAAGGCATGACTTAGGAGCTCAACACTAGGTAATCTATTCGGTTATTTAACCCCTCTACTTTCGTCTTTCATATTTTTTCTTTTCTATTGTTTAATAAAACCCGTTGTGGTGCACTTGCGTTGTCTCAAGTGTGTCGCAGATTGGGGGGCTGAGATGCAGATACTCTTCGAAGTTCGGCTCAGATCTTTGTAGAAGACAATGCGACATGAGATCTGAGGGAGGCAACTTGGGAGCTGGGGGTTGGGAATAGATAGTCTCCACCTTCTCGTGGTTATTCCTGTAAGTAAAAGCGCGTTGCTTTGAAACTAAGAGAGACTTTTAACTAGTTCAATTTTTTTTAAAAAATAAAGAATCTTTACTTTCATGTAATTTTGTCCCGAATTCTATATACGATTACATTTTAAGCACTTTGGTGGTACTGCTGAAAAAATTACTTCTCCCCGTCTTCCCTTTTCCTTTGTCGGAAAGTCTTCCGTTTAAACATTTTATTTTTCTAAGCAGTGCTTTTTTTCATTTTTTATCTTCATCTTCATTAAAGCTGTTATGTCCTGGCTAGATATTAATATTAAGCCCTTGCTATAACCTAGCTATTTTATTGTCTTTTTTTGTATAACCATCTGAGGTGAGTCAGACAATATATTCAAGTGCTTTTTGAAGATAATCCAGTCTTTGTCCTCTTTGAGTTTCTTAGCCCACTTCTGTGCTGTCCTTTCTGCAATACCGCCAGCTAATCTACCAGATTTAGCAGCATTGAACAATTTTACCCTTTTATATAGATAAAGAGCAGTTTTTCTTCATTGTAGTAGCTTTTATCTGGCTCAATTTGCTGCTTTGTTTTAACTGCAATTTCTTCCTATTCAACATCTAAGTCTTCGTCAGTTAACTTTTGCTCTGAACCTTGCTTTTTGCAGTAGAGCTCAAGACGCGTTAGTGTTTCTCCCAATCCATTGCATCACGCCCTCCTTCGTCAACAATTCTTCCTTGTCCATCCTTTTAAAAAAACTATGTAGTCATTTAAAGCCGCCTTTGAGAAAATGAAAACCGCCCATAAAGACTTTTCAGAGGCCGCCTTTATATTTAAAAACCCACCTCCACATACTTCTCTGTATGTTCAAACAGAAAATTGTGTTACTCCACAATTACAAATTTTTTTAAAAAAAGGAACTGCTCGAATGCACGGATTCGGTAAATGTTAAATTTGATAGGGACAAATTATGACAAGAAATGTCGCTTTCTATACAGAAAACGAAAAGATTGGTAGCGTGATATCACGCTTGTCAATGAAAACTGTGTTAAATCCTATTGCTCATCTGCAACCAATCAAATGAATCCTGCCCCTTGACAGAAAACAATATGCAACTTTATGGTGCCGACAAAGATAGAAAAAAGCCCATATTTAGTATTTGGTAAAAGGTTAAAAATGTGGAGAAACGAAATGAACGTTTAATCATTCATAACTTCCTTCTTTCCTAACTTTCAGTTATGCTTAGAAAAACTATGACTGCTGCATTTAATATTCATAATTTGCCTGTTGAAATAATAGAATTGATCGCTTTCTACACGACCAAGCAAGACCTGTTACAAGTCTTGCGGGTCTCCAAAGCCTGGTATCATTATTTTCATGCCTTTCTCTATCAGTCAATCACAATAGATACAGTAAAAAGGCAACATACACTATTGAAACATTTTCAGACATGTCAAACGTCCCGTTATCATGTTCGCCAACTGGAATTAAAGCACATTCAACTTACTGCAGACGATGTTTCTGCTCTAACAGTTGCCTTTCCACATATTGATAGTTTGGTAATTCACTGGAGCATTTGGGACTCGCTGTTAAATCAAATGTACCATTCTCCTTACGAAAAACAACATGAAAGGTCATCTATTGCTGTTTCTGCCGATGCAAATTCGCTCTTTAATCATATACATCCTTCACAGGGTTTGGCGCCTATTTTACGGCACTTCTTTCAATTTTATGGTTCGAAAAACTTGAAGCATTTGACTTTGGATACCTCTCCACATTGTGTGCCTAACTATACTGATAACAATTCAATGAGTAATTTGGCAACAATAACAACAACTCATGTGAATACATCTTCTGTGGATGTCTGGTTTATACTTCAGCTATGCCCACGATTGAAGACGCTAAATTTACGAAATTTAAACTACGAACATCTGATCTGTATGGGCTATCTCGAAGTTATCCACCAGTACTGTCCCCTATTGACATCACTTTCTATCAAATGTGCGCGATGTGACGCCAGTCCACACTTGCTTCCACAGTACAATGACAGCCGTAATGAGGAAGACATCGCTGTTAATAACTATAGTAGAATTGATATTCAGCCTAGCATTCTTGAATCGTTCACTCTGTCTTCTAAAGCAGGATGTGCTAAATGGGCCAGTTGGCTACCTTATTTTGCAGTCAAATATCCTCATTTGCAACATCTCATGTTTAAGCATCGTGGGCTGGGTAAAGACGGAGGAGGAGGACATAGTAGGATCTACACCAATACAGTAGTACCTGAGCAAGTATTTGAATTATTTGTGAAAGGCTGCCGTCAATTGAAGTCTATTCATTGGAACAAAATTATTGTACAACCTAATCAATTAGACAGCCTATTCGAAAGCTACAGTAAAAGAAGAAAAGATATGATGCAGCAATGCAGCAATAGCAGGAAAGTCGAATATGATCAACCACAATTACAAAAAGTAGAAGCTTATGGATGTTTACAAACCATGCAGACGAAAAACTTATTGTATCTAGAATTACTCACTTCATTAACGATTGGTCAACCACCTGCACATTATACCACGACTCAAGTTATTGCATCGATTGGTCAACAATGTCAGCGCTTAACAAAACTGACAATTCAAGAATGCTTTTGTGATCAAGAATTAGCTTACCCAGTAGATATTATTTTGACTCATTGTAAACAGTTAAGAATACTGTCGATAAAAGATACGCATCTTATTACCGCTACTTCAACTCCATCACCATTGCTATTAGAGCATCCTCTAAAAAAACTGTATCTTAAACGGTCTTCCTTCACAAGCTCTGTTTTTCCCACCATCGCCAATCTTTGTCTACGTCTATCCCATGTTGAGCTATTAGGCTGTGTCCAAACTGATCGTCGAGACCAAATACGTATCGCCCTACCTTATCAAAATTTAACAACTCTGAAAGTTCAAGGGTTACGCACTAGGCAGTACTATTCCGGCTGTCGTATTCGATTTTTTCATATTGTGGATCATAGTATTCCTACGGAACAACAGCATCATTGGCATTATATGACTCGTTATGATGTTCGGAATCATCCTGTAGGACACAAACTTTGTTTCCAAAAATACCGCCACATGGAATACGCTCAGCAATTCGATCCACTTTATACAACAATTGAACAACACGACACTGATGATAAAACTCTAACCTCAATACAGAGAAGAAAGAGTAGCTGCATTATTCAAGAGTTAATTGAATCTTTGGCGATAAAAAATGACCATACTGCCACTGCCACTGAGCAGCAAGAGCAACAGATACAAGCGGATGGTATTAGTGACAAAAGACTGAAAGCTTGGGATATCCAGCAATTAGTGAAAAAGACAGCTCAGTATGCGGCAACAATGAAGCTTGAAGACTGGGAACCAGAAAGTATTTATTATAGCGGCTTTGCGCATTTAGAATATGCATCTGTTAAAGATCTATATATTAATCAAAAGAAGTTGATCCTAGACAAACAATGAATAAAAGTAAACTTGACATGTTTCAATACGTTACAGAAGGCCATCTCTGCTATTTATTTTGTTACAACACATTATTTATGAAAATGATGGATAGATAACACAGATCAATAGATGAACTCTATGTTTTGATTAGATTTAATTGGTTCTTTCGTCAATTATAACCGTTAGTTACATTTGACGTCGTTCGAATTTTCTTTCATACCTCTCAGAAAACGAAAATTCTAAGGCTTACCGTGTCCTGTGACAAATAAATGCATAATTTCAGGAACCGTCGAAAAGACAGAAAAAGTTAAAAAGAACATCACCATCATGAAAAACGTATATTTATGCCATCAGCAGTTGTCTACTACTTCTTTTTCTTCTTGGATTCGATCAAAGTACAATTATCATTGTTTCGTAGTACTTAATTCTATCAATCTATTCAACCCATTTATTGTAAAACTTTCAAGCAAGCAAGAATATATTCGCCTGTTACTCGCACACAATATTCGAATTCACTTACACAAATATGTTATTGCAGGCTCCCTTCGAAATTATTGAAATCGTCAACTCTTACTTAACTATTCAAGATAGAACAGAATTAGTCAGAGTCAGCAAAGATTTCCAGAGTATATTTACACAGTTACTTTATAGATTTATTACAATTACAACGTATAAGCAGTTACAGCAACTACTTTATCTATTCCAACAATCTGAAGAATACCATTACAACAACAGTCGCAACCATCAACATCGCCCTCTTGGACACTGTGTTTATCAATTATCCATTCTCCTCGACGCTCTTACTGAACATGAATTGAACCAAGTCAAGCATTTCTGTCCTTGCTTACAGACAATACACATCGATTGGCGTATATGGAATTACTTGGCTTATAGGATAGAAGAGCCTAACTCTACTGTTAGAAACTATTTTCCACGCCGTGAATGGCCATCTACTGTCGTTGATTTCATTTCCTACTATGGATCGTGTCGGCTTTCCTCTCTCACTTTGGATATACATCGTATGCATGGTAAAAGTCGTCTTTCAATGTCAAAAGAAGAAATTATACGCACTACCGGCGGTCGAAATATTCTTTGCAACACTCCATATCTGAGGCATCTGACACTCATGGGCCTTAATCAGTACGTGAACGTGTCTTTCGAGTTCATCGAGTCCATTCACCGACTGTGCCCTCTGTTAGAAACCCTTGCTATCGATGCATATCAAGCAGAAGCTCTCTCAGACTATTCGACTACTACTGATAATACAGTAAATGGAGAGGAAGACAATTTCAATGACTTTAACAACCTCCCACGACTATTTAATTTGATGACAACCTGTACTACTCCTTCGCCTCATATGCGCTCTTTCCACCTTAAAAGCCAGTATGGCGCCGACCGTTATTACGAATGGCTACCCTTCTTAGCCCTCAAATATCCTAATCTACAATCATTAGACTTCCATCATGCTGGTACCAGCAAAGATATGATTGCACCGTTCTGTCCAATATCTATATATCAACATTTTCTGTCAAGTTGCCCACATATTAGATCGATGAAATGGAATAACGCAGCGCCAGACTTCCGGTTTTTTCATGAGCTTAACAAATTGAAATATAGTGGATTATCACAGCTAGAAATCTACGATCAGGTGGCTTTACCAGACTTGTTTTACAGGGCCTTGTTTGATTGTCAATATATTAATATTTTAGAACACATTACTGAATTGACCTTGGGACCTTTACCAACCAAAAATGTTAATCATCAGCAGCACGAAGCGGATAACAACAGTGAGCGTGCTATTAGAAGTAGCAGTAAAGTCTGGTCGTCTCCCGATGATCTCATAAAAGCAATAGGTGAAGCTTGTCCCAAACTATTGCATCTAGAATTACGAGAGCCTCATTGCAATATTTCTATGCCTTTCAAAATTGACACGATACTCAATCATTGTCCAAGACTCAAAAGTTTATCTCTTAACCGTATTGCACTGCGGCTCTCAACACCACCACCATCAATGTCCGCAGAAGCGTCTGGTTCAGTTCTTCTTCATCCATCCCTGCCGTTTGCAATGCCTGTTCTCAACGATCATCCTTTGAGAAAGTTGGTGATGCACCATTGCTCTTCCTTTGACGGTGTCTTTACTCACATTTCTTACCGTTGTCGAGATTTAAAAGAACTAGAACTCTTTGCTTTTACACAACGTGATCGACGCTATAAAGTTCAAATTCATATGCCGTATCAGTCATTTACAAATGTACAGCTTCATGGTTTGCGAACGGAGACCTTTGATTTGGAGCGACGAATCCGATTTTTTAGTATCTCTGACGCTACGCAACAGCAACAACAAACAGCCAATTGGTATTACATGAAGGAATTCCATTTGTGTGATCAACAAACGACTTGTGGTCGAAACACATATCACTATCGTTGTTGCTTGGAAACGGCCAATCAGTTCAATGCTTTGACAGGTTCAGAGGTCTGTTTCTTACGTCAATTATTGGCAAGACCAATGGCCTGGGAAGAAGTTGAGTTGATGAAAAGAGAGTTTCTAGAAAGACAATGCTCAAATTCAACAATAGCCTATTGGCAGCCGAAGGATATCTATGATGCCGGCTATGTTGATTTTGTATGCAGTAAAGTAGATAGACTTGTGATCAACAAGAAGCGGATTTTGAACGACGAATAAAATCTTTTTCTTATTTTTCTACATGCCCCTAATGGTTCCTTCCTTTTTCTGTATTCTTCTTTGAGCTTTTTTAAATGTCACGTATTGATCTGGGAGACATCACTCGAAATAACTTGGGACAAGTGAGAGTACTGCATAAAACGTTATTTCCTGTTGAGTATAAAGATAACTTTTATAATGAGTTACTTGAAGCTGGGGAATTCGCAAAGTTAGGTAAAGGAAAAAACAACGTTGGAATATTTGCTCAAGTTGTGTGACGATTTGAAATGTCATAGACGTTTGCTTTTTGGTTTCTTTTGCTAAGAAAATACTCCATCTATTTCTTCACACGTAGCTTACTGCAATGATGTCTGCGTCGGTACTGTATGTTGTCGTAAAGAATTTGTCGATGAACAAGTTAAAGATAAATTCAAGATCTACATGATGACTTTGGGCGTTTTAGATCCGTACCGTCACCTCGGCATAGGTAAGTGTGTGCGTCAGTGAGTGGGAGCAGGTGACAACGTCTGCTAAAGAGAAAAATTAACATATCATCCATTCATATAGGCACCAAAATGGTTCAACATATTTTAGAACAAGCCAAATCATCAAATATTACTCAAGTTTATTTACATGTGCAAATCAACAATACCGAAGCTGTTGACTTTTACAAAAAGAATGGATTTGATATTATTAGTACAGAGCAGGATTACTACAAGAATATTACACCTCGAGATGCTTACCTTTTAGCAAAGAATATCGATTAAGTACAGGTCAGTCCTGACAATCTATAGCTCAACTTATTACGCTATATCATTTGTATGTGTACATATAAATGCAACAACCGGCAATCACCTATGTGCAATGCTTTATATTCAACTGGCATTTTTACAATATAGAGTAGCAGCAAAAACACAGATAGATTCATATTAATGTACAATAGAATGGAATAAAATGAAAAAGAAACCTTTCAAAGTAGATTAGGGAAAAAAATGAAAAGCTAATGTAAACTATTTTCGTTTGGCAATGAAATCAATAAGTTGATTTTTCATCATGATATGACCGCTTCGTATTGAGAATACGCAAGTCCACATGTAGACAAGTCAAATAAGAAAAGACAGGATGCAGAAGTAAAAAACCATACGTCATCTAGCACTGATGTGGCTACGTTTGGGTTATGTGAAAATTATAGAAACAGAAGGCAGCGATACAAATTTTTGGTTAAGGATGGCTTCAATAGTACGTAAAAGGATATGCTGTAAGTTGCTTTAATAGTAAGTATATATTTGTTTGAACTTTGGCTCTGGAGAAGTTTTTCAAATTTACTATGTTAATGCACGGAACAAATCACTGATCAGTCGACCCAAAGCAGATGAAAAGAGACGAAATCAATCAAGTGGTTTTATTCTGTTATGCAAGCCTTTGATGATTTCCCAACCTAGCAATGGAGGAGTCTGTACGAAAATTTATTTACTTTTTCTCAATGTTTCATGGTTTATAAGCACAAAAGTGCTGATAGTCCGGGCCTGTTTGAAAAGAGTAGTGATCCTGGTAGCCTTACGTGAAAAGAAGTCAATTTGTCTGCTTACAGACTAAAAATTACATTACCCAATGCCTTTAGACAGGTCGCTGGAGAATCTTGCTAGAACGCTTATGTCTGGAGATACAAGACTGCTAGTTTGAGATCTGTCTACGTACACATCAGCCCACAATTGCTACGCTTTGTGAGAGAGAAAATAAAAATCACCTCAAAAATAATAGAAATGTATTGGCTATATTCAGTAGATCAAAAAAAAAAAAAAGGTGAATGTTTATGGCGAAAGTATACGTGGTCTAATATGCAGGGTGTTCTGTGAAATAGTTAAAAGTAGCTATCTTTATATCTTTATATCTTCATGACTATGTTTAAAACGATATTCCTTTTCCTCTAAATTACTTTTAATTATTTCTGACAAGTAATAATTTGAATGAATCTGGTTCACGAAAAGTAAGAGTCTGTGACACAGTCGCAGCCTTCATAGGCCTACTACTTTAATCAGCATTGAGTACTAGGCCTAGCAAACCTATATGAGACAGACAACTCTAGACTGATTTCTTGGCTCGCTGTCAAGTTGGCAATCTTAATAAACTTGGAACATACACTTATGTGGAGAGTGATGTACGCTACGATCGTACTTGGAATTATGTGGCCACTTTTTGGCATTTGAACGTGAAACAGTCAGATGACATATGCTAAGTGCAAGTAAAGTGGCTTATTGTTATTGTTGCTGTATTATTTACGCCTTCTACTCGACTTGGTTCAGATGTTTGTATTTGTGTGGCAATCTATCACCTTCCCACTTTTTCATCTTTTCCCAAGCTCGCTACTTTATCAAACAGTTTTTGTCTGCCTGTTAATCGCTTCAATATTCTCCTCTTTCTACTTGCAAACTCCATAACACAAGCCATACGTGATGAGACTTGACGAGAAATACAATACTTTGGAAGAGCAACTGACGGCAGAATTAATTACTACGGCTTCAATTGAAAATGAAATATCTGAACGCAAATGGAAGCTGAAACGTCGATTTTTCATCTTTTCCACTGTATTCAGTATCTTCTGCTTCATCATCTTTAGCCAGCTTGCTGCTTCTAATACTTCAGTTACAGGTATACTTAGTGAGGATATACAACAGCAACAACTTTATACTGTATTGCATACTGGTTTCCCACCTACTACAAAATCCAGAATTTCCGGTTTAAACGTCGAAGCTAGTAAAGCTGCTGCTATTGCCTTTAAGCCCAATCCTGCTGCTGCTAATGAAAAGAAGAACGGCTTCATTTCTCAACAGGGTGCTTCTACTGCTCAATATCACGTGGATTCTATTGATAATAATGAAGGCTGGTGGGATCGATTGTTTCCTCAAAATCATGTGCATCTTTCTTTCCTTCAAATTCCTGTTCTTCGCACGCTGACGTCAATCGATAATTCGTGTTCATGTTTCTTTTCTTCCGAACGTCGTCCTGTCAATAATACAATAGAAGCTTCTTTGTCTATTTGCGAATCAAAGAAAGAACGCTTTTGGAGTAAGCAGCAAATACCTAATCTGGATCAATGTGTGGATAGTGTAACAGTGCGTACTATAGTAGACGATGACGGCGTTGATAATGATGAATATAGTTACTTGTTTAGTGTACTTGAATGGGCTCCTACTACCGCAGCACCTGTCGTTTTGAGAAAAACCAAACTTTATTGGCTTGTTGTAAGAACGACTACTGATGAAGAGCTATTTGAGTGGATTTATGTTGATGAACGCGGCAGGAAAGAGCAAGGGTTTAATGAAGGTCCTTACGATATTGTGTATCAGAATGAGCTTGGTTGGGAGCATAAATTTAATGATGAACCGATTCCTAGTGTTATGATTCGTGTTGAAGAACATCATCAATGAACAGTGTCTTCTGCTATGTACTCTTAAAGTAATGCATAAGAAAATTTACAATAAACGAAAAGTAGTAAAATAATGCTGTTACACTCGGTTTGCGACAGCACCTCATTTGATTCACCCAAAAGAGAAATGTCGGATTCTAAAGTGGGCACAGTCAAGCTGCATGCCTGTGTTCACTTCTCTCGGTCTTTATGTTTGACCGCTTTTGCGTCTATTGTACTACGTTGTCCCTTTTTACCATATCGTGTGACCAAATCAGGCATTTTTGTTGAGAAGAAGAAGCAGAAAATATAATGTGTGTGTTAAAGAAGGTAATCTTCTGTTCTTTGTGTCTCCTTCGGTACCACGGACGGACTACCGGAATAATTTCCCATCTGTCATCTTGTATTACATGTGCTTGCATTAGTTTGAATATTATCATAAAAGTATTAGTATTACCTTTAGCACTACCAGCAGTTTGATTTTACTATAAAATACTATAAAATCCTATAAGTAGATGTAACAGAAAATTACAAGCGAAAGCTATAGCATAAGAGTTACGGCTGTATGAAAGAAGAAACAGTAATGGATGTATTTTCTTCATGGTATAACATGCAAAGAATAAAACAGTATCAAATATGGTAAAAACCATATATGGCTCACGTGGAGTAGTACAGAATTTGTCAGTACTTAAGGCAAGCATTGCAATGCACACAATAACTCATGAGCCAAAAGAAAGGTGCCCAAGCTTGTTCGAAATGCGACAAAAAAGAATACTTTTCGGTTTAAGGGGTCAAAACATATACAGAAAAGATTATAAAGCTCAAAGAACATTATACGTTTTCTGATTCTTCTATTTATAGATTATAATTAGACTTTATAATTTGACGTCGTTGAACTTGGAGACATATTTCATCTTTTAATGATAAGGTAATATATGCATTGATCTAACATTAAATGACAATTGGCACCGGATGTAATGCCTGACCAAACCTCATTTAGCACGGCCGGTTGTTTCAAGAAAAGTATATAATCATAGTGAAGATTTTGTTCTGTGCCTCGGTTTGGGTTTCAATGTAGGGTTCCCCTAAAAATGATTTGCTGGTTAACTAAGAACGCGATCTATGTAGTGGCTCGATAGATGATTCAACTGGTCAGTGGTTACATTTTCAAGGAAACGATGATTTCGTGTGAGGTTCGTAGTTGCAGTCATTGTAGTATCGACTTGTGTTCTCCTTACTTCAGTCGGGACTGCCATTGTTAGCAATATGATTAAACTTGAACTTCACAAGAAGAATGACATTGGCTTTAATGAACAACCAGCCAGCAGGGTCTCACGTGGAGTTGAAAGAACCCAATAATGTACGTTTACGGAAAGCGGTTAAACTTAAGGAAAGAAAAAAAGTTTATTTGTAAAAGGTACACATTACATATGTATAATGTCACACAATAAGAAAAGAAAAAAAAAATTCTTTACTACATACTTCTGAATATTCAGGCGTGCAGCGATAGCACAAGCATCTACACATTTTTACGTTATAAAAATGAATGGTGAGATGTTTAGAAGAAGGGCTCTTTTTCTATTTCACTTTTCTCTTACTTCCTCAGGGCTTTTTCTTTCTTGTTTCATTAATTATACTATTACCTTTGCATTTTATTTGAATGATAAGCGCTCATCAGTTCGACTTATTTATATTTTAATCAAGCAAACAGCATCTACTACAGTGTCATATTGAATTATTCGAACAATTTTTCTCAAACAGCAAAAAATTCAGAGGAGCAATCTAAACATGCTAATACAAAGACTGTATAATAAGTTAGCAATGAAAGCGCTATTTTTTCAAAAACGATTAATCTCTTCGCCAACAACGGACACACAACCATGGTCCATATACAGCCTACAATATCTATTTGTAGCAGCTGTTCTGTTGATTGATTTTCTCATCATTCAAACACCAACTCTACCACTTCGATCTTGCATTGCTTTACTACTCATTGTCTCTTTTTGGACACCATATATCCGACGATTCACCGTTCCTGCCTTACCCATCTTTGCTTATCTCCTCACTTTTTACGCCTGCCAATTCATTCCACTTCATTATCGACCCACACATATATTTGTCAACCTTTTACCCACATTAGAGAGAATTATATATGGTGCAAACCTGTCAGAACTCATCTCCAAACATACGCACCCTGTTTTGGATATTTTGGCATGGATTCCTTATGGTTTGATGCATTTTTCATTTCCGTTCATTTTTGCTCTGTTGATGTTCATCTATGGTCCTCCTGGGTCACTGAAAGTATTCGCAAAGGCATTCGGTTTTATGAACCTTGCAGGTGTTTTGACACAATTATTCTTTCCTACCGCTTCTCCCTGTAAGTTTGAATTATAAGAGCATGAAACAAAAGCATCAGATTTTCAATACTGGACTCTATCCATTATTAAGCTAGATTATATCTGTATGCATAGGGTATGAGATCACTTACGGTTCAGCACCTGCAAACTATTCCATTCCTGGTGAAGCTGGTGGTTTACTTCGAATCGACAAAATTCTAGGAATCGATCTCTACGGCTCCACCTTTGGAACTTCTCCTTTAGTCTTTGGTGCTTTTCCTTCTCTTCATTCCGGTTGTGCCACCATTGAAATGTTGTTTTTTTCTTACTTGTTTCCTCGTTTACGACCTGCTGCATTCTTTTACATCTTATGGATGTGGTTTGCTACCATGTATTTGACTCATCATTACATGATTGATCTTGTAGGTGGTTCCATTTACGCTATCTTATCCTTCACCTTGGCACAAAATTTCTTGCCTAAACTAGACCCTAAGGCAAGCACTCGTTTACACTATCTTGGCATTTCTCATGACAACAATATTATAGGCTTGATAAAGGCATATGTATATAGTATTGAGCACGCATTCAGCGATAAGTATGAACAACTTCCTATCACTATGTTTGATCAGCAACAAAGCGACGACGAAGCCATTATACTTCCCAACACCAATGCAGCAAATGAACATAAAAATGATATTACCATTCCTACCACTTCAATAACTACGGCAAACCGAGTTGTTATTCCTATAGCACCTACAATAACTGGTTCTAGTCATCACAATGAGTATAGTAGATATACTCATAGACCTGAACCCTTAAGGCTTTTCGGTATGAATGGGAACAGTACTATAAGTAACAATAATGATTATAGAATAGCAAGTCATTTCGCTGATGAAGACGAGATGGAAACTTCACCAGTTTTATCGCCTTCCTCATTATATTGTTCATCTACTTCGGAACCTGCTTCACCTGTAACACCTAATTCTTCCACAAGCCCTCAAATGCAATTCAACAAAGCCTAGAGAGTTCTTACACTTTTCTCAAATTTTTGGTCATCATTTTTGGTTGTAATATTACAACTATTGTCATCTCTTTTCACTTTCTCTCATTTACTTTATACCGCTATACCTTCTTAATTTTACTTTTATATTTTGCTAACCTTCCCGTTGGTACTAATTGTTGTAAAAAGCGCTTGTTAGATTACCCTCTACTTATACTTAATTTTATATCTAGCTCATCCCTAATCATTTCCTACTCTTGTTAAGTTATAGCTCATAGACTATTATTACTGATACTCCTAATACTACTGTAATACTACTATTCTAATTCTCTCGATACATCTTTAACTAATGGTCCTACTGCTATATTTCAATAACAATTGCTTCACAATGCGGTATACAATAAGGCTTGTTAAACTAAATCGTAAGAAAAGTGCGGCCACTACAGCCTTACGTATAGACGAGAAATAAATTTTGTCCCACTTTTGATTCCGTTCACGCATAGCAGTAATCTGGTTTTGGCTGTAACTATATCAGAAAAAAGGTTAGCCGACCCTATACTACTCCAAATACTATTTGCTACCCTACCCTCTTCTAAGACTCTTTCTTCTCCATTCAAATATTCTGTCCAATATATAATACCGAAAATGTGTAATAACGACTGTCAATAAACCAATATCAGGTCTTGAATAGAGAGGTTTACTTTTTGTCAGTTTGACAAACTCCAACGACCGTAAGCCTGTAAATTCAACTAGATCACTGGTCATGCCCATCGTTAATCCCCACAGACGAAGTTTACGTAACGATGAACTGTTTTCAATAGTGCTGGCACCATTATTTTTGCTGCTATTATAGTATTGCCGTGGCAGATCGACTCCGGGAAATTTTACTGATCCAAACATTAGATGGGAGAATTTCTTTGCCCATGAATAACCTTTCAAGTTGATAGCTCTAAGTGGCTCTGTGATGGACTTGTTCTGATAACCATTAGGTGACAGAAAGAACGATAATGGGACCCCTAAGAAACAGAAATAAAACGGGTATGTCAGCACACACACATACATGCACACGGTCAATAAAAAATGATTCTATTGGTGCTATTTGTTAACTATACACTCTACAGCAGCAACTTCAGATGGTTGAAGTTGAAAAGGCGGTGAAGTGGGTGCAATCTGTAGATAGACTACCCATAAAACAATACATGTATCAGTTGCAAAGCTGTTCAAGAAAATAAGAACTGCAACCATTACCGAAAGGTATCAAGATCATTAACAGCTTGTTATCTCGGATACTACTGATTTCTCTTTCATCCAACAGACCCACTTTTAAATACTGTTCCTTATTGTTCAAATCAATATCGATCTCTTCTAAAACCTCCCTTTTTACTGTGTCTTCATCATTTGTATCTGTCGGTTCATTTTTACCACCTACAAACGAGACATGACCAGACCATCTATGTAAACATACATTCAAACGATGTATGAGATTGGTTTCGAAAATAGATGCATACTTTTTTAGGGCCGTTTCTTGATGCAAACCTGTCTCCAACACGTGCTGTTCTTTGCATAAATAAAATCTCTGCTTGTCCAGCCACATCCTCTTTAACCCAGGGTTGCTCAAAAAACTCTTCCAGAGTATCTATCCTCTTTTCATTATCTATATAAATATCAGTACTGCCTCGGTGCCAGCGTAGAATAGCAGCGACGGCCGCACGGCGTTTTTGCTGAGGAGGTGAAGCGATGTGTAAGTGATCGTACTGATGGAGATTGAGACAGAGATTTCTGAAAGCTGTATAAGATAGTATAGATAGTATAAAATTAAATACTGAAACGCCTCTCTTTGAATATTCACGCGGTTTTTCTCTTTACATTACTTTCATACTCCTTGTTGATATTCTTTTCGTTATTGATCATAAAAAAGAAGCTTACTTTGAGATCTTTTGCATGACTGGGAAAAAAGTGGGGTTGTAGATAATCGGAGTCCGTTAATCTTGAGATGATTTCATTATTTATTTTTTTTGGATTTACTTGGTTAATGTTAAACAGACTTTCCTAATCACAAAGATTCAGTTACATCCTACTATGATTCTTATTTGCGCTTTTCGTTTATTTCTGAGCATGAGAAATATATTGAGAGAGCGTCAGTTGTGTACATGACATCAATCTCTTCGTTTCAACAACAGGTCCGACCTATTTATTATTTCATAATTTCCCAATGTTCAAAAGCAATATTCTTGCTCCTCATAACAAGAAAAGCTCATACTAGCGTTTCCAATATTGCCAAGTTTTATTTTCGCAAGGTTTTCCATAAAATAACTTTTCGTTAGGGACCACTATGTATTGTATGCCTTAGTGTTGGTTTCTAGAAATAAGTAAACATACCTCAAAGGAGATCACATCATTGTTGGTTAAAGGGTTTTAACATTTGATAGACCTCTTCAGTTCATATCAACAGCAAACACACTCGGTTCATAGAGGCAACCTAAGCGTGAAATGCATCTCCTTAGAATAACACTAAGTATTGTCAGAATTTTTGAAAATAGATTGGATGAAATCTTCCAAAAAATCGATGATAAGTATCAGAATCTTTCAAATCTTCCACGCCTTTCCGTCAGCTCATCGATGCCAAAATAACTATACAAGATTACAGCAGTGTCTGATGTTTCGTGTCATTGGGCTCGGGTAGCTATTATTACTTACAAGGACGCAAATGCTTCAAAAGCATACACTCTTCATTTCATACATTCTTAACAGCAAAAATAAATTGATAGCAATATTTGAATATGTGCCATTCAGAATTTTCTGACTTTACTATAACTGTTTCCATCACTTGGAGCAGGAAGTCTAATCACTGAGAACATTTGAAGTAAATTGAACCTAGTTTTTTAAAAAGGCCAAGACCTTATGTCATGCTCAAATTAGTACTTTAAGGGCTAGCGATTTCTCTCTCTCAAACCAGAAATGTTGCTGCCCGCCAACAACTGTGAACATGATAGCAATAGTGCTGATGATAGCTAATAAGATGAGCTTCTGCTTTCGATATCTTACTTGGCGCCTTGGCTAGCGTGATATTGTAACATAATGAAGTCCTTCTATTATCAATAGCTTTGTGTTGGTAGAGCTCAAAACAGTTCGCATCTCATATTGTTTGCCAGTAAAAAATGGCTGGAGTTGTTTGTGGATGGATGATTATTCCTATTAGATAGATGCGTTACACTTTTCCAACACTTTACAGACCATCAAATGATAAAGTATTTGGAAAAGATTTGAAGGCTCTAAGCGTTATCATCCTTATTTCAGCATAATTAAACTTGATCTATATAGATAAGGTTCGCTTTGAATTCGGTGCTTCCATCTACTTGACTCACGTCTTCATTAAACGTATTGTATTCTCAACTGCTCAAGTGGACATTGCTGGTTGTTACAGTTATTCGAAACGTCTACAGTTTATTAACTTTAGATTTGGATAACACACACAAAATTTTTTAGACGATAAGGAAATTAAGTTTAAGCGGATGTAAGATAATAGTAGACCGTTAAGAATAAAATGTTAGAGGGTTTGCACAACACTAGAAAGTATAAGGTTTTCATTCTTTTTACCTGTCATTATCAAACTGGGTTCGTTCCAGCGATGTTGAGGGAGAGGATGCTTTTATATTTTTGTCCGCGTGAATTCTTTTGGCCTTCCTAGAGCCTTCCAAATAGCACAACTAATTTTCATCATATTCTTGGCAGCATTGACGTCTCGATTCCACAGTATATGGCATGCCTTACAAACAAGTCTACTGCAGGTCTCAACGCCTTTCAACCTCTCCAAAGTATCGTTAGAGCAGCAGGAGCATATTCTGGATGTACTACCAAGTCTGCGCTTGCTTCACGTCGCTTGAGTGCACGCCACAAAACACCCAGAATGACCGGAATTGAATAAAAACGCGCATTTTTGATAATTTTGTGGTCCGCGGCACACGTAATTATTCTCAATGCAATCGTGGAAACATTGTCATCATTTCAGCTTAATACAATCGTTCGGGCATCTCTCCAATACAGTAAGGTCTGCCAACATGATCATTGTCAGTGCTGAGTCTGAGTGCCCTAGTTATTATTGCTATGGACCTATCTATACAAGAACGAAAATTAGAGAGGAAGCGCAGGAACACAGCAATGATTGATTTCACTCCCTATTTTCCATGCCTGGCAGTCATTGAGTGAGCTTCAACCTATTATCCTATATGGCGGTATGTATAACATACAAACTCATCAAATGATGGTTGATAAATTTTGTCACATAACTACCTTTGGCTGGAGAGCCTACTGCCATTCGAATGTATTGACATTGATAGCTGCATATGTGTTATCCTCATTACACGTCATAAAGAGAGAATGCAAGAGCTATAACAAGTACGATTTAGCATATATATCTGGTGGCTTACTAATGCAGCGAGGATATCTACTGGTAAAGCAAAGGATAAAGCTTTGTTTGAACTTTGCTGAAAATGATCGTCAGACATGTCAGTGGTACAGTTAGTGAAACGTTTGTGCTGTACTTTTTTGTACATTAAATTTTTCGTTAAATCTCACTTGCTGTTTTGCGCTCTCGTAAAAGGCATTCGTAGAAAATTCACGTTTTTCCAAGCAGTCTCCTCGACAAGTGATGTTAAGCTTACAGACGGCTTTCCTCCTAGCAGCCACCCCGGTTATTGTTGTAATGATACAATGAAAATGAAAGAAAAGTATTGTCTATCACTATTCTGTTTCTTACAGAGATAAGAAATCGAACTTGGAAACATTGCCGATTCTGAGCTTTGAGTTTTGACTCATCTGACAATAGATATCGTAACCCTACAGGTCTTTTTTTTTTGCTGAATCGAATTTCCACCAGAATCACAACAATTTACTTTTAAACATTTATAATCTATACCCAGAAATTAAAAAAAAAAAAGAAAAAAAAACCAAAAAAAAACCTGAAGCTATATATAAGATATACTACTTCTTTACTCTTTCTTCTTCTTTCCCACTTCTTTGACAAACGGAAAATCGCCCAAAATTACGGTAATTATTTATCATAGCGATAGCAACCATCATTACCATCATAATAGTAGTGCGTCTATTATGAATCAGCAAGATGAAGAAGACTTGTCTTACCTGAATGACTTTCAAGAAATTTTACAATCGGAAGTCTATGTGGATCTGGAACGATTACGTATACTCGCCAGACATGGTATACCCGAAAGTATACGAGGTGTAAGTTGGTTTTGTTTATGCACAGTGTCCCATGATATTGATAAGGAAGATATTGATAAGATTCGGTATTTTCTATTTAGGAAGTTTGGAAATATTTATTAGGAGTACAACAAGCAGACCGCTGTAAGTCTATTGCATTCTTCTCATAGACAGGCGGCGCTAAATTGACAATAAATATGTTGATAGCCAAAGAACTATCTTCAAGTAAAGCAAGAAATGAAGAATACGATCAATTGGACAAAATGGATAATGATTTAGCAAAAAGAATTCGAGGCGAGCTAAGTCGGTATCAGAGAAGAGTACCCGAATTTCAAGGACAAGATTATACACAGTCTTTTGTGAACATCATCACAGCCTATCTAAATGCAAATCGAGATGTAGAATACAATCCAAATTTGATAGCACTATGTGCACCGTTTATCTATGTATCAGAAACAGAATGTGATGCCTATTCTTGTTTTGAAAGATTAATGCAAGCAATGGGTAAATTTTCTTTCTTTTTTTCGACTAACTCATTACTATAGTGTATAAGTAACTCACGCATCATTTTTTTATATAGACGAATATAACTCAAATATTAGCCTTAAAGAACAAGTAGCACAATTCATGACCTTATTTAGATATGGATTGCCAGAATTATGCAGTTATTTTGACGAAGAAGAGGTAGATTTGAATGAGTGGTCGACTTCTTGGTTACAAAATTTACTGTCCAAAGAAATGCGGTTCGAAAATTTGGTTAGACTGTGGGATACCTACTTTGCCATGACTGATTTTTTTGCCTTCCATCCCTTTGTTTGTTTATGTAAGTGTTCAGTCTGAAATCGTCATTTCTCTCCAAGGTCATCATCACTGACGTTCTATCTATTATTACAAATAGCTATTCTGCTCAGTGCCAAAGAAGCGCTTGAAGATTTGGAGCAATCTGAAATAAGAACCATGCTACTACGATTACCCTTATTAAATATGGAAATGGTAAAGTAAATTCATGGTCCGTAGGTCTCAAGCATCATCCTAACCTGCAGTATTTTATAAATTGAATAGATTATAGCGGATGCATACAATTTCAGACATGAAACCATTGAAAGACAAATGAACGAAAACGGTGAACTATAGCAATGATTTATGCTGCTTTCCAAATTGCTATTATCTATATACACATCTACACTCCCTCTTTTATTCTTAATATAATTATATTATCAACACTTTCTAACATAACATAAACCAACAATTTAACCGTCTTTTCTTTTTTTTTTTTTTTTTTTTTTTTTTTTTTTTTTTTTTTTTTTTTTTTTTTTTTTTTCTTAAATCATATTATTTAATGTTACCATATAAAAATGTTTAAATATTTCAATATTAGATGTTTTTACGATAAAATAGATGGCTAGAATAGTATATTGTTGGCTTGGTAGTGATATGTTAAAATCGTAAGACTTGCACGTAATAGTTACTATATAGTATGATGTTCCTTAAGTCGGTATCGTACAAGCAGTGTTTGTCGTAAATAGATGTTCAAGGCTGGAATAAAATGCTGCTTTAATACTAATATACTTGGATAACAAAAATAAGCCGGTTTATTGTTGAGAGCCTGGATTATTGTTGTTGGAAATAGTATTACTTTGTTGATCGTTATTATTGCCCGTGTTGGCGTTGGTGTTTGTATTGGTGTTAGCAGGAGCAGCAGCAGGAGCAGGAGCAGGAGCAGGAGCAGCAGGAGGAGCACTACTCTCAGTCTTATGTGTCTATTATTACAATAGAAGATAGCAGTCAGTCATCATACCAACCAAGTAAGCACCTATATATTTCTAGTTCTTCTTACCTGTGTACCAGCTACGGCACCAACAATGATGGCAAGAATGACTAGAATAGTAACGGCAATGATGATCTTCCATTTCAAATCTTTCCACCACATTCTCTTTCTAACCTGATTGGCACCACGTCGGAAATGACCAGCAGTAGCTTGTAAATCCTCTGTGTTCAAAACAAGATGTTTTATTTGTATTGTGCTAAAATGTACTTGGACAGTAAATCACTGCGTTTCTGCTTTACCTGTCTTTCCTCTTAAATCATCCAGTCTTTCACCTCTTTGCATGACTTTATCAATATTTTCCTGCATAATACCAACCACTTCATCGACTTGTTGTTGTACTCTGGCAGTTTTATTATTGCCGCCTTGTTGGCTATTGTTTGGAATATAAGGATCATAAGGTTCAGACCTGTTGCAGAAACAACGTAAAAAGATATTGGTTAACTTCTATCTGATAAGCATTAGAGCTGTATGAATACCTCTTTTTACATTTTTAACGACTATTTCAATGCAAATGTATCTAAATAGCTAAAGTCAAGAAAGAAAAGCTTGTTTCCAAAAAAAAAAAAAAAAAAAAAAAATGAAAAACAAAAAACGGAAAAGAAGGGAAAAAAAGCTTCTCTTGAGAAAAATAAAAATGATGGAAATGCTACTCTGGAGGAGCCTAAAATTCATCATTTGAGCAGTTGGCGCTTTTCAACCAAAATGATAATCATATTTTGTTTCTCAGATGCTTGAATCAGGTAAGACTCTGATTTTTTTTTTTTGATTTTCTCGTGTCAGATCAAAATGCTTTTTTGGGGGGTTCATCTCACCATGGTTTTACTTATCGCATCTTTTGTGCTTCTCAAACAAAGGACACTAGTAAACAGCGGGTCCATCGTTTTATTTAATACGCCTGATGGCATAAAAAACGTACTATAAGCTATGTTTTGTGATCATGCAAACAGCGTGATTTGACTGCATGTACACTCACGAAAACGTATCAAGTTCATAACACATCAACTTTTGCTACATTATATTATAAAGACGATCTCAAACATGAGATCATAAAGATGGTATTCCATCCTACTTTATATTGACATCCACTTTGAACAGCACGTTCTTCTTTTGTCTAAAATTAGCAAATACACGAAAGATAAATCTTGTTTATTAAGATGCAGATTGAGACAATACATTTATTTACACACTAAAAGTCAAGGGGATCATTTCTACCAGGCATACTGCCACATCCCACACCTGCTCCTCTATTAATTTTCTTGGGCCCATTGCCTTGAGCCAAAGCAAACAAGCTACCAGTTTTCTTTTCGTCTTGTCTCTCCTTTTTACCGTCACTCGTATTTTTCTTCTTGAACGACGATGACGTCGCTGATGGTTTTATATTGTTATCTGAATCATTGGTCGACGAAGCTTTATCAGCTCCTTCAGACGCAGCTTCAGAAGGCGGCTCAGTTCTTCTTGTAACAACTCCTCCATCAGGAGGTAAATGGAAGGTTTCGATTGTAAATCGCTTACGGCGCAACTTGAAGCCCAAATCATTTGATCCACCTCCCGAAAGAACGGAAAGTTTAGTACCGGGAGGTAGCAGAGAGTTTAGCACGGGCACCTTATGGACATGGAAAAAGCCATGATAATTTTGTACATAGATAGCATCACTGTGAACGGGATCAGCTATTTATACCATAAAAGTATCAATCTCCATTGTATGGATAAACGATCCTTATCCTTATATTCTATTTTGTGAGTTCTCTCACCTGCAAATGACTCAATCTCTATGACAGCATCCACCATATGTTCGATCCGTTTCATGACATTTGGTGCTTCATCGTAGAGATAAGCAGGCACAGTAATCATAGCTGTACCGAATGAAAATCGTAATAAACCCCGTAATGCATGACAAAACTTGAACAGATCCTAATATATACATGGGCATATATGTTAAGACCACCTACGTGCCAACTCTATGTTATACTAAATATTTTTGCAGCTCACTTACATAGGGTGATTTACTTTTCCAACAAGGTGATGCTAACGAATGAATACCAATTCTTAACGCATTTCTGACAGTACCAGCAGGAACAGACACAGCAGAGCTGAAATGCTTTTCTAAAACCACTTTTTTGATACTCTGAATCAGTGCTTGGTAGTCATCATCCATTTTATCGTCGTCATTATCGTTATCATCCCAGCGTAAAATGCTAGGCTTGGCCTCATCCAATACATCTTCTGGTATCCTTTTAGTTAAATCGAATTGACTACAATAAGGTCGCTCTAATTGTTCTTCAGCTTTTTTTTTGTCACCGTCCTCTTGACTACTCATTTTTTTGTTATTGCTGCTACTGTTGTGGACAGGTGAAGGTGATGCTGTGATGACAAAATTAAGTTCGATGAGTTACGGAAGACTACTGACTCAAAAAGATGCCATGGCCACTTGTTCACGGACTCTTCTCATTCTATCTGAATACCTCGGTAAGTTATCACTTACGTGGTTGTGCTCTTACTTCTGTTTCAAAACGCTTCAAATGTGAATAACGCCACGCAATTTTCATTCTCTCACTATCTTTATGACTCCTCTGTTTATCAAAAAAATCTTCCTCTTCTTCTTGTGCACCACTTGTGGACAACCACATTAACGTCTTGAGAATTTCTTCCGGATCTTCATCAAGAGAAGACACAGCAATGTGATGGCCTGAACTGATACCCTGAGCTAGGAAATATTTCAGTAAGAGCTGAGCATATGTGGTGGCACGATCTTCTTTGATGAGCATAACAGTGCCAACGGGTTGACCGCCACCTAGTATATCATCCAACGAAGGAACACCGGTAGAAATTAATAATTGACCGTTGTAAGCACTGAGTCGTGTACCAGAAGGTAGTTTGGGTTGTTGATCTGTGTTGCGTTTTTTGAAGCTCATGATCTAGATGCTTGATTTCTAATCCTCCTTCAAAACTGAAAGAATAAGTAAAATGGCTGGAGATCGGCTGAGAGAAACCAAAAAAGAAGAAATAAAAAAAAAAAATTAAATTTGACTGAAAAAAAAAAAAAAAGGACATAGGCAAACTTGATTTTTATGCAAGGTTTATAACACATTTTTTATTTTTAAAAAGAATAAACCGCGAGTATTGTAGTTGTTACATCACCAAACACATAACTTTTTCTGTGTTGTCAGAAGCAGAATCATAGCCGTAAAAGAAAAGATACGCGATTTCTTGTTTAAAATGCCATCATTGACTCTTCCTCGTTTCGCCACATACAGGTTGACGAATTCTTCAGTAAACTTCGAACTAAGCGAGTATTCTAAGCAATTAGCCGCCTATTTAGACAATTACTTAGGGACGTTTTTTGACTCCCCCAGTGCTTTTCAAACTGTCTCTAATATGACTAAAAGCTTGCTCAGGTCCAGTCTCCGAGATAGGCTTGGCTTCAATTGAATCAACCAATTTACTGGGACTTGTCCTCGAAGGAACAGGTATATTTAAAAGTTTTTGTGATATCCCTTTAACAGTGTTTTATATATCGTATTCGCAAAATTCTTTTTCCAGGAATCGGTTTATTGTAACGTACTGGACGAATGTGTTCTTTTTGCGACATAGACTTGAGCATTTTAGAATTGGGTTGCTTAGTTAACGCGCTGACTGCCTAGATGTATAAATATAAAATGCAGCAATCTTTAAGCTTTGAAGATAACGCAGGTGTTGTAAGGGGAACTCAACAACAGCAATAACAAAAGAAAGAAAGTAGAGGAAAAAAGAAAAAAAGAAAAAACCTATGTGAATTATTGTAAAAGCTTCAATATACTTAGGAGTGGTTGATGTTACGCATGAAGAGGACTGCTTTTAGTCCTCTTTTCTCTTTCATATTGAAGCCTTTCAAATCAAAAACCTCATAGTTTATTCCTTCTGCAGCGATTCCTTTATACCGTAATAGTTTCTGAAACCAACATACGAAGATGAGTTTTACTGCCTTCTTTCTTGATTTGATTGACTTCCAAATAAACAATAATTCCGCATCATGCATGACCTCCTAAAAATGATGGTAGGTAGGATAAAAATGATTCCAACTTGCCAATAAGTCTTTTTTCTAAGAGTATAGGTACAATCAATGAATTGTACCATTATCGTAAGCTTTTGGGCAGATCTTATGTCCAAGTGTGTTAATCTCTCAATAGAACGAGCTGATCATGTTATGGTTCCGGCAGACCGATTGTATTTCGTAATGAAAGAACCTTTGCAGAATACCTCAAAGCCCTACTTGTTGTTTATAAGTTCTTTGAATGCCTAGGAAGAAATGGGAATAGTATGGTCACAATAAACTACTGTAATTACAGATGAAGTTTGTAATTTTCCTACATGAATAAAATTATCATTTATTCTACTAATGCATACAATTTTATTCACTTTTTTTTTTCTTACTATATATTACAGTTATTAAGTTAATCAATAGTATCGTAGTAGTATCGCATATACTCAAGAGCCATTTGAGCTTAGTAAATATACTAGTAGGGGTATTTATTTTGTGGCGTAGGCATTTCCATAAACCTACCGGGGAAGTAATGTTGTACTTGTGGTATAGGGGCAGCTTTACAATATTCATTGTTATTGTCAAATCTGTTGGATTCCTGATTATCGCAATGGTTATAGTTAGGAGTTGGAAATGGATTACTACCGAAGGTGTTTAAAGGTGGATGCAACTGTGAACTCATCGTCGGTTGAAATTGGTTGTAAAGAGATGATGAAAGAGAATGGCTCACGGGCATTGGTGTTGGGAAACTGCAACTGTCTTGTGGTGAACTCTGGTAATTTGAGACAGACAATCCTTCAGAATGATAGCTATTTTCAAATGGATAATTGAGATGAGGTTGATATTGATTATGATTCAGTAATAGTTGATCGACAAGCGGCGTAGGCATCATAACATAATTACTCTCTGTCTGAATATCTGTTGTTTCAACCATTTGAGGAGGGAGCATATTAGGTTTAGTAGCCTCGTTTACAGGTGACGATGTGACGGGACTTGGCACGACCCAACGTACAGATTCTTGTCGAGCAAGCTGTTGAGCTGATTGAGTACTGCGCTGATCTGCTAATTTTGGCGACGGTGCTGAAGGCTGCACAACCCCAATAGACTCATGCGTTTGTAGTGACGTTGAAACAGCAGGATCCACGACTGGTATATCGTGTAAAGGATTCGTCAATGATGACGCTGCTTGCTTAAATGTGGATTGAGGGCTTGCTGACGATGATATAGTGTGATCTGTAACAGAATCCAACGTTGAAATATTAGAAACACCACTTGAGGAGCGTTTATGAAATTGTGAAGCTGGCACTGCCTCTAAGCGGTTCGAGACTGGGGATGATTGAAGCGGTAATCCCGCTGTAAAATCGTCTTTTTGAGCATCACGAACAGTAGTTGCACTGTTTGAGCTGTACTCAAGTTTATCCAAAGGCGGTGAAACGACTTCAGCTGTATAAGGGGAGTAGAAGCTCTCATTCGTAATAATAGCCGGGACCTTATCTTGTACAGTTGCCTTCGTTGATAAATGATCATGAGATTGGAGTGTATTTTCGGTTTTTATTGTTTCTGTTGGCTTATCATTCAATGTGGCATTTGCTGCTTTAGCTGATGCATAAGAATGAACCGTATCTTGGTAGTCTTCCTCATCACAAGAGCCATTTGGTGAATTGACCTGTGTTTCTAGGTCCAGATCCTTTAATTGTTCAAAAACCCGGTCATACTCTGATGCATCAATTGCTGAATCTTTGAGTAACAAATCATCAGGATTCTCTTCGTCGCCATCGATGCAAAATGAAAGTTTTGGATAAGTTCCTACAGTGAAGTTCGAAATGAATCCCACTATATCCTTCTCCGTTTCTGCTCGGTGAGGGTTTTCTTCATTCAAATTAACGGAAATACGTATAGAGTATTGTATTTCAAAAACATTCCCCAAGATATCAACTGTAGGTGATATATTTGATGGAATCGGCAGTTTCAAGTTGAAGGTTTTGGTAAAGTTAAAGGGCCCTGATATATTTATATCTGAAGTGACTTCACGCAGTAACTTGGACCCAAACAGTTCTTTCCTAATTACCATATTGAAAAAAAGATTTTACCATTGTTAAGAGTTGCCCATGTAGTTGATTATAAGACTAAGAGCATACTTCTTTCCATAATAAACTGATCTAAATAGCTTCGCTGAGATTGCTTTATCCCTAACCATTACCCCAATATGCTCAATGGTGACGGAAATTGGTACGATATCGCCTGAGTTTTGATGATATTCAGGTTACTTCCTGGTCTCGCTATTCCTTATGCAAATTCGTTGACTTCTCACCTCGAACAGCTGCTTTCTTCCCTATGACAGCAGACACCTTCACCTTCCTACTGGTTTCCCCTGTTAATCGTAAACTCTTCTGCAAAACCTGCTCTCCACGAAGCTGAGGACTCTCGACATCAATGTGCTCTAAAACATTGACAAAGACAGAGGTGCTTGGGCAAAACTTTTCAAGTACTGAATATGCTTTGTTGTAAACAGCGGTCAGTTTATAGCTAACTTTTAACAATTTAGGAATCTAATTTAACAATATCATTCACGTGTCAGTCGTTTTCATCTATTGCCGATGTTCTTCAATAAAAAGTTAACTTACTTCTAGAGTACTTGGCACTTGGCAACTATCGGATGATGGAATAAATATCTTGAAAGGGAATCTGTGTGTATGCGGCTGTAGATAATACGATTTTTGGTCACCTTCCGGGGATTCGGCCACAAGCGTAGTCTTTGCAAATAGAACTAAGTTTTTTCCACCAAACTCTACTATACCTTCGAGCGTTACTTTGATATTGTTTGTTTTGGTGGCCTTCTTTAAATCCAGAACAACATCACCTAGTATAAAATTCGTTTAAAACTTTCATTTACATTCATTTATACAGCAATAGTCGTATTCCTTACCATATATTTGATCTCCAGGAAAATAGTATCGCTCTTCTGAAAGTTCTATATAAAACTCATTTTCTTTGCTTCTGAATAGGTCTGACATATTCTGTAAAAGACATAAACCGAGCTTTGCAGGAAAATGTAAGTAAAGAGGAATATTTGATAAAAGAAACGTGTTACTAAAATTAAATGCATGTTTATGTTCAAAGCTGAGTTTACAAATTTTCGGATCGCTGCGTAACCTTGGGAAAACAGCTAAAAATACAGTGTTTTAACTACTATTTCAGACTTTTCACAAATTTTATTGGACACTATTAAATCTTAATTTAGACAACTTTCAATTATTTTACGATGAAGCGGTATATTATTCTTGGACGATTTCGCTGATAATCAATTATCCAGTATCATCCAAGCAGCATTAAGGATGGCGTACAAGCTAGTCCTAAAAATGAGTGCTCATAGTAAAGAGGTCGCTAAGAAAACTCTTATTGGCGTGACTTTGCAATAGGACGAGCTACAAAAAGCTTGACAACTTTTTCGTCATTTGACGATGTGTTATAAGACCCAACCAGATGTTCGTCAGTGCCTTTTTCGGAACTTTGCCCAATGATAAAGACGTGTCTTTCTTTTCTCGCGTTTTGTTGTCAAAGTTAGATTATAATGAAGGGGTTCTTTTAAACGAGAATAAGATCCCTTCTTTTCCGTATTTCGCTTTTTTTGTAACTTACAGCTCTATTCATGTACAAAAGTTTCATTATACAGAAGATTAGATCTATTAAAGAAAAGCATAAGAACCAGGTTAAAAGGAACCCATTTGGTAAAATGCTTGATAATTGTAGGAGAACCGTCAGATCAAGATATAAGGATTCTGATATTTGTTGTAATTTTTTAGAGCATACCAAGTGTCGAGACTGCTATGAACCAGGTCATTTTGACAAGCGTTACTACAAATGCAAGTATTACAAAGCCGTAAATGCTGATGATGGTAAGCAATAAACCTAAATCTATCTTACACACAGCACTTAATTGCTTGTGAGTAACCTCCTTAAAGTTGGTAGCAGTGGCAAAAAGAGAAAACAGAGTGACCAAGTGAAAGAGAAGAAGAAAGCAGTTAAACGGAAAAAGACCACCGCACAAGCTGTAAAGTGCCTCAGCTGTGGACAAGATGGCCATACCACTGCTCGTTCGCCGCAATGCCTCAAACACACGCCTTCGAAAGAAGAACTCATTTCATCTGTTCTTGGTGATGATGCTACTGTATTCACAAGAAAGCTTCCCATCGACAGTGCGGTGTTACCAACCTTCCGCGAGAAATTCAGAGAAAGAGTCATTTCGTGCTGCAATGACATTAGGGCTATTGTGTTTCGTTCGCAACTATTTGTTAACGCTTATCTCATCCATAATAAGAAAGACACACCAAAAGAAATTTTCACCCAACAGTTCTGGTATTCGGTTGGACAACTTGTAACAGGTAAAACAGTAACCAACAAGAAAGCAATAAATGATTCCATGAAAAACTTCTATAAGCAGTTCAAAGAGAAGCATCCAGCTGTCGAAGTAAGTTATAGCTTCACCAAAGGCTATAGCCAATGCTTAACAGAAGCTTGTAAAGAGCTCAGTACCACATATACAAACAGCATTGTTGAGCTTTTTGAGCAGCGAATGCTTAAATATCTATACTATACCTTGCAGAATTTGTTCCCGGTAAGGATTAACTTTACATTAAACCAAACAGCAGCAAAGTCAATATTCTTTTCTCTTTAGAGCATGGTAAAGCGCGATGTTGACGAAATCGCAACAAAATACTGCTATCAAGCGATTTGCAAAGGCGAACCCAAATGGCCTGGTAAAGTCAAGTTAAGCAGTGATGACAAATTAAGAATAGATAATTTGTGCAAGAACTTTGCAGACCTTGTGGAGGAAAAGGTTACGCTTTTATCATTGGCGGCCGATCCGGTCAAATTTGTCAAGCCCTTGTGGTTTATCCAGGACTACTACGAAGAAGAGCATTCTAATCATTTTGCCTACGATGTTCGTAGGTTACCATTACCTCATCGCTTCTTCCCTTTTCCAACACCCTCAGTATCATGGCGCTTCATTACCATCAGCATAAACGCCCTTACTCCTTTTTTATTTCCTGGAAGACTTGTAAAGGGCTATTGGAATCAACTTGAACAATTTTGTAAAGTGTTCAACTTCAAAAAGTTAGGCTTCAGAAGGTAAAGTAAATAGCACTCTGCTAAAAGACTCTGTTCTCAAGATTATTCTTTCACTTATATCATAGTATTGCTGAGTTAAAGACAAACACAAGTATGCTCTTCAGGAATCTCATTCGATCTGATGGCTTCACTGTAGACTTCCTATTTAGTCGTAAGAAGAAACCAAGAGAAGACGCCATCATTGATCATCATGACTTGACGTTGGAAGACTTCTCCTATGAAGAAATCACGACAAACTACAGACCCACATTTGTTGATCCTGGCCGAAAGACCGTATTTACAGCAGCAATCGGGTTAGAAACAAACAGACATGAGATACGGCGCTGCTCGACAAAAGAATATTATCACATGACGGGTAGTACTCGTGTCAGTGCAGAATTAGAAAGGAAAAAGGCCGGTTGTATGATAAAAGCGATAGAAAGCAATATACCGAGTAGTAAAACAGGCTCGCCTGAACAGTATAAGAGATATACTATTTACATACTACAACATTTAGAGATCCTGTTCTCATTCTATGGGCCAGGTATGGGTGAAACAAGGTTCCGTCTGCATCAAGGCAGACAGCGTGCTGCAGACATGATGGTGAACATGCTTGTCGATGGAGGGATCAAATACGACAAAGAATTACGGAAGAAAAGAAAGGAAGAACATATGAAATGGCCAAAGAAGAAGGGCAAAATTAAGCATAAAAAAAGAAGAAAGAAGACGAAACAGAAAGTGAAAGTAAAACAGGAAGAAGAGAATGAGAAGGAGATCCGGGAAGAAGAAGAGACAAAGAGCGATAACCACGTTCGGTAAGTCTGTAGCGATTAACTGTCCACTGAATTTGTGTATACTCAATCTACTGTCTTCCTTCAACAGACGATGGGCCCCTGAGAAATTCAGGCTGAGTGATCGCAAAAAAGTTCCTCTGGTTGTATTTGGTGACGGCATGTTCAATAAATCCGCCGTTCATCTAAAAGGCCTTAGAACTGGTGTCGTTGGTGTTTTGTGGCGTGCATTGAAGCGAAGAGAGGCTGCTGGTGATCTCCTTGCCGTGACAATTGATGAATACTTGACATCACGCATATGCAATTGTTGTCGCTCAGACACATTGAAAGCATTAGACACCGTGCGTGGCTGTAGTATCCTTGTTTGCAAAACCTGTAAGATACTATGGAACCGCGATGTCAATGCAGCAAAAAACATGATGGCCATCAGCATTTCGGTATGGAAAGACAAGGAACGTCCTACGGAGTTCAGCCGGAAGACAACTTCTTAGTCTTTTGATTTTTATTATCGCCAGAACGAAACTGGCTTGATATTTACAGGTAAACGTCTCCATTTTAGTGTAGTTCGATCTTCAAACTCTAACTCAATCGTCTCAAAATTTTGGTCATTCCATCCAGTTATTTTTAAGCTGCGTCTAAACCCGCAGTTAAAAAACTGTAACGAACGTATGGCTGCACATTTGCTTCAGCTTGTATTGAGAATTCGAGTGTTCAAAAAAAATAAATAGTTATATAATGTTTGATGAATTTGACTTTTAAAAGTAAATTTCGCTATGATATACCTTTCTAAAATAGTGATACAAAAAAGGCGTGCCTTTCTTATATTGAATAAACTTCCTTTACTATTCTCGTGTTACATAATCTTTTCATTTTAGCTATCGGTAGTGTCAAAGAAATGAATGATTCGCCTTGTTAATAAGCATGACTACCAAGTGCTATTCATCTAAATAGTGGAATTTCGTTCAAACCAAGCTTCCATAGCCCTTACTGCAACTGAATATCATTGTCGAAAAGACTGAAATTTCAGAGTGCCCTTCTAGCTGATACTAGCTCTTCTTCCTGCATTATATTCTTTTGGTATTCGGAATCCATGCTATCGCACAATTGCTGACTAAAACTAAAGGCATTTTTTTGGTAGTCAGGTATTTAGGTTTATCTGCCACAATGAATGAACTGAGGCTTCTTGTTAACTTTAGTCAGTTCAAATTTCTGTTAAAGCAGGAGGTTTAGCAATACTACTGTGTTCAGTTGCATTGCAAGTGATTTTGAGTTCTTTTAAAGTATTCAATTTGCATGTTTAGTGGTTAAGTGCATAGAACTATTCAGAATTTATTAATGTAGCTTTGAAGCGCAACTAATAGATTTCAAATATTTAAGACAATTACCTTGAAAAACGACTGCTGAACTGCTACCCTTGAATGCTGCACTACCGAGAATGACAACTGGGAGGATGCGATAATGCTGGGTCGACTGATGTTATACTCTTCCTTCAGTTGATGAGCCCTTTGAAGTGGGTGTCATTCTCGAAAACAAATCCACGCTCATGGTCTATGATGGAGGCTGCTGTTGACTCTTATCATTCGTGCCTTTGCTGTTAGCATTATTCAACCACATCTGACTGACACCATTAGCGACTACACTACTGCAAATACCCCTCGAATCGAAGTAAATTACTGTCTCCAATAACTTCAATCCACTACAATTTTTTTTTTCTCTAAATAACCAGCATCTTGACGTATGTCTTCTAGATCATTTGGATTGCACTCTCTTTAGACGATACTACTCCGCCAGTAATATTTATAATGGCTTTATCGACAAGCCAACATGCGTTTGACCCTTACATCAGTAGCTTCCTTTTTCAACATTTGTTTGTCATAGTCATTCAATTTTTCATGTACAGTACGGGTTGTTAAAGATAGAAGAGTTCGTAAGGACGGCGTTAAGAATCTTGTTATGGATAAGACAGTTCGGAACATCCCTTGCTGTATGGTGGAGACCATAGGTCCTCCTATTCATTTCCTCCTAGGCAATACATTAACAAATTTGGTTTGCAGAGAAGCTTTCGCCAAAAAAGTATCTCGGAAGCAAAAGAGTTTATACGTTTATCCGTTTATATTGATGAGACATGGTTTAATTCACAAACCCTTAGATAATTTTCAAGAATTACAAAATAGAGCTGTCAATTTTTCATTATATATACGCAGGTTCCAATGAAAATTCTTAAAAATAGTTAGACAATTGCTATTAACTATGTTTTTTCAATAAAGGACGGTATATTGTATTTCTAAAAACAGTTTAGGTATGAAGTATTTTGATCCAAGCGAAAGCGATAATATACGCCACACAAATCAGACTTATGATTTATTTCAGGCTTGCCCTAATTCATTGACAAATTAAAAAAAAATAAGGAATATACACAAACTAGTTAACTAGTTCGTGGGGCATTCCAAGAAACACGAATCCAAGTTTGTTTGGTGGGAAGGTCGTCACGTACCATTAGTGAAGCAGGACGTTTAGCAGATTTTTTTTGTGTTCGGAGTGATATAATATGATTTTCATACTGGTTATTGACTTCTACACAACTATCCCGAAAGCATAACAAAGTAAAGGCAAGTTCCATGTAGTTCTCGAAAGAATCTAGCAAGTTATTAACTGCTGAATGATGAAATGATTTTTCTACTTGATCTGAAGAGCAATAAAAACACTTAAGTTCAAAGTCATCGACTTACAACAGTTATCAATTTTAATTAAGCAGACTGCACTTAATTCACGAACAATTACTTGGTATTTGTTGATCTAGATTGAAAAAGATTTGAATAATATACTAGATAAGGAAAACAAAAGATTGATGAAATCAAAATGTCTATGTCTGACGACTTATCAGGTAGCCTAAGGAAGAAGCTAACGAGACCAAACTGGGCAAGAACTTCACTTCATCTATTCAAATCATAGAGGAAAAGGATATTTAATGCAAGTTTCAAATATCTGCTTCATATTGCGGACTCCAGAGACTGACAGCTGAGCTACTCTATTCAATGAAGACGTAGGTTTTCTACACTATAAAAGAATAGAGGTCTCCCTTCTGCAGTCTACGCACCTATTCAGAATGGGTGAGCTGGTGGTTTGAGTTGAGTTAACAGTTAAATTAAAGGATGGTTAGAGCCTATCGTTTTGTAATCATGCTTTATGTCAAGAGCAGTGAACAATACTTATAACCTGTTATACCTTGGTGGTAAATCTATACATCCTGCATGTTCATATATTAGGTCTACCGTATATTCAATATCATATAAGAATGTATTGTAGTCAAATAAGTAAACTATATATCCTAAATGTCAACCTGATAAACCTTAGAAAATAGCTAATTGCGTGGAAAATTCATCACTTATTCTATATCAGTTCCCTGTTTCTCTCTTTTTTTATCTCGGTTCGACGATCTAGTGTAGGAGACCATCAGATCTTATATGATTCTTTCAACTAGATATTCAGAGTACTCATTATACTAGATTTTATCTAATTTCTTTTCATTTTAGAGTTTGCAATATTGCAAATTCATTTCTGGATAAAAGTAAGCTATAACTTTTAGTTTCTTATGTCAGATACCCTTAAATTTGAACTCTACAGATCCACAAGCATGTACAGCATACAGTGCAATACACAATTAATCGCCTATCATATGAAAATTAGTGATTTCGCACTCGTAAAATACTTTCAGGATAAACACAGTATCTCCATTTATGACATTATAACTCAAGACCAAAGGACCAAAAGGTCAGTTGCATACAAATTGTGTATGTGACACATCCTAAGTTTGCACTATTGTAGTCCGTACAATAGTAAACTGTACCGAACTTATACAATACAAATATTAGCATCAGGTAGCTATCGCAAATCTGTTTATATGCATTTAATTGATATGTAATTTTTCCTCGGAAACCGTATCCCAAAGAACGAGATTTTTAAATCAGATTCACTCAATTATAAAAGCATTTAGTAACCACTTCAGATTTCCAAAGAATGTTTCTGGCATGTTAATGCACAAAAATATCATTTATACAGCAGCGGCTGCATAAGACAAAGTCGTTCGGTGTACAATTTTACTGAATTCTAGCAGACGCTGTTGTTGAGCGATTATCGTGCTGATTAGCGTCACAAAGTGACGTGCAATAAATTAACAGAAGGATTGGGTAATGGACTTTGGAAAATATTAAAATGACCTAAAGCAGTTCGCGCTTGGTCTCCTAAGAACCATCGATTTTTTTCTTGCTTCTTTTTTCATCTGAACCTCATTTGTTCTTCCTGTCTTAAAAGTATTGGCACCTTTTACCAAAGAATAACAAGCCAGACGTTATAGAATGGCATTCGATCAATCTAATCAGTCACCTCAACAACGACAGTCTGGGCCGCCTCCTCCAACAACTACAAACACAGAGAACGGCCAACCAGAGCTATCCTTACCACCTATTAATACGAGTAGTTGGGACTATAATGGTTATAACACAAACCCAAGACCTCTAGAGAGCAGTACCTTTTCCTCTACTTATACGGCACCAGCTCAACCTTTGTCGCAATCCTCGGTTCAGCAAGACTATGCACCTCGCGAGATTTACAATTCAAACTATACACCAAGCTCACCTCGTCACCATTGGGAACAGGTATATTATCTTTCTCGAGGTCAATGCGTTTAACGATTGAAAATTTATAAGTGAGCTTTTCTATAGTCTTCACAAGTATATGCAGCAAGTTCAAGAGATTATCCCTTAGCTTATACAGCATCTCAACCTCCTGCACAGAGACATATACAATCAAATGCTCCATATGATCCAGTTCGGAGCAATTATACGATTAATACCGTATGTATAAATAACCAGGTCTATGAAAAGTCAATACCGAGCATTTAATTAAATTCATACCGTTTACATCGTTTTTCGCACAGGCATCTGAAGCATTATCACCCCCACAGGTAAGAGATAGAATAAATGAAATAGTGATAAGCGAACAAGTAGTTTTTGTTAGTAAATATTCAAAGCCGCTAACTTACATTCTTCCTCAATTTTTACTCCCTCTCAAAGCGGTCTCAGTCCGTTATATCACCTGTAATGTCTATTTCCCAATTACTTTCATCGAACAATAACGACGAAGAAATGAAAGCTAATTATTCACCATCAGAAAGCCCTCAAAAAGCAAAACTACCTTATGGATTGTCTGAATCTGTGGAAAAGCCTTCACCTCCAGCTGTATATTCTCAACCTGCAGCTGTTATCAGAACTGAAACAACAGTGCTACCTACCTCTGTTCCTAATGCCAACGCAAAAGTTGAACCTTCTTCAGCTATTTCACCACCAGCATCATTTAATCCTCACGCATCTCCTACTATTAACGAGCCTGTACGCACTATAATAACAGAACAAACGCAGGCAAAGCCCTCACAACCCCTTAGATCACCGATTCTTATGCAATATCAGCAACAAACACCAGCAGCAACAGCAGTGGCACCACTAGTAGCTCCAGAACTACAACAACAACATAATATGCATAATCCAACGGAACGTCGCAGTAACGGTATTCAGAATCTACTCAATAGCGAGCCTGACGAACAATACCAAATGGCTGACTCAGACACTGACACAGAAGATATTCCCTTAATCAAGTCGCCAAGATTTGAAGGATTATTGCAACATCAAAATGCGTCAAAACAGTCGATAACTAAGCGCTCAAATGAGCATAGTAATTCAGAGGAAGCAGTAATGGGAGCAGAAAAAAGCGACAACGACGAGATGGAACTTATTGATGATGACGAGGAAGATGGCGATGATGAAGATGAAGAGACACCTTTCAATATTACAGAGGTAAACACAAAAAAACAAGCATCAATTTGCTTTAAACCCTAAGACTGACTATAAATCGTCTTTTTTTTTTTTTTCTTTTTTTGTGTCATAATAGGACGATGGTAAGTCTGCGCTCGAATTGAAAAGAAAGCAAAACTCTGATTGATTTTTTACTAAAATGCCCGTTGTTACCTTTAACCTCGCTCATCTCAGCAACTAATATGGTTTCTATGCAACATAACAAAGAAAGGGAAGAAAATGAGGACACGGACACCTCATTGGATGAATTCAGTGATATTGAAATGGCTAACAACAAAATGACCAAACCCATCATAAAACACAGCCTTCAGCAGATGCCAGGGCAACTTGAAGATGATAGCGAGGACGATGATGAAGTATTGTTGACGCATCGGGAAGAAATGTTACAATTCATGATGGAAGTTCATAAACGGAAGAGACGCGTAATTGAAGAATACGAAAGAAAGGAAGCTGTAAATAACAATCAAATTTGGCACTTACGAAAGACTTGTACCAACTGATGATCCTTTTTTCATTTTGCATGAATTTCCTCCATTTCCTTGCAATCTTAGATACGCCGAAGTCGAATACGAAACAGGATTGAACATTATTACGAGAAGAGATATGGAAGCCGTATCCCTAGAAGCGAAATATTTAAAAGAAAGATGAAGCAGACTTTACATCGTAGGACTAAACAGCTATTTAGTGATGGAGACACGACTGATACAGAGATACATACTGGCGTAGTTGACGACCCGAGAGACGCTGCTAAGCGCAGATTGGAAGATGAAAGGAAGAATATCTGGTTGACGATCGCCAGGAAAGACATTCCTAGAGTACGTTTGTGTATGTTGAAGTATGTATTCAGAAATAACAGATTCACTTATATTATCCTTCTAGATGACTCGTATCTTGTCTCGCGTCCAAGCTACACGATCAGGAAATTGCAAGAAAATTGCGCAATATTGTCAAAAGGAAATCAGACGTGCTGCTACGAATGGTGGTCGTGCCAACCGTGAAATGCAGAATAAAGCCAAGCGACTTAGTAAAGAAATGTTACTTTTCTGGAAGAAGAACGAGAAGGAAGAAAGAGAATTGCGAAAGAAAGCAGAAAAGGAAGCTTTAGACAAATTGAAGCAGGAGGAAGAAAGACGAGAAGCTCAACGACAAGCTCGCAAATTGAATTTCTTAATCACACAAACAGAATTGTATAGTCATTTTATTGGACGAAAAATCAAACAAGATACGGAAGAGGACGAAGAAACAGCTCAACCTGCTCCGTCTGGCCTATCTACTCCCTTGGAGCCTGTGGCTCCAAGTGATGAACTGGATGAAAATGCTGGCATTACCAACGTTGGTGAAGTTGACTTTGATGAAGAAGACGAAGCGGTACTAAAAGAAAAGGCCAGACTTAGTGCGCAAAACGCGCTTGCCAAACAACGTGAAAGAACAAAAGCATTTGACGAAGGAGCGCTTGAAAGGCGTCGTGCTGCAGGTGATAATGTCGATATGAATCAAATGGATCGTAAGTTTTTCATTTATATGCAAATGTTCAGGTCTCTTAAGGTGTAGATATTAAGCTCATCTGTTTTCTATATGACTAGTTGACGATATGAACTTTCAAGAACCATCTAGTATGGGTTTGGGTCCCGAAGTTACTCAACCAAATATGTTGATGTGTCAACTGAAGAGTTATCAATTGAAAGGCCTCAATTGGCTGGCTAATTTGTACGAACAGGGTATAAATGGTATCCTTGCTGACGAAATGGGTCTAGGAAAAGTAAGTGGCCTGTTAAAATAGGACTTAAGTAAGAAAATTCTTATTTACACTTTTGTCGTCCGTTATAGACTGTTCAGTCTATATCCTTATTAGCGTACCTTGCTGAAGTTCACAATATTTGGGGTCCTTTCTTAGTCATTGCCCCTGCATCTACTCTTCATAACTGGCAACAGGAGTTCACAAAATTTGTTCCTCAATTTCGAGTAAGTAACTGACATATTATTGACGTAATGAATGACCAACTCACTCACTTTAATATTTTCCTTCTATTCAGGCCTTACCATACTGGGGTAATCCAAAAGACAGAAAAGTCTTACGACAATTTTGGAACAGAAAACAACTTTATGGAAAAGATGCTCCTTTTCATATTGTTATTACCAGCTATCAACTGGTTCTAACAGACGTTAGTTACTTCCAGCGTGTTAAATGGCAATATATGATTTTGGACGAGGCACAGGCCATTAAAAGTTCGTCAAGTGCGCGTTGGAAGCAATTGCTTGGTTTCCATTGTCGAAATCGTCTCCTTTTGACAGGTACACCCATTCAAAATAGCATGCAAGGTAATATTCTACATTTAGTGCTTTTGCTATTCACAACACGGAGCTAAATGAATATGCATTATCTATGTATCGTATAGAATTATGGGCTTTACTCCATTTCATCATGCCCACATTATTCGATTCTCACGAAGAATTCAGCGAATGGTTCTCTAAGGATATTGAAAGCCACGCTGAAAACAGAGGGTCACTGAATCAGCATCAACTAAGACGTTTGCATATGATTTTAAAGCCCTTCATGTTACGTCGTATTAAACGTAATGTACAGCATGAGCTGGGAGAAAAGATCGAAGTAGAAGTTTTCTGTGAACTAACAGCTAGACAAAGAGCCTTATATCGTGGGCTCAAAGAGAAGATCTCCATTTCAGAATTGTTAGAAAAGGCAACCTCGCTTAGCGACGTAGAAAACATGGATAGTTTAATGAATTTAGTGATGCAGTTCAGAAAAGTGTGTAATCACCCCGAGTTGTTTGAACGCGGCGATGTAATGTCTCCTATGTCGTTCTGTAACTTTAGCGAAACAGGATCATTGGCCAAAGAACAATCTCTATACTGCCCTTACTCGGCCTCGAGCCTCATCAAATATCATATTCCGAAGAGACTGTATCGAAATGGTGGTATTCTAAATACAGTTGGGCCCGAAAGTAACGCTGGATTCAGGCGGAAGTATTTTGGAAATATGTTGAGCATATGGACACCAAAGCATATATTTGACTCTGCATTTTCCAACAAACAAGGTAGTTTTCTATTTCCAACGTTTCACAGTACACTCGTATACTAACTGATGATAACTAGGTGCTGCATTTTCCTTCCTGAGATTCACCGATCTATCACCTCAGGAAGCTAGTTATTTGTTCTCTGCGTCTTTGCTTCAAAAGTGGCTGGATCATTTAGCGCGCCGTCATCAACAAGCTCGACGTCAACTATACAAGGAGCAGGACAAGAACTTATCATCTCTATTCATCATATCCCAAAATACCAGAGCCATCTCTCCCCTCACCACCAACCCAGAATCCCCACTGTATGCATTAACTCATGTTTTCGATCGCTTCATCCATGATACCCACATTTTTGGTCAATTTTATCTACCAGCTATTAACACTGTTCCCGTTGATATCCTATGCGATGATATTTCCTTTACTCGCGAAAAGCAAGATTTGTTGTTTAATGCAAATACTCGCGCTTGCTTATTCGGTGAACCGCACTATATGAATGAAAGAGAACCTAGAACACGATCCGACTTGATAAATGTGGTGCGGCAAACAGAGCAAGGCATTCTGACTGTTCCTACGTCAGGTTATGGTTATTCATGGATGAGAGTTCCGTCAATGAAGGATCTGATCCTAGATTCGGGAAAACTGGCAACTTTAGATAAATTACTCGAAAAGCTCAAACCTGAAGGTCATCGTTGTCTAATCTATTTCCAGATGACGCGTATGATCGATCTATTCGAAGAATACATCAACTATAAGCAATACAAGTATCTACGTTTGGATGGCTCTTCAAAAATCTCTGATCGCCGTGATATGGTACAGGATTGGCAAACAAGGCCTGAAATTTTTATTTTCTTGCTGAGTACTCGTGCAGGAGGTTTAGGTATCAACTTGACGGCTGCCGATACCGTTATCTTTTACGACAGTGACTGGAATCCTACAGTTGACCAACAAGCCATGGATCGAGCACATCGTCTTGGCCAAACCAAACAAGTAACTGTTTACAGGTTGATCACTAAAGGCACCATTGAAGAAAGAATTCTTCAAAGAGCTAAACAGAAGGATGAAATCCAAAAGGTTGTAATTTCAGGTGGTGAATTCAGACAAGTTGATTTCAAACCAAGAGAAATCGTATCTTTACTATTGGATGATGAAGGTAAGAAACATTTTGAAGTTAGGAGAAATTATACGTATCATCTAACGTAAATTATTAACGTGGACTCTATTTTACAGAACTGGATGATAAACTCCAATTACAACTAAAACGTAAAGCTGAAGAAGAGGAAAAGAAAAAGGCTGCAAGAGGAACAAAGCGTTCAAGAAAGCAAGCGTTAGCCGAAGGAGAGTCCACTGGCTCGACGCCTGTACTTTCCCCCGCCAATGTGGACAGACTCTTCAGTGCTGGTGAGGATATCATACAGCCTGATGATGATACTGCGAATGGCAGTTCGGCGCCTTCTAAAAAAAAGACAAGAATAGGCAGGCCAAGAACAAACTTTTCTTTTACCGGCTAACACTAATCACATAATATATTTCGTACAATACAAAGAGATTCGTTATCATTTAAAAAAATAGTATAATTCTCCTTTCCTTGTTACTCAGTTACTATCCCAACGAAACGTTGCTGTATCAGTAAAAAAAGTACATAAAATAATTCCAAACCCATTAATTTGAATGAAAAGCAAAACGAGCAAATATGAGTTTATTACAATACAATTAAGAGGTTATGATGTGTTAAGTACAGGTAAAATATAATAACTGAATGCTTGCACAGTCTAAAAAAATTAAATATCTATTTCTTGGCCTTCTTTAATGCCTTCTTCTTCTGTTCCAATTTCTCCTTTTCTTGCTTCTTTTGTTCGATACCGTATTGCATCTTCTTATACAATTTACGTTGTTTATTGGTCATCATTACTGTTGCCATTTCCTTCGCTTCTTCTTCCTCAATTTCAGCTGCAGTACGTTTCTTCGTTTTCTTGAGTTCATCCACCTCTTCAGCGTCTTCTGTTGCACTCTCCTCGGCAGCGTCACTTTCTAAGCCAGTTTCGGGAACATAATCGCCTTCCTTGGCTTCAACGAATGGCGATAAATGAGGCGGCAGTACAGCGCCTGGTTCATAAAGACTGGGTTTAAGAATTCTGCGAGCATTGATACAGTCTGCCACCCATTGAGGCTGCACATAAGTACGCGATAGTACACGATTAGGTACTGATGGGCGATCAGTAATTTGATAGTTGATACTCTCGTCAGATTCGGGGAAAGGTGCGTTTAAGCCTACAGAGGAGTCCCAACTGACTTGACCACCGCAAGAGCGGATCATAAACTCTAAGGCATAACGTGGTGTTTCACGCGATAAATAAAATTTCTGGTCTTTGAAAAGATTTTGCAGGTCGGCAGTGGCATTGGATGCTTCCTGAATTTTGGCTAATGTAGTAACATCTTCATCATCTGCTGTTGCTGTGCTATTGTTGTTAGCGGGTTTGAATTCATCTAAAGTTGTTTCTTCCTCTTCCTCCTCTTCCTTCTTCGAGATAGATGGCATAGCATCGTCTAAATGAAAACCACCTGTTTCGTCGATCTTGGGTGGGTAAGCCATATTAATCTCGTTATATAACTTGAAGTTCACAAATCCGACCAAAGTACGGTAGAATTCCAAAAATGTCAACATCACACGGAAATCTACATCAGTAGGAATGTCTTGAGAGAATTGATAAGGCACAACCCAGGTGATGGTTTGGCCTTTGATTTCCGCTTGATAATAGATACCCTTGATAGAAAAGAATACTTTACGTAAACTTTTTGTTTTCATAACATAAGTTTGAAATTCTGCTATCAGCTTTTGACAATCGTTGACTACGTCAGTTTTGATTTTGTTATCAGCAGGTAATTTGGAGAATAAGAAAAGCATAGACAGAGCATCATCAAGATCACGAAGAGCATCAATAAAACTGGGATATCTTTCTTTCACAATATGATCGAGATTGTAGATAGGTTTGTTGTTTTCTTCTAAAGATTTAGCGGCTGAAAACTCTCCTTTGTGAAGAACCTTATTGAGTTTCTTGGCAAAAGCCTTGTATTCACGGAATTTTGCCAACAAAGGTTCATGGAGTAGGTATTTGATATCTTTGACGTAATAAAACGTAGCAGGTGCTGTACTACCCTTGTTAGCTTTCTTTTTATTTTTTGGTTCACGAGGGTAGATACCCTTCAAGATACAAAGACGTCTATTGTTTTAAATGAAACCAAATCAATTGAGCAAATCTGTCAGAAAGAGAGGAATGTTCGCAAAAATGGCAATACCTGAAATCAGCAAGTGAAATCTGAAGTTTATTTAAAGCTTGCTGTCTAGTGATAAAGTTGGAAGCGGCACCCTTGACACCTTTCTTCTGAATTTTGGCCATTTTACTTTTTTAATAATGAGGGCTTTTACGGAAGACAAGTTTTCCATTTCTTGCTCGTCTTTCTTTTATAAATCAAAAACCTGAAATTCGAGTGTGACATTTTTCCTTCACGCAACCGAGGTGGCTTACATTTGAGCGCACACACTCATTTCTTGGATTAGAAAAAATTGAGTGGTTTCCTAAAGTTCGTGTGTGTAAATCCTTCCTTTTTCATATCCATACCAAATCCAAAGGTAACGTATCGTAGTCATCCATCTATCTGATTATCCATATTCAGATAGAAAGAATGATAGTATCAATATACTATTGTTATGATATCATGTAAAACCTCGTGGGAGGTTACTGTACCATGATATTTTAGCAACCACTTTTATGAATCGCAGATGGGGCGACACTCATAGAAGTTTGAATTGCTAAACTCTAATTTGTACCTTTGCCATTTGATAGTCAAGTAATCAAAAATGGTCAGAGTCTCTGTTTTGAATGATTGTCTCAACAACATCAACAATGCGGAAAAACGTGGCAAGAGACAAGTTATGATTCGTCCTGCGTCCAAGGTCATCGTGAAGTTTTTATCTGTAATGCAAAAGAATGGTAAATTTCAACAATTTTTTGAACTTGCTTCCCTCCATCTCTTTCCTTTCCTTTTCCGTAGCATAACTGGTTATATATTGAACTTTGACAATATATGATTTTTAAACCTGCGGTAGATCGCCCTATTCCCTATTTTTCTTATTTTGGACATTAACTTTTTTTGATGTTTACAAGAAGTATTGGGTACATAGTTGTCTAATTCAAATTTTCCTCTTCTCATAGGTTATATTGGAGAATTTGAAATTATTGACGACCACCGTTCTGGGAAGATTGTTATCCAGTTATTGGGTCGTATTAATAAGTGTGGTGTTATCTCTCCTCGTTTTAACATCAAGATCACTGAAATTGAAAAATGGACCGCAAACTTATTACCGGCTCGTCAATTCGGTCGCATCGTTATGACCACCTCCAATGGCATCATGGACCACGATGAGGCTCGTAGAGTTCACATTGGTGGTAAAATCCTCGGTTTCTTCTACTAAATGTGTAGAGTGTTACATAGCGAAGACGCGAACGGCAAACACCGGTTGTTTCAGTTTTTTGCAAATAATAAACAATTTTGTAAATAATGATTTAATGAATATTGTAAGAAAGCTCCATTCCTATATATATGCTGGCTTATACATTGTATATTATCGATACATTTCATAAGTGTAAGAATTGTTATGAAATATAACACTTTTAACAATTTTGTTAATAAATTTATTATATTCTAACATTTTATAACTGATATCTGATATTTTCAAATACGAACATTATATATCTAAAATCTGACATTGGCACGTACAGCTACTAACTGGACAGGTTGAATGCTTTTGAAACCAATCAAACATATGGACTGCATGTCCTCCATGGCGACACGTTTGACACCAAGTAAACCATAAGTCAAAGCCAGCTGGGTCAGCTAAAATATGGAGCAAAAAATCTAAGTAAACATCATAGATAATACTTAATGTAATAAGCCTTACTCTTCTGGGTATCGTTTGCCATAATAGGCTGTCGAAGTTGATCAATTGGAGTGCCCATATGTAATAAACATAATGCACATCGAGGCAAGGGTTTACGGCAACTAGAACATACAGAGCTCTAAGGGTCAACAACAACAATATTAGCACAATAGAAAGAATAAAGTATACGAAGCCCTTTTCTACCTTTTGTTTTCCACCGATACGGCCACCTGGATTACTTGTTTGCACATTCATACGCTTTCCTTCTCGATTTCTGGCATTCTGCGTGGCCAAATTATGTCCTAACGACTGTCCACAAAAGTTACAACGTACATAAACTTGCGGCGGTGCAATTTCACTGCTGTTCATTCGTTTGCCCCTTTGAATATCATATTTAGCTCTTGCATGCCACATTTGCCAGCGATCCATTAAAAGACGGTAACTAGAGTATCGTATTTGTCAACAAAAGCATTAGTATAAAATCACAATAGTACTCAAGCCAATCTAACACACTTTACCTTTCAATCCAATCTTCCACTCTATTATGCTTGAACTTTCTAGGCACCACGTAACTCATGAGTAAACTGGCTGTCTGTACATCGCCCGTCTTATCTACTACTCTTTCTAATAACTCTACACCTTTTGTAGTCAAACCAGTCACTACTATCCCTTCTATGTCACCTTCAGTTATGAGCGTGTCAACTATTCTATCCAAATAACTCATCAACTATAATACAGAGAGAAAACAGGTAGTATCAGTAAGAAGAGCTTTAAACACAAACGCAAAAAGTGAGTGCGTTTTTCTTACTGCATCATCTTTCAACACTCGTAATGCAATCGCCATTCTCTCCCTCAACGGTATTTCACGCTCGTCCAATACTCTGTACCAGTTATTCGATGAGATATAAGCGAAAATAGCTTTCAGATAGGGTCTGTCCTTCATATCATTGCTGAGCGATTCGCAAATATCCCTCCACATGTCATTATTGCTAATATTGCCTCCTTGGTAGCTGGCCAAAACGGCCGACATCAGCTTATATTGTTGCTCTAAATCGTAAAATATGAGTGCTTATTGTCCCTACGAGAGGAAGGTTCCTGATTTTTAGCGGTCCTTAAATACCTCCTTTCTCATCTTCCTCTTTGGCACTATTCAGCGCTTTAATAGCTCTTTCACTATTGTTGTGAAATAGTGCTAAAGCAGCGGCTTTATCATATTCACCATTCTTCTCCAAACTGAATAACGAACGATAACAATTGTTATTATGTAACGACCTATATGTTGATTTTAAAGTTTCTGCCACTTACTCTTCTAGCACTTTTTCAAATCCCTCAGAATCAAATGCAAATCCACAAGCAGATAATGCCAAGTATCTTAGTGTCGGCTTATGTGTATCAACCATTGTTAGTCTAGTGGCTGAGCTCGATACCAAATTCTGTGTATTTGTCGAAGCGGTCATTGAATCTGTCATTGTCATATCCTTGACTTTCAAGGTGACAGAAGTAGTATGCCTTGTCACCTTTGGAGAGACTGAACGCGAGGTGATAGCTGCTGGCGACGATGGCCTGTTGTTACTGTTAGTATTAGAGCTGACACCAATGCGACTGTTATTATTAACTCCTCCAGCCCCAACAATGCTACTATTATTACTTGTAGAGGAGCTCATCATTGACTCCATGCATATTCCATAAACGCCCTCGAAACTATAGTCTACGCCGCCTATTTTTGATAATTTACCAGAAATCTGATCTGCAATCTTTACCCAGTTCCACACTTCACGTAATTTGCGATCATCATGGATTATCTTTAAATTTTTCACGCTCTATTTTTTTTTTTTTTTTTGTTAGAAAAAGAAGAGGGCTTAGTACACATCAAAAAGAGAGAAAATAAAGAAGCAAGCCCAGTCGAAGCACAACAACGTTACATCCATAGAATAACCCTCCATTAACCGCCTTCGCATAATAACTGAGACATCTTTCTCCAACTGTTCTGCTAAAGCTTGATCTTCATTATTCAAAATAAGTCTCTGTATCAGCGGCTCATCTTTGTTGCTTAATTCAAGGCTTTTGTGCGAAAATATATTTTAGACGAGCTGACATAAGGTTACTTTTGGAGGGAAGTAAACTTACGATGTGAAGTTTTTATGCATATCCTCTTCGTCTCTTCTGGGCTGTGAATCCCTTGATACATCTCGAGTGCTCACATCTGTCGACGACACCGGCAGATAACTCAATAATCCCTTCCTTCCCGTCATTATCATACCACCAGTAGGCTGCCAAGCAACCTGGCATGCTTCTTGTACTTTGATCGATTCAAATTTTCCATCTGAATGTACTGCTAGAATAGTATGGGCATTCGGAAGTTGTCTACAGTAAGACCGCGGTTTATGGTTACTGCTGAATGCTTGGTCTGCGATAATAGCAGAAGGTGGGATAAATGTGAAAGAAGCGAATCCCTTAGTACTATAACGTGTTTTACGGCTTTTCCATAAAACGGGTATACTGAGATAATCTGCATTTGTCTCATTGACTAAACTAGGCAATACGCTTTGCTGTTGTGAACCTGATTTGTTGTCAGATATCCTTGCATTTGAATTTGAAGACCCCAGTAAAGAGTATGCTTTACTACTACTACTACTACTACCATCAAGGTTGTTAAGATTGGGTCCTTTCTGTTGTTGCTGCAGTACTACTGATGAATTGACCGCTACATGTAACGAACACGTTTCCTGGATATCCCACAAATCTATGTGGGAAGCATCTTTTGTGAGAGATGCTAAAAAGCCAGGCTGTGAAGGAGAGAAAAGGATGCGCGATAAATTGCCTTTCGTTTCCGGTGTCAATGTTAGAATAGAATTGCTGGTTTTTCGAATATCCCACAATTTAATGACTCCATCTTCTGTGTGTGATGCTACTCGGTAAGAGTTGAAAGGATCCACAACAATATTAAAAACGGCTTTTGTAACAAATTGTAAGGGGCTGGAGGCAGGGTCGGCACGAATATCATATACTCTCAGATATTTATTACCCATACCGGCTATCAATAAAGGAGCATTAGCATGTATTGACCAAGAACACGAAGAAATAGCCTCAGATGAACCGTATTGTCGTAAAGGCCCTTGCTCTTTTGATCTATGAAAATGCAAAGCATTGGTTCGAATAAAGGAGGATAAATAAAGAATTACATATATACAAGGTAATCACCTCGCTATTCAACACATACCCCGAACTTCCTGAAGAGATAGGCAGTGTATCATTGAATTTTGGCCTATCTGTTTAATATTTAGTTACGTAAACAGCCTAGCAAATTTGGAAGGATTACTTTCCATTTGTATTTACTTCATTACCCTCGTAAGAATCTACAGTCGTTCTTCCGGCATCCAATCTCCATTGATTCGTGATTGCTGCCTTTAATTCTTGTTGATTCACTGTCTTTGCTGTATTGAAGGCTGTTGGTGTTTGAGCTCCTGTCGGCGTATTGCAATAACTATCCAATGATCTTGTCACATCCCACACTAACAAACAAGGATCATTACGCACCTTATCTAAACCAGCGGCTAATAGATGAGGGTGGGTTTTTGAAAATGATACTACATTGCTGGAGCGAGATAGTTTTACGCCTAATGATGGGTATTGCTTCTGCTGTGTTGATGCTGTTTGCCGATGCTGTTGTTGATGCTGCTGCCGAACTGGACCGGTAATACTATTACCGCTTTCGTTTTCTGTATTACTGCCACTATAAACTATAGTATTGCTTCCTCTTTGAGTAGGTATACTGTAACCATCCGAAATTTGATAATTCGTCAAAGAATGCTCATACAATCGAACGAGCAAAGTTCTTCCTGTCGATAAGCCTACTGCGACCAAGTCGGGACAGTTGGGATCTGGTGACCAGTCGGCACACTATAAGAATGAACAGAGTATATGGGAAGATAGGTATCAGTCTTATGGTTTTGAGGGGCAAACTAATTAGAAGCATATTAAATTGCAACCATCATCAAGTTAATATCAGGTATAGTTGAAATGTAGCGTGCTGTGCCATTAGCCTAACAGTTGCAAAAAAAAAGCATAAACATCACTAAGTTGGCGATGATCTTTCAAAACCTGCTTTCTAATCACTTTGCAATTTTACTTCGAGTGTCCATTCGTATAGTCTCAATTCTGAACCTCCAACAAGGAATTGATTATGGCCTTCATGAGGAGACCAAATAATAGACCTCTGCACTACTACCATATTGCTTGTCAAACAGTTCGAAGGTTATTGATGACAGTTCAAAATAAAGCTGCACAAAACCATTGCTACAGCCTTTAAGACTGAATTGAGTCGCCGATAAATGTCTGTATCTTTCATGCAAAGAAGTTGCTCAAAAATGAACTTCTGTGAAAGGGCTTATTGCTTATGCCTATTCCTTGACCCTACGGAAAGGCTTTCTATTGAAGATTCATATAACAGTATAGCTATTTTAGCTCTAAATGAGATGAAACTATCGTCTGTATATTGACTTCGTACATGATTGTTTAACATTGAACGTTTGCTCCGTTTATCAAAGTAAGAGCAGTTACAGGAATGGAAGGCTACATTATGGACAACGTTCGTAGGAGCCATAAATCACCAGAATTGTTACGTCGCACTTCTGTAGTAGCTATTATTTTATTCCAATATACTACTATTATCCTCAACTTCTTAGGTACGATTCTTTCCACATTATACGAAAAATGCACAATTTACATCAGAGTGCAGCATATTCAGCAAGGAGTACAAGCGGACTAGGCAATATCCAGAATATCCAAAAATTAAAAAAACCTGCTATTAGACGAGAGTTAATCTAAATTACCTTTCATATCAAATGTGAAATCACAATATAAGCGTTAGTGCTAAACTCGACATAGCTTTGCTTATGCAAGTTCGGATTTTTGTGGCTCGGTATAGTAAAGAATCTAATGAAATACTGACTGATGAAAAGATAGTCTATTGTGTCTCTTGTAATGAAATTTTTCAGTAACGTTTTTCATCATTTTATCTTCCTTTTTTGTACTATTAATAGAGTAAGAGTAGCAGTTTGGAACAAATTGTAGTATTAGCGTGAACACATAGTCTCAATAACGGGCCGTGCTTGTAGCAATGCGGTGTAGTACTGTGTAGGTGAGCAATAACGCTGCATATCTTTTAACGACACCTAGTAGAGAAAAAGTCTACGATACTACGGGACAATTCGATAAGTAAGGGTGACTATTGCGTACTTTCGATTAGATAGGGTAACTACTATTGTGATACCAAGAGGGCAATACGAATGATAGACAATTTTTTTAACGAGTTTCCCCTGTAAACAATGGATTTATCAAATAGTCTTTTAGAAGATATAAATAGAAGAAAGAAGGGAGTGTGGTGAGAAATAAGCTTCACATGTTCTATTGTTTTTTGTACTTATAAAAGGAAAATAAAGCGCCATCCATGTCACTTGGCAACGGGACGTATATAATTCCCATAAACTCTGTTTTTATGAATTGCATTTTTGTTGGTTTATTTACGAATTATGGACAAAGATAAAGAGAACATTGATACATCTCGAGTTGAGGGCTTGGCTAAGAATACTTTTTTGTTCAAGTTGAATGCTCAGCAAACGAACAATTGAGCGATTTAAAGAAAAGACTTGTAAAAGCACAAAAAACAAACCAAAGCACTTCAACTGAACAAAAAGATATTATAATTGAAAACAATAATGTCTTCGTTTCAGACAATGATGAATCTGTAGGATCGATTATAAAGACGATGGCTATTAAACTGCGACAGGACTACCACCAGTTGGATGTAAACAAGAAAGCTATTGTATCCCTTGGTCTAAATTCAATAGTTGATTTAAGTTTTCGATATGCCCATGCTCAAACATCTTTATTTAGACCAATGGGTTCAGCTACAAAAGAAGTACAAGCCAAAGAAATATAACACTGGCATTTATAGCGATATTAGAGCTATGTTGAAACCTATTCTTGCTTCGTACAGACGAAACAAAAGCTTTGATCAAAACTGGAAGGCCATCTATGTGGTATTTCCATACCTCCTATAATATATAAAGATGAATTAGACACACTTTCAAGCATTTGACTCGTTATTATGATCATAGAATCATAATAACACTTGCACACGTCATCGTGTACTCTAAAGACATACGCATACATAATGCTGCATTCCTACTGGTTGAGAACGAGTATTTAGCTCCTTTTTTTTTTTACCTCTTTCCTTTCCTTCTTTCTTTTGTTGTCAATACAAACATTCAGTTCGCTATGAACGCTTCCCTCTCTGATTTTTGGTGTATAATAAAAGGTAAGAAGACTTATTTTAACTTACAGTTTATATCAAATTATAAGTCGCGTTCACTAAGCATAAAACAACCACAAATATCACACTATACCAAGGCTAAAGAGCTGGCGGCCCAGCATGATCCAGAGTTGAATGTAGATGAAGCTGAAGTGTCTTTCTGCAACAATTTTATTCTGCAAATTCTAAAAGTCATAAAGCATCAACCAAGCCTTTTCAATGATACTATTAATAATTCTGAATGGGATTATATTGTGAAGTTTTGGGGAGTCGTCATCGAACGCTTATTCCATTTCACTGATCTGCGTTTAAAATGGGGCGACACGTACCTGACATTGGCCGACACAATTAAAAACATGCCTCTCAAGGTTGATCTTCGAATTCTGCATGATGGCATTCGACAAAGGTATAATGTTAAAAACGAAGTGGGTGTCGCAGAAGTGTCAGATGAAGACCCAGGAGACGCGAAATTCACTAGTGATAGATGTAAACTTTTGATTGAAAGCAAAAGCATCAATCAACGCAAGCTGATGACTTGCGCTTACTAGGAATTCCTCGTTGAAGAGCAATAATTGCAATGCTCTATCCCAAGCACGATGAAGTTTCAAAAGTTTACCCAGACCTTCCGGCCAAGGTTATAAACTCGCTGACTTCATGTGGACAGATACCTGTTGGATGGTTGCTTTATCGACAGTGTTGATTCTCTGCAAATCTATGGTCTAGAGATTTTTTTTGTGAACTTGACACTGCAAGAGAACGGTCTTTATGTTGGAACCCAGTTTTATCAATCAGCAGTTAATAGCTTGCTAGATTCATTCGACAAGTACTTGGAACTTGCATTTACTTTGTTATGCTTTCGTGATAATTGCGTAGTAATCAATAACAAGTATGAACATCGCATTATATCACTCCGTACACAAAAAAAAATCTGCCAAACGTCCTGCTTCCCAAATGGTACATGACGACCTTTCTACCAAACAAACTTGGATTCGTGGTTCTTGGAATCCCCCTCGCACTGCAAAAACATCACCACCTGCTGAACCTAGCAACCTTTTCTTCAAGGGTTCATAAACTTTCTTATATTATTTCATTGTTTATCTAATTTGTCCAGTAAATTATGACAAGTCTGAATAAAAGATTACTTGGATTCATGTGGCGTATATTATCGATTTCGCTTAGGTCAAAATACTTCGTATTTAAAATGATCTTAAGAATACAATATACCAAGTATAGTTACTAGCGTTCAATTATATAACTAATCATAATAATGTTCATTGGAACCTTCATATATATGATTATAAGATTGATAGCTCTATTTTGCAATTCTTGAAACTATCAATAAATTGTCTGATCCAGCTGTTTAGGTTCCCTTAACTTATTTGCTGTGGCCTCTGTTGCGTAAACAGACATAGTGTATCCAGGTAATAAGCGGCTTCGACGATAAATAAGTTTCATCTTTACCCACCATTCATCGATTAGATTGACCATTGGAGAGTAAATGGAAGATAAGTACAGTTCTCAACGGTGAATATATAACTTGAGTTCTTTAGAAGGGTGAATCAAGGCGTTATTCATAACCAGATTGAGTCTCTCTATTTCACTTCTATCTAAGGCATCCATGAATGCAGAAACAGGAGCATAAAAATGTTTACTGTTAGTTCCACCTTTTCCATTTTCCTCAAATTTACTACTATTACCCATTATACTGTTAGTTCTTTTTGATTCCACCATCTCTCTTGTTTGTTTATTTTCTATAATGGTTGGGTAGTCTCACAGACAAACCAATAACTCTTCGTAGACAAACTGCACCATGAAAAGACAAAGATTCACCTTCTTCAGTGAGGAGACCACGTTGGCATTTTTATCCACTGTGGACTGGGCCAAGGTTCTAATAGTATGTGGATTAATGCATATTTAATTAATAAAAACGGATGGACAGTTTCTCGATCCATTCTTTGGCAAAATGCTTCTTTTCAACCCGATTTTAAATAGTTTATTGCCTGGTAGAAAATGCATAGGAGGACCCATGATCTTCGCCATACAACAAGAGAGTTCGAACCGTTTTATCCATAACAAGATCCTTAACGCCGACTTCGTAAACTCTTATGCCTATGACAACCCATATTATCACTTATGCTTTACAAATTCCCATCCTACTGTGTGCCACTTTTAGGGACTAACAACCAATGTTTTTTCGATTGCCCTTAATGCCAAGCTTTATGAGAAACAATATTGTGGTATTTGATGACTTGAGGGTAAAATATCACTTAGTTAGAAACAGTAAAAAGCTTAACGAGATCAAACTAGTAAGTCTTTATTTTGAATCAAGTTTAAGTTCAAAGAGAAGAGAAAATATCTACTGCAAAATGTTAAATATCTTTCTTCAAATTGCGGAACTTAGAAATTGACAGCTGAGTTATTCAACTCAAAGAAGACGTACGTTTTCCGAACCGTAAAAGAATAGAATCCTCCCTTGAGGAGATTACGCATCTACTTGGAGCGGGTGGACTTGTAAACGTATCCATGGCTTGATCTAGTGATCATGCAACTAACCTATTTTCCCGTGCTAACCATTATGTAGCACTACTTGCAGGGAAAATAGTATTAATTAGGAAAATAGTATTCGTGCGTGGTGTTTGAGTTGAGTGAACAGTTATTGTAAAGGATGATCATAGCCTATTATCTTGTAATCATTCTTTATACCGAAGGCAAAGAATAGTATTTATAACCTATTATACCTTGGTGTTGAATCAATATATCCTGCATGTCCATATATTAACTCTACTATATATCCTATGTCATATAGTAACGTATTACAGTAAAATAAGTAAACTATATATCCTAAATGACAACCTGTTCAGCCTTATACGAGGTAGCTAATCTCGTATAAGAATCATCACTTATTCTATATTCGTTTCCTACTCTACTTTATATTATTTCAGCAGTAATGAGGTCTGAGGATCTTGTATAATTTGTATACGAGTTCTCCACATCTCATATGATGCTGTCAACTAAACACAACACTTAATTCACGGTACTCATATATTAGAGTTTATGTAGTTTTTAATTATTTCTGGTTTGCAATATTGTATAATTCATCTTTATCCTTCATAAAGTGAATTATATCTTTAATGTTTGTATATCATCTACTCTCAAATATGACAGATAGATCAAATACGTTGTTTAAAATTTTGATCAAGTATAAACTTTACAAAGTTGGAGAAAATAAAAAGGAACGGAAATTTTAAGAAGGATAATCTCCGACGAGGAAAGAGAGCTACTTGCTGACGTAACGTGAGAGCTACCAAATCACTCAGAGACCAAAAATGGAAATAGTTAAACACCGATTAGTCGAGCCGATCTCACAGAAATGCTACTTTTCAATATTAATCATGCGTGGTTGGTTAAGTGGTATAATCTTCGCCTGCCACGCGAAGGGCCGGGGTTCGATTCCCCGACCACGCATTTTTTTTCTCTGTTAGAGTCATCTAGCGGGGTTTTTTTTTAGCTTCGTGACGTGCCTCAAAATTGATGATACTAATTAGTAACCTTATGCAACAATATAATAGTATAAAAGATAAGGAATATGGAATAAAGATGAAGGTTAAGCTTTTTCTCTCTCTCTTAAGAAAAAAAACAGGATCCTAGTAATAAAAAAAAGGAAAATAAGAGCTTAATTAAAGAAGCTATCCTCGTAAGCACGACATTAGTTTCAGCATCAATGTTGTACTTATTGAGATGCCTCTGATATGTAGACGATTTTGTTCTTTACTTTGCGATATTGATTTTCTTTTTTATACAACTACATTGATGCATAATATAATTGATTTTTATGCCAATATTTTGTGGCATACGACCAGTGTTGTCAGAAGGTATCATTAAATCTTTAAAAGAAGATAATTCAATGAATAATTAATACAGCTTGTGATTTAAGTAGGGTAATAAGACTTATTTGAGAAGAGAGAATGCCTGTTAGTAGGTAATCGCTGAAAAAATACAGGTGAGAGTAGGAGACATCGAATCGTAGGATAACGACGCGTATAGGCAGAAATGAGGGATCACGATAATAGATTCTCAGTCTAGTAATAAGAATAATTAAGGCAAAGTAGTCATCTGGATTAGGGAAACTCATACAGTTGATTCAAGCGTGCATTTATACTTGACTTACTAAACTTTTCTTGCAGCCCATGAGACTGTATGACCGCGTTACAAAGCCCGAAATGATGAAGGGTGCTACTAGCAAGACAACAAAAAGTTTTGACAACAAAATGAACACCCTAGGTTACTGACAAGTTCAGGAGAACATTTCTTAGAATGGGTTATATAGTTCACTATTGTTATTGCTTTCTTTGTTGGCCAAAATGAGAACAATATATATAGGACCGGCGGATTACTAGCCAGAGATTGCAATTGCAAAACCTGAGGAGCGCAAAAAGCTTTTACAATAGTTACTATTTCAATGGAAAACTGCATCAGTCAGCTAAATAGCAAGGTAAACTTAATAGAGCACACAATTGTGTATAAATGCATAACGATAGACAATGAAATCATTATAGCAGCCATATAAAATCATACGTTTACAAAATGTCGGCTCGTAACTGCCGTAACGAATGGAGAAAAATGATTGCGATATACTGAAGGAATAGGACGGTGTATGCAAATATACAAAAAAGAAGTATTGTAAAATTGCAATTATAAACTTACGTTAGTGGTAGATAGAGCGATTGAGCATGTAAGATAATTTAAAATATAGTTTCGTTTCAATTAATATATGAATTGATCATATTTTTTTGTTATGCTGTTAGAAGAGTTTTGCAATACTTTTACGAGGATCTAAAACAGTTAGCGTCGTTATGATCGCAATATTGGAACACTACTACTAGCTACATTTGAATTTCGTATATATAATTGAATTATCTTGTGATTGAACTTTTGAGCAAGTTCATGATGGAAAGGTTTGGGATCGCTAAACTATGCAGTTTTGTTTGATGGGCGGACGATTGATGGTCTGAGGGTTCTATTCTTTTTGTTTGATATAGTTGCGCTCTTGGTACAAAAAGATTAAAAGGCAATAGTTGTTAAACCTTTGTGGACCTAATTTCTCAGCAAGTAGGCATAATATTTAATGAAGCTTCCGAATTGTTCGCATCATTAGACTTTATACAGAGGCAATATAACGTATATCCAAATGACAATCCGTTTGATTAGCTTTTATTCTTTAGAGAATAGGAGAATTGTTACATTGTATCTTATGATTAATGATAAAGGTACTGATTCAAACAAAAATATGATACGGATTATTGACAAGATTAATTTCTGAATTGATCTTCTGTAACGCCTTCGCCCATAGCAGCAGTTGCTGATATACCACCTGTCACAACCTTCATTAATTCATCAACATAGTTGGCACCTGACCATTTTTGATGCTGTAAAACATCTACACCGTGTTCTCTCTCTTTACGTTGCACGTTGGAAACATAACCATACATTCCACTCTCTTTAAAGCTTTTAGCAAAAGTAGCTATAATTGTCGAAGTGTAGATAAAAGTATTAATGAATTAGCCACTAAAACAATAAATTAATTAAATGTAATTACCAGTTGCTAGAGCGTTTGCATGTAAACCACCTAATGTAATAAATTGCCAAACAAATCCAAGTTTTCCTAGTTTCTCTATATATGTGCCCATATCTTGATCGTTTAAACCTGCAGCATCCCTATTGATTAGCGCTTAGTATGTTAATGTTCCGTACTTTCATCCGTTACGGACAAGTAATGAAAAAAAAAAAGCCTACCAATTGAATGAAGGTGATAAGTTATAACACAGCAAAGAATTGGGGGATTTGCTCAATACACCTTTAGCAAACTGTTCAGCTTGTGACAAAATAGGCTTCTTTGTTTCCATCCAAAGCATGTCAGCATATTCAGAGAATGCAATCGAACGTGCAATAGCGGCTTCAGTACCTCCATCATAGCGATACATGCCTTCACGTACACGACAAGCGTCCCAGTCCCAATGAATAATAACATCATATCGATCTTTAGCAATAGCACGAGCTTCTGCATTTGACTTGAACCGAATTTCACTCAAATATTTTTCAGCCAAATGTCCTCTACCTAGAGCCACCAATTCTTCGGCAACAGCAGTTCCGTAGCGCTTTAAACCAGCTTTCGCAACCCAACCATCTTCGATAGCCTGAAGTTTACTTCCTTGAACTCCTTGACGTTCGGCTTCTTGCAGTAAAGTAGCTAAAGGTCTTAAACTGGGGTTGGTAGCCCCAACAATAAATTCATGATCGCGGGGATCAATGTTACTTGAAATTAGAGTAGCAGCTTCAGCGTCAGTACGAGCAACTACAATGTTTTCCACTCCCATTATATCATATTGAGCACGGATAGCGACGAGCCGATTTATATGTTCAGCAATAGGTACCAAAACTTTACCAGCCATATGCCCACACTTTTTAGTAGCAGGAGATTGGTCTTCGACTATATTTTGATTATCAAATTGATATAAGCACAAATGTGTCAGAGCTCTTTCACATGGAATGATCAGAAAAGCGATTATAATATTCTGGATCAAACCCTCCTTCTTTTTTACATTCTTAGCGTATCAACAGATTAAATCTTACCATGAATACCGGCTGCACCACGTTCAACGAACATCTTGGTCAACTTCATAACAGCTGTTATACCACCATGGCCAGTATCGCCATCGGCAATAATAGGCCGTAGATAATCAATCTTGGGAGTGCGGGCTCTTTCGTCGGGTGACATTGCAAGGCGGGCCTCACGTTGTTTTCTATCGTGAAACAATTGTGCAAAGAAGAGATGCTCGACCTTATTGGGAACTGTATCCATAGGATAGTCAGCAAGATCGGGTCCTGGTTCATTAGAAGTAGAAGCAGTAGAAGAACATTGCCAGCCTGAAACATAGACAGTGTCGAGATGAGGAGCCATTTGAGTGACTTGGACAGGATCAAGAGCACCAAAAGTATGAGAGGTTCCACCAGTAGCTTTGTTGTGCTGAAGGATCTGCCATAATTTCTTTCCTTGTTCGTTTGATCTGTATTGAGTAGGGAAAGTGCCACGCTTTGAGACAATAGATTCAGCAGTGTAAGGGCGTTTGACAAGTTTGAAACGAGGAGAAGCCCACCATTGTTTTACTCTTTCAACTTCTTGTTGAAATTCAAGTTGTTCCTGATCGACGTAGGTCATAACGATGTTGATATTGATTGTTTTGGAGTTGAAAATATGGAAAAGGTTTGAAACAGGGATAAAATGATTGTATTTATATTCAAATCACCAAAAAATCAAAGGGGGCTCACAACAGCAAATAAACGATTCCTAAGGCGCTTCTAAAGAGAGAGAAAAAAAAAAAAAAAAACCATACATGGGATCTTCTCTACAGAAACGGTCAGCAACTATTGCAAAACAACAGCGTATTTTTAACTGCAAATTCAAAATAAATACAGGAAATCTAACAGTACATGCATACAACCTTACATGTTCGGCTCTTTCTGCAACAATAATGCTACAAAGAATAGCAGCATGCTCGAAAATCTTTGCAAAGTGAGTGAGAGCCCCTTTCTGATCACCATCGTTTTCAGAAGCATAGTGAGCACTAGTGGTGTTCTGCGGTGCGTCAGAATCAAAGTGGCAAGTTATATTTTGAGAGAAGTTCGGGAACATATCGTTTGAGATTAAAATGCAAATCCCGTATCTTGGCATATTATGCATCGAGAATGCAACCTCGTAAGAAAACTGCAATATAGTCGAGCTTTTACAATACGCTATTCCTTCAAATTCAAATATCTGCAATCAAACAGATTGATCAAAACAAATTGCATTTGTTTACATAATTTCGCTACGCAAAAGATTCATGATTGGAAAGCTTCTCGACAATATCTGTGATAATCAATATATTCTCAAATGTATGAAACATTAATTCAAAATTGGCTAACAATACATACTATGAGTTTGATATATCTCATAGAAAGTAGAGGAGCATTTACGATATAAGCTAACTCTCTTCCATAATAAAGTTCTTGGCATTGCGCGAATATATATTAAGATGATGCTTATTCAAATTATATAAAGAACGTTCCGTACATAATTTAACTGCTTTTTGGCTAAGATAATCAATAAAAGAAGGATCTTAGGACTCATACATACAACCTTCTTCTTTTTTAATATCTTGCTCATCATCTGATTGTTTCTTATCTTTTCTTTAGCTCTTTATGGAAGTGATTTCGATCTGAAGCTTTGTAGTGATTTTTCATACAGAGAATAACGATCTTCATCCATTATTTATCGCTCTTAGTCAGCAAATCGGTCCTACAGCTCAATTCATAACTCTCAACATTAACGGCATTAATTCATCTCCTTAATCATTCAGTGAAGTTACTTAGGGTATTCAAGAGGCTATGGTTGATTTTTCCTGATTTATATCACGTCTGTTATTGATGGCTGGCTAACATGTTTTTTGGTTTCCAGATAAATACTCAAGCGCATCCATTCAAAAAAAGATTTGTCTTTTCCCAACTGATCAGCTTGGGCTGTTCGCTTTATATGTTTCATTGTGGTTAGACATATAGAAAAAAAAGTCGGTTAAATGTCTATCAATTGCTGCAGAGACGATCACAGCCCTGAAAATAATCACCAGATTGACTTACTTTAGACCGCAAGTGTATATGTCTTCAAAAATGAAATATCACCCGATTCAAGTAGAAAAAAAAACCAGAGGTACAACGCAGGTAAGTTTGAGTAGATCAGAATATGACGGATGATGTGACCTTTATATGATAGCCTTTTCAATTATCTTCCAAAAGTAGAGCACTTGCTTATCTGATTTATTTTTTGAAATTTAAGGAGAACCAAGCAAAATTTTTTTCCTTTGAAAATCAAACGTTCGCTTACTCAATTTCAGCACTTACAATAACCGTTCATGAAGATATGTAGAAGTATCATAACAAATAATCGCAAGCAATCGTAGCTTTTTTTCACTATAATCCCACAAGTTGTCAAAATATTAAGTTGCTAGGAAAGGCCGTCAAGAAGTACCCGACATGAGAAACCTTATGTTTTAAACGGTGTTTGATTTTTTCATTTTTTTGATCTGGCTCAATGTTTAGAGGCAGATTATCCAAAATCATCGGCACTCAGAAATCAATTCAACGCAAGCTGGGCAGTCTTTTGGATGTCTGAGTTCTTCGGTTACAAATGAAAAAAGCTTAATCTGCTTTTGCGTAAAGTTTCCTTTTATGTATGATATTATAGCTAGAAATGAAAACGAAAATAAGTGAAAGCAGCAGCAACTGCTTTAAGAAACTTCAGTCGATAATCTATAGACAAAGATATATGATGACGATAAAAGCATATTCATCAGCTAATGTTAACGGGTTCAAATTCATGATCAACATATGATCCATGGAATGTAATAGCTGTAAATTGTCCAATTTTGACACGTGCTGCTTCTTTCATTGTTTTTGCATCCAAAATAATCAGATAACAACAGTCTGCGTGATTCATCAAGCTTAATAAAACACCATCGTCTTCTTCAGTTGCAGAGGGTTGGGGAACAAAAATCGGTTCAGAACACATATAGCCTTCTTTGATATAGGTCAATACATTATCACTGGAGTATGATGGCTTGGAAGTAGTAGTATCAATTTTGACAAGGCAGCATGTCTCATCCTTCTTTTCTGTATATCCGTACAATTGGCAACCATAGACATAACGTTCTTCTAGCATACTCTTTTGTTGATTGAAGCGTGGAAACTCGACATTTTTTGCCAACACATCAATTTGACGAACAGCATTTTTGGTCAAATTCAACTGATATTGGACGAAATCACCAAAACAAGTTTGCCGACGAGGAGGATGATTCAATCCGTTTAAAAATCTCGAATGCGAAGACTGATCAGAGACGGGGGCATCATCCCAAGAAGGGCGCTTATGATGAGGTACACCATAACTATGTAATTGATGCATAATATCTCCATTTGCAAATGAAGCACTTTTCAACGTCAAGAGACTATCACCTGTAGAGGGACAGGTGATTTCGTACGCATTTCCAGTATGAAAAGTGAAGAAGTTATCTTTTATAGGAATAGAGGCAATTAAGCCATCCTCGCCATTGATTGGGTGGCGTCGAATCACATGGCAGTACGTTGGGCGATGGATGTCCCAAGACATACTAGATAAGAAGGACCCGGTGAGAAGCATGTTCAGACCCTTATCTTTTATGGCTAAAGGGGCTTCGGGTATGATGACATAATTCTTGGTTAACCAAAATGAATGGATGTAAGCGGCTCCAAAAGGCGTTTTCTTGTCATAATGATGAGTAATCGTGGACAAGATAGTAGTGGTTTTACCATCAGGAGAGATTTTAAAGACAATTAATTTTGGTTGTGGGGTAATCGTAAGGGAAAAGTTGAAGACTTCTTTTGTTATCGGATCGTATTGATGATGAGCGGCAGAGAATTGACCATCGAAGCGTGCGTCATAATCAGCGTAATCGAAAAGACGTTGAGGCTCTTAAGGATTTCAAAGTATATATTAAATTATTGTTATATTTATCAACAAACCTTGTCTTTTTTCTTTTTTTTTTTTTACCTAATGTTTCGGCATGAATTTTCTGAAGTATATTTGCGTCAGTCTTGGACACCAACACCTTCTCCTTGTCCTCTGCGCCGTGGAGCGCTTTAGGCAATGGAAAACCAGGAGTGACTGTAACGCCTACAGAAGCACTGTCAGGAGCCATATTGGACTTTGGGGTAGGAAAAAGAATAAGCACACGCATGCGATTCACCAAGTGCACGAACCATTCCAAAAAGCTGATTTGAGAAAGATGGCCAAAGAATATAGGCGAGATGTCCTTCTTATTGTTTCCTTCAAACGAGGTTTGTGCTGCTTTAAACAGAACGCGTGAGTTATAAGTGACAGTTTGGTTTGAGCCATTGATATGAAAGCGATGCATAAAAGGTAAACCATCAAAAGCATGACGAATAGAGAAGGAAGGACCATTTTCCTGCTGAAGGTTGAATCTTCCTGGACCTACAAAAACGAAATATCGGGTTTTAAGCATTTACGCTTCAAAAACGTTATATTCTTTTGCGACACGTATTTAAAATAGAGTCATTTACCGACTCGGTACATTATACCACTAAACCATTCCGGTATTTTGCCTGACTCTACTTTCAATGAAATAGGATTCTGAACCTCTGGCAAATCCTTGAACTTTTCTGCAGCTAATATGGCTTGAAACTTCTTATAAGTAGTTTGATAATAGTAGTACAAAGCTACTACGACGCTCCCAAATAATAAACTGAGGCTCAGTGTCAAATAGTATATCATTTCTCGCAGCTTGGCGTATCGATCTGATTGTTGAAAGCAATGAAGAAGAGTTGATAGAAGTGTGGAAAGAAGAAAAAAGAAATATAAAGAGTTTGATGACCGATGAAGGGCTTAGTTTAAGGAGTTGTATTCATACATCAAGTTTTGGCATAAGAAATTTGATTGTTCTACTGTCAACGGTCGGTCCTTCATATTAGAGTGTCTCTCCTTTATTCGTCTGTGTGGAACCCTCACAATGCTCGTAGCGGAAGCCTTCCTGTTTTAGCAAATAACAGTATTACGTAAAAATCCCATGTGGGTTGGGGAAACTATTTTATCATCAATCTAAATGATGCGAGTCGTTTTACAATCGAAGCAATTACTGAATTTGACCAAGAATGACTTGAGTTTTCTGCAAAGGTATCTTTCTCTTGATGTTTGACCCGTCTGCACTCTTCAGCTGGTTTAGAAAAGGATGCGATTACACTTCTTTAATTGTATTACTTAAGAGCTGAGGTATTCTTATGTATTTTGCCATCATACTAGTATTATTTACGATATGTAATTCAGTCCTGTTCAAACATAGAAGCCTACAATACATTCACTAAGACCAATAAGCATTCAAAATACGATATGTCATGTCAAGGTTCGTGTAGCACAAAGACTATCATGCGATTCTTGAGCATGAAAGGTTGTGTGCCATTATTTGAAGTTGCAGGTTGTTGCTTGTTTCTATAGATCATACTTTCTTTAGCTTATTCAGTTATTTAACAGTATCACACATTCGTGAAAACTATATTGACACCAGTTAGTAATCTATATTTTGAGATCTCCAAAGCCGTACTATAGAAGGCATGCGTTTCTGTACCGTTAACACTTTGAACTATCATGTATGGACAACAGTATTCTTTGCTTATGAATGACAGCAATCACGATAGGCTTTCCGAAAACAAAGAGTTGATCACGGCGTTCTTTCCGCCATCATAAACACTTTGCAGCAATTTTTTGAGAATCAATAGTTTAAAGATGGCTACGCGTTTAACTTAAGATGCTGAGAGCAAATAGATTTAAGATAAAATTTGAACAGTGAATCTAGTGTCTTGCTTCTCTCGCAATGATAAACTACATAGCAAATTATCTACCAGTTAGACCGAAATGACTACTATTGTATCACTTGAAAATTATCCATATTTTCTCAATTTCAATTTCAATTAAAATAATTTGCTCTGATCATAATAATAATATCTTTTTATGGTTGTATTAAATAAAACAACACCAACTCTACAGATGCATATCAAGAAGCGCGGACGATGGGCACTATTTATCATAAATACTGAGGAGCAATTTCTAACTCATATATGTGCTGACGTATTATGCACATGCAAGCAGAAAAGAAAGGGTTCGGTAAGTACACTGCAACCACACCTTAAATTTCTTTATTGTACTTCGAAGGAAAGCAGCTGACGATAAGCATCTTAAAAGGGCTTTACTAACATCGGAAGGAGTCGTTTACAGTTATTTAAAAAAGTAGCATTACTGATTTTGTTTGATGATCTGAAATAAATGAAAACTTATGTTCAGCAATGGATGCCGGCTGATCCGGCAATCAAATCGTTTTCTACAACTGAGGAATTCATACTTAGTTGGCGGCCACTGGCTTACTTAGTTTGGGAGTTCCTAAGCGTATCAAAGAGAAGAAGCTTGCACATGAGCTTGCACAGGAAGCTGAAAGGCATTTTTTGTGAGCTTTGATGAAATGGACAGATATCCAGAAATGAAGGGGGATTACCTTATAATGGATAACGCTCCTATCTACAGCTCAACCGATATAAGTAAGTGTATCAGTTCTCGGGGAGACCGGTGGGTATATGACCTTCCATATGCGAACTGAATTCGATCAAGCAACTCTGGTCAGTCGTGAAGAGTACATTGAAACGAAGTCCATTTTTGGAAAAAGAATCACCCATGACAAGAATTAGCGAAGCATGTGATAGTTAACTTGTGAACTCAAAGGGTTTGCTTCGCATTCTGTCAGATGCTATTTCTGAGCAAAGAGAGACTCTAATATCCAATGCAAAAAAAAAAGGACGGAGGAGGGGGATTTGTTAAGCACTTGTTAAGCATTTTTTGCTAAACACTCGGGAGGAGAGGCAACGACGTCATGAGGAAAGCAAGTTTGTATTTGTTCACTTTTGTTAACTCAGCCTGCCCATATGCATGTTCCAACATGATTGCCTCTCACCAGATGTACAAAACTAATGCTTAGCAAAACGCTTAACAAAGTGGCTAGCAAAATTTCTAACAGAATGCTTAGAAAAATGAAACAAAAAACAAACAAACAAAAAAGCATGGCAAAGCCCCACCTAAATCAAATAAATCTCATTTTTAAATCCTGAGTTTGTCTACTAATTATGTTAATATTCCATATGGCATAATCGTTTGCGGTCTTGCAATGGTAAATAACGCCACTGAAGGCAGATGTCTTGATCATATGGCGGTGTCGGGTTGGCATCGCTTCATGGACTGATGATTTGGAGATGCAATCAAACGCTTCTAGTACGTGACATCGACAATAAGTTCTAGTTGAATCATCCAAGCAGCTAGGAATATTAATTTTTTTCCAGCTCGTAAATGACATAAAGTCGTTGAAGGCAAAACCAAGACGTAAAACAAACCATTCTTCCAATAACCTGTAGACCCAGTGCACCTTCCAAGTTTTGTGTATCCAAAGCATTCTTGCAGAATATACCAACGCGAAGTAGATACTAACAAATCGAAGAATTGCTACCACCTTGTGCATTTGATTTAGCTTCCCATAGCCATGATTCGACGCCCACATCCTCCCATGCAAACGACTCATACGTGTATCGGAATGTATTATTGATAAATCTTCATGCTGTTGAACTTTTAAAGTTAGTCATTAGTCCACCGTAGGTATATGCCATCGTCTGGATCGTCAAATAAACCAGAATACAAGAGGGCCAACGTATCGAGTGCTACATTCAAATCCGTCGGTGCCTTCTGCAGTTGGTATGGTAAGAAGCTTCCGAATCAAAACGATTATGTATTCTTATAACGTATCATCAATTGTGGGGAGGTCCAATTTAAAAGATGTGCAAACGCTATATCTCGATTTATTACTCCCAAGGTAAGATCTTGAGCGATACCGACCATGCTGGTAGCTGTCTCCATTGATATGTGGAAGCTTTTTAATGGCATAGACTGTCTCAAACTCATAAATGGTTGCCTTGAGGTTTTGATTGCGCAAATAAGGTCATAAACTTTCTCGGTACTGATTTTAATATTTGTAGTTTGTTATTACCGTTGTTTTAGTGAACACAGCTTAAATAGCCGATACAAACTAGAAGATGAAATGAGTCTCCTCTGATACTTTTATTGTACACTGAAAATCAGAAAGGGGAGCGTTTACGGCAAACTGCATGTTTGCGAAATAGAAAGAATGAAAAATACTCGTTTCTTGAACTCTCAACCAGTAGTAATGCAGCATTATATGTGTGCAGATCTTTAGAGTACAAGATGAAATGTACAAGTGCTCTTATGATTCTATCTCATAATACAGTGTTTAGTATTTGCAGCTGTGTCTAATTCATGTCTAATATATCATAGAAGGCTTGGAAATACCACAATACCGTATTAATCACTCCAACGCCCACTATCCTGGACAATATATCCTGGATTCTCATCATAAAATCATGACGCCCTTCTCCACCACCTCCAATACCCCATATACGCTTCCGCCACAACGACGTCTATAGCGCCTTGATAAAGTACGAAGCCCAAACCACGTTGACTCCTGCCAATTCCATCTTTGCAGAAAGTAACCACATTACATGCCCCATGAATCAACGTTCTTTGACGCACGAGAATCAGCCATAAGCTAATGTTCTAGCTTCAATAGGTACGAGCTTTGAAAAGTCTTTATCCCTTCGCTTCCACGCACACATGACCTGCCCTCAAGTTGAGTATGGTCTAGAAATCTGCGCACTGATCAACACACAATATCCAAAGTTGAAAATAGCGCAGACCTATTGTGTAAGACAATTTATTGGCGGCTTATCTCGATCTTCCGTAAAGGTAACGTTCCATATGGCTAAACTACCAACAATGAAAGACGAAGTGCTATCCTTCAAGGCAAATACATGCTACGCCCACAAAGTCTACCTGAAGAATCTCTCCTCATCCTACTGCGCCCCTATACTCAACAATCAATCAGTAAATCTACCCATGCCAGTATTAGCTGCTCCCCTATTCTGGACCGTGTTTAACAACGACCAACAGCCAACCAGAAAACTCTCAATCAATGCATTTGCGCTTTCCGGATGAAGACCTTATACTACCGGCAGCATATACACAATAATTCCAAGTTCCCTCTCAGTGTATCAATCATTTATTAGCTTAGACTCTGTATTATGGCTAACAATGACCAGCGATGAGCGTAGCCGGTGTATCCGATGGCGACTCGGTTGGCTTATCAGCGGCTATGCCAACTTCTGCTTCCGTCATTCAACCCCATTTTGACCACACAACAAGCCATAAGTGCTTACGGATACATCACCGCCTCATGATACCTGAAACAATTTCAGCCTCACTGTTGTAATTTCTGAACCAGTTGGCTACCCACCCTCCTCGCACACCCACTCACTTACCAATCGTGGAAAATCCGTTGACCGATCATTTGTGACATCCTATATGAACTGGACCATTTATTTCGCGGCGTTGATCTTCTCGACCAAAAACGCTTCTCGGTTCCGTCCTGCTACAATGGTTGGCTCCTCAATTTCCTCCAAATACCACTGTTTAAACCTTTTCCCCATTAGCACTTAAACGGCTTCCAATACTGTGTTATACAATCACTAGAATCTGCCTTGGGCAATTTTTGGTGCCTATTGGCTTCTGAAATTAAATAAAAACTTTGTTTTAACGTAATGTTTTTGTTTTGAGGCACAGATCCCATTTCTGCTGGTGTGTGAAATTATAACTACTACTTTCAGAATGATCATGTCTAATCATCACGGGAAGGCTTTGTTTATAAAAATAGATAAATTGAAAGACGTAACAAAAGCTTTTTCCAAAAGATATGAGTACACAAATAAACAGAAAGCACATGGCAAGGTAGAGTCGGGCATTAGATAATAAATGAAAAAAGAATAAAGAAGAAAAGAATAAACTGGAAACGTCTTTGAGGAAGCACAAACACACATTTACATGCATAGGTTAAACTTGGCACTTTTATTTTATTTCCAAAATTGATATGATGTCGTAATGATATAATGCAGTACAGAGGCCCGTATATGGTAGTAAGGTACCAGAGAATGAGAACAAAAAAAAGAAATGAGGGGGGAGATGATGGATAATTGTTTAATATGTTTGGTCATCCCGCCGGCTAAATTTGTGCCCAATAACAGCAGTACCAGCATGTGGCGGAACTGGATTTCAAGAGCGTAGGTAAGCATAATAATGATAAAGATAATAAGATAGTGTACCATGGCCATGGCTTTGTTTAAATATGATGTGGATAAGATGGACGTACTCGCGAGATTCGTATTAGATGTTTTCTGTAATGGTCTGGAAGTGAAAGGAAAAAGAAGGGAATATAGGAGTGTAAAATGTTGTAGGTAAAGATGCTATGTACAAACTATGACTAAAGGATTTATGAATGCTGAAGATCTAATGCTATCGTGGAATTGCTACCAAATATGCTTTAACTCGTAGAGAATCGACACCAAAACTCATGGCTGTTGAATTGGGAGGGTGGTAAGGGTTAGATCAATGGCTTCTTGAAACATATCTTTTTATCACGTTCAAATTGCTGTACCTGAATCGAGCAACATCAACACCACAACATGAACAGAAATTTGTAGAAGCACCGTCCTTTGGCATGAGTGTGAATGAGCTTGAACAGCAAGATAAACTATTGTTATGAGTAGTAGCAATCGCTTTCATCGTTGTAACAGCAGTGGCTGTATTTGTAGGAAGACTCTTGGTATCGATAATGAACATGGAGATAATTTGACAAGTTTACGAGAGAGAGAAGAAGTTGATTGTAAAAGAAGAAAAAAAGAAAAGAAGGAGAGTTGTTTTTGCGGGGAAAAGATTGAACAAGATCTTCTATTTATCATTTATTTTTGCTTGTAAAATGCGTACAAAAACACACATCTTAAAAAAAAAAAAAAGAAATTACGGGTAAATAAATAAAAGAATAATGATGATAATGACGATGATAAATACTGCAATGTGCAACGTTAGGTTCATGCCAATTTCCTTACAGGGTAATACAATACACTATGATAGCAGAACAAATGGACGTTTCGATTTTATTCTATACATTTATTGAAGAAACTTCGAGTTCTGAAGAAGTTGATCTTCATGCTTCAGGAAGGTGCTCCTCCGCCTCTACAAAATTCTCTTCGTCTATGTCGTCATCGTCGGTTTCTCGTTGTGCATTTGTAATAGGAGACGAATCAAATGTAACACGATCTTGGTTTTGATCCATTTGCAATTGCTGTGGTTCCTCTGTGGTAACAGAAGGGGCTGGAGGCGTTTCATCACTATTGACAACCCCCATGCCGCTACTTATACTACTGGCAGATAGTTGACGTTGCTGAGCAAAAATCTGTTTTCTAATGAGATTGTCCTTCTCCTGTCTTCGCTTATCAATGGCCTCAGCTCCACCTGTTTTCTTCAGTTTACGCAAGCCGACAAAATCAGTCAATTCTCTTTCAAAAGCATCGATACGTTGTGCTAATTCTTTAGCCCTCTGCTTCTCTGCATGTTCCAAAGCCTTCAATCGACGCGTGTGATCTACGTGAATGGTAGATACCTCTTTCATGACACTTGTCATACCTTTCATTCCTCCTTGTTGCTCCTCGCTATTCTTGCTGATGAATGAATAGTCTGTAAACTGTTTTTTACGTTCGTGGATCTCTGAAATTTTCATTAATTGCTCCAGAACTTCATTCAAGGCTTTATGATCATCGTTTAAATCCACGAGCAAGCCCTCTTGCTCCTTTAAGAATTGCTGTTCTTTGACAATCTGCTGCAATTCCACTTCCCATGTCTTTTTCCAGACTGGCTTGAACGTCTGTATCTTATTTTTTAGCACATCCATTTCTTGCTTCAATTTGCCGGATTCTTCTTGACAATACCGCAGCTGCTGTTTAGAAGGTCGACAGCGACGCTGTGTTACATCAGCTTTCAACTGATCAATGGTATCTTGTAATCTTTCCAATCGGTTGGTTATCAAAGTCGCAGCCTTTTGTGTTACTTCTCTTGTTTCGTTCATCTCAGCACGCTGCTTTTCATCCAAATTCATTACGATTGTTGGCTGCTGTTGTTGAGCTGAGATTTTATTGTTTTGGCCTTTTAATTTCTTAATGATCTGATCCGTCTCTTTCTTTAAATCGTGATAAGTTAATTTCATATGGGCCAGTTCATGACGTAATACTTCAATTTCTTTTTGCTGTTCCACCCATTGCTGGTGATTCTTGGGTATCGTGGGGGTTGCACTGGGATTGTTGCCATTTTCGTTATTCACATCTGTACAGATATTCAATTTTTGTAACATTTCTTGTACGGTCGCTTCTACAATATTCTTCGTCACTGTAGTACTTGCTGTGTTGTCCTTCATAGATAATATAGAGTAAGGTTTTATATCTTTAAGGTCGTCTAATTCATATTCCACGTTTGATTCAGGGTCCAAAATAGAAATAATAGCATGTTTATTGCCGTCTTGATCGTCAAACATGACAGGATCATTTGGAAAAGTACGTTGAAATAACTCCTTTATTCGCTCCAAGTTGATACTTTCAGGCGTAATGAATGTCCTTTTTATTCTATCACCCTTTTTCAAATAGATTTTCAATGCCTTTTCTGAAACCAGCAAAAAAATTTTCTTGTAAGTATTGGGGGGGGGGGAGGTGTCGGTGCGGGATTAAAGATAATCTATAGTTCCCGAAAGGCTTACCTTTCATACTACTTGAGTCGTCGTCAGCTTCCTCTTCATCTGTGAATGTAGTACTCGAACGACTGTTCCTATCCACTTTTTGCTGTGACGTTCTACGTACCAAAGATCGTCTTGCCAAATTGGACTGTAACGACAAGAACATCATAGCATTTCTCGTAGAAGGATCGTTCATATCCACTTCATCTGCCAGGCCCTCTTCTTTCATTGCGGCATTTGCTACTGCAGTTGCTTCGGGAGAAACAGGTGTTTGAGGTATAGACTGACTGGTCGTAATGGTTGGTATATTATGTTGTCCTGACACTGCTGTCATATACTCAGTAGAAGTCGAGGGTGAAGGTAATGGCATCACAGTAGTTGACAGAGTTCTCAACGGTGATAAATGGCGTTGTTGGGCTCTGGCGAGCAATCGAGAATTGGCTGACAATGAAGGCTCAAAACGTTCACGCAGTAGAGATTGTTTCCTCTTGAATCCTTGTAATAGCTTTAAAAGAACATGTCGGATATGGGGCAACTGTTGTTCTAGAGTGCTCGTAGATTGTTCTTTCGATAGTGTTTCCTTGAGACAAGCTGAGAGTTCGTCGGGAATGTGTAACATATCTCTATTTAACCATAACGTGATTAGACAACAGATAACTTCAGTTATGTAGCAATAAAAATTTTGTCGAATATGTAGAAAAAACTTTACTCCATCGGTAACATGACTTGTTGAAAAGCTCGAGTTGCACTTGCGAAATGATCTTCAAGAGTACGCTGTTGGTCATACACTTGTGTAGCGTCCTTTTCGCTCGTTGACCAAGAAGTCAAACTTTCTAACAGATTTTTGGTTGACACAAGTACTTTAGATACATTGTGTTCAATAGCCAACATCTATATAGAGCAGTAATGAATGATCTATTTTATTTTCATTGTCTTATCAAATAGATATCGTTACAGGTGCTGGGATTTTAGACACTTCAATTTCTTGCTTAGTACTAGCCTCGGCTGTATTCAATGAAGGCCAATTGGGCTTTTGTTGTGAACTAATTATACTGGATGAGTCAATAGAGACATTATCCGACATAGTAAGTTGTGTGCGTTTGAAAGATAGCAAGACGTTACTGAAGAAAGAAAGAAAAAGAGATTGTCAAATTGAAAAGATAACTGCTATTTGCATTTCTTTCAGTCCCCCCATCTTTTTTTTTTTTTTATTCCCCTAAATCGGGTTTCTTTCTTTCTTTTCTTTTTGCTATGGTTTTTCGCTCGAAACGGACTGAATTTCAAATTTTTTACAATCAAACCACATTGTCTTTCATCATTCGGGTTTAGCGTAAGGATTTACATCAAACGTGAAAGCATCCAATAAGATCTCTTTGCCTGATTCATTCTGCTCAACAAAGTCATAATAAGGGTCAGTTGAGTAGCTTTTCCTGTTAAAGCCTTCCCAATGTGGGATTTTTTTTTTTTTTTGTTCTTTTCTTTTGTTTACTGTATATTGAATAAAAGTACAATCAATGACGCGCATTTAAGTGTGTGCCACAATATGAACGCTTTAACTAATATACTAGGTTGACCTCCTTTAAAATCAAAGCCTTTAACGAGACCCAGTCATATCCAAATGGTACTTTACGCTTCATTAAAAGTGAATTTGAGACTTTGAGAAGGGGGTACAATGCCTATTGCTGATCACGTCTTGAATTATTGTATAAAGAAGCCGGCTGCTTATTCGCGTAACAGTAACTAATCGCTCAATGTGTATTCGTTAACAGTAGATCCACATTTGCCTTCTCTGATTATCAGATAAAGCTTCCATGAAACAATTATATATATAAAAGAGAGGCAACACAAGATTAACATTAAAATGCAAACATACTATCATTTCTAAAGTAGAAGAAGATAAGTGGTGTTGATTGGACTTTTCTATTAAACTTGATGTATGTCGACTATATCGGCAGTAATACCTATGATGGCGTAGTATGATGGAATGAACCTACCTTATAAGGCAAATACAGCTCTGCAATCTTGAAAAACAAGCTTTGACATGTACACGCTATGCAACTTATATTCGCGGCAGTTTATAAATGCAAATCTATAAAACTCTATCGTCATTTATGTTTTATGAATTCCCAATTCAAAATTTTGTTAACATGCAGACAAAAGACCAGAAAGTTGCTTTGACAGGTTAAAACAGTCCTCAACAGAGAGAAAGGGGGGGGGAGGGGATGTGTTAATTACAGGTTTATTAGCGTTAAAGTAAATAATAAAAAAAAAAGCAAGTAAAGAGCGTAAGGAAACGATATAGCAGTATAAATAAGACAAAATGATGGATGATAAATAAACAGTGATTCTGTACAAAAGAATACAATGCGGGTCCATTGTTGTTGTTGTTGGCGAAACTATTGTTCTTCTTCTATTGCAGCTGCAGATCGGCTTTGAATGTAAAAGGTTCGTTCTCTTGTCACTTCCTCTTGGCAAGGTTGAAAAGGTGCTTTTCCGTCGTTATTTTTGGAGCATGGATGTGTAGATTTTCCAACAATCGTCAATGTGTAGTTGCCTTCAGGAATATCCGCAGGAACGATCCATGATTTGTGTGCAGTAGCCTTTTTGCCTGAGGACTTACCGTTATTTTCACTTGTCCATTCTGCCTTGGGGAAGGATTCAATGATGGTGTTGGATTCTGTCTGTGTCAATTTAGCAGCTGCAGACCAGATTTTGGTCATACCCATCGCACGCACTATTGTTAAAAAACAAAGCGAGGATAAAGAGTAAACATCCAAACCATAAACACAAATACCTTTGTTTTAGTACATTACCTGTGTATCTGATATCGACAATGTCGTTGGGCGAATAGACAGCATTCTTGGGTGGGCCGTAGATAAGTATTTGATCTGCCATGACCATAGTGATAGCAACGAGACAAGATATCAACAAAGAAGCAGTCTTGAACATCATTTTAATCGTGTAATCTGATCTGATTATCGTTTCGTTGTTGTTGTTTCAATAGTAGTTGTAGTAGTAGTACCAGTAGTGATAGTAGCTGTCTTGTTAAAATGCACTATACAAGTCAACAAAAGAGAAGCTGAAAATTGGAATTAAGAAGAAAAGCGTGAAGGAACTATGATACGGACGAGTATTTATACCATTTTTCTAATGAATGACTTTTTTGGGGGTACGGATAAGAAAGGGACCAAAAGGGAAAAAAAGTCAAACATATTTTAATTATTGTCAAACTCGCTTTTAGGCTCATTTTCTATGGTATGCACCCTCTATGAACAAATGTTGGATCATGTAAGCAAAGAAGTTTATTAAGGTCGTGTTGGGTGCGGGCAAGGGCAGCAGTAAGAGGGAGATGTTTCTGTGTTGACCTTAAATTCCTTTTTTAAGCATTGCTGCAGAGTTTTGTTTAATCTCACTTTTCCTGGATTTCTTCATTTTTGAAGGTCAACGCTACCTTCATTTAAGTAAACAAGCATTCTGTAAGTGTGCATTGTTATTATTATTACTGCTCCCAGCAAAATTAGCATTTCTAAAACTAAAAAAATGATCAATTAACGTACTTTTGATCTCCTTAAATTTTTTCTTTATACCATGTAAACTTGGTCCTGATTCAAAGATATTTCTTTTACCAGCATAATGTGGAACATACAACAATCAATCGCCGTTTATAGAAGCGTCCATATTAAGCATTTAGAGAATGCTGCACGGACCCATTTTTCTTCCCTTTAACGTGTTAGACAAAGTGTTGTGTAAAATTGTACCGTGCGCTGCCCATAGTCTGAAACACAGATTTCCCAAAAAAATAAAAATGTCTCAGCCCCCACAAGGAGCACACTCATGAAAGAGAAACAGGAAAACAATCATGCGTATTGAAATCAGCGCGTTTGTTGCAGACAATCATTGGGACAGAATTATAGAAAGCTCACTTATTAAAGAATATCAACAGAGCCGAAATCAAGAAAAAAAAAAAAAAAACGTATGCTCATCTCGTATCATTCATTTAAAGAGCTGACTTTTTGAAACGCTGTTAACAATAGTCATACTATGGGGAAGTGTGTTTCCATTCATCCGATATCCCAGACTTTTTTTTTTCCATTGTTGCTGGTAAAAATACGAATGGATGACCTTCCTTTGTGAGTATTGTATAATGGTATGTGGATGACTTAATACACGCGCTAAAAATGTTTCTGTATTGTGAGCTTAATAGAACGATGAGAAGAAAGACATTGATTCGTATCTGATATTTTCTGTGCTCACTTTCTACAATTAGCTTATAGAAATAGTCTTGGAATGTATATTGATCTATTAATCAAACATAATTACTTTTACTTTGACTTTTTATGGTGTTTATAACATATACATCTTGGATGTGTCACATATAGTGAGACAAATACAGTGGTACGAATTATTGAAGAGAAAGGTGATAGTGACTTGTCATTGCAGCACACATGAATCTGGCCCAAACATAAAAGAAAAAAAGAAAAGCCGGGAAGGATGACCCACACAAAACACAATTATTGCATCGACTTTTATATTTTGCTACAAATCAATATGAATGTGAGTTTGTCTATGATTCAAGGCAAGGATATTCCTATGTGAGGATCTTTCGTCAACTATACCAGTTGTCGACTATTTCTAGCAATTTTTTTTTACGCTACCGTATCCTTCGTTCTTCACCCGTCATGGAAACTTTCCTGTTTCGCTGACTTCCCCTTTACTGAGTTACCGACCTTAAAAAAGGCTGTCATAACATTTCCAACTGCTTCTTCAACAAAAGGTACTGAAGCCTTCTCAAGGAGACGGATATCAGTATAAATAGATGGCTTATTTGTCGAAAGCGGGTTGTCTGTGAACGACAGTAAAAGATGCCATTCTCTACAACGGTATGCAAAAAGTAAACGCTAACCCTTAAGTGGCTGTAGGAGAGATATTATCTAATACACAGGATTGGAGAGCTAGAAAGGATCTGTGAAGGGAAAATACTTTTGTGCCAAAGGTCAGTTCTTCACCCTCTTTCATAATTCTTATTAACCCAACAAGGTCGAAATTCTACTCGTTGATGTGCTCCTGGAATGAGCCAATATTGATCTCTTGGCTCGCTTAGGATCCAGGAGATATTATTATACTTAGAGTGATGTATGATAGTAGGCTTGTATATATTTTTGAGTTTGACAGCTTGCTATTCACAAAAGCCATCAGAGGATCAAAAATGATCTGAAGCATAGACTGTTTTCAATGTCAAAATTATCCGACCTTTCATGGATATGTCCAAAATAAACAAGGAATAGGAGTCCGCTTATGTAAAAGGAAGTAACAGACTGTAGACAATGCAGTCAATATTTCATCTCCAGAAATGAAAAGAGGCAAGCAAAAGAAACCTAGTTTTTTAGAGGTTATAATCATATTTATCTGTGCCCTAACGCTTATTCCATTCATTCCTTACGTGATAATTGATGCGACTGTTTTCCGACTGTACACATAAGCCATAAGTTAACGCACAGTCCTTAGTAAGAAAACGTACGCATGGTAAACTTTGAAACTCGAAGATTCTTGAATAGAACAGTCAAATTCTTAACATCATCTCTGACCTTGATAGAGGGATCATCCTTGTACATTGCTTCCCAGTAAGACAGTGTTCATGGCTAATATAAACTTCCTACCAACATTTGCTTTTGGCCTTTCAGCGAATAGACCATGATCATAAATGAGTTCAAAGAGTTGATGCTGTCGTCATATTTTCATTCTTCTTGATCTCACGCTCACACACTAATAATAAAACTATTTCATGGGTGGCTTCGATCATCGACTGCCATATAAAAAGACTAGTTGTCCTCTTCATTTAAAATACGCAACGATATTGTGAACGTACTTTAGAAGGTTAGAAGGTTAGCTGATAGCTCAATCTTCGAATACCGATCTATTTATTCGAAAAAGTATACCATTATTCCACTTTTGAGAAACATTCACCGATGCTTTGAGAAGAGGACGAGGGGTTTTTTGACTCCAGTAGCGGTTTCGCCAAGACGAACTCGCAATCACTCCTTGCCCGGTTCGCTCAAGTTACTGTCGGAATATAGCAACTGTTACTTCACTTGATCAAATACAACTACGAAAGTTACTATTGGCATCTACTATTCAATCTTTTTCAAAAATAGTGATACATTAGCGATTAGTAAGACTGTAGCTTCTCATCTTTACCTTTTCAAAAGCACATACCATCAAGTGATTATTCTTTCTTAATTCGTGTAACGCTTACGAAGAATGAAATTGCATTGAAGAACCCTAATTTATTATTGATACATCTATCCCATTTCATTGAATTTTACAGCACCTCTTAGGCTTATTCCTACAATACAAGGGTTCATTATTGGAGCTCTTGCTTTTGTGAACATGAACTTTGCGATTCAACCTCAAAAAGCAAATTACTGTAGTTGCATTTTTTTGTAAACGGAAAGATGTAGTCGATAGGAAGTGTCTTTTATTGTTGCACAGAAGAAGTGGGAATTTTATCACCCCACTTAGGGCCCCTTTTGTCAGTTCATGAACAATTGAAAATGGTCTGATCTCTTGATGTACTATGAGAAGAGGCCATGCTTTGTATATATATAGCCCACTATCATCAGCCAGCATTTTCCATAATTCATTCAATTCTCCTCTTTTCAAATAATTATCCCGTTTCATCACAATAATGTCTACAATTGCCAGATTCATGAAAGCTTCGAATAAGCCGGAAGTATATCCTATCGTAGGAATTCTTAGCATTGCTCTTTCTGGTGCCGGTTTCTTTGGTTACAGAGCGATGAAGGCTCCTGATGTTGTTTGGTAAGGCAGTGTACAATATTCTCCATAGACATCTACTAGAATGCTGAAGACGTTCCTCTTGTATAATTAAAGGAGTTCAAGAACGAATCCTTATCCTTGGCAAGCTATCAAAGATGGAGAGCAGGTCAAACTAATAACCATGAATCAAAAGTACAAGCACCGTTGGCAACGCAAGGATTGGTAGCGAAAGTGATAAACAACACGTCGACTACAAGCAAATTTTTTGCTTTCCGTTAAAAATATGATATTGATTGATATACCTCCAAATTTGCTCTACATCTATTTCTTTTTTTTTTTTTTATTTTACACTGCCAGATAATAGATAGTTTCTTCAATGCTACAACATGCCAGAATAGACCACTTTTTTTTTTTTTTTTTTTTTCAAAACCACCCTCCAGTAAATTTTTGTCTCAAGCTCTTCGCTTATTCTCTCCGGTATCTTTCTTTTCATTGCAAAGTTGGACCGTTTTTGAAAGAGACCGAAAAGTCAGCAACTTGTTCATACCAAAAGACAGGATATTACAAAAAAAAAAAAAGGGCCATTAAAGTACCCTTGTATCTATCGCGCAGTACACAAAGTGAACGCAAAGCTTTCCTCTAGGCAGTTTTTTGTACCTTTCCTGCTGAATGTATAAAAAGTGACAAATTCATGCACATGATTCTTTATTGTTGAGTTAGAAACAGCAGGGGACGTCACAAACTTTAACCTTCTTTTGAATGTTCAGGTCAATATCCATATGGAATTGAACCCCATCTCTTTCGCTTCATATTTATCACTTGTTCGCAAAGAAAGCTTTTAAGCTGTACTGTAAAAGAATGTTACGTTTGACTGGATTAGTTGGCGTAGCACAGAGACCTATTTCACTGAGAAGTCAATCATGTAATTATGGCAGACGGATTCTATACGCTGAAAAGAAAATGAGGACCTCGACGGTTACTGAAAGAAAACACTCCTCTTTATATCAAAGACCTCATGCACATGAAAAAGAATAGCAAACTATGTTGTACAATTAGCACTACTGCCAATACTATCTCTAACTCGAAAGAAAAAGTGGAAGCTTCTCCGGAAACCGTCCGGTCTAGAAGAGCACTGTTTTATGGTACGGCTATGTTATTGCTGTACAATTCACTGTTATCATTTTAAAAAATGCTGGTTGAACCACGCATTGATGATGCCATTCTCCTATATTATAAAATTGTCTATGTGCAATAATGTAGTGCCAGGAAGTGACGAAAAAAAGATTTACAAGTCTATCTCTCTTGGAGCGGATTGTATAGTCTATGACCTCGAGGATAGTGTCCTATCCAATCAGAAAGGTGTAGCAAGAAATATGGTTATAGATGCATTGGAGGTAACATAATAGTCATCGTTGATTACTTTCAGAACTTTGAAGGGAAGCATTATTGATCGATCATCGATTACTAGGCGTCAGAACACGGCAAAGCAGAGAAAGCTGTTCGAATCAATTCGGTGGGATCTGGTAACAATACAAAAAAAAAAAAAAAAAAAGGGAAAAATATTAGTTATTAACAGTTAAATTCTAAAATTCTGCTTTGATCCATTCTATGTATTTTCGCAGGATATGAATTGGATGATCTGAATGTCATTGTAACTTATAAATGCTTACTGGAATTCTTCAAGCAAGGCAAAGTCTAATTGTTAAATGATAATCTTTTGACCTGTTATTATGCATGAGTAGCTCCACTCAAAAAGATTACAGGCTATTGTCATACCCAAGGTACAAAGTGCGAAAGATATCCAATTTGTCAGTAGAATGATCGATTCAGTAGCAGTTAGCTCACAGTGAGTTCAAATCAGGGAACTATGACACGGGGTCAATGGAAACAACTAATGATGAACTCTTGTATTTTTTAAAGACAACAGAGAATAAAGCTAATAGCCTCGGTCGAAAGCGCACTGGGAATGATGAATATTAGGGAGATTGCAACAGCTGACCCTCGTTTGGACGCATTAATAGTAGGTATCATAGATGCAAATCGAAAGAAAAAAAGATATGTATATTCAAACAATGCACTTTTTGGAAAGTTCGCTGCGGAGGACTACTGTGCTGATTTAGGATTGACACGCACTAAAACAAGAAATGAAATGCTCTTTGCTCGCCAGCTGTTGGTAAATGCAGCAGTAGCCTATGGATTACAAGCCATTGATCTGGTAAATGTTGTACTATAGCTATTTTTGACAAACTTGGTTACATTTCTAGCCATGGATATTGGATAACCTGGACGAATTTCCCCCCAATAGGTTTGCGTCGATTATAAAGATAAGGAAGCATTACTTGCAGAATGCATTGAAGGTAGAAGCTTCGGTTTTGAAGGTAAGCAAGCCGTACATCCTGATCAGATAGAAATTATCCAAAAGACTTTCCTACCAGACGCAGCAGGTAATGAGCCTATGAATACATCTGTATACATATATGAATAATGTCTAATAAAATGGCTTATTCTTTATCCAGACATTGAGCGAGCCGCACGCATTTTAAACGGTGCAAAGACTTATGCGCAGAAAAGGGTTGGTTCTTTTAGTTTAGATGGATCTGTGTAAGTGAGTCTGCACGAAGAAGCGGGGAAATTGCTGTTACGTTTAAGACTTTATCTGATGTTGGAGCCCCTCACTTCTTAGGATTGATCGACCAGTGATTAAATGGGCCGAAAAAATAGTTGCTAGAGCCAGTGCTGGAGGCATAGCAATACCTCAGGTTGATAATTAGGACGAAATTTAAGCTAATGATGTGGATGCTTGAACTTGTCAATAGTACTCTGATCATATATAACATAACTGTAACAGTAAAGGAGGAAACAATGAATTACACAAGAAGTATATTTCTGACAGCTGTCAACTTTTTCGCACCACACGCACAATAAAATGTTGCTTTGCCTGATGCAGTCTGTTTGAATACATCGGAAACGCATTTAGTAAAAGGAGAAAATGCCATCGAGGACAGTGTCAGTGAACGTTGTACTACATAATTAGATCAACGTCTATTTCATCTCAGATCAATAGGCTTTCATCTCAAAGAGATTGGCATAATTGCTTATATTATTCAATAGCATTCAACAGCATTCAACTGTAAGATACATAACACACTTTTTAACTTCTCTCTTTCATCTGTTGTATAACTAAGTTTATCCTTGTCTGAAACCAGGGCTTGGTTGAGACCGCCCTATTTTACTTTTGTCCCTCGGCATTGCTACATTTGGTCAATGATGAACACGTTATTTGCGTAGAGATGAGCAGTGATGTGATATTTGTTTGTTTTTGGCATGTAAATATTGTAATTTACAGAACCTGTCATTGCTTACTACTGTCTGATTTAATCAGAAAAAAAAAAATAATGGCCGCCTATTGCGTGCCAGCAACAATTTAATTGAAAAATTGCACAATCATTCACCAATCAGAATTTTCAAAAAAAAAGGGGGATGCTACGCATGAAAGAACAAGTATAAAACCTGGCTCCTTTTTTTTTATAAAGCTTCCATTTACATTTTGACAAATACATGTATTCAGCATATATATAAATATTATATAGAAAGCCAAAAGCAATTCTACTCTTCTACCTCTTTATTATCTTATCAAAAGACAGTATTACAAAATGAAGCTTACCAATGCAGCAACTTATTGCTACAGACACAACCCAACCATAATGAGTTCATGTGATATTAAAAATAACGTGACCATAACCCAGTTACAGAATGTACATACAGCAACTTGTTTAGCATACCCTAATGTGAGAATATTAAACTTATCAAGTTTTTTTTTTTTTTCATTCAGGACTTAAGTAGCTTTACCGACGAAATCCAATCTCAAATATCCAATATTTGGTCATTTTACCAGCAATCCGATAAAAACCGACGTCTGATTATTCTCAAAGGCATCTTATCTCTCTCATGCACTTCACAACTATCTTACATTGCTCACACCGTCGAACCTATGGTTTGTGCTGACTTCACTGCCATCTTTCCTGCCGAAATCACCAAACATATTTTTAGTTTGTTGGATGCTTCCACTCTTTGTTCAGCAGCCCAAGTAAGCAAACGGTGGTTTCAATTAGCAGAAGATGACGCCCTTTGGCACCATATGTGTGAACAGCATATCAATAAGAAATGCACCAAATGTGGATGGGCTTTGCCTCTTTTGTTACAGAAGCGAAAAAGAATTTTATCCGCGGCGCCAAGCGGTCAGCCACAGGATATTCAGCCGCAACAATCTACCTTTACCAATAAGCGAAGGAGATGCGATGATAGCGATAGTGATGCTCAACTGAATCCTACAACAATAAATTCGCCTTCCGTCAAGGACATCAACCATGCGATCGTTACACCCACAGATTTACCAGTAACACCGCCCCCTTCAAAACGCTTGCGTCTTTGGAAACAGATTTATCAAGAGCGTTTAATTGTCGAGCGTAACTGGCGACGAAAAGAAATGAAACTTATTACGCGCAATTTGAGCGTCAAGTCGAGCCATAATACACCCTTCCATACTACCACTAATAACAACAATAATACATATACCAGCGTTACCAAATCAACCATTAATGCGTTTCAATTCTGTGAAGCACAAAATATTTTGATTACCACAGGCATAGGTAACGAAGATAACGTTATTTACGTCTGGAATTTGGAAACCAATCAACTTGTACGCACCTTGAAAGGTCATACGAGAACCATTCGAACCCTTCAATTTGATGATACAAAATTAGTCACAGGCAGTATGGACAATACGATACGTATTTGGAACTATCATCAAAGACCCGAAGAGGATACTATCAAAGATCCTTGTATACGTATTCTGCATGGTAGTGCAAGAATGGTTGAGGAAGAGCATGGAAATGAGCAGCAGCAGCAACAACACCAGTTTACTCAGGGAACAGTACAAGATACTGGCATATCACATTTACATTTTCAAGGTCATCTGTTAGCTGCTGCCGGTTGTCATGATAAGACGATTCAAGTTTGGAACTTTGAAACAGGTGAATGTTTTAGACTTAGCGGGCACACAAGTGGCGTTAATCACGTCAGACTATTACAGCGAAGCGATGAAAGCTGTTCCCGCAACAATAATAACAACGGCAGTAAGAAATACCAACTCTTGTCAGCTTCTCAAGACTCCACCATTCGCCTTTGGGATTTAGAGAAAGACAATAGACAATGTGTGCATGTCTTTAAAGGACACGTAGGGCCTGTTGAAATGGTCATTCCTAGTGCGCCTGGATCCACTGTACCACCTTCGTTACTGAACAAACGAAATCCCATATCAACGGCTAATATCTTAAACTCACAACAACAAGCTATGAGTGACACGGTCCTGTTCTCCAGCTCTCTAGATAATACCATCAAAATTTGGTCTTTGCTGACAGGTGAATGCTTGCAAACATTATTCGGTCACGTCCATCAAGGTATTCAAACGCTGGCTTTTGATAAATTGTTGAGACGTCTTGTCTCCGGCTCCAAAGATGGCTCTCTGAAACTATGGGATATTGAAACTGGACTTCCCATGTATTCTCTTATAGAAATCGATGGAAAACGCCATGGTGAATCGATAAATGCTGCTGCTATTACAGGTGTGCAAATTAGTGATACTAGAATTGTTAGCGCAGATGATGGAGGGCAGCTACGTATCTGGGATTTCAGCGCGGCAATTCCTACACCTTCTAACAGTCCTGCGACTGTCATATAATATGTTTCAATATACCCTTTATTGCTTCTTATAATCCAAGATTGATATGGAACTCTGATTTTTTATGAAATAAAGTTTACCCTGAACAGAAAAAGGAACACTATGTCATTACCTATCGTGTATAATTGACGTGAAAATCTCCAGCAAAATCAAAAAGAAAAGCGCATTTAGTTACATTGCACAAGTGAATTATATTGTACTTATTCATTATAAAAATATACGTTATACGATTAAGTTTGATAGCTTAATTGAAAAAGGACGCTGAAAGAAAATAGAAAGAGAGAGAGAGAGAGTAAGTAAAGCAGAAACCTACGAAAATCATGGGGGACAGAAAAGTAAATATGTCTTCTGTCCAAGTGGCTTAATACGTTGTGCCCGCTTGAATACGCTTTGACGGGACAATCGTTCCTAATTTGAACGCTTTCCTCATCATCCCTTTCATTTGTTTTCGCGATGTTTTCATATTGTTGTTACTACTGCTACTGCTGTTACTCATATGTTCATCTATTATACTATTTGTATACAGCGTTCGATGACTTTGCTGATCTGCGTTATAGAAGTCTGCTTCTTCTTCAATAGTACTTGAAGCTCTGCTGAATGAAGCAGCAGTATTAGGAGAAGAAGGAATGGCTATGGATTCTTTACTGCGGCGGTGATTGATAGTATCGTGGGGAATGATAGTGCTGATAGCTGATGTAGCAGTCGGTTTCTCTGTAGTATTCCCTGCAGTATTAGTTGTAGAAGGAGGAAGTGGTGGCATTGGTGCAGCTGCGAATGGAGATCGATCTTTCTTGAGTTTTAATTTCATCTGAGAGAGAGAAGTGTTTATCATTCTCATGTGTGATCTGCTTTGATGATGATCGATACTGTTCCTTTCCAACTCTTCAAGGTAGGCCAAATAATTTTCTTGCGTCAAAGGGGCAAAGTCATCGAAAGCGATGCTTAGCTGAGACTCGATTGTTGTCGTTGATGGTGGCGTGCCACTCTTTGCTTTACTTTTACCGTTGTTGCTGCTGAATAGTGTGGAATTGGCAAATGGATCTCGAGGGGTTACTTCTATAGGTTTGCTTGCTTCACTGACAAGTTTATATAAGACCGGCGACGTGATAGCACGAGAAGGGTCGAGATCCGTGGAGAAAATGGAGACATAAGGCTCATCTATATCACGCGCATTATTTTCCTCGTAGTCGTTCTCCAACATAGCGTACAGTGACTGATTAGCAATGGCCAACCAATCTCTATTTCTGTTGTGGATTTGTCTAATAATGCGGTTGTAGGATTTTGCCTTAGCACGCGTAGCCTCGGATTTGGACATGGACGAGATAGTACGAGCATTTGCATAATCAGCAGCCGCAACCGTCTTCTTTTTGGTGTTAGCCTTGTGAATACCTCTTTGTATGCTTTTATAATTCTTCGAATGTTCAATGATCATTCTCGTTAGGAAATGACTCGCCTTTTCAGTCATGATCGTATCGCAATCTGCTGGACCCAAGATACTTTGGCCAATCGCCTGCCCCAAGTAATAAGCACTCATTTGGTTCACATCCTTATATTGCATTACTTCAACTAGAAAGTCCAAAATCTCAGTCAAGAAACTCGCTCCTTTGATAGATATAACCTTTGACAATTCTTCCAAAGTGCATGCTAAGTAAATCAAAAAGTAAATTAAAAAGTGATTCAGCTTCTTTTCTTGGTGTCTTGCAACTTTTTTGAATCTGTCTCTTACTTTCGTAATTGATAATACGCCAAACTTTTCTCGGTAAGATGCGCTCGCGACAACACCATAGAGTATCTTGCATTATTGTTGCAACAGAATGTATGCTGACAAATGTCAGATCTTCAGGTGTGCAATGATTTTTTCTAAACACTTTGATAATTAATACGTTGTTGGGTTCTACATATCAATAACAATATATGATGATTGTTAGTATTGCATGAAAAAACATTATATAGTGAGGAGGCATGAATTTGGGTTTTGGGGGGAAAAAATTGTATATTAGGAGAAGCACTGCAATTGAGTAGGGAGAAAAAAAGGGTGTATGAGGAGAGTAAATAACTGCTGTAAAAGAAGAAAGCTGTATAAGCATATAGTGCTCTTCTATACAAAGCATGAAATGTTCGACGTAGGAGGTAGAATTTTACTCTGTGAATAAAATTGTTGGGAAATGTAGGATATGTGCATAGTCAAAGTAATCAAGATGCGACAAGTATGCACAGTTCACGATACTGTAAGAAATAAGATGTGAAACTAACCTGATTTTCGTAATATCTTCCGTTCTTTCAAGCCTGGTTGTATTTTGAAAAACAAAGTTATTTTTGAACGATTATCATAACAGTTGGTTCATTTAAAACAGCGAATGCTGTATCTACCTCGTCTACGGATTTCATCCATACAAATTCGACTAACTTCTATGGCAAAGTCCAACGAATACATTTCAGTTATAATAATTGCTGGTGATGAAGTGTTGTATTTAGCTTCGAGATAAGAGATAAGGAAGAAAAGCACTACAAAGACAAACGGAATCAAATAGCCCTAAACTTATATATGCATAAGATATATAAAGATGAATAGGGACCTTCTTAGAGAGCTTTCGACTGCATGTGCACTTAATTATTGCCCTTTCTCTTTCGAAAGCGGTTTTTTTCTTTTCTGATTACAGCTTCAAAGCACGCAAAACTGCTATGTAAAATCATATTTCTCCCCTTTAAGAAAAGAAAAACGACCCCTTGATTTGTAAAATCTGGGATGTTGGTAGTAGAATTTTATTCAAAGGACATGTATATGGTAAAAGGTGATAAAATAGATGAAAAATAGATAAGATACTCTGAAAGGAATAGTTACTGTTCGACTATGATATTTTATGGTATTTGTGTATGTGAGGTTTTAAAAAAGCTCCTGCTGCTGCTATTGAAAAGAATTATTGTCTATTACCGGTCATGAAGCCTGGCATCCAAGATGTTCGCTTATCACGCTTGCTACTATTAGTATCCTCATTGGTATTATTAGCAGGTTCAACAACATTGCCGCCTCCTCTCAAGGGCTTGGCAATTCTTCCAAAATTCAACCCCATGGCTGGCTGGTTTGGTTTCTGATTCCTTGCTTGTTCAAGACGATCTCTTACTGCCTGGAGTTGCACTTCGAACTTTTGATTTTGGTGTATTAACTTTTCTTGAGCATCTGTCAAGAGGGTTTCCAAACTTTGAATACGTTCATTTCTAGCAAGTAATTTACGTTCAGCCACTGCAACTTCTTTCTTTAGTGAGCTATTTTGATCAACAAGCTGACAAAGAAGACCATCAAAATATTAGTCATAATGTTTAGATGATTGTTTAAAGGCGAATAAGTTCGCTTCCTTTACCTGTTTTTGAACGTTTGTTAATTGTTCTAAATTACGCTCAAGGAAAGCCATTTTTTTCTGCTGAGCTTTGTTGTTACTGGCACGGAGAACATTATTATATTGTTCGCGTGTTTCGTCCAGAGACATCTCTAATTCCACGACTTTTTCACAGCGACCTTGGAGGTCTCTCATAAGAGCTTTCTTCATCATTTCAAAATCAGCTAATTGTTGTGCCATTTGTTTTCTCATGCGCTCAAGATCTTTTTCTTTCACACTGAGATCTGATGGGGATGCTGCTGCTAATCCACCTGTTGCTGTAGGCTGCTCCGACAATGCTGCTTGCAGTTTTTCATTGGCAGCTTTCAGATCATTGATAGCCGTATCTAACTTTGTATGTTCAGCCGTCTTTTCTTCAAGATCAGATTTCAGTTGATCGATTTCTCTTTGTTGACTTTCTCTTTTAGCGGCATACTGTTGCTCCAGCTTGGATTTAAGAGCAGATATTGTCTCTGCAATATCTTCATTTTTGCGTACTTGAGCTTCTTCTTCAGCGATAGTTTTATCTAGAAGCTCTTCGTATTCTTGTTCCAAAGAAGCAAAGCGAGCCTCTAATTCAGACTTCTTCTTCTCCATTGCAGATTTTTCTTCCATTAAAGTGTCAATTCTCTTTGTATGTTCTTCGACTAAAGCTCGTGAATCGGATAAATCGCGACGTAATGCCATGAGTTCTTCCACAGACATGCTTTGTTGACCACCGTCTAATTCCAGTTTCAACAATGCATCTTTCATATGGCGTTCTTTTTCATTCATTTCGCCTTCAATTGAAAATCCAGACATAATTTGTGCCATCTTTTCCGCTTTCTTCTTCTCTTTGTCGCTCAATACATTATCCTTTTGTGCTTGTCTCATCTCTACAAGGCTCTTCTTGAGTTCTTCCAGTTCAGCCATCAATTCAGCATTGGCCTCTTTTAGAGAATCAACAGTAATCGCATTTTCTTTACTTTCGTAAGATATTTTCTGAAGCTGAAGTCTCAAATTACTCAATTCGGATGTCATGTGCTGGTTCTCTTGGGTGACAGACACTTCCTGTTCTTTGTAATAGTTGATTTCTTCTTTTAGAGATTCTAACAACTTTTCACGGTTAACAAGCTCTGTTTCTTTCTCGGCAATTTGATCCATAAGTTCATTTTCACGGCGAAGGAACTCATCACGTTCATCTTTCTCCAAAATGATAGCTGGAGTGGAAGGACGAGAAAGCTCATCGGGTAATAAGGGGCTTTTAAACCCGGATAAAGCGGAAGGAGGTAAGGCAGGGGCTGTAGGTGTCGGTGTTGTACCCAATGGCCCACCATTAGCAAACTCACCGCGGGTTACTTTTTCCATGGTAACCCATCTTTCTTCAGGAACTGTTTGGCCCGCTCTCCACAGATTAACTTCTCCTTCAAGGGCACCAATGTAAGCTTTGTACGTGATTGTCTCCGTTTTAACTTTCTTTAGTAATGCCTTGAGTTCCGCCGGACTTAGATCAGCATTAACTTTGGCTTTATTCTTGATAGTCTTGGCTCTCATACCAAAACGTAGAGTAGATAAGGTTTCGGCCTCATTATAAGACGATGGTGAGCAATTGATGATAAGTGTTGTTCTGGAATTACCACCGAGAGACTCCTGTAAGATACGAGTCAATTTTGAATCACGGTAAGGAACATGGCTTGACTATTTGAAACAAATGAAAAATGAGAGAAATTTCAGGAACATGTTCAGCACAAGGAAAGGCAACAGCCCAATTTCCATAAATGAAGTAAATGTAATGCATATTTTCGGTAGAGCTTCATTTATTACCTTTCCATCTGTTAATGAATTGATGACCATACCCAAAGCAGTTAAGGATTTATTGATCTTCTTTGCTTCTTCTAACGTTTGGCCAGATGCACCTGTTTTGCCTACTTTCTCGGAGCCGGCTAAATCAACCAGATAAAGTTTACCGCTCTTTGCTGCACCAGTGTCAATGTTCTTTTGAGTAATTGTAATGACTACAATGGAATGACTTCTTGAACTCTCTGCATTCATGTTAGTTGATGCAACCACACGATTCTGACTACCATTTCTCATGACCTGATATACGTCATCAGAAGAACCAACATAAACTTCAAGTAAGCCTTTTACGTAAACACCATGTGTCTTATCCTCATGGATGGGTAAATTATCGTTGGAAGCTATATTAGTTGTTTCATGAATTATTAAATGATCGTTTCAAATATGTTGTACTTCTAACTAATGTTAACCTACGATTCAATAGATCTCTGACTTTTTCCATATAAATTTCCATATAGGACACTTTGACGGTGAACTCCAGATTACTTGGTGCAGCCATAATACTGTCAAATATTTGTCCGACGATACGAGGAATAATACCTCTTGTATTCTCATCATCAATATCAGCACCCTTTTGAGACAAATATATGTTCATTAGTAGAATGAAATGTTTATACTGGTTGCTAAAGGTTCCTACCATCATTGTGAAGGTTTTACCGGATCCTGTTTGACCATAAGCAAATACAGTGCCATTATAACCTGCAGTAACGTCTATTTACAAAACAGTTTGCATTCAACGTTAAAGATGAATTTAAATTTCTACACCCGCACTTATTATCGTTTTGTAAACACATGGAATAATTTATTACCATCGACAATCGTCTTGATAGAGTAATCAAACACATCTTTCTGAGGTGTGGCCATTCCGAACACCTTATCAAAGGCAAAACTACCTTGAAAATCTTTACCCTGATACAAGTTGTAGGTTTGTGTGAGTTATACGAAAAGAAATAACATTTGCTAACCATCCTCATTTCCCCGCACGAACCTTGAACTCAAGCTGTGTCCCGTCTTCATCTATTTCGATGATGGGAACACCACCTTCTCGGATTTCCAATGAGTTTTGAGGTCTGAAACGACAGACAACCTTGATATTGTTCGACATAAAATGTGAGTAGAAACAAAAGCGAAAAGTGCAGAAGACGAAGAAAGAAAGGGAAGGCAACAAGAATGAGAAAAGAAGTGCAAAATTAAGGGACGAGAAATTTGTTTGAGACGATTGTGTATAAACAAAGTTTTTGATTCGATCGCCGCGAAAAAGCGCAAGAGCTGAGAAGTTGCTAAACACAAAAAGGTTAAGCGCTTAGCATTCTTTTCGTTAACACTCTGCAGCATCAGATTATGAACAATTCGAAAAATGTGTCAGCAACACCTTTGACAGCTCCAACTAGAACTTTGCAAGCACCTGAACCTACCAGTTCATCTTCGCGGAGAATTGTAAACTTCAACAAAAACACTGACAATTTACACAACAATAACTCATCGTCTGATGTCAGCGTACCTGTATCGCCTCACCTTGAACTGTCTGATAGCTTTGCAGCACTAAGTACTTCTATATCTTCTTCAGCAACTGCCACTACACCCACTGTAAAGGCTTCACCGTATTACTTTAATAATAAATATACCTCCCAACAACAAATACAGCATAGCACCAACATAAACTCACCAACCATTACTGAAAACTATAGTCCATTCTTTTCTTCAAATCAATTAGCCAAAATCAAACCAATATGCTCCACTGTGAACATAACAGACTGGTCTTTCTTATCAACAGAGAAGTATCCTTCGTCATTAAATCAGTAAGCACTTTACTTATTCTTAACCTGGATAGAGGACAATGTAAGGTTCGACATAGAGGCTGATACATATAATGATGTGATAATAATAGACAAGATGCTATCGATTTGGAAATGAGCACCATTGGTCTATCTATAGAATTAGGTACGGTCTTATTTTACTGAATGACTCCAATCTTCTTCGTCAATGTAACAAATTCAACATACAAAATAGCCGCAAACAATATGAAAACACGAAACCTCAATAGACTGATGGATCACTTACTCGAATTGTTTGAAAACTTACAACGGATTCAAAACCAGGATATCATAATACCAATAGAAACATATAATGCATTACTTTTGACAAGAATATTCATTAAACAGTTTGCCGACAACTTGTGTAATCAGGAAATCATCGAACAAATTGAAGACGATACAAGCAGAAAAAGAGGCGAACAATTATTTAAACATTTACTGTATATTCTAACAAATATGGACCCAAGGTAATGACCTTAAACACATATATCATTGATTAAAGTTATTTCTAACGTCCTTCAAAACACAGTTCGAACTATTCAACTTATGAATTCTATGTTGAAGTTTTAAACACATTTTTTGTGCTCATATCAACGCAGCTGTATCAACAACATTTGTTTAAAATGGAAGGCGAAGAAGACAACTACTTTCTCAATCTCTTAATGACAAAATTCCATAATAGAGCAGAAACAATAGTAGCGAGATTATTTGAAAATTTCATAGCCCAACATTTACCTCCACCACAGCCACCAGCAGGCGCTCTATATACCGCTTATAGCTATTTTTTCTCCTCAGGGAGAAATTCTTTCCATTACCAACAAAATAATTCTTCACCTCCTGTAGCAGAAAGAAGTCTACTGCTTTTACTCCTATTGGGCAATCAGCCAGAGAACGATTGGACCAAATCTTATAGACGAGCGATAGCTAATTTAAATGACCATCATGGTGAGTATTTGGAAACGCAATAACGAACATGCTTATATAATTGCACTGACATTTTCTTGCAGTAATATCCAGTGATATGGACAGTTGTGACGGAGGAAAAATGCACTTGATATCATTTAAAAATCTGCTGGACATATTCCTAAAATCAATTCATGTCGAAGAGAAAATGTTGCTATTTTATCTGATACTCGTTGAGAATGAATCCTTCAGAGTGTATGTACTATCAAGAACGGATCAAGAGCATATTGTAAGTATAATAGGTAGCTAAGTTTCATTTTGCATGATCACTGGAATACCGTCCTCACCAAACACATAATCAAATAGTATCTACCTATTCTCAAACTTATCTACGAATCGATGGAGGGCACCAGCAAATTCAGTTTCTCACAGGTCTATATACTGTTGACAATTTTACTGATGTTTAGTCAAGACGATATGAACAATGACGCCATCCAGAAAATTGTAATAAACAAGTAACATTGCAGTTGGAGTATCGATTTCTATAAGCGCTAATTATATTGCTGACCTTTTTAACATAGACGGTACAGAATATTGCCTGGTTTACTGAACGGCCTCTGCTGAAGTCTATTTCTTTGGGTGGTTTGATGATACTCGTTCTTTTGCGGATAGTTCAATTAAATTTGTCACAGAAGAAAGATGCTTTTCTTCATACAAATTGCTTGGCTATTTTGTTAAACATGTCAAGCACTTTATCTGATATGCACTCATACATAGCCCAGAGAATTATCAGGTAGTAAAAAGAGAACTATCAGATAAGAAGTAATCTAACAATATAAATATACTTTGTACATAGTATATTCGAAGTTCTAGCCAAACGCTACATAAAATTAATGGATAATCAGCAACAACAGCAATCTGACGATTTCATAGTTTATGAAGATTTGTTGATCTTGCTCATGGAAATGATGAATTCAACCTTGACTTATCGTCTCAAACAGAATTCCCAACTTGTTTACGCGTTATTGCAGAAAAGAGAGATATTTAACCCTTTTCAATCAAATCCTCGGTTCATCCAGCTTGTACAAAATGTTGAAGAAGTTATAACTCACTTCAATACTCGTCTAGCTGAGGCCAATCTGAAAGCACCTTCTTCAAATGAGGTCTTGAGATTAATTGAGCAAGCAACAAGAACGTGGTCTAATCACAAACTTATAGTACGTATTATAGCTTCTGACATCATGGATTGTTAATTGAGATTGTTCTAATCCTTCTTATTTAGCTTTTACCGAATTTGAAATTCAGCTATCATCAAGATCCTACCACTTCCTCTGAATTCTTTATACCATGTATCTGGGCTTTGATCCAGAAAAAATATTTTATCTATTGGAGTGAAAACAAAAGTCATATTTTGGAAGCTTACAAACTTATAAATCAAGAATTTGATGAATAAATGGGCTTTGAAGCTGTACCTCATATATTGTAATCTAGAACCTTTACATTTGAGGAACTACCGTTGAATGCCACAGTATTTCTATACTCTTTTCATACATCACTATGAACTATACCACACTTAACAAAAAGGATGATATTATGTTACAAGAGAGACCCAAAAAACAATTGTATATAAGTCATACACGTACTGCCTATACAGTTTTATCTTGATAACGCTTTCCTATCAGCTCGAAATTCAAGGAACGGTGTCATGATCTGTTGAGACAACCCAGTCTAGCATAATGAGACAACAACTTAGAAACAACTAGGGTTACATACACTCATGGGTTTTATGGTTAATAACATACTCACTGGATCACATGTCTTACTAACTTAAAGTATAAAAGATTTACTCCTCAATGAATGAATAAAGGGTAACCTTTTTTGGCAGTCTCGTTATTTTTTACTTTGATTGTTATTATAAAATATAAATCACAAACGGATATTCTTTTAAATCTTGATGTATAAACATTCAGTTTGCTATGAACGCTTCCCTCTCTGACTTTCAGCGAAAAATAAGGGACGAAGGAGACTCGTCTCTTATTAATCACTATTGGTAATATTTCTCGCACACACCTTCAAACCGAACTTACAAAAGAGGTCGAAGTATCACAGCTCTAATATTATCGCCGGGTTCTGTATCTTCTTTTCTGTAGATTTCTATTCATATGCCACCGATACCTTTGAGCATTTTACAACAGGATGTTCTCTTCTCTAGCAAATATGGCAGAAGGCCCAGCGGTGTATTTCCCATTACTCTGCTCCCTTTACAGTAATGTACTATCTGTCATTTATCTTTTTATTCTAACGCGTACTCTACACCGAACCTTGTCTCGCCGAACCGGAACGTCATGTGTTTTAAACTATTAAATATGCTGATAATTTATGTTTTTAACACTACAAAACATCTGATTTCGTGGTGTAGTCGGTTATCACGCCTGTCTAACACACAGGCGGTCCCCGGTTCGAATCCGGGCGAAATCATTTTTCTTTTTGGTTGGTATACGTGAGACGTTTTTGGATTATCTTTCTTCGTTTCTTCTGGTTTTTCGCGTGTAATGGAATGAAGTTTTCGCCTGGAGTCAGAGTTGAGTCAGCTAAAATAGCTCTGTATATAGATCCATAAATTGAAAGTATAAACGATATTGACGTTTCTATTAACAGTGTGTCTACCACGTTATAACTAAACCGTATCAAATAGATAATAAAAGAAATAGATTAGAAAGATGATATAAAATCAAAAAATAGACAATTTGATTTACTATTATGAGTCAACAAGTATCCAGTAAAGATAAAGCTGTCAGTCAATGTATTTCAAGCATACTGCCTATGTGATATATTAATGTTCCATTAATGTAATTATAGATTATTAACTCTTCCTTGAAATAACGCGTCCTACTACTTCCAAAGGAACCGACACAGCCCAAATGATTTTGAATAATAGGCTCGTAGCGTAGTTTGCAATAGATGTAATGACTTTTAGAGATATTAATAGTCATTCAGCGAATAGAGACTGTGAAAAGTAAATGAGTTATTTGTAAAGACGCTTAGAAAGGGCTATACTGGGGAAACATTTCAAAAATTACCGTGTACTGTATCTTGAGTAATATTTGCAAAGGCATTAGATAGTGTGTAAGAAATTAATTTTTATTAATTGCACTTCCCAAGTTCATAGCAGGTAGATATCAAAACTTAAGAAATGTTGGCTTGAAACATTGCAATGCATTTTCTCCCCCTTGGATTGTAGATCTCCACTGAATACGCGGTTTTTTTTTTTTTCAATAATACTCACAATATTGTTTACGTTATCTATAGAGAAATTTGTTCCGTATGTATTATCTCGACCTTTTAAAATGATGTGTTCCGACAACTTACCACAGGAGGTGAATTATGTAAATAACAGAGAAGATATAGTTGCTTTGAACAATATAGTAAGGTGACAATGTGCATAAAATAATTTTGGATTGTGTAGAAAATATACTTGGAAGTTAGGAAGGCTTAATAGCTTAGCGTGTAAATTCAGTCATCCAGTCGAATTTGGTGAATTTAACCCTCAACCAACATTTTACATTCTTGCATTCAATTTTATAATAGTTGTTATTATTATTGTTCCATCACATTCGACTCGTATTAATAGGGATAAAAATTATACAGTGCGGACTTTATGGGATAGGATTTTTTAATGAATTTCAACCCACAGGTTGAATCTATCCCACATCATTAAATCCATTCCCACAAACTCCGCACTGTGTACCAATTCACTAAAAAATGACCAAGAGCAGCTATTGTTACTTTACATTGTTCCCGCATGTGGGTTATCACCTTACCACATAATGTAAGTTAGTAGAACGTAATGATACCGTTCTTATTGAGTCAACCATATGGTTTTTCAATATTCGACATCTATTCGAACAATAAGTACACTGCAGAGGGCTTATTGTTATGTATTAGGCCATGCGATTTTTTCATTCATCGAAGTAAGCCAAAAGTTGGTTTGTATGTTGAATGGTAATAAACATTATTAGCACGGAGCAAATAAAATTATTTATTCTTGTTACATCAGCAATGCATCAGAAGTACTTGGAGTTGATTAATAACACGTTTGGTAGTATTAGAAAAGGGATTCACGAAATATTTTCTCTTGACGATCACCCGTAGTCTTACTCGACGATAACTATAGCTGTACAAAATGAAAGTAAAACTCGTTAATTGCGTACATGTAAGTAGTTACGATGCTGAAGCACGGAATTTATTTAAAAATGGGTCATAACTCCTGAGGCTCTATTCATGACGATAATGTTAGTTTTAATGGTAGCAAATTCTGCATTATATTTCAATAATACTGCTCGCTTCGTCTTTCCATCTATATTGACATTTTCCTCGCCAATAGATACGTACCAAAGTAAATAATTTCAATTGTGTATGGATAAAATGAAAGCTTGAAGCATTATTGTACCAGTAACACTGCACTTCAGCCTATCGATAAATGGTACAATTTTACGTGTTGTTAAATTCTTTTATCCAGATGACAGCAAATTCTGATGTCAGACTCATTGATTCTGCGATTAGATGGCTTTATCATGATAAATGGAATACATTATAGAGTTTTTACTCGAGGTATACGACCTACTATGCATACAATGGTTTTAAAAGTGTGATATATATAGAGGCAGTAGATACATACTTTAAAAGCATTCAAAATCACTTTATCCCTCCTCAATGAGATAGCATAAATATAAATTATTAGATAAGGTATTGTTTATGGATCGATTCTACGTTTCTTAGCATAATAACGAAAACCACCCAGTGCTTCGTTCATTCTGACTCTTCGATTATACTCATTTCGAGCTTTGTCCTTCAGGCTTATGTTGTCCCGATTGTTTTTCTTGAAAACGTCTTCCTTACGCTTTAAAATTTCAGCCCACTGCGTTCCTCTGTAATATTCGAGGCCTTCTTCAAGAGCCTTTATTTCTTCTTTTGTCCAACTGACCTTTGGCCCTTTTGTTTTGGGAATCTTTATCTTCTTATTATTGCTGTCGATATACCACCGGCGTGAACCATCTTCTGGATTGAACTCAGGACCAAAAGAGTTCTTACGCATTTTCTTAACCGTTTTGACATTTAACCCTTCGTCGTCGTCATCCGTAGTAGTGTGATGATCATCTTCTGTTTGCATTCGTTCCGCTTGTTGCTCTGGTTTGCCAACTGGTTCTGCTTCATATGCTGCTTCGGCCATATGCTCAATCAAATCTTGTGGTAGATCGTCGAAACTAGCAGCAAGAGTATTACCTTTCTTTTTCTCGTCCTGCGGAGAAGTTGATACATGATCGTCCTCATTTGTTCCTGTTAAATCAAAAGTGTAGGTTGCATCGCAGTATTCTTCATCTGAATTGCTCTCTAAATCATCATCATCTTCTTCCTCTAATTCTTTTGAGTGATTTGAAGGCTGCTGCTTATTAGGGATGCTCATAGGCTCTCCATCAGAATCTTCATCTAGATCTGTTATTGTGTATGCTTGAACTTTTGTGCTACGACTATTGTTGACAAATGACTGATCTTTATCCGTAAATCCGGCATCTGAAGCCGTTAAAGGACGAGCATCTGGATCAGCCATCATGATTGATCGGGTGCTTGGCTTATTTTGAAACATATCTTTAAATTGAGAAAGAAAGCTGCTACTTTTGTTGGATAGCTTGGAATGAAATGAAAATAAATTTTCAATGCATTAATTTTTTCTGATAAAATATTCTGTTCTGCTTCCTTCCAACTGCAATAGTCTTAATGTAGAAATTTTAAAGGCATCGAAACTGTTTATTGTGACGGAATCGTTTCATAAACAAGTTATAAGTAGGTATAGACCTTCGAACCACTGGCATAATTTAAGACTAGCGATTTGATTCTTACATAGTTAATGACAAGACAACAGCAACTTTGTCCTGCATGCTAATAGAGCAAGCGATTAAAACGTTTGTATCCTCACAGTGATACAGACTACCATATAAATATGGGAGAGCATAAAGCAAGCATTAAAAGCTTCCTGACACAGGCTACAGCAGTTTCAAGGCGCCATTTATTGCTGAGACTCAAAAATCGTCCCAAAACCCAAAATCCACGTTCTACTCATTCGAATTAATTAAAGCTGTTGTTGAGAAATATCGTTATTTTTCTTTCGCTACATCAGCTTTAAGAAAGTGTAGGGAAGGAGTTGACAAATGCAGCCTAATCCTTCATACCAAGCCGTATACGGCGCTTCATCGCCACATCAGCAACAGCCACAACCGTCATTGAATGCAAGATCACCAGCAGGTACACCTCAGCTGTCGTCTCAATCTATGGAAGCAACAAACACCAAAAGGACAAAACGTCAGTATCCTCGGGCTCAAGCACACGAATTTATTGCAGGAAATGCAGGTTATTCCCCTGAAATTCGAAACTCTTCTTATCCTCAGCAACAGCAGCATTTTCAACAGAGAGGTTCATACTACCAGGCACAACAGCAGCCGCAACAGTTTATACAACCTCAACCAGCTACGTTCACTGCACAGCCTACACTGCAACACTCTGCAGCTTCGCCATACCAACAGCAACCAATGCTCTCTCCCATAACACAGCAACCTCAACAAGGTTATATTACAAATGGATATAACCAAATGTTGAACGGTATGGCACAAATGAGTCTGAATCATTCACCAGTGCAACAGCCTATGATAAGACAGGACGTGCCACTTGTCGGACAACCACCCGCGATTGAACATATTCATGAAGAACTATCTGCACCAGCTATTCCACTCAATGTAATTAATTATGCTTCTATGAGTTATATTATATAAGGAATCGAGTCCTTACACCTTTTTTTTTTTTTTTTTTTTTAACCAATGTATATATATAGGCAACAGCTACAGGTTCCTCTTTTGCTCAAGTGCACACGAAATTCAATCATTCCACTGTTAATGCTTTCCCAGCCACTAACGCACTCTTAAAAAAGTCCAAACTGCCACTTGGCCTGATTATTCAACCTTTTCTCAGTTCAATCTCATCCATGTCATCTAGTGATGATAAACAACAACATAGAGAGGATGTACCAGTTGTACCTGATACAGTTGTGACGCGTTGTTCCCGTTGTAAAACGTATATCAACCCTTTTGTCCAATTCACGGCCGGTGCGCTAAAATGGCAATGTAATATGTGTGGGTTGGATAACGATATTCCGCAAGCGTTTGATTGGGATATTATGACTCAACAACCTGCTGATCGTTATGCTCGACCTGAGCTCAATTACGGGTGTGTAGATTTTGTTGCTCCATCAGAGTACATGGTCAGACCACCACAGCCACCAGTTTATGTGTTTGTGATTGATACTTCTTTTCAAGCTGTTCAGTCGGGTATGATTGCTGTTGTAGCTGATGCGATTTTGGCTTCTTTGGATAAGCTGCCGAATGAAGATGGAAGGACAAAAGTTGCACTCATGACAGTGGATAGTGCAGTAGGTTTTTACAAATTGAGTGGACAAGAATGTGAGCTTTTGGTTGTGGGTGATTTGACGGATGTATATCTTCCTCGTGCTGCTTCAGATCTGTGCGTCAATTTGGTGGAAAGTAGAAAAGCTGTTGAGGACATGTTAATCAAAATGAAAACAATGTTTAACGGCAGCTCTCATGCACACACACCTTCCAATTGTTTGGGTGTGGCACTTCAGGCTGCTCGTAAATTATTGGTAAGTTGCTTTTCCACTCACCCCTTCCCCCCTTCTTTTACCTTGGCACAATCTGACAAGGAAGCTCATCGAGAGTACTGACAATCTGTTGACACAATTATAGTCTCCCACTGGCGGTAAGATTGTTTGCTTCCAAGCTAGTGTTCCCAATATAGGCGATGGTGCGGTGAAAGCGAAGCAAGAATCTAACAAATCTATTCTTGATTCACCCATGCTGTCCTCAACCAATACACAATTCTACAAATTATTTGCTAACGAGTGTACAAAACTTCAGATCTGTGCGGATATGTTTATTTTTGGAGGCGGTCAAAATCAGGTCGCCGATGTTGCTACGCTTAATATTATTCCTCGTTACACCGGAGGTCAAACCCATTATTACCCGGCCTTCAATGCTGCTGTTAATCCAGGCGAATGCCAAAGATTGAAAGAAGAGGTGATGGCCCTTCTGTCCGAGCAAATCGGATTGGAAGCAGTGATGCGTACTCGCTGTTCCACCGGTATTGTGTGCCATGCATTCTATGGTAATTGTACAACGCGTGTTCCAGATATCATGGCACTGCCAAATGTGCCTCGTGATCAATCGTACGCAATAGATCTAGTGATTGAAGAAGATATTCAAACACCTTTTGTTTATTTCCAAACCGCTCTACTACATACAACCTGCTTTGGCGAAAGACGTATTCGCGTTATGAATTTGTGTTTGCCTGTAACAAAGAGTATTTCAGAGTTATATGCTTCTGTTAATCAAGTGGCATTGGCAAGACTGTTATGTCATCAAGGTACGCTTGAAATCAATATACCATAACTATGGGGGGTGATATCATGAGTAGCTCCAAGCCATAAACTGTTGAAACTAACGCTTTTATTTACATGTTTGTTAAAGCAATGAATAAGGGGGCTAACAGTAAATTGAGCGACGGCAGAGACCATCTATCAAAGGAAACCGTGAATATTATGGGTGCTTATGCCAAAGAAGTGGTCGGTATGAACAACGTAGCCAACAGTCAATTGAGCATTTGTCCATCCCTCAGCCTATTGCCCTTATTGATTTTGGGTATTCTGAAAACGGATGCCTTCCAAGACGCACCTGTTCCCACTGATATGCGTTCACAATCTGTCATTTTATTACGCACGTTACCTACAAACAGCTGGTTACGCCTTGTTCACCCCAGATTCTATTCCCTTCACAATATGCCTCCTAATGCAGGCACTGCAGCAACGACGTCCAATACAGAAGGACAGCAGCAGGCGGGCAATGTAGTGATGCCACCCACAATGAATTTGTCCAGTGAAAAGATTGAACCCTATGGGTGTTACATGTTGGAAGATGGACTCCATGTGTACATTTGGGTTGGTAAACAAGCTGTTCCTCAACTTTGCCAAGACCTATTAGGAGCATCTAATGTTGAAGAAATCAAATCTGGACAGGTAAAAGAGAGCCTACAGAGAGGAAGGATATTCCCACCATAAATGATGCCTTTTTAACGCTTTTCCCGTTATATACAGGTTCCTACATTACCCAACATTCCATCTGCTTTGTCAGACAGAGTTAGAAATATTATCCAGCATATACAAAGAAAACGACAAACTACATATTACCCCACAATTTATATTATTAGAGAAGATGGTGAACCTATGCTTCGTAATAGGTTTTTGGGTTCCTTAATAGAAGACCGTCAGCCAACCGGACCTACTACTGCTGGAGCAAATCAACAAAATGTCAGCTCTGGTATGAGCTATTTCCAATGGTTAGGATACATTAGATCTAAATCTCAATAAAAACTCTATACATACATGACTCTCCCAGTGCCACCATCTATAATCAATCAAGTAACCCTCATACACTTATATATATATTACTGTAATCTTTATAAATCAAAATAAAGTTTTGGCGTGCTTTTTCTTTTCTACAAAGAGAACGCTATCGCAGCTTTCACAAATTAACGTTCTGTACTTCTCGATTCACAACCCTATACATTTAGACAAGGGGATTCACAATCCTATACAGTGCTTGTCATGCTAAGCGTTTTTACATTATAGTCAGTTCCGCGACCTATGGTATATCATTCCCACTCTTTCATCGGTCAAAAAAAAAAAAAAACCGAATACAAAATAATTCTAGATAAGAATACCAAGCTAAAATTCATATACGAGTATTGATTGAGAATAATCGAACGCGAGGTTAACCTTTTAAATACGGTCATTTGATTTTCAATTTGAATTATACAAGAGAAGACAGCTCACAGTAGGGGAATAAAAAAGCCATCTTTATTGCAATCCAACTTTTTGTTCTATGTCAACATGAACAACAACAAAATATGCCAATAGCTAAAATGAATATACCACTTGTGGTCTTCTTCTTTAACAAACTCAACTCAACTTTACACTCATAAATGACTACTACAATTATTATTACATTAGCAGTATTAAAAATATTCTCGCTTTATTGTTATTCATGGGGTAGTAATGTATGTAATGGTATTGTTTTTTTTTTACGTTGTTACGATTTAAAATATAAATGTTCTACTCAAAAGCCATTTTAGCTTTGATTTCAGCGATAGCAGTACCAGGTTGTAGGCCCTTTGGACATGTTTTTGAACAATTCATAATTGTATGGCAACGATACAATGCCATTTTATTTTGTAGTTTTTCTCTGCGTTCAGCGCCATATTGGTCGCGAGAATCAATCATCCAACGATAGGCCTGCATTAAGACGGCGGGGCCCAAGTATTCTTCTTGGTTCCACCAGTAAGAAGGACACGAAGTAGAACAGCAAGCACACAAAATACATTCATACAGACCGTCTAGCTTCTTACGGTCTTCAATAGATTGATAGTTCTCCTTGCCATCTGTCGGAGGATTTTTTTGTTTTAGATAAGGTTCGATGCTCTTATATTGTTTGTAAAAGTGTGTTAAATCAGGCACCAGGTCTTTCACAATATTCATGTGGGGCAAAGGATAAATTTTTACAGGTTTGCTGAGATCTTCTTTGTCAATCTTGGATATACAAGCCAATGTATTTCCACCTTGGATGTTCATAGCACAAGAACCACAAATACCTTCACGGCATGAACGACGGAACGTCAGGCTGTGATCTTGTTCATTTTTGATTTTAATGAGGGCATCTAAAACCATAGGGCCACATGTATTCAAGTCAACTTGGTATTTTTGCAGTGTAGGTTTTTCGGTTGGTTTGTCAGGGTTCTACATTGGTTGTGCACCGTTAATATGTTTGTACACATACGCACACACACACACACACACACACACATACGTACACATGTTTTATCTTATCTCATTTATTACTCTATTTGGTAAGACCCTTCCCGCAACAATCACCCACCCACACACGCAGAGAGATGATAACGCTTTTAACAATTTACTTTACCCAACGATAGATTTCGAATGTTTTCAGTCTAGGTTCCTTCACGTCTGTCGTTGAGGCCATAAAGTGAGTGTTATTCGAATGAAAGGCCCGGTTAAATAAAGACTAGAAAAAAAAAAAATTAAAACATTTTGCACAAACTCTGCTGTATCAACGTTCGACAAAGACTTACAACTGCAACGGATGCATTCCAACGACTTTTGACTGTTTGCAAAGCAATCAGAGACATTCTCAATATGTTATTAAAAAGTGAAGAGTGGGGAGGGGTGTGTGTTTAGGCTTTAATAAAAGAAAAAGTTAGGCAAAGTAGAAGAAAAGAGAAAAAAGAAGAAAATATTTTAGCGGATGACGATAAAATGCGGGGAAAACTTTCATGTGTGTTTCCCTATTTGCCTTTGTCCAACCTTGGGAAAGCGATTGTTGAGTTTCAAATTCTTGATTTTTTTTTTTGCGGAGGGAGCAGGGGTGAGAAAAAAACCAGTTCGCAGTAAAGGGCAATCGGCTTTTATTATTTCTTTATGAACAATCACAAATTACAAAGGTACAAAGGCTGGCTCTATCGGACCTTCACACACAACATTCAGTTTTTCGTTCATATCCAATTTCCGATTAGTAAAGACGATACGAACTGATTTATACAAATAGATCCGTTTCCTTTCATTTCTTATAAATTGCATATGAATGGCATATCTCAACACATTCCTTTCTTGTTCTTCTCCTTCTTCTCGCTGCTGCTGCTGTTTCTGTTGCTGCTGCTGCTGCTGGCGGTGACCAATGACTACTTTGTGATCAATGATTTGGTATGATTTTTGACGTAAAAATGTCTTGGTATTCCTCGGCATGCTTGTAAAATCATAAGGTATCAAGAACAATTTCACAGCTGTCTTATTAGGGTTCTTTACAACAAATTGCAATTGTCCTTTGGGTGGTATACGATAACCTGTCAATGACGAGTTATGAAGGGTATGATCTAAATAATGTTGGATATCGACAGTGCCAACATAAGGTGTGGTTGTATAAGAATCATCTGTTGTGTCGTTCATTTGAGTATAAAATGTAGCAGGAAAGGAAATGGTCCAGTGAGGAGGACATTTGAGTGACGGTTTACAATCACCTTGGCCCAAGACGCCTATTTGGCAATGAAATTCGATTGCTTTCGACAGAGGCATAAAAGACATGCGACCGGAAAGCAAAGACTCTTCAAAACTACCTACAAGTGAACCGCGGTGCTGACCCAATTCTACAGACGCCGAATCATGCCTTCTTGCGGTGTTAGAGCCATGTAAATGCTGAAATCGTGACAAACGATTACCATTACAGCTATCACTGTTGCCCTTGAGGGAACAGCTGGGTGATGTAGAGTAGGTAATGCTTGTTCTACGGCCTCCTTGCGTGTAATGATGGTGTGTATATTGGATTTGAGAATTCGTTGCTGGAATAGGTATGGCATTGGGAAGTAACGGTAAAAGGTGATTCATATCATTGTTTTCAGCAGAGTTGTTTTCTTGTGCTGCTTCACTTTCAATAGCAGATAGAGAAAGTCTGGACAATCTTCTCACAGCCACTGTAGGTGACGCAGGAAAAGGTACTGACGGTGATAACGGTAATACACCTGGAAAGGTAGTTACAGAAGCATGTTGGATCATGACGGTTGGAGGCGCATGTTCATATGGCTGTTGCTGCTGCTGCTGCTGCTGCTGCTGCTGCTGCTGGTAGTGGTTGTGGTGATGATATTCTTGTTCTTGTTGAACTTCTGTCTCAGGCGTTGGTCGTGGAGAATGAAGAGGACTCAGAGGGTGAATTAATTGTTCCTCATAGGAAGGAATTGGCTGTTGTTGTTCTTTTTCTCCAGACGGTTCAAAATCAACTTGATTAGTCCAAAAGGCATTGACATCGTATTCAACAGAAACTTTGATGGTTTTTGACAACTGGAAGGACTTTGTTGTTAAACTTCCAGTATTTTGACCGGTTTTTGCAAACTCTGGATGTTGACACTGATTGAATTTTGCTTTGATGTCAGAACTGCAATGACCAGAAACAAAGCAAAGTTGTTGTAAGTGAGTTGCTGGTAAATCATCCACCAGCATAGCAATGTCACTGAGATCACTGAGGCTTTCTGTTGAACTCGTTTGATGGCAAGTGTCATCGCCCAACGAAAAAGTCCATTTTTCGAGTAAATTATGTGTTTGTTTGTGTAAGATATAAATTGTATATTGATCTGCTATTTTGTTTAAATTTAATATACAATCTTCCCGAGAATGCAATACTGGGTTTTTATTATTGTGTATCAGACACAACGGATCATTTGACCTCTTATCAGCATTCATTCGAGATATCAAAACAACATTGATAAGTCTGTGAATGACGGACTGCAGTGAAGTATGAAGCGGAACAGGCATCTTTTTATGTTAAAAATAGTCTTTTTGCACTCCCAAAACCAGTGAAAAGATGCCAGCTTTGAAGTATATTGAAAAAAGTGAAAAAGAAAAGGAAAAACAAGTTTAAATGAAGCCAATAGCTTATATCGACAGAACAAGAAGGTGAAGGAAGTATGGAAAATTTTTTTCCTTTTTTTCAGGGTTTTTATTAATGCAAAACGCCTCAATTGTTTCCCTTTGATTGGTTCATTGTACTCTTATCTTTTCAGTGCTTTATTCAATCCAAGAAACTGAACTTGATAATGTGTTCAATGAGTCCATACTATTTAAATGACAGCATAGAAGGAAGAACTGGCCTCATTCAATCCAAAAGGTGTATTATCAATAGGATGGGTTTTTTACTTAGTGTTATAAGCATACCGAGCTCTACTATTCTCTCTGCCCATCCATTTGCCTAAGCTTCAGATCAAAAATGACACTCGTTGATTAAATCTTTTGATCTTGTTTGACTCAGTTTCATCAACGCAACGTGATGCTGCAGTCATCTGTACTAAGTTTCACTACTATCATGCTTTATTTTTGATACATGCGCTAGTGTCTGGGTTCATGTTCCTTTTGTTACTTGCATTAAAAAGCGAATCCTACTACATATTTCGCCTGTGGACAAAAGAATGACAATGAGAACGTTTTCCTATGCTATGGGTTGAATGAAATAATAACAGACTTACTGGCTTCTTTCGCACTTTCTGCTTCCAAATCATACGTTTTGAAATCCCTTTCTTTCAATAGCACAATCTTGAAATTGGTAGGTACTTTCTTACTCTGTTTACAAGACCGCACTGCACTTGCATGAAAGGATGTCTAGCATTATAAATATATATTTTGAGTTTCATAAGGACCTCTTTTTTTTTTGTCTAAAAAAACCAAATACAAAGAGCTTACCGTCTTGACAGAATCAAACATGCCTTTATGTTCAGGAGGCATGAGATGAATATAATCACCATCAATGGCCAAAATATACACTCGTTTACTCACAAACATCGGCATCTTTCGACTCACATTATACTTTTTGTATTGTGAAAAAATGCTATCATTACCCACTGCTGCTGCAGCTGCTGTATTTGTAATGGCTAGAGAAGGGTCAATCGATGAGTAATTTCCTGTGGTAGAAAAGTACATCGGATGGTTGACTTCGTCCTTCTTCCTTTTAATCGGCGATCTCCACAGATGAGTGTTTGTAGCTTATCGGAAAAACAGAGAGTGTAAGTAAGTCCATCCAATGGTCGAATAGAAATGAAAGGAGGGCATGGGAAAAAAGGGGTACTTCAAACTTACAACTAGGCATGGTCAAAGCTGTTCCTTTCTTGGTGAGAGTCAAATCCGTGATTCCTTTCAGACTTTCGACTGTTGTATCATTCGATACGATCACATTACTATCTGCAATCGTCAGCATGTATTCGTTGGGATTCAACTTTCGTTTTCTCGACACAAGTTCCAATACATCTCCAATAAACATTTCAGCATACACAGGGATGGCAGTCGTGGCTGATACTTCTTCATTCGTCATCAATTTAATACGGAAATACTTAAGGGGTGTCATGGGCATGGTAGCTTTTGTCAGTGTAGCTTTGGAGGATGGGACAGGAACAGCCACAGTAGAAGGGTCTTGTTCAGGTTGTTGCTGTTGTTGCTGCTGCTGTTGCTGCTGCTGTTGCTGCTGAGAAATAGAAGGTGTAATAGCAGTAGCAGCAGTAGCAGCAGCAGCAGTAGAAGTTGGGTGATCCGTCGTATGTGGTTGGTGAGTAGGCGATAAAATAGGGGATGTCATATAATTTGTAGGCTCCAACAGGGTGCCGTGTTGAGCGTGTGTTATAGGAATGGCATTTCCTGCTATGGCAGCGGTCGTTGTCACATTGGGTTGTACAAATGGCCCCTTCGTATCAATGGTAAGGCCAGCACCAGCACCCATGCGACGCTGTTGCTTTTTCTTTGTCAAGGTGTCCAAGTCCGGTTTGCTTCTACCCATCCTTGCTCTATCCGCATCATTCTGTTTTACTTGAGATGGTGTAGCTCGACATAAGGCAAATTGATCAAACGACACTCTACCAATATTTCTGGTGCGATCGATCGCGGGTAAATCATCTTCTACTTCGCCATCTTCTTCTGCTATCATCAATACCCATTCTGCTAGATCGTAGCATGCCTCGTCTAGTTCGGGTTCTCGTTTTTGCTCAACGTATTCGTAAAGAATGTAACCGATCACATCATCCGTGATCGCTTCAGGTCGTACAATGACCGTAATGGGTTGAAAGGGTTGTTTGGAATGTGGCAAGTAGACACACAACGTAATGGATTTGGGCTCCCCTTTGCCTGACACAAAGGAATATTCGGCAAATGGGTTTTCAGCAGCACTTGCCTTTTCAGCAATCATAGCAGAGAGGTTGGAAGTCACCTTTTTGTTGATGTCAGTAGGTTTCTTCTTGGTATAATCAAGTGGCGCCAAAGGTGCCTTGCTGAGCGTTGCCGTAGAAGAAGCGGTTGTAGGTGCTTCTGCTGAAGTGACGGAAGGAGGAGAAGTAGTAGTAACAGTAGTAGTAGTAGTAGTAGTAGTTGGAGTAACAGCCGTTGCCGCTTTGCTTGCTGCAGATGCGACTGTTGCTGCTAATGCTGCTGTAGAGTTTATTGTTGCGTTTTTCGCTCGTGCAGCCGTAAATGGCAGTGGAAATGGTGGTTGCCCTCTTCGAGACAGAGGAGAGGTAGGTTCATAATTCTGTTCCTTTGAAAAGTTCGTAGTCACGAAAGGGGCCATGGTGTTAAAGTCGGGATGGTTGTTCATATCGTCAATGGAGCTACGGGGGGAAGGGTCAATGGCGGAATCGACAGAAGGATGTAAAGACGTAGTGGGGTATGAACGCTGAGTAAGGGTATTGCTGTGGCTATTGAAGTTGTTATTGTTATCCGGTTTGGCTGTAGCTGCTGCTACCGGTGATGTTGCTTCCAATTCATTCGGTTTTCCACTATCATCAAGGATGGGGGTAAAAAAGATAGAAAAACACATAGCGAGAGTGGGGGCTGTTAGTATATACTGCATAGCTGCCATGCTATTGGAGAGTGCTCTTACCTTGAACGAGACATTATTGTTTGCTTATCTACTTCAATGTCATCGTCTTCACTGTCAGTTGTTATCAATTCCGACTTGGTATTATTAGCTTCAGTATTTATCATTGCATTGTTACTATTCGCCTGAATATTCAAAGGCTGCACGGGTACAGGAGGGTATCGTACGCTGGTGTTGGGTGGTTTAGTTTGTTGTTGCTGTTGAATGAATGCTGCTTGCGCTGCTTTGCGTTGACGATAATGATTCCGTTTCGTCGTTCGCGGACTACTGGTCAATGTCACTTGTCCTAAATCATTATTGTTACTTGTGGACGATGAGAGTAGATTATTGTAAACGGGGGAATAGCAATATTGCATTTCGGGATAGACAGGCGCTGCTAATCGAACATAATCATCAGACATGACGGCGGGTGGGAAACTTATGATGCGTTCACCACGTTCATCCAACCTCAAAAACTTGATTCGACTTATATGAATTAAATAAGATGGATCTGTAATCAATGACATATTGAAAAATTTGAAGGTAACATGAATTGATGGGTACGTGGGGTTATATGAATAGAGACAGTACGTGTTAAGAGAGATAACTGAAGAGGGAGGAAATAGAGCCCGTTTTAATGCTACGTCTGAAATCTAAATGTTCCAAACGATTGGCTGAGAGTCGATAAAACTCCTAAACACGGAGAGACTAAAACATTTCTAATTTATTTGAAAGCAGTAAAAGACAACAAGTAAAATCAGATCAAAAAACTAATGAGCTGCTACAGGCAATATTTGATGATAATGGTGTATAAAACAGGTCTAACGCTTTTGTTTGATAAACTGCTTGTTGTCAGCAGCAACAACGGATTATGCTTGAATATTATCTTTGTATGATTTGTACAAAAGGTTCAAATATCAAAAATAAGATCCTATGTTCAGAAAGGGCCAAACTAGCCTCTCAACAAGTGAATTGATGAACAAAGATAGTTATACACTTGAAAGGTGAACTATTTTTAAAAGAACAGAACCACCTCCGCAGTTTACAGACATTATAGCTTTTACCACTACGATTGAAACAACTAACAGAATGTTCAATATAGCTATGGCACTTTGTCAATGCTAGCCAGCCTAGATGCTTGAGCAATTCTGTTTGAAAAAAATTATCAGTTCGTGTTAGAAAATCTCTTTTTAAAGCATGTCTTTTTTACCTTAGATCAACCCAAGTCAATTAGATCCAAGTAAGGTGAGTATGGAGTCGAAAAGAAAAAAACCAATATAGTCTCTCGTTCTTGAATATGTTGCTAAAATTAACTCTGTTTAATTTATCTTGGCATTATTCGCAATAATGTTACGTTCCTGCATTTCAAGGTTATCCAAAATATCCATGGCCCCGTCAATAGGCTGTCAACACTATTCAGCTCTTGTGCCTATTCTTCATCCCATTCTTCTGACGTATGTTAAGCTTCAATACAAATATGGGCTTGCTTTCAAAATGAAATGCTCATCATTGATGCGATACCTTTGGGGTTTTCAAATAGTATCTTTGTTCATGAAACTATAGAGAGGCTGATCGGATGCCTGCAAAACCTGAAAAGACGAACGGTTTCGATATCGGGAAAGGCTGCAAGCAAGGCTATCTCCCCCCCCCCCGCCTAATCATTATTAGATCTTACTCAAGCTGCACAATTTCAGGAAGTTCTAAAGATGAGCGTGCTCATTAACTACCATTGGTTTCATAGCCTACCGTGGACATTGAAACAGTTCATATACTCTCTGCTGCTACACCTCCATCATTGCCTTCCATAATAACGCCTTTGATTTCGCCAATGATGATACCGGCTATCCGCCAATGTGTATTATTTTCTTTTTTTTTATGATTTGAAAAAAAATGTAAGGAAACGTCTTTCTATATACAGTGTGCAAAAGACGCTAAGAAGGGCAACACCAATATAATAATATACATGTATATATATATATATATATATATATATATACATACACTAAAAAAGAAAGGGAAATTGTTTCCTCTTTCTCTCCGTGTAGAATAAATAATATGATAAAAAGGTATACGTTTCCCTAGAAAAAAAAAAAAAAAAAAGGTGCATAGACACCTATCCATGTTTAGGTTCAGTGGATGAAGCAGTAGTGCCAGTACCCAAAACCGTCTCATTAGTAACATCCAAAGTAGGTTGACGCTCAATATCATATTCAGCTGGACGATTCAACAAATCGTTTCTTTCTCTATCCGCCGTATCAGCATCAAAAGCCCCAACGGCAGGTTGCGGTGTGGGAAAGATATGGTAAATAGCAATACCGACGATAATGACGACATAAGCAAAGGGATACATGACAGTGACTGAGTAGCCAAACAAGCCTAAACCAAAGATCAAGCCGTAGAAATCGCTGGTCAGGATGGATAGATTGTACAGGACAGCACTTCCCAGACGGAACATGACGGGTGCCAGCGAATAGAGGACAAACATACAAATGGTATAGGTCACTACCATACCAGCAATGGCCGTATCTCTGAAGCCAGCCCATTCTTCGCGTTCAAAAATAAAGATTTGCACCAAGTTGATCAAAGTAGCGAAAAAGGTAAACATGCCAATGACTTCATAAAGGGGATGTTTACGAGCCATGTACTCCTCACCCACGTTGGAGAAGCCATACAGAGTAGCACCCAGCAGACAGAACAGGTCGCCTTTCACAGCATCCACGGCACCATAATTCTTGTCGGTGATCACATCACTCGCTACGAGCATGCCGAGACCGCAAAGAGCTATAAAGACGCCTACGTATTGAACCCAACGATAGCGCACTTTGAGGAGCAGGAAAGATAAGAACATACAGACGGGAGTGCTCCAACAATCAATCAGCATAGCAGACAGGAGCGAGGTGTATTGATAGGATTTCACGACAAAGTAATTGCCTTCCACATCGATGAAGCCAAGGATAAAATAGTAAATGCCTCTATGCCAAAATTGAAGGAGCCACCCCTTGATACCTCGCTTATAAATAGCAAAACAATTGTAGACAAAGGCTAGACAAGCGTACACAAGGAATGTCTGCGTGGTAGGTGCTGCAAAATTGTATTTGGTGCTGAGAGTGGTAGTGACAACGTTTGTGCCTGTTATACATAAAGAAAGAACTACATTACAGAAAAGTTAGCCTTCAAACAATTCTGTCCACACAAACGGAGATGACCAAAACTCTACGACGTACGCTGACCAAGTAAAAGAACTTTCCAAAACTTAGGATCTTTAATAAAAGCAAAATAGCTTTTCCAACTCTTTTTTGAGACTGGCGTATTGTCAACAACGTCTGTCATGTTGAATTCGCAACAAAAAAAGGAGTCTTTTTTTTAAACCAAAAAAAGAAAAAAAGAGCAAAAGAAAAAAAAAGGTTGTCGAGTTCAAGTACGCTTAAAGAGAAAGCTTTTTGTTTCTTTTCTTGCAGTACTTTTTTTGTTGATGAAACGTAGATGAGTTCTTTTTTAAAGAAAACGGTTTTTCTTTCTTTTCAACAAAGAGAAAAAGAGAAAAAAAAAAAAAGATAGCAACAGATCCCCGTAGTTTTCTAGTTTTCAGAAAATTTTTTTGATTGGGCCGCTGTTGAGATTTATAAAAAAAGAATAGATGCTGATCTCCACAAAAAACGCCAATGATACGAGAAGAGATGTGTGCAACCCTTAAACTGATATGGTTGCTGGTATAGCCATGGACATCCACACACGCGCAAAATGATCACAATTCTTTCGGCAAATAGATGTTGTATTCTTTTTTGTCTCGAAATTGGAAAACTTTATAAAAGAAATATATTACAGGTTTTGGCATTAAGGAAAGTCAAATGAAAAGAAAAAAGAGGTTAGCTATCTTTTTACAAGAATATAAATAATAAATTTAAGATGTAGAAGCAAATTGATTTTTGTAGTTGACTATGATAAAAGAGTATGTAGTGTAGCGAGGTTTGGTGTGTGATGTATTGGGAGAGAGAGAAAAATAAAAAAATAATTTGAAATATGGGGTTTTTTTTTGCGTTGCTTTTCAGGTTGGTTAGGGCTTTCTAAATTCAGTGAGTACGGGATATATAGCTTGGAATGCTTGGTAAATTTCCTCACGAACTTTAGCGCCTGTCAATACGATTTTGCCAGAAACGAAAATCAATAAAACAATCTTGGGCTTGACCATACGGTAGATGAGGCCAGGGAACAATTCAGGTTCATACTAAATGACAGCGCAAGGTTATAGATAGAGGCGAAGGTGTGAGGAAGGTGCGACTTTTTTTCATAGAACTGTCACAGTTTATAATCGACTTACCGAACTGAAATGACCGTGAGAGTAGGCTAAACCTTCAAGACGAATAGGGAATTTGACATCGCAAGAACCAACAATGTTTTGAATCTTGAAATCCGTAAATTTCGCTTGGAATCCCAACTTTTGAATAATACGAGCGTATTTACGTGCAGCGAGTTTTGAATCATCCTCACTTTTAGCACCAGTAACCACCATTTTACCAGAAGCGAAAATCAAAGCAGTGGTCTTTGGATCACGGATACGCATGATAACAGCTGCAAAACGCTATTGTATACAGCGTCATTTTGTATGAAATATATTTTTTTTTTAAAAAAATAATATTCATACAAAATCTAATCCTTTTGATTCAGAATTTACCTTGGGATTATATTCAGCATTACGAGCGTGCAAAGCAATTGTCTTTAGATCCAAACGGCAATCCAAGTTGACAGTAGCAACGATATTTCTATTTATTAAGGTATAAAAAAAAAGAAAGGGTTTAGTCATCAATGTTCCAGACATTTTGAATGAAAGAAATAAGGTTGTATCAATAGAAAAAAAAAAAAAAAAAAAAAAAAGAGAAAAAAAGGTTGGGATCCAGAAATTGGGAATTTTTTTTTTTGCTTTTTTAGAGTTAATATAAAAATTGAGGCGTTCTTTTTTCCAAATCCAGCAATACGATTCAAAATAAAATTAAAAATTGCAATTGACCAGATCGTATATTATTTTCAATTCCACAATCCTTTCTTAAAACACACATGCAGGCTGTAGGATAAAGAGCTCTTTGATTTCCACTATTATTCTGGGGTTTCTTTTAATCTCGGCCCTTTTTTTCTTTTCTCTTTTTTTTTTTTTTTTTTTTTTTTTGGCTTGTTTATTGATGATAAAGTATAGCGAATATCGACGTAGTAATCATAATGATGATAAAGTAGTGTGTTTGTGTGAGTGTGTAATTCCAATAAAGTGATGTTCATTTAAACTGAATTGAACAACAGTGACAGACAGAATGAAAGAATAATGATAGGTGTGTGATGAACAAAAGGGGAGGTATAATACAGGTATAATAACGAAAACTATAAATATAGAAAAGGTTAGTGTAAAAGATACTTACTGTAAGGTAGGTGTAATGCCAGCTACAGAATTAGGATCTCTGTTACTGGGAGTGGGTGTATCTAAGGGTGCGGGCGTTGTTGGTACAGCAAAAGGCGTAGTGACATTAGGGTGTGGTGTAGGTACAGAAGGTGTCTGCATAGCAGGCGTCTGCATAGTAGCAGGCGTGGTCATGGAAGGAGTTGCAATGTTGAATCCAGACATCGTGGGAGTTGGTAATTAGATATAATTGGTTTAAATCTTGAGAAAAAAAAAATAAAAAAGGGCGGAGAATAAAAATTATTCAAATAAATAGAGAGAATCAAATGATGATTTCAGTTTTTTTCTTCTTTTTGAAAAAATAAGTTCGGATTTTTGAGTAGGGTATTTATACTTTTTCAATTGTGGCTTAGATTTGTTTCGGGAATTAAAAAACTTGATCAATTTAAGATGGCGAATTGTTTAAAAGAAATGAACCCCTTTTCGTATTTGTGTGCCGACTCTCCCTTTTCATCTTTCAACATTTTTTATTGATTTGTTGATAATGTTGCCATCCATTACGGACTTTAAGCAAACAAATCTTTTTACCTTGCAGCATTTCATTCAAAGTGCTGGTCGATGAATTATTTTTTTTTTTGGCCAATCTCAAATCAGTCAGAGCTATCCTAAATAGCTCTAACGATGCCTACACAAAAATTGCAATTTTGCAATTAATGGAAAAAGAATGGTCCCGGTCAATTAAACCAGTTAAATAAGATGTCTGGGAGAGGAAAAAAAAAAAAAAAAAAAAAAAAAAAGAAAAAGAAATAGGCAACCGAAGTAACTCTATTCAAAGGAGACATGCAAAAGAAAAAAAAAAGAACTCCTCTTTTTCCACTCTTCTTTTTGCTTTTTCTTAGGAGTTGTTGCATAGTTACAAATTGTCCTTCCAACAAAAACATTAAAAAGAAGGGCTTCGGTTTTTTTGGGATTGGCTGGTCTTTTGTTGAATTAGACGGGCAAAATCGAGACTTTTTTTTTTTGGTATCTCTCTTATCTGTCATCCCGTTAAATCAAATTTGGTCGTACCGGTTCAACAACTTTGATTGGGCTAGCTGAGTTGATCATCCAATCAATCTGCATCATGTTTCCCTACCCTTCCTATTTTAGTAGTATGATGTTTTGTGTTGCACTGCTCGTTTGTCTCCTAATGGTGAACAAGCTAAATCTGTGTATTTGTGCTTGTGACATAAAAATTACAAAAGTGCAATCAACTGACTCCTTAATTAACCAGAAAAAAACTACAATCATGATAAAATACACACAATTGCACATGAGAGAATTCACACACACAGGAATGACGGCTACTTTGGCTGAGATAATACGATGGAACTTTCGAAAAAAACCAAGCTTATCTATAAGTATTTTTACCTGTTATGATTTTGACTTTGATGACTCTGATGAAGCAACAAGCCGTTGAGTAAGTGCTTTAGAATCCTTTGGATCCCTTCTATACGAACAAAGAGTAAAAAAGTAGAGAAAAAAGAGAAGGGAAAGTAGGGCCAGCGAATAAAGAGGGAAAAAAAAAGCTGAGATGAGCTGAAAGGAAATTGTGTGCTTTCTTAAAAAGTTGACTGGGCTTTTCACCACCGAAACCAACAAAAATAGATAAATAAATTAAACTCAGCAAAAAGCAATGGGCGAAAAATCGAAAACGGACACCCCGTTTTACATTTCAAGATTCGACGCCCTGCATGAATGACTGACTCTCTTTAGACTCTTTGAATTACTTTGTTTAACAGTACGCTTTCATTCAAACGGAGTGCTACTTGAGCATCCAGATGTTTGAAGATGATGATTCATTAAATTATTCAGTATAGCGAAACAAGATCGTTTTCCTCTCGTCCTTTCTGAAATAGCACAGTATATGAAATCATTCTATTGTAAGCATAAGGGGAAGGAGGATTGATGTACCTACATTGTAAAAGAGGAAAGGGCTAGTTTACACCAACTATGGCATAATTGATGATGATATACAACCCTAGAATTCCTCTCAATCGAATAATTACTATGGCTCAACGATAGAATAGAATCTTTTGCAAGATAAATCTCTACTTTTAGAATCTCATTCTTTTTTTGTTTGAGTTTATGCTGCTCCTCAACGACGATAAAAAAATGAGAAAACGCTTTCACTATGCATATTGTTTGAAAAAGTTGATCATAACAAATACGTGAGTGTCGCTGCTCACGTGATCCTTTCAACATGTTACCTACTACAGCATCGATGCTTCCCTTTGTCTGACACAGAAACAAATCAGAAAAATAACCAAAGAAAGCGAAATGATTCAACTCCTTCTTTTTTTCTTTCCAGCCTTTTTTTTTTCATCTATATTTTGTTTGTTGAAAAAGTGGATAAACCGTCTCTTCCCTTATCAAGCAGTTTGAAAAGTGGGCTCGATATTTAGCACAAATGACAGAGATCATACAAGCCATCTTTATAAGAGACAACGAGATTCGGAACAAGCCTAAACCTCATGTCGTATACAAAGTCGAGATTCACGCAGCTGTTCGCAATTGGAGTGTTTGGAAACGATATTCTGAGTTTTGCACACTAGATGCACAGTTTCGGTCGTTATTCCCTAAACATCCTCCACCTCAAAAGTTGCCACCCAAACGGTATTTTCCTTCTACCTTCTCCGATTCACAAAAAGTAGAAGAGCGACGGCAAGGATTAGAATCCTATTTACGAGCTATTTTGGTATGCAAAGACGAACGATGGCGTGAAACAGATCTATGGAAAGAATTTCTAGCCATACCTATTACCCAGACAAACAATAACCATAACAGAAATAACGCCACCACCACCACCACCACCACAACAACAACAACAACGACAACAGCGGGATCATCATCCGCTTCCTCAGAAATGGGCAATACGTATTATACTTCAGAAAGTTGGTTGGATGAGCATAACACCATGGTCGATACCACACGTGAAATTCGATCTTTATTGAATAAACGCACTACTCATTTAGCACGACATGAAATATCTGCCTCTCATAATTGCACCGTACAAGCTAAAAAGCTATTGATGACCTTATCAAGCCGTCTCTCCAATTTGGAAGCAGGGCTGAATGGTTTATCCACGACAATGACAGAGGGTGAAATGAGAAGAAGACAAGACATGCTCACCACCTTGAAGGATGAGAAAGATACGTTGTTGAAACTGTCTAGTACAGGTAGACAAGTACAACAAGATCACGATCTCTATAGTCATAGTGGGAGCACTAGAAGCAATAGTACGAGCAGTATGAGCAGTGTTAGCAAAAAACCACAACCTTCCTCTCTGTCAAGTACAGACATCAATAGTCAACATACGAATACATTGGATCGTAATGCATTGTTGGGTAATGCCATCAAAGGCCGTGCTGGCAGTGGGAGGAGAGCTTTTGGTGCTGCTGCATTGAAACAGCAGCAGGCATTAGCAGCCAAGGAAACAGAAGTGACGCGTGGATTAGATAATGAGGGTTTGGTTGAATACCAAAGACAGACCATGCAAGAACAGGATGATCAAATCACTCAATTTGGTGCTATTTTATCAAGACAAAAACAATTAGGCATTGCTATTGGCCATGAGCTGGAGACACAAAACCAAATTTTGGATGAGCTGGACGCAGACGTAGATAGAACGCAAACGAAACTCAAGTATGCCAATAAGAAGTTGGGCAAGATTAAATGAAGAAAAATAAAACCACATCATAGACCCTATTGTTCAAACCTTTTATAGTTGGGAAAAAAACTGATGAAACGCGCGGGTCTTCCTTCAAAAACGTGAGCTCTTTTCCTAACATGTGATTTTAATAAGTGATCGTTATTACCCTTTATCGCGCTTTTCAAAAAAGCGTGCGTACTCTAAAATCAGCTACCCTATTTTGACTTTTTGGAATAAAATACGAGAGCCAGGTAGTCTAGCATACATATGCTATTGATTAAATAGCAACCAGTAACTGACATATTTTAAGGGGCAAAAAGAACTTGATCTCCTGGGCCTTCCATGGGTGAAGGAATGAAGCCTCAACGCACACACATACACACACACACACACACACACATCGCAAACGCAACTCGTTTACACGCACTTGCACATACGAGGAAAATGGCTGATCTCTTGAGAATTGTTGCACCCTCTTCCTAACAATTCACAAAAAGGGAAAAACCTACGAATTTTTACATCATCTAAAAATAGCCCTTCTATTTTTCCATCTCTTTTCTTCTTTTTCTTTTTTAAGCTCTTTTCTTTTATTTTCTTTTTCATTATATTTTACTTAGTTTATCCCTTAACCCACATAATATTTAATCTAATATATTTATATACACATTCATATTCACAAATATACGCACACTATTTTAACCGGACGCGATAAAACAGAAAAAGCAAAAAAAAAAAAAAAAAAGTAGCACTTGAGAACAGCACTTTATATACATATATACTCACTTTTACAGCACTTACCTGTCATTCATAGCGATCTAATTATAAATTCAACAATGGAACAACAACAACAACAACAACAACAATCACAACCGCAATCGTCTAATGCTTTGAACAACACGAATAACAATAGCGACTCTACTTCTTCAGTTACAAAACCACGTTATACCGCTGCCGGATTCCAACTAGGCATCTCGGAGGATCGGAATAAAAGATGTCGTCGAACCATGGAAGATGCTCATACCTTTGTATTTGATTTTATGGGTATTCCCCGCCAAGGATTCTTTGCTATTTTTGATGGACATGCTGGCAAAGCCACGGCGGAATTTTGCGGTGCCAATTTTGATAAGGTACAGACAAAGAAGAGGAGAGAGTATCTGCAAAAAGTAATCCCCCACAGTTGTTTGCTGAAACACAAAATGATTAGATTCTAGCAAACACAATCAAATCAAGTAAACCTGAGGAGCCTACCGTGGAAGTGTTAAATAAGGCATTTTTAGCTGTGGATGATGCAGTAAACCAACGTGAAGGCAAGACCTCTGGCTGTACAGCTGTAGTAGCTTTCGTCAAAGTAGAAGAAGGAACCGATAAGGTGAGTAAACATAAGAAGGTGAATGACAGAAGCATCATGCATTTATAATATCTTTCATACCATCTATAGCGTACTCTATATGTTGGTAATGTGGGTGACGCCCGAGCTGTATTGAGTCGTCAAAACAAAGCAGTTCGACTTTCTTACGATCATAAAGGATCTGATTCTCAAGAGGCACAGCGTATCGTCAAACTGGGTGGGTTCATGATGAACAACCGGGTCAATGGTGTTTTGGCTGTAACAAGGTCCTTAGGTGATAGTGTGATGAAAGAGTTTGTAGTCGGAAACCCTTATACAACTGAAACAGAACTTGGACCAGATGACGATTTCTTAATTTTGGCTTGTGATGGGGTAACGTGTGTTATTATATACTTGAAACATATACCATAGTATCCACTTATATCTAACCTTGACTATAGTTATGGGATGTTTGTGAGGACCAGGACGCAATTAATCTTATCAAAGATATAAAGGATCCCCAAGCCGCCAGCCAGAAACTATTAGAACACGCTCTTGCTAATTTCAGTACCGATAATTTAAGCATCATGGTTATCCGTCTTGCTTCAGAATAACCAAGACATCTATCCACTACAATCACTTCACTTGCCTCGCTTATTTTCTTTTTATCTTTTATATTATTTTTTTTTTTTTATTTTTGCCCTTTCCAGAGTACATTATCTCTCTTTTTTTTTTCTATTATACTTCTATATATATATATATATATATACATACACACACGATACACTACATATATATACATGTATATATATGTATCAATCTCCCTTGATATATTCTTATTGAAAAATGCTTCGTCCATGTATACGCCATATGAATTCTATTGACTTTTCTTCCATTTGGTTTTGACATTTAGCAGGTCTATTGTTCAAATCTAAACTCTGAATGTACTTTAGCTTTTCTATCTGTTATACGATATGCTAATTAAATATTTTTCATTGTTAATAATTTTCGACCTTTGGTCTAGACAGAGAAAATGATTGACCTATCAACGTACAATGATTAATTGTAGATCATCCAATTTTTTTACTTTTTTTTTTTTTTTTCTTGGCTTTATTCGGATCATAAATGGTTTTCAATTTTTTATTCAACATCTCAGTTACAATTCTGAAAGTGACAAATGGGAGGGGGGGTATATGCCTTATTCATGATAGTTTTCTTTTTTGCACCGAGTCTTTCATACGTCACGAAATTCGCCTTCATAAACCCTGCCCTGTTGCTGTTGCTGTCGAAATGAAGTAGTCGATGAAGTGGTCAGCGGTACGTCTATCTCCTCCGCATTCAACGTGACTACTTGAATGCTCTGTAGTGATAATGGCTCATTTTTGCTATTGGAAATCCCTTTAGCAATCACTGCCAGTCCGGGTGTGTCGAGCATTTGAAGCCGTACAGTCAACTGCATCTTCATGCTTGATCTTCCTCGACCCCCATATCCATTCACTATGGATGCAGAAGAGAGACTGTAAGCTGTGTCTTCAATAACTAAACTATCTACCCAGTCTTCCGGCGTTTTATCCTGTAATACAGTATGTTTCATGGTACTGCCGAATGCTTGTTGTCCTTGTTGCTGTAACCATCGGCGTAACTGATCCTTAATTTGGGCTTCAAACGACTCGATAACTGAGCTGTTCTGCATCCCTCCCTTGAACCTGCTGCCTGGCATTCTAAATAGTTGTTCAAATTCTCTGAACGGCATGAAAGGTATTGGCTGTCTTTGGAGTTGTCGATACAGACGCCAGCCTGCAAATGCAAATAAAGCGAGAATGAATGGACTAGCAAAAAGCACAGTGGCTATCCCAACTGCCCCCACAGCTACTTTTGTAGCGAACCGAACAGGTGGAGGCGCTCGCACATAGCTTTTTTGTATTTGTTTCAACAAAGAGGTAGGAGACAGGCGAGCTGCTGTCACTGACGACGATGACGAAAAGGCTCGCTGAGAACAGGGTTGGTATGGGTAGGATGAGAATAATGGTTGTCGATACCTTACACAGTAGGGCCCCGTAAAACCATGCTGGTTGGCTGCTTTATGGCATCTCCACAAAGATGGGGCTATCGTTGGAGAGTCATAATCTTGTCCATGTTGCTGGTGTCGCCATTGCGCTGTCTTTGCTGGGGATTTATTGTGTAAATTGCACAGAAATCGAGTGGTACACTTTGAGGCCCAACTGGAAGGTTTTTGAAGGGTTTGCTTGATGGCTATTATACGAGAGATTGCTGTCAAACTCATCAAGAAAGTGTTAATTGCTATCTCAGCGATGGGAGTGAATAAACCTGGAAAGCGGAGGTTGATGAGTGAGTGATTTTATGCATCATTTCACTTTGTCAAGACGAAAGCATACTGTGTGTTGGTGTAGCAAAGAATTATTTCTTTCCACGCTTGGTTTCCATCGGTAACAAAGATGGACACAATTCATTGAGCGTATAAGCCCTATACCTGATGCTCGATGTTTACCCTTGAGTTTGTAAAGAGATATAAAACACATATTGTAATATGGCACAATTTTTCACAAGTTACTCATAAACACACTATAATCAAACTGGTGTATCTATCTATAAAGATGTGTTGCTACTACTATTACTGCAGAAAATGATACTATCAGCTGGTATCCTCACAATGAAAAATGTTTTGCATCATTTCATTCTTCAGATTACATTTTCCTTAATATCTTTGACAGCACAAAAAATACAAGGGAACAAAACGAAACTGATTTGAAAGGATGACGTATCGTTTATTTTAATTTGGCTGATAACTCTGTTAGGAAGTCTGCTCCATTTGCCATAGTTCCCATTCGAGCTTCTCCTGTGTTATCAGAGCATGAAAGAAAAAAAAAAAAAAACCAAAAAAGTATAGGATAATGAATAAAAAAAATACGCGTTCATTTAACTTAATAATGCTTCAATTTGTTTCATTTGTTTACCTTTAGGCTGTGTTTGTTGCTGCTGCAGTTGCTGTTGTGCTTGTTGTTGACCCCAAGGTGATATATGAGTTGGATGATGATGTTGCTTTCCCCAAGCAAAGGTTGTTGTCGTTGCCGGTAACTGTTGTGCTGTGTCTGCTGTCGTTGTGAAAGATGCTGTTGTTGTTGTTTTACTCTCGTATTTTTCAGGTCTGACTGACGGATCCAGATTGGTATCATGAGAGGCCGTTAAAGCATCAGAATAACCTGTAAACCAATGAGCTGATTAGCGTATACTTTGTCGTTTTCTACTTTCCAACAATTTTTTTTTTTTTATATATATATACTTTACGCATATTTAAGAATGCAGAAACTTCTCCTCGATTAAATCCATTTAAGCCAACAGCTGCTGTAGGTGGTTCTGCAGAAGAAGGTTGAGTGGAATTCACAGCTAATAAAATAGCTGCTCCAGCTGCTTGTTGTGCTTTTGGTGTCAACTTATGCATTGTAGTGGTAGTAGTGTTATTATTTGCAGGCAGTGGTGCTTGCGAGGACGACAAATTGTTATTATTGCTACTTGTATTGTGTGTCAATGATACGTCTTTTTTGGCTATTCCTGCACTTCCTCCTGCTCCACCTATCAATATTAACAACTATCAATGCGGGATCCATTTGTACAATAAGATCAGTTATTTGCTACGATTTACTTGTCATCTTTCTTTGTTGTTGTTGTTGTTGTTGCTGCTGATTTTGTCTGTGGACAGAATCTCTCTTCTCACTAGTTTTCTTGGAGTTATTTCCTATCGTTACAAAGATCTTGAGTAAAAATGGCACCTCCTGAGTTTTTATAAACGATGGCTCTTGGCAGAACTTTGTAGCTGTGCTAAGTTACCTGGCATTCCAAAAAATAATAACAAAGTGTTTGGAAAAGAAAATGGATGAAGATGAGGCTCAGTAAAAGAGATGAGCAAAAGTGAGTAGGGAAAAAATAAAAAAGAAAAGAGAGGGCAGGTCGCTTAATACCAACATCCGCTCAGACCGAAAAAAAAAGGCACATTTAAATAATTGGTCAAATCTTTTAAAATCTCTGGCTTTCAGACATAACTACGTTGGACTAAGACTTTTATTTTACTGAGCTATAAACGAAAGGTTGTTTATTGTTATGTGTGCAAATAGGCATAATCGTAAGTGAATATAAAGGGAAAAAAAGAAAAAAATCAATGAAAAGGGGATATTGGGACGATGCAGATAAGACATAAATATGTAAATAGAAGCAAAAAGGATAGACATGGGGAATATTGCTTGGTATATGCTATTGATTGTTCATAAGAGGGGCATAGAAAACTTAGTCTGTCACAGGCTCTTTGCCTTTGGGTGATTTCCTAGGAGCTAATCGTGGGGGTGATAGTGTACGCAAGACCCTTCTCTGAACTACCCGTTGACCATTTTCTGTTACTATGTTCTGCTTCTTCTTTGCGGGCTGTAGATCCTTATCAGCGCTTGAAGGTCCTTCTTTTATCTCAATGGGCAATTCTGATAAGGGCAGTCTATTCACCTTATCACCGTCTTCTTCTTCTCTATTGTGCCAGTGTCGGGAGCGAGTCCCTTTTACACTGCTTTGATCATCTTTCTTTGTGAAGCTGTATCGTAAATGGTAAGGGATTGTATTTTCTTTGTCTGTATCAACATCTTTCTCTTTTCCTTTTAACTTCTTTCTGATGAAATTGGATGAAGAAGCTTTTTCTGCTGATTTGCATTTACTTTGATGAATATTACGCACCCAATCATGACTGGTATCTACAGCATTTGCATCTTTAACAGTTTGTTCCTTATAGACTTTCGTTGAAGGGCGCATTTCTTCTTCTTCTTCTCCCTCTTCGTCCTCTTCTTCTTCTTCATCTTCATCCATAAATAGGTCTTGTAGGCAGTGATTTCTCTCAGATATCGTCATAGGTCGGTCTTCGTTGACCTTCATGAATAATCCACCTGTTGCAGTTGGTCTTTCAGGTGTAACTGGCAACAGGCTGCCTTCATCTGACTCATCCTCTTCAATTTCAATCTCTTCTTCGATTTCAATAATCTCTTCATCCTCGCCTATATCTTCTTCTGTTATTTCTTCCACAAGATGATTTGCTACTTTAATGCGGCTACTGTTTCTATCTAACCACATGTTCAAATTGGGATGAACGTTGCTATCACCTAATTCTTGTTGCTGACTTGCTTTTATCAAGAATTCTTCAGTCAACTTCTTGGGTCGATAGAGGAAGGCATTATCATTCGTGATAATTTGTTTTGATCTGCCATATCTAGTAGATGTTGAGTTTAAAGTCAAATTGGCCATAATATAACTCGGCGTAAAGGTTGATGGTGGGTCCAACTGGCGTTGGTAAAGTTGATTTTGCGGCGTTTGCGGCTCCTCTAAAAAATCACCCATTTCTGATCAAATGCTGATGATAGATTGGATAACGTACGTTGTGTTTATATGTATTTATGTGCGCTTATGTGTACGTATGTGTATGTGAGTGTCTGTGTGTTAAATTGTTTTCGCTCTTATCACCACAAAAAAAAAAAAGGGGGATAACGAAATGTTGGAAATTGTAACTTGATGAAAGATTAAAAAAGAGGGAAAAAAGGGAATTCACAGTTATTATTAATTGTGAAAATAGCGAATTGGGGGAATTTCAGTTCAGAATTCCAGTTCATTTTTTCACTTATGTAAAAGAGTTTCATCCAATCAGCATTCTTATAAGGCCGTGATTCTTCCTTAAAAGGAATCCAGTTGACTTTTTTTTCTTAAGACGCGTTTTTCTTCGTGATTTATGAATCTCAAGAATTAAAACTGGTTGATCTGATACAAAGAAGCATACCAACTGTCTGCATGTGATATGATCCATTGTAGTATGTCGCTATACAAACGAAAGCTATCTATAAATGTGAATCAATTCCTGTAATTTATTGTTCATGCCTTCATTTATTGAGCGTAAAAATAGATACGATAAAGAATATGGTGGTACCCAAGCCAACGCTTCTGTTAGCTTCTGGAATGGGATTGCTGGCTCATGCATGATAGATGCATTATCCACACACACAATGGAGACCTCATGTTTGCATATTCACTACTAAGAATTCAGTTTACTGTTGAATAATAGTTTTTACGTATTTAAAAAAAGAAAAGCAGAGAAAACGTCAAAAAAATAAGCAGGAAATAGACGTTTTTTATTTTCAAAGAATTAAAAAAAAAAATTCTTGTCGGAAACGGCCAAAATGGAGAGAATCTAATGCTTTTGAATGGTGTGTCGATTTCTTCGAACGCTTTTTTGTCAATAGGAAAGTTCTTTTTTGCATAACATAGTCAATATGTTTTCTAAATGTGCTGCGAGGCCTACCACGATGTTTAAAGGTTAAGAAAAAGTCTCCTCAAATGGAAGTAAAAACTTGGTTTAGAAGTCTCCTGAATGGGCAAACTACACTCTGAAGCATGTGTCAGTTGCCTCTCCATGCTGTCTCTCCTTTCTGAAAAGATCTTCCTACTCCTTCCTTTGTCTATAAAAGTTGATTGTTTGCCTCCACACCTACATAATATGCATGTCAACCCCAGAAACTTGCGTATTTTAAAGTTGCTTCCTTCTAGCTGCTATGTAATTGATTTAAGTATATGTATATAGTTTTCTGGTCAAAGAATCGATCAACATTATATTTGTTTACATTCATGCTGGTAGACAAGTCATTGCAACCATCTTCTTTTGATTCCAGCTTTATGAGGATGTAGAAGTGAAAGCCTTCTGCAGACAAAATTAGGGCTACTTTTTGCGTTACAAAAAGAAAAGTTTAAATTGAAACCTATATATGTCAATATCGTAGAACATCCCATCTTATGGAGTATTCAACTTTGAAAGGATTGGTTACTTGTTCCCTTTACAATTGACAGTTTTAAGGGAAGATCCAATCTTACCCGTACTGCTATGTCTTTTTTTCTTTCTTTGCATCCCCTGGATAGGTTTTTTCGCTCATATCCTTTCTAATCTGTTTACTATAAGGGTGTTAACAAAACAGAAGAAGCGTATACTTCTTTATCCAGAAATTGACTCCAGTTATTGACGAAACAACAAAATAATGGGACACCGTGTTTCTAAGCAACAGCAACAACATAATAATAACAGCAGTAACAGCAATCATAACAACAAGAAAGAAAAAAGACAGTCCATTGGACGAAGAAAATTGATAGGCAATCTTATATATCCTAATAGTAACAGTAACAACAGCAGCAAAAAGAGAAAATCGAGCAGCTTACAATGCAAACAAGAAAAAAGCGGAGTAAACGTACTGGTCTTGGGCGCTAGTGGATCTGGTAAGACAACTCTCATCAATCAAATACGGCTTATGAGCAGCGATAACATTTCCAAGGAAGAGAGACTTGAATATCGTACCGTTATCCTGTTTAACATTATTGAAGCCATGCAGTCTATTCTAAGTGCCATGAACAAATATGATGTACCCATTGACTGCGTACACAGAAAGGCCGTAGCAGAGAAATTGCTACGTATTGATTTGGACAGAATTATAGCATTGGAAAAGACAACAACGCCGCTATTGCTATTAGAAGAAGTAAATCCATTCCCGACAACTCTAGATATTTTCAGATCAATCCGATCATTATGGAAAGAGGAGGGTAACATACAATTACTGTACGATACCCGGCACGAATACCAACTGTCAACCATCAATGATACAGCAGAGTAGTAAGTTTGTAATTCTTTGACAAGTTGTAGCAGAGTATATATTATAAATCTATAACTATTCTGTATAACTTAAATATAGTTACTTTGAGCATACGCTAGAACATGTCTCATCTTCTAAAGAAGCTCTCATCAATTATTTACCAACAGATCAAGAAATCCTACGAGCCAATCGAAAAACAACATCTATCGTAGAGCATTCTAATATATCCTTTAAACAAGTAACGGAAGGATCAGACGCAGGTAGTAACATAACAACCTACGATTACAGCTACTATAATATTCTGGATGTCGGCGGATTGCGATCTTATCGCAAGCAATGGGCAGAAGCCTTCGCATACAAATCTCTTTTCTCTACTCTTTTATTTATGGTGTCTCTATCAGAATACGATCAATGTCTATTAGAAGATTCGACAACAAATCGAATGCAAGAAAGTTTACTCTTATTTGAATCAATCTGTGATTTGCAGTATTTTAAAAAGTCGTCCATTATTCTGTTCCTCAATAAGACTGACGTATTTAAAGAAAAGTTATCGTCAAGTCCATTGTATGTTTATTTTCCACATTATAAAGGTAATATTATCATTTCAGGACTTTCAGCCCACTATTTGTCCAAAGTATATGTATTAATCAATGAAATACTCATTTTGAGCTCAGGTGGCGATCACTATGAAAACGCATGTCAATTCATACTAGGACAATACAAAAAGATCACGGTGAAGTCACCAAACAAAAAGATATATACACATTTTATATGTGCTTTAGATACCGTGGACGTGCAACTGGTGATGAGTGCCCTCCACGAAGATATTATTCAAATCAGTTTAGACCAGACTACTTTACTATAACACTGTTTCATCTGTTGATATATTGTAAGCTTTGACACATACTGATAGAAAAAAAGGGGTGGAGCTCACATTCAATAAAAGCTATGCATTTCTGAGAATGATAGATATTACATGAAGTAAACTTGAATTGGAAGTAACTTTACGTACGAAAGTCAAAAGTTTTTGACCCCTCTCACTCGTCCGATTGACTTTCTGTAGAGTTACTCGATGATATGAATTAGGCTAATGACCTGAATACATATATAATTCAATCTAATATTGGCGCATTTCTTAAACCAAAGTTTTATCGAGTAACTTTCGATAGCTATTGTCCAGAAAACGACCAAAGAACCAAAATTGTTGCAAGTAATAACTGTATGGGACTACTTAAAAGAGTTGCTGCTGTAAACTAATGCTTGATACATTGACATCAAATTTTCGAATGGGTTTAAACGGAAACGACGATAAACCGTTCTTAGCGAACTTCTTCTCGGTCTCATGCATGCTACCCAAAATGCTCTACCATTTCAGTTGTATCTAGGTACAAGGTCCACTTTGGGCCCTCTTTTCGAATCAACATTAACCATATCGACTGTGTCGCTGTATGCTGCTATTCACATGCTCGGCAAAATGATTTAATTGAATCACCTAGACAAGCTTAGAGGTAAACAACACGAGAGCCTTACCATGTTTGGTTTTCTCGAGAACATTTATTTTAGACGTAATTCTTTTCAGGTCCTTTTTCTCTGGAACTCAGTATTATATTAAATGAGTAGAACTCCTCTGTTACCAGCTGGTCATGATAATACTTTGTCCAAGTATTAAACCTAATTAAAGTACTTTTACAAGAAATAACTCAAAACACAACACTGGGGGTGTTTACTATCCAACACTATGTGATTTTCTCAATGCTGAAGTGCTTTAAACTCAAGTTGCAATTAAATAGTATTCTCTTGCTTCCAAAAAGCTTGGCCAATTCTAATTGAAAAATTTCTGTTGTTTTAAGGCTGAACTCGTCAATGCTTGATTAGAAAAACAAAGGTAGCTTCATTGGAAGGCGAAATGTCAATTCCAATTTCTTGTCTGAGTGGTGGCTTGGAATTACTTTCTCTTTGAATTTCAGATAACTGTCAAATGGTTAAAGCAGCACATTTTCATCTTTAATATTTTCTTTTTCAACCTGACTTATTCCACATATTACAATGGCCGATGCGATGGTTGTAGATCCAGTCAACAATCTTGACAAAAATGGGTTCGAACCCTTAAAGGCAGAATTTTATGAAGGAAAGCATATTGCTGAACCTATCAAAGAAATCAAGGTATTATATCCTATAATGGCCACAATTTTATACTTCAACGGCAGTAGGTCGACGTTCATAACGGACAATAATTTAATTCGATTCTTCCGTGCTGTAGGACAAATGGAAGTTATTGCCAGCTTATCTGAAAGTGAAGGGTCTTGTTAAGCAGCACATCGACTCCTTCAACTATTTCGTCGATGTTGATCTAAAGAAGATCATCAAGGCAAACGAAAAAGTAACTTCCGATGTTGATCCTCACTTTTATTTAAAGTAAGCATGACTACATCAAAAGATACAAAAGGGAAACAACTGATTCAATGCTCACATTTTTCTGTTCATCGATTGATTTTTCGCATAACCTTCTCGAATCCACCCCAGATATACCAATATTCATGTCGGTATGCCAGAACGTACTGATGCCAACGCTGCCAATAAAAGCTATACACCTCACGAATGTCGGCTTCGTGATCTTACCTATTCCGCCAACATCTATGTCGATGTCGAATACACCCGTGGACGTCAAATTGTTAAAAGAAAAAATGTTATGATTGGTCGTCTTCCAATCATGTTACGTTCATCGCACTGTGTTCTCACCGGTAAAAATGAAGCCGAGCTTGCTCGTATGAAGGAATGTCCTCTTGACCCCGGAGGATACTTCGTTGTCAAGGGTACTGAAAAGGTCATTCTTGTGCAAGAACAATTGTCAAAAAATCGTATTATTGTCGACTTGGATAAAAAGGGCGGCATTATTGCTAATGTGCAATCATCAACCCACGAACGTAAATCGAAGACAGCCGTTTACGTGAAGAACGGGAAAATTTATTTGAAACACAATTCCATTTCAGAAGATATACCCGTTGCGATTTTTATGAAGGCATTGGGCATACAGTCAGACAGAGAAATTGCGCAGTTGGTCTGTGGTAATGATCATGATTTGAACGACGCCTTTGCAATTAATATCGAAGAAGCATCTCGTTTGAGAATCTTCACACAGCTTCAGGCCCTGGATTACATTGGCGGCAAAGTCAAGGTGAACCGAAAGCTGTCCACAGTACGAAAGACACAAGCAGAGGAGGCATTGGAAGTCTTGGCTACCGTCATCTTTTCTCATGTCCCGGTAGATAATTTGAATTTTAGAGAAAAGAGTATTTACGCAGCCGTCATGATTCGTCGTGTTCTTGTCGCAATGATTGATGAAGTGCAGGTTGATGATAGAGATTACGTTGGTAACAAACGTTTAGAATTAGCAGGTCAATTATTGTCGTTGCTTTTCGAAGATTTGTTCAAAAAGTTCAACTCGGATCTGAAAATGAATGCAGACAAAGTTTTGAAGAAACCCAACCGAACTCAAGAGTTTGATATCTTTAATCAACTTATTTTACACGGCGACCATATCACCAGCGGATTCATTCGGGCTATTTCTACTGGTAATTGGGTGTTAAAGCGTTTCAAGATGGACCGTGCGGGTATTACCCAAGTTTTATCTCGTTTATCTTATATCTCAGCATTGGGTATGATGACTCGTATTACATCTCAGTTCGAAAAAACCAGAAAAGTATCAGGTCCAAGAGCTTTGCAACCGTCACAGTGGGGTATGCTTTGTCCTTCTGATACACCTGAAGGTGAAGCATGTGGTTTGGTCAAAAACTTGGCGCTAATGACTCACATTACAACTGATCAAGAAGAAGAGCCCATTCGACAAATTGCCTTCTCTTTAGGCGCCGAAGATGTAAATATGCTAACCGGTGCAGAACTTTTCCTTCCCAATACATTTATTGTCTTTTTGAACGGTAATATTCTGGGTATCACGCGTCGCGTGCAACAATTTGTTAAGAATTTCCGTCGTCTACGTCGTGCTGGTCGTATATCGGAATTTGTCTCGATCTTTGTCAATACACATCAAAGAACCGTCAATTTATCTTCAGATGGTGGCCGTATCTGTAGACCACTGATTATTGTAGAGAACGGTAAACCTACTGTGAAGCAGCATCATATTGATGTAAGTCCGATTCGCCTCTGTCTTTAATCAAATGGATAGTCTATTGTATTATATTCACACATTTGGTTTCAATTCTTTAATTTGATAGGATTTGATTGCAGGAAAGTTGGTTTTTGATGATTTCTTGAAAATGGGCCTTGTTGAATATGTTGATGTCAATGAAGAAAGTGATGCCAACATTGCTATTTACGAACAAGATATTATACCACAGACTAGCCATTTAGAAATTGAGCCTTTCACCCTTCTTGGTGCAGTAGCTGGTCTGATTCCCTATCCTCATCACAATCAATCTCCCCGTAACACTTATCAATGTGCTATGGGTAAGCAGGCCATCGGTGCGATTGGTTATAACCAGTTGAACCGTATTGAAACCTTGATTTACCTCATGGTCTATCCTCAACAACCCATGGTCAAGTCCAAAACCATTGAATTGATCGGTTATGACAAGCTGCCCGCTGGTCAAAACGCCACTGTTGCTGTTATGAGTTATTCTGGTTATGATATTGAAGATGCCTTAGTCCTTAACAAAGCAGGTCTGGATAGAGGATTTGGCCGTTGTCAGGTGATGAGGAAATATGCTACCTTAGTAAAGCGTTATCCCAACGGCACACATGATCGTTTGGCTGATCCACCTGCGCCTGAATCTGATATGTGGAATCCTAGTTACGATGCTTTGGAGCAAGATGGTATTGCTGGCGTCGGTGAACCACTCGAAGCGGGCTCTATCTATATTAATAAACAAACACCTGTCAGCGCTGGTATTGATGCAGCTGTACCTGGAGCATCTCATAGTGTTGCTTACAAAGCAGCTCCTATGCGTTATAAATCTCCTCAAACCGGTTATGTTGATAAAGTCCTCTTTAGTACTACTGAATCTGATCAAACACTCATCAAGGTTAATATTCGACAAACACGTCGTCCTGAATTGGGTGATAAATTCTCTTCTCGTCACGGTCAGAAGGGTGTGTGTGGTATTATTGTTCAGCAAGAAGATATGCCTTTCTCAGATCTAGGTGTCAATCCTGATATTATCATGAATCCTCATGGTTTTCCATCGCGTATGACTGTTGGTAAAATGATTGAATTGTTAGCAGGTAAAGCAGGTGTTTTGGATGGGTCGCTACAGTATGGCACAGCGTTTGGTGGCTCGAAGGTAGAAGATATGAGTCGTATCTTGATCAGTCATGGCTTCAACTATTCTGGTAAAGATTATGTCACATCTGGTATTACTGGTGAGCCACTCTCTGCATATATTTTCTTCGGTCCCATCTATTATCAGAAATTAAAGCACATGGTTATGGATAAGATGCATGCTCGCGCAAGGTAAGAAAAGTGAAAATAAGATTTAGTTGAAGATGACATAGACTAACGTTCTGTTTTTCTGTATAATCTGCAGAGGTCCTCGTGCTACGCTTACGCGTCAACCTACAGAAGGTCGTTCAAGAGATGGCGGTCTTCGTTTGGGTGAAATGGAACGTGATTGTTTAATTGGTTATGGTGCTTCGCAACTCTTACTTGAACGTCTTATGATTTCCTCTGATGCTTTCGAAGTTCATGTATGTGATAAGTGTGGCTTAATTGGTTATGCCGGCTGGTGTCAGTTCTGTAAGAGTTCGAAGTATATGAAAACGATGAATATACCCTACGCTGCTAAGTTACTCTTCCAAGAATTAATGGCAATGAACATCTCACCTCGACTTATTTTAGAGGACGCTATCTAACAGAAAATGCTACCTATATCATATAACTATCTTTATTTCTTTCCATGCAACAGAAGTTTGTACATACGCTTAAACACATTAATTAGAATCCTTATTAAAATCATATTTGTTGTATCTTAACGAAGAAAAGAAAATGCATTAATATCCGTGCTTTTTGCATGAACAAGTTGATAGAAGTGAATTTTAGCCAATCAAAAGTATGCCCGTTTAGCTTCTATTCTGCTCAGCAAAAAACTCGGGTTTTCTTCCATTCTTTTACTTACCTTATTACTTTGTCACACTTTATTAGACAATATGTTGAAAGTTTTAGCTTTGATTGTATGCTTATTTATTATTTCGATTACCGGTAAGGCAATAAGTCAGTGTCAGGCAGCTCAGAAACAAAAGATGATAGAATTGATGTATATTTGTTTTCTGTTTCCTATTACCGCTTTTTTGATCTGCTCATGCAGCTTCTGATGTTGATTACATTATGGCATTGAAATCACCTGTAACCCAAGAGACCTACTCTCAAGCAAAGGAAGATGTTATAGCAGTAGGGGGTAAAGTTACTTATGAATTCCGTGCTGCTTTCAAAGCTTTATTGGTCAGATTTCCCAAAGAGCATATTAATACATTAAGTGCAAAGCCTTATGTTGACTTTATTGAAGAGGATAAATCAGGTATAAATGTGAAAGGATTTGATATTGAGACAATACCCTTCTAAACGTTAATTATCTGAACATTCATCGGTAGTCCATACATATGACAACATTCCAGAATGAAGAAACAACTAGCATGTACTATCTTACCTATTTATGTATTTATAGCTTCATTATCTGATATATCATTATTACAAGGATTTGCTCATATATTCACAATATCTTAAGGCACAGTCTCTCGACCCCTTTTACTGCTACTATATTCTCTTGGTCAATAAATTTGGTATCTCATAACATTACTAGTTTTTTTAAAAATTATTTGTAACAAGCTTTGGAGGCGGGGTTTTGAGGATATGTACAATGGAATGGTAAGGTTGCATGACTATCATCTGTTAAAATAGGGAAACGGGTATCTATAATTCCCTTTTCAATCGAGGTTATCAGTGTTATGTGCCGCCAGCAGCACATCATGTTTATGGATAAGAGAATTCGCAATATGCAATGCTTCTTTGACCGAAGCGTCATTTGCCTGGATAAAATCATATACTTCGTTATGATTGCCGTCTTTATCCGTTGTAACTGCAGAGCTACCGCTGTTGCTTGTACTGCTACTATTAGTACTCTCCTCGTCTTGACCCTCTCCATTCTCATCTGACCAATCAGTGCTGTTATCACTATTTTTACTTGCTTCTTCATGCAGTTGAAGCTCTGTTTCCACCAGGCAGTCGGTAGAAAGGCAATTATTCTTCTTTTTATAATCCGAGTCTTCATCAATAAGTTCATATAGCAACATGTAAGGGTTGGCTCGCATAACATCGTCTATGCTGCACTCATCCACCTTTGTATCCGAGATTCTATACCATACATTTTGGCATTTCCACTCCTCGCCGTTGGTCATAGCACTGTATGATGCTGTACTGTGACATTCGTGACATTTGCATTGTTTGGTATAAATTCGACGCTTATAAGTAACAAAATGGCCGAAGCTATGACTACCATAATGAACTATCACACTCATAAGACGATATATCAGATTTCCGCCTGCTCCTCTCCTTCTACTTCTTATTAGTGTAGTATTATCGTCATTACTTGGTGTCGAAATTGGTATATTGGGTTGTGTATGTAATGTGCCGTTGGTACAAAAAGGTGACATATCTAAATATTCAGGATATATAATTCGACAGGCGTTTTTATAAACAGCACCAGTAGTATGAAAAGCTGATCGGTTTATGTGTAAACAAAGTATTTTAGGTGGTTTTGCTAACATGACTTGCTTTGTACTCATCCGACTGATTGATTTAACAAGTGGCAATTTAATCCTATCATTGGCCTGATCGCCATCATCATCTTCATCTATTCGCCCAGCCTTCAACCTGTTGATAATCTTTTCTTTGATTCTTTCAATATGAACAATTTGTGTCAATAGTTCCTTTTTCTTTTTGTTGCTACTGCTAATATTAGATTCACTCTTGCTCTTTTTTCTGAGATTATTTGATCGTTTTAATTCATGCTGAAGGGCCTCTATTTGTACCGATAATTGTCTGATAGTCGTTTCAAATGAACATCGTCTACAGCTAGCGTCCTGAAGATATTCTATCTCTGTGAACTCTGACAGACACTCTTCCAAAGTTGCCGTATACTAAATTTTAACTTGAGATTAGCTTGATAACCAAGCAAAAGGACTAGCTGATAGTTAGATATGCTCGCCCCTACCTTTCTAGGAACGTTCAGTTGAATGTTATTGAAAGTAAAATGTCGAATAGCACCCTATCAAGCACGTTTCATAGATTAGGTATCCATAATAAAAGGTGATTATAATAACAATGTATACTCACTGTGTAGCCACATTGCATGCAAGAAAGCCTATTCGCCAATAAACCGGTGAGAGGGTTTTCCAACTTGCTACTGCTACCGTGGATGTTCGATGACATTTTTATATTTCGCTGTTGCTGTCGTCGTAAACAAGCTGATCGGGTAATGTAGCCTTTCAATGTTTTCGGTCTTAACAAATCCTTCAATCCTCCACCTATTCTTTCGGTTATTGCCGTTCTATGTCCTTCTACCTCCATTGCACTTGCTACCAGTTGAAAAAATTCCTGTGCATCTTGTTGTTCGCGGCTGATAATACGACGGTTGGATGATAATGCCGTAACAATATCCGTAGGCCGAATAGAGGACCGTCGATTGAGTGGTTTGGTAAGTGTTCGGATTGTTTTTAATAAAGAACGTATTACTGGTAATGGAACACCATTGGGTACTGTATGACTAACATGCTCTAAGTAAATATGTAAATGAGGTAGAGACGATAAAGCCTATTACCCATATTCAAGTTAATAACCATACTTCCAGCTTCATTCAATCTGATCGCGTATGAAATGTACGAACCTGTAAGACCGAATTCATAAAACATGAGTTGCCTGTGTTGACTAATCCCGTGACAAGTGCAAACTCAATATTAGCTTCCACTTGTGAGGATACGCAGATATTTGAAGCTTCCGCTGATTTTGCAAGTTCGCTTTCTATGGACAAATAAAACTAATAATGAGTTTCTAACGGCCTTTTTCTTATAACACTTCCAATCGATCATGATTTTTTTTTACCATTTAACCGTTTAGACAGATCATCATAGTATTTTTGTGGTCGGATATACACCATCAGTTGAGGAATGTGGAAAAAAACAAGTATTTGATATATAAAGGACACAACAGAATTTGGTAATAGATAAATAGTGTCTTCGTGAACTACAGTTAATCGTTGTAAGATGGGTAACAGAAAGGCGATTAAGCCTAGCACTGCCACTGTAAACTGAGAAATAGCGGACACTTTTGCGGCCAGTTCTTGAAGTCGCTCAAACGACCACTCCATATTGAGAATATTAACTGCAAAAAATTACAGAACTAATTGGATATGAATGTTTAAGGTAAGTAAACTATGGTTAGGCACTAAAAAATAGAAATGTCTGAAGAGGCACAAAGGAAAACCCCCACATGAGTCCGCATCTCAAAGAAAATAAAAATGAAAAAATGTACACCAACTCCGCCATTTTCTACAAAACGACATGAACAAGACAGAGAGAAAATCTAAAGTTTTGATAGTCCAGTTCTCTCTGACAGATATGAGAATGTAGTTTTGTCAGAGAATACGCCTTTGATCGCTTTCATTGTAGTCTTCCTGCAGCCAACTGTGTATATTTGACGGGGGCTCAGTTATGAAAACAGAAGAGACATGTTTGAAATGTCACGTTCTCATTGGTTATACTGATGATTGTGCATTCGTCTTGCCACACTTCTGCGAACCTCCTAACCCCCTTGATTCTCCAGTCAACAACGGTGCTATACGATTAATAGACATCAATGGTTCAGCTGAGGTTCTTTTTTCTCTGCCTCAAAAATCACAAAACAATGCCAGTAATTTACCGTCATAAGCTGCTTAAGAGTGGGCTTACCTCCTCCATGTGGATAACATTTACATAACAGAGCCTATAAAATATTGTTTGCTTGGATTTCTGTGCAACTTGCAGCTTGCTTTATTAACACTTAATTCAAGTAAAAGAGGTAATCAGCAAAGACAACAGTACCATTATGATTCAGTTAGACGAGCAGCATCCTTTATTTTTTTGCTTGTTTGGACCATTGCTTTCAAACGGCAAAATTCCAGTTTTGTTGTTTTAGGCTGCTTGCATTCTCCACTGCCGACTACCTTTTTTTCTTCGAACATCTGACGCCTCGTGGTACGTTTTCCTTTCCATATTTGTCTCTATTACTGCATTCTTTGGTTCAAAAAGATGTCTTCACGTTCTGAAGACATATCCTTGGCTTCTTTCTAGCTTTCTGGCTTGCTTTTCCGACCGCTTAATGTCTGTCTTATGAGACTTCGGAATCACTGCTACCAAAGTCAACTCAGAGAACATCCTTATCTTCGAAGGACATCAATTACAAGTAGATCTTTCTTTATTCCTACTCCTAATACACTTTACAACAAACACTTGATTGGTCCTCATACAAAGTTGAGACCGGCGCTTTTGCAAGATGGTGAAGTACCGCTTCAAAAGCTGCACCTTTATACCATACTCCATTTATAAAATTCTTTGGTTAGTTGAATTGTTCATTTATTAAACTAAGGTCAGAATGATTACAAACAGTGGGTAAAGTCCAACAAATCAAATTGTGAAGCGTCGAGCAGCAAGCTTTAAGTTCTACTACTGAAGAATTACAGGCACTTCAGTTACTCCCAAATTGTCCCATGCAGATAATTGCAAGTCAATACATCATGGTCTTCATTTCCTCAGACGATAGTAACGTCTTCTTTTTGCTCAAATTTTACTCAGATCGTAAACGATTTGGCATTAATGAACAGCATCATTCTAACATGGTGCACGAAGCTCTGAACCACTCACGTCTCTTTCAAATCTAATGAGATCGCTGTAAGCTATTCTACCTTTTTTATGATAGAAAAAGTGGGTCTTTCAGCAGCACTTAAATCACCTCATAACAAGGAAGTTAAAAGTCCTGTTCCTGATCCGCACGTTATCTCTGTTAAAATGGGAATATAACGTGCACTGGCGTAGTCTCAGCCGTTGTCGGCTGCAAACTATGATAGAAGGGTTTCTGCGAAATGATAAATTATACTTTTCTCATTGAGATAACGATACCCATAAGAGTTGAAGAAGATATCACCAAAAAAATAGAGAATCATATGATTATTATAGTCAGTCGCACAATTTTAACCATATCATTTAAAGACTACCAGCATAGTGGTGACAACAAATATTTGTGCTATGTCGAAACTCTGATTAATCATCAACTGTTAGGGCATAGGTTTCAAGCTTTCTAATTAAAAATGAAAATAAACGTTGCTATAATTGGAGGCAATGTCGCCAAATGAGAATTATTGCCTGTCTCAAATCATCATCGAGCTCAAGGCATATAAAGTTTCTGAGCAAATTTGATGTTGCTCTATAAATTTTATTAACCTTGATCTGATCATCTGAACGCTGTCAACCCAGCTGCATTTGTCTCAAGCCCTATTTTTCATTAATGAATGAAGCATATATAGTTTTCCAACAAAAATAGGATTTAATCGGGATCAGCAAAAAATTGCTATGTTTAAAGAAGCTTGTCCCACTGTGGAGCCAGTCAGCTATCTTGTATTTTATGTACCAAGTCTTTTCGATGCATTCTGCAGAATATGAGTTTCTTTTCTAGATTTTTCCAAGGTTGTCTTCCATTTAAGCAACATCTTTAGGTGATGAATTTCTTAAAATCTTTTGCGTAGTTCATTTAAAATGACAATCGCTTTTTCTTTTTATTTATGAAGTCTCTTGATCAGAACTTAAAGGCCAATAGGCCGTAGTTAAAACAAGCTTGCGGGTTCTCGTTAGCATAAGGCAAGGTTTCTAAACAAAGTACTTCTTTAGTCTATCCTTTCTTCCCCAAACGTTGTATAGGGATAAAGAGTTCCTTTTTGAAAACCGTAAGATAATAACGCTACGGAATTCTTTGATTTATCAATCTTACCGTGTTATTGCACCTCGATAATACTTTCCCAAGCTGAAGAGTCAAATGCGCATAGCAAACACTTCATTGCTTTAATAAAAGTCAATTACACGCATATTGTTCAGATACCATACTTGCTGATGGTAAAAAGTAGTTAGTGTTCTTCAATAGCTTAAGATTTGCAATTAGCTTTATCAATCAAAGATTTTGAACCTGGCGAATAAAGTTTTATCATTGTTTGGAAACTGACCTGAAAAATTTACCTTTTTATTCTCGCTTCATTGGTCTACCAAGCCATTAACTGGCGCTAGTATCTTAAGGTCAAACAGTAGGAGGAGTTTACAAGAGCTATGCCACTGATATGCTTCGAGGTCTTAGTGTTAATGAGAAATTTTGTACTTTCTCCTTCATGCAACAGAAGACTTTGTTTCTCAGGATTGGATATCTACATAACAGACGGTTTGTAACGCTTTCCGATATGATAGTCATAAACAATGAGGCAATATTTTTCCCTCCAAAAATTTTACAGAAAACATAACTTGCTTTTTGTACATTTGCATATATTAGCTTATAAAATATCGTTTCCTTGCATAATGATAAAGTGTAAGCACATGTTTAATTTGTTCAATAAAAGCTTCCCATCACGTGAGGAAAAAGGGAACTAGCTGGGAATCATTGTTACGTTAAATGGCTATTTATCAGGAGAAAAGAAGTAAAAGCAAGTCATAGTAAAAGCCATAAAGCTCTAAGTTACCAAAGTGAAGAGATGGCAGAAAAATGAGCTCAAATCGCTATTGAAGGTTGACTTTGATTTTTTTTTTTCCAGGGGAAATGAGCAGGACTAGCCTGCTCACGGGTAACATGAGTTAATTTGGCCGAGCTGTACACTTTGCACACCTCCCCATTGAGAAAAAAAGATGATGATGATAATGCTACATTAGCTCAAAATCCAAATAAGAGTTGTGCAAAGTAATTAATTACAATAAAAAAAGATATTTTTCTGTCAGGGGATCTTTAAAATATTGACATATTTGTTATTACACCAAAATCCTACCCAATTTTTTGATATTATCTGCTTGTGGAGATACAAATTAAAAGCAAAAACTGATCGACAAAATTGAAGATGAGTTTCCTATATAAACATATACTGTCCAACTTTCAAATTTTTCTACTTCATTTTTTCCCAATTTTCATCACTCTTAGTTTTTATATACCCTTCAAACTTTACTTAACTACTGTCTACATTTCTAAAGCGCATCAAAATAGCCGAACGAATATCGAAAGGTAATCAGCAATCAAAAATTAATGTTTGCTAGACCAGGTCCTCACTTATACCCATTCTAATATTGTAAATACTTTCGCTCATACGTGGAACCCTGCGGTTACTTATTCTCTCGAATCCTTCAATACAAACGATCCTTACAGCAAAATTTTAACGAAAGCTATAAAAAGACAATTGTCTTTTTGCAAGAGATTCATCTCAAGGCTTCGCTTTTAAGACGCACTTGTATCGTTTAAGCCGGCATAGTCTTTATCAGTGCAATCGTAACTCTATACTTTGTCTCAAACAAGCATACAATTCTATCGTGAAGTGAAAACTTGGGATAATGTTTATCAACGGCATAAAGTTCGCTTGTAGTTCATGTGTCAAGGTATGTAAAAAAAAACGGAGCAGTATTATTTGATTAACCAGAAATATTAATATCTATAATATACTTATTACTTGCTGAAATCAGGGCCATCGTTCTTCTAAATGTAAACATACTGATCGCCCCATATATGAAATTCGTAAAAAGGGCCGACCTGTTACCCAATGCACTTATTGTAGAGAACTCAGAAAGACCCGCCAAATCCATATCAAGTGTCCTTGTATTGACAAGCTAAAAAGTAAATGAATATGAATGAATTGGTAGCGGTAGCTTTGAAAGCTAGTAGCAGTGAGCTGATTGTAGTTTTTCGTTCACGTATTACTGCAGGCAACACAAATTCGGGTAATTCTACTCTTGTAAACGTTGTAAATCAGCCGACATGTAGTGATTGTCAACAACAACCGGAAAAGCAGCCGCTCCTCATTGATTACACGACCAACTCAAATTACAAGGATACTAATGTGTTGATAGAGCAACAAAATGACAATGCATTGTCTGTACAGTGCTCATGCCATGAATTGACCGCAAAGCTTCTAAAAAATAGCAATGATATTGACATATTTGATAAGCTTGTTACTACTACAACTCCTACAATATCTGCATTAAGCGCTTCTCCACAACAGACAAAAGCGAATTCTGCCACTGTTACCACTACATCAGACAGTCCATCTTCGTTATCAAAGTCGTTCCCTATAAAGCTAGCAGCTGCTTTAGATAGCGAACTTTACACTTCTCGATTCCAAACCGAGTTGCTCCCATCATTGTCCTATGAGCTCCACTTGAGCCCTTCTGAAAAGCCGACTAAGAGTATTCATGATGAACATACGGTGAAAGCTGTCAATCGCTCCTCGCGTAAATGCTCGTTTTCCAGAAAAATCGAAACAGTTGCGAATTGTATCAAAAAAAGACGTTCAACTATCAGTACTATACCTATTCTGCCACAACATCATATGAGCACTAACCCTATCAACAATAAAAGTACAATTTTATCTGCTCATGTGCCCAACAATGGCGGTATTGCGGTCAATAATAGTGTTAATCAGGTTGAGAATTTACAGCAGCAGCAGCAGCAGCAGCAGCAGCAGCAGCAGCTATATTTTCTAGATGCAACTAGCCATTTCAGTCAAGAAGCATCATCACGTCATTTTGAAAAGCAGCAGCAGCAGCAGCAGCAACTCCAACAGCAACAAATGGCTAACAACTCAGAAACCATCAACAATCAACCTATTACTGCTGCATCTATTGACATGGACACTGCTCAGGAAATTTCTCATGACCTGGCTTTAACTTCATCAGCAGTTCCCTTACAACAACTGTCTTCCTTTTCAGACCCAGTCAATTTGCCACACATACAAAAGAATGATGACGATATTATCTTGACGCATGACCAGAATAGCAATATAGATTTAGATGAGGATATTCTTATGGCCGAGCGTAATAATCTATCGCTTCTCGACAATCTCATTTTACCTAGAAATGACCAGTGTACTGGAATATTGGGTTCTGAGAGTATTTTCTGTGAGCGACAACGTGGCACATTTGACAGTGTACAGATGATAAGAACAGCTACAACAACGTCTTCATCATCGTCGACTTTCTCTACGGTGTCTCAACAATCTACAACTGATGCCATCAGTGAAATGCCTATCTGTTTGGATCAACAGCAGTTCGCTTTTCATCAACAACAAGATCAATTACAAAATAAGTTCAGGCCAACCATGTCAACTCCTTCTTTCCTTAAACATAGTCAACAGCAACAAGGAGAATCAGTTATGATTACGATTACGCCACTTTCCAGTCTTATTGATACTTCAACTGGCAATTTACTCTTAAATCCCACTAGTACGATTATTAATAACAACAACACTAAGCATATTACTACTACTGCAACTACTGCCGATAGTATGAATAATATTTCAGCATCGACAGTAACGCGTATCATTACCTGTTTTAATGGAAGTGAGTGTGATTGTCCTGGCTGTTTCGTTCATCTCGATAACAATAACATCTATGCCTCCTCAGCCATTACTAATACTACTGTCGCAGATCAGCAGTCCAGTTTCTATTTGCAGCAACAGCAATCTTTCGTTCAGCCCTATCATTATCCACTATCTTCGTCAACTACTTCTGCATCATCAAATTACAGCAGTTCAGACGAAGACGAAAGACGTTATGGCTAATTCTACTCTTTCCTCTTAAGAACTATATCATTTATTCACATTTTACTTATATTTTTACTGCCAACTATGCTCTAAGCTCACGTCTTTATGCATTAATTACTGTTGAATCTTTTTTTTTTTTTTTTTTCTACCTCTCCTTTTTCTGTGTATATCCCCAATTCGTTCCTTTTCCGCTCATAATGTAAATACTAAACTGATATTGAATATGTATGCCGTAGCAACCAAACCCTTATTAGATTCCTCTTTCCTTCTTAAAGATAACAAAGCTCTTTACTTACAAAATAAAAGTATAAATTCGGAATTAGCCCTGCTTTTAGGGATTCCAACATTCAAATAAAAATATGCGTTTACAAATGCACCTTCGGCTCGTGGTTGAGAAATGATACCTTTGAATAAATCTGCATGAACTTTTTTCAGCGGTGTTTTCTTGAAGCTCCAAATGCGGTAAAAGCTTATTTAAACAAAAAAGCCTGAGTCCCAACATTTTTGTACGACTGGCAACCTCCTTTCATGACAAAAAGCTACATCACTCTTTCTCTTTCTTTTCTACGTTTTTCCTTAATTGAGAAACTTGACTAATATTAACACTATGGTAAGTCTAGCCATCAGAAAGAAGCAGCTCATCTGAGCCAAAGAAAAGAAGCAAAAGGCACCTTTATTGAAACAAATACTATATTAGGCTGATACCTTCAACAAAGAACAAATTGATGAAATTAGAGAATCTTTCAATTTATTTGACAAGAACGGTGATGGAACCATTGATATCAATGAGCTCTCTCAAGTCATGCGTAACTTGGGACAGGAAGCTTCAGATGCTGAAGTGAAGGACATGATTAAAGAGGTAGATGCTGATAACAATGGCACTATTGATTTCCAAGAATTCTTGACTATTATGTCTCGGTAAGTAGTGTTATATTGTGCTTTTGCTGACATCCATACAGCTACACGGCTCTAAAACAATATTGCTCGCGCAAAATTTTTACTAGGATGAAGGCTAATGACGATGCGCAAAATGACCTGATGGATGCTTTCAAGGTCTTTGATAAAGATAATGATGGCTATATCACTCAAGATGAACTCCGTACTGTTATGACCAACCTCGGTAAGCAAAAGAAGATAGCTTTTATTGAGGAATGGCTACTAATTCCTCTTTTTCAGGCCAAAACTTGTCCGCCCAAGAACTTGAAGAAATGATTAAGGAAGCCGATACTGACGGTGATGGTCGTATTAACTATAAGGAATTTGGTAGAATGATGGTAAGTTGCTCTTTGCTGAACTTTCTACTTTTCCGGCAAGTGTTTGTTGATATTTAATATTCTACGAAATAGGATACCATGTAGATGACGCGTTGCTTTCATATATCACATTATTGCCATTTACAGTCGATAACTAATAAAATTTGCATAATTGTACAATTTGCAGCACTGTACCATAATGAACCATCTCTTAATTCATTTTCAGCAGTTTCAAAAAGTTCTTTGTCATCGTCGCCAAGCACAATTAGGCTGTCTGAATCTGTTTTTTAAATATGTTGTTACGGACCATATAAACCCCAAAAAGCAATATACTTTGCCTTCCGACGCGTTGCTAGCAATTCCCACATAAATTTGACTTCTATCCTTCTTTCTTCCGTTTCTGGATTTTCTATTTTTCACGTACATTTGAAGATAATCAGAAAGCTCGAAATGGCAACAATTAATGACACAAAGACAGAAAAAGAAAAGATGTTAGCAGGAGAACAGTATCTTCCGAGTAGTGACGAACTTACAAAGGATAGATGTTACTGCCGTAAGGTTTTGAAGGAGTTTAATGAAGTGGCATCCTTGGGTGAACAGCCAAAACGTGAACAAGAATTGCTATCAAGTCTTTTTAATTCATTTGGAGAAAATAGCCGCATTGCGCATAACTTTAGATGCGACTATGGATATAATGTCAACATTGGCTATAATACAGAAATCAACTATGATTGTGTCTTTCTAGATATTGGTAAAATCAACATTGGAAGCCAAGTGTTCATTGGACCTGGTGTCCATATTTATGCAGTCAATCATCCATTAGATCCTAACCTGAGGAAGCAAGGTTGGGAACAGGGTAAGAATGTGACCATTGAGGATGGTGTATGGATTGGAGGTGGTGCCATTATTTGCCCAGGTGTTACTATTGGCCAAGGAACTACAATTGGCGCGGGTGCTGTCGTTACAAAGAACATTCCTGCCAACGTTCTTGCTGTTGGTAATCCTGCTAAAGTTATCAAGGAGATTACTCCTGGAGAAGAAAAGAAGGATTAGACAACTCAAAATAAAATTGACATTATTAGCAATAATTGTTGGTGAATACGAATACTTGTATAATAGTTCTCCTAGGATGATAAACCTAACTTAGCGATTGGGCAAATGCTCACTAGCCTTAACTCTTTAGCAACCGGTTATTCTACTACAACCGAGCGCATTTGTTTCGTCTTTCTCTGCACATTATGTATTGTAAGTTATTGCTGAGCATAGTCGCATGATATAATGTTACTCGCAGGTGGTTTATCATTAATGAACGTATTTTTTGGCTTCTCCGCCATATGTCGCGCAAAGTGTGGCTCAAATTTGTACCCATTACACGTGTACTGTTTTTTTTCATTTTGTGTAAGCTCGAACTTTGATCTACCCCTAAAAGTGCTCTAAAAATCCATACATCGAGCCGATAGTGAATTCTATACGTACTTTACATCGAGCGCGTGTTATAATTATTATCATGCTTAAAAAACTGATCCAAAGAACACATTATCGTATTTGAATGATTGTGGGTTTGAACCATTTCTTGTATCTTTTTCCTTTAAAGTAGAGTTTGCCTTAATATGGTAAAGCAAAGTTACTCAACCACAACAATTGCTGAAATAAATGTCATTTCGAGTGAGAACCTTATCTCTAACTGTCTTTTCTTATACAGTTATCAATTAATTATTCGAATGGATCAAGGATATAGTCTCGAATCAGATTACTATTCTTCGTCCATAAATATAAACCCCAACACTACTATCGCATCAAATTCTTCCATGATAAAAATAAACCAAACAACAACGTTAACGTCAAAGTCGTCCATATCATCGTCTATACCTAGTCAGCAACCACAGCCAACTTCCATCAAAAGCGAAAATCTTTCCGTTGTTAATACAAATGCAATGAACGAAATCAGTTCTGCCGAAGAGAAGGAAGGCATATCCTTTGTTAATAGCAAGAGGATCACCATAGTAGAGGGACTCATGAAAATTATAAAATCTTCTTGGGTGAATGTACTACTTATATTTGTCCCCTTTGGCATGGCGTCTCATTTTATCTGGTCACCAACTGTAACATTCATTTTGAACTTCTTGGCAATCATACCTTTGGCTAAACTATTAGGCTATGCAACAGAAGATATAGCTTTGAGAACCGGTGAGGTAGAAAAAAAGCAATAAAAAAGTTAGCTACAATGAACGCAATGCAACAAATGATGTTACTAAAGAGTTTCTTTTTTAATGTATCTTGATAATTTATTAGATCATAGGTGGCTTGCTCAACGCTACGTTTGGAAATGCCGTTGAGCTGATCATTTCCATCATTTCGCTCACGCAGAATTTGGTCGTTGTTGTTCAAGCCTCTATGCTGGGTTCTATATTATCCAATCTATTACTCGTTCTCGGTATGTGTTTCTGGAGCGGCGGTTACTATCACAAAGCGCAATTTTTCAATAAAACAGTTGCGCAAACGTCAGCTTCTTTACTGTTTATATCAGTCGCTTCCCTTATGATACCTGCCGCATTCTATGGCTCCATTCATTTGACATCGTCAACGACTGTAGAATCAGCAAGTGAATTGACACAAGCTATATTGAGTATCTCGAGAGCAACCTCTATTATCTTGTTGATTCTTTACTTTTCATACCTATACTTTCAGGTAAGTTAGCCATTCACGTTAGCTCATTAAATCAATCAATTGATAAACTGAATTTATTTTTGCTTCCCTATGTAGCTCAGGACACACAAGCATTTGGTAAAAAAAAAAAAAAAGGAAGAGAAAACCCTGAAAACGATGAAATAGATCAAATGCGTGAAAAAAACTAACAATACCTTCCTTTTTGATCCTCTCTAATGATGGAGTCTATAGTTTATGACACCTTCTGTATCGGAGAGCCGCAGGGCAAGTCAGCTTTCTGGCAGAAATTTGGATCCCTTTAGAATGACTGAGCAAGGACTTTCTCTTAGTAATGATTCAATTAAAGACGAAAATGACGAAGTTGAAGAACCTCAGCTGCCAGCTACAATGGCTGTTATTCTGTAAGTAACGGTTCACAATGACAAATGAACATAAAAAGGGAGCAGCGACGTGCTGTATATTAATCCAACTCCTTCTTGTTTCAATTTCTTATAGCTTAATATTAGTAACTGTGATAATTGGTGTTTGTGCCGAATTTTTGGTTTCTGCAATAGAAGAAGTGACCAAAGTCTGGCATATAAGCGAAACTTTTGTAGGCCTCATTTTAATTCCTATCGTAGGTAATGCTGCCGAGCATTTAACAGCCGTTACCTGTGCTGTGAAGAATAAGGTATAGTAGTAGTTGTTGCCATGTTTGAAGAGCATCACTATTGACACCTTCATTGTTATATTCGATAGATGGATTTGGCTTTGGGTGTAGCAGTCGGCAGTAGTATGCAGATTGCGTTGTTAGTTACTCCTTTCATGGTTATCATTGGATGGGGCATGCATGTTGATATGAGTTTGTATTTTAATATTTATGAAACTGCTGTTCTTCTGATCGCTGTCATAATGGTCAATTATCTAATTATGGTAAGTTAAAAAGTAGAATATACAAAAAAACCGTTCCCCTTTTCCCAATTAAACATTCCCCTATTATTTATTTCAGGACGGTGAAAGTAACTGGCTAGAAGGGCTTATGCTTATGGCAGTATATATTGTCATTGCAATCAGCTTCTATTATTATCCAAACGAATCAGCTACAGATAGTTTGCCTTCAAACTCTAGCGTAGCCAATAATACTAGGAACACAATGATTATTTCATGATACCTCCACTCTGTACACAACTTTCGACTTTCAGCAATTTTTATATTTGTACATTAAAAAGCCATGAACCAAACATTGAAAGATAACATGTGTCTTCAATTAGTCTTTTAACCCTTGAATATTGTTGTTTTCAAGCAATTTGACAGTCTGTATCAAAATCTCTATTGACTGTAAGGGTAGTTTATTGCATCTGGTGATGGTAGGTTTTCCAATGATTACATATTACGTAAACGTCGGTTGCGATTTGTTGTTGGTCGTATTACCATGTCATCATCAATCTCTGTTGCAGTCAAGCGGGTCTCACCGAAGCGCGGTTGACCGATACCAGTGACTGTTTGCAATAAGAAGAGAAAAAGAAAATATATTCTGAGTGTTGGTAAAAGGATCAGACAAAGAGGAATTCATAGCAATCATGTTGGCTTACGTCTATTTCTTTGTAACTGGCTATTTGTAACAGTATCTGTCCATGAATAGATAGTATTTGCGTATTCCTGAAGATGTTTCACCTTCTTAAATCTTTTATAGTTGATTGCAGTATTGCCTTCTTCATATGCTTCCGCTGGTGCTGCAATGTTTGGGGGCCTCCTATTGACTACTAAAGGTGCAAAAATGATGCAGCATTGTCTATCACCTATAGCATCGTTATTTTGTTCTCTATTCTCATTTTGAGTGCTATTTGCCTGTTCGTTACAGTTTTCGTTACTCTCTGAAATTTCTGTGTCCCTCATTGTAGAATCTACTGATTCTTTTGGTAACTCTGCTTCAACTCTTTGTCTCGAATTTCTGTCATCATCACGAATTACATCTTGCTCTCTCTGTTGTTGTTGGCGAGCATATTCAGCTGCTTGTTCCTGCTTTTCTTGCTCATATCGTTTGATTTCCTCATCTACTAGTCGTTGCATCTCCTCCTGTTGTTTTCTTTCGGAGCTCTCCCGTCGCTGACGTTCCTCCTGTTGTTTTCTCTTCAATTCCTGCTGTCTTTGCTTTTCTTTCTTTTTTTGCTCAATTTGACTATTTGTTTTAGCGAACATGTTATCAAAAAAGCTATCCATATCCATTAAGTCATCGGGCATTTGCGGTGTTGGATCTATTTCCGCCTCATCCATGGAAATATCGTTATCGTAGGCACTTTCATCAGCGCCAATTCTATGAGAAGAGTTTATATCGTTATCCGCTGCTCCATCAATTAACTGCTTATCGTCATTATGCGTTTTTTCAAACAGCTCTTCATCCTCATCTTGTGTTCTTTCAATAGGTCGTGAACCACTTTTCGCAGGGCTATCCTCATTATTATCTGTACCCTCTTGTTGTTCGTCTTCAGCAGTATCTGTATCACTATGGTTGCTGCGATATCCATTTCGCTCAGCCAAAGGCAATTTGTCTCTAACATTATTATGCAAATCACCGTCCTTACGTTCATCGTCCAAGCCATCCTTTTCATTGCTTTGAATGATCTCGGCATCAAACAAAGGATAATCATCACTTTTTTCTTCCTTGATTGGTACCATAGTATCATCGTGTTCGTAAGGCACAGTAGGGTCATCTTCATTATACGCAGCACGAACAGTGGGTGCTTCATCATTATAGTGCGTGTAAGGAACAGTTGCAATATCATCATCTGCCTCTCTTTTTATGACTGACTCAGGACTTTCAAGTGTTGCGTTCTCTATCAAATTATCCACTTCTTCAGAAGGATCGGCGTCAGGATTGCACAAAATATTGGTTGAACAGTAAATAATTGCATAATCAATTTCATTTTGTAGGATGCATCGTGTTACGTCCAATCTATCAATAAAGGTCGGTAATGTATACAGTAGGGTCGAACGAAAATCAGAATTGGTATGATTTTTTGAGGAAAGTGGAAAACAGAATTCTGCAAAGCTTACTCTTGATGATATCGGGCTTTGACTGGTCTGAACGCCTCAATGAGCTTCGGTGGTTCAACAAATAACTGGTTATTGTCTAAAGACGCGTTCATAGCTTCTTCGAAAGTAGCATATTTTGCGCTTCCACCTCCCACTCTCACAAGGAGTTGGTATAACTTGAACTGAAGTGGATTGGCAATTAGCCAAACACATCCAAACCTCTCTGTAATGAAAAAAGACAAATTATACCTGATGCTCGTCAAAGAACCAAAAAACTTTGTTTCTAAACAGTCTTTGCCGTTTAGGCATTTTCCCAAATGTAGCTTGTTTCTTCCAAGGGCCAAATTTTTCAAGCACAATAGGATTGCAATTCTCGAACAAAGATGACGCACGAAAGTACTGATCAGTCTTGTTCAATAGATCGAAAAAGCTCTCATCAACAATTGTCCGCTGCAGAAGTAAAGCTGTCTCAAGCTTAACACTGGGTTCTGAAGCAATTTTTTTAAGATTATTCTTTGTCAAGTAGTAATGTGTAGTAGTAGCTGAAGCATCAATCCTATTCGTGACATGGAAACCGTAAGTTTTTGCGACTTCTATTAGCCTTTGATGTCCTTCTTGGTCGCCTTTTATTTCGTGAACGACTGTTATGTTTTCCCAATGAAGCCTGTAAAAACGTGACAGTCGTATTAGAGCTTTTATTTCCCTTTTATTTGTATGGTCCAACCTACTTGTATAGCCTATCCGAACCTCCTACTCTTAAAACCTGCCCATCAAAACACCTTGGTTCCTCTAAATCGTTCAAATGATTATCAATATAGAGTTGAACATTTACAGGCTTCAAAATAACTTCTGGACGAGAGTTTAGATTTTCCTAGCGAACGGATCAACAAACTGTGTAAGGATTAACGTCTTTTACACAAAACTGGAAAAGGAAAACTCCATCCCCTTATTGTTTATAATAAATTTACTACGTCTGTCCAAGGTTCGACTCTAACGTGTATAGCACTATCTGCTGTTTAAATCAAGGTAATATACGTTAAAGGCTTGCTGTACCAATATCTGTTTTTGTTTTCCAAAGAGTACCATTTCTTCCACCTGGACGAAAATTATACATAGTCCCAGGCTTCAATCGTGAATAATCCTTAAACATTCCAGACGAGGAAGTGATCTGCTTTTCAAACTTCAGTAAAAACCACATTTATGGAGAAGAAACTGTGAACGGGTATAGAGGTATAAGTTAATTTAAAAGGAAAAAGAACAGGAAAGATGAAAAATCATTGTGTAGGATTGCATAAATCACGTCGAATCGTGTTTTTTTATTCTGAATTTAACGCCTTCCAGTGACTGTTGACCTCAATTCACAAAGGACCCAGTCGGTACAATTCTGGTGATCTACCAAAGTACTTCACTTCCAAATATATACATCCTATAAACCATTGATTTATTCGTTATCTGTTGTCTTTAAATTTCATGATAAAGGTTAGAGTTAATTATCAAGGCTACATAATCGCCTTAGAGACTAACTAGGCCAGTATGAAACATCAATTCTTGCAATCTTTAGTTGACAATTTTTTATGCTAGAAACTTCGTTTTTCATTGTCTCGACGAATATGCGTGGCATGCCATAAGCTTTATAATTCTTACTGTTGCTTATTTATAGAATATATGGTTGCATGTATACGTAGGCACGTTTTTTAAAGGAAATCATTTTTGAGTGTATTATTATTTTGAATGTCCCCTTGTTCAAAATTGTATTGGCCAATAGAATAAAATGACAAGTTACATTCTATTTACAAGGAAAGCAAAAGTTTTGGTGAAGCTAACTCTAATTTATATAGACTCACCAGGAAGAATCGGCGTAGAATTGCGCTTGGGACTGTCTTGTACCTTTTTCTTCGGGCAATAAGCAACTTGTGGAATGGTTCTCTCACGTCTCTTTTTCTTCTCATTTCTTTTCAAGTTTTCTTCTTTTATCAAGGTCGAATGGCAACAACACATACAACCTCGTCGCTTATGGCGACAACTTTAACCCGTGCATTGAAAATAACATATCCTATTATCCAGGCACCTTGTGCTGGCCATACTGGAAGTGATTTAGTAGCCGCTGTCAGTGAAGTGGGAGGCCTTGGATCATTGGGAGCTGGAATGATACCTGCTGATGAACTTCGAACTCTTATCCGATCTATTCGAGCCAAAACATCGAAGCCTTTCGCTGTCAATCTCTTTTGTCGTACTACCAAAGCGCCTACTGAAGCAGAGCTTAACAAGCATTATGCGCCTACTGATGATGTGCTAAACAAAATCCGTCAGGAGCTAAGCTTGCCGCAACCTGAGAAGTTCCAATTAAGGTCTCCGCCATTTGATGCTCAAATCAATGTACTGTTAGAGGAGCATGTTCCAGTTGTTTCATTCACATTTGGTCTTTTACCAGATACAATACTTCAAAGATTTTGGAGTAACGGCACATTTCTTATTGGTACAGCGACGACGGTAAATGAAGCTAAAGTACTAGCAGGATTGTGTCCTACAGATCCGACGAGAAAGGCAGATGCTATTGTATTACAAGGTTTGGAAGCGGGTGGTCACCGAGGCAGCTTCTCACCGGTAATGAGGGACGTGGCTGATGAGGATCAAAAACAATTACCTACTGAAAAGTTGGTCAAAGCTGTTCGATCCATTTGCGATCGCTTTCCTATCCCCATTATTGCTGCAGGAGGCCTATCGACTGGGGAAGATGTATATCTTGCTCTGAACGATTGGAAGGCTGATGCTGTTGCTTTAGGTACTTTATTCATGCTGGCGAAAGAATCAAGCACGCCCACAGCACATCGCAAATTTTTGTTAAACTCGGCTAACGTCGCAGAGCAAACCAAAATCACAAGGGCTATTACTGGTAGATACGTACGTGCTTATCCTAATTTGCTGATGAAGCGCATTGAGGACGTTATTTTTGAGCAAAGCAATGGTGACGACTCAGTTATACCACACTATGATATCCACTCTTCAAAGACCAAAGACATTGCAACATATGCAACTAAGTGCAATTTAACAGATTATATGTTATTGTTAGCAGGCCAAAATGCATCTGCTGCTGCAGAATTTTCTGACAATGGCACCTTAAATGCAAAGCAAATTTTGGATAAATTAGTAACGGATGCACATCAGCGAGTAAAGGGCTAATCGGAATCTATGCTAGATGGTTTATATTCGATAAATAAAACTTACATAAAATTCCATATTGCAGTTCTGCTGAGATAAAAGAGTGCTTGATGGCCAAGAAGTGTAACATAGCAAAATTTCTGAATATCTTACACATGATCCATAAGGCTTCATGGTAAACTCTTACTGGGGCCCTCTGCATGCTTTACTTTCATATACTCGAGGAACGACTACGATTCAATGTTGCATACAATTGGTTTACATCAGTGTATGATCTGTATTTTTAGTGAAAACACTGCTTAAAAACTCACTGTGTACCAATAGAAATATTCTTGAGGGGCCGCAGTCCTTCATTTTTGTAAAATATTCTATAGCAGAGACAATTATATATCTTTTGCAGATGAAGTGGCGGAACGATGGAAAGCCAATCTTGAGAAGAAAATGGTATCTGTCAATGTACCCTAGTAAGAAGACTTGACATGGCATGATGTGTTACAAAGCGATATGCCACACTAGTTGGTCTTACGCTGTTCAAAACATACAAATAGTTATGTGAAGAGCTTCCTTCCAAGCATCCAAAGCAAAAAAAATAAAATATAAGTAGTTTGAGAAGGCGCCTTGAGAGAACTTATACCTTGCTTCAACTATGTCTTATGGAAGAATTATTAAGCATTTTGATATTTTACTGCCGATATAAAGACACCTCGATGATGAAGAAGTAATATTGGAAAGAAGCGTGAATTAGCAAACTCCGGTATGTGGTTGCTGGCTGTCTGTCACCTTAGGCTGCACTAAACAATTAAAATTAAGAGCGGATCTACTCTAAACAAAAGAAAAAAGAACAAAGGACCAATCAGATGACCTGCCCTTAATTTTTGGTTAACAAAAACTGTTTTCTCCTCCCCCTCAACTTTTTAACGGTTTTTTGTTATTAACTCTTGCTTTTTTTTCGTTCCTTTTGTGCTTGATTCCCTTTTTCTTTCCTTTTAAAATAGTTTGAAATACGAATAAAATGATTCGGCTACAACGGCTAGTGTATTATACGTTAAGTATAGCCTTTTTTATGTTCATTTCATTGTCTTTATTACCGTATTTGAAGACAAGCCAGACTACTACTTCAACCACAGTAGCATCATCATCATCAGCAGCAGCAGATAATCTGTCAGCACAAGATGCTAAATCAACTTTAAATAACCCCAAATTAATGTCAAATGAAGAGCGCTATCTATCATGGTTTCCTCATAGGTAATTTGCACATCATATAACTCTGAACTAATCATTTTGTATCCCCACTAATTTTGTTTTTGTACTTGTTTCTTGTTTCTATGGCAGTGATTTTCCAGAACAACAAGAATCATTTAGGAATGCACTTCGATTAGCCTTAGAAACGAAGCGCACCATTATTGCACCTATGTTGAGAATCAACAAAATATATACTTGGTTACCATTCGAGGCGTTAGCTAAAAGATACGAAGCCATGGATGCTAAAGAATTATGTCAAAGAGGAGAAAAAGACTCTGTCTTTTGGCAAACCGAATTAGAACCTTGTGATACAATCAACGATTGGATTGAAGTGCCATGGTCAACAATCATGGATTTGGAAACAATTAAACGAGAATATGGTATCAAGATTATTGAAAGAACTCAAGGCCATGGTTGGGGTATCCATGAGACAGCTCCTATTAAAGAAAAGATTCTACCTGAGGATGTGGTTGTAGTTGATGTAATGTCCTTTAAGGAAAACGGATCAGACTGGGAACATGTTGATCTTGCTCAAGAAGCGCTGAAAGCAGCAAGACAAGGATCACTCAATAGATTTACCAACTGGATCCAATCCTATTTTGCCACCAAAAATTCTAAAGATGCTCCATTAACACAGCCCTTAAAGAATGTATTTTATGCAGACCAATTGAATGCTATTGATGCAAAGATTATTCAGTTTGGTGCTTTAAATTCAGCAGCACGCTATGAAACAACTACAAGTGACATTCAGAAGCAACTGCGAAAGGCGATGATGAAAAATAGATTTTTAGTGCCTGATCAAACGAAGCAATTAACACAACAAGCAGATAAAATCGTGAATGTGTTGGGAGGAAAATCTCATTTCAGTACTTTAATTCTAAACATGACGAAAATTGTTGCTATGGATGCCAAAGCCGGTGTTTTGAAAAACATAGATCCGAACCAAGAGTTACCAACTACAGTAGACGAATTGTCTGACGAGTCAAAAACAGAATTGATGGAGGCAATCGTGCTTGAACTTTTTGGTGATATTCCAATTAATCAAGCTGTTTCTGCTGCTATGCCAATCAAGTCTTCACGATTATCAAATATACTCAACTCTAGAGGCAAAATCGTCACCGATCCTGTTGATAGACTGGAATTATTAGAGGCCTGTGTTGAGTATCACAAGAACATTGAAAAGCGTTATCCTGTCTATTATTTCATCAACGATAAGAAAATTGCAGTTGAATCAAGACCTGATATTTTTGGACCTTTATTGAAGATGTTTCCTTGCACATTTACGCAAAATGATATGATAAATTGGGGTTACCAGTCTGACTCTTATTTGAATGGAGTACCGCATTTGAATGATCCTAATGTGGATTATGAAAAGCTTTTCCAGCCATTGTTGAATATCCTGATTGCTCAAAAAGGTAACAATTCAAAGAACATGGTTCTCTAAACTAGCCATAGACTAACATTGTTCTATGTTTACTACTAGGATATTCTTTCTTTGAGCTTCCCACTACACCTCTAACACGTTTTCTTAACTGGACTCCCAAAAACAAATAATAAGAGTATATAATATCCCATGTAAAAGTTATCTCGGACGAAAATAAAAGTAAAAAGACATTTTAATAACGGCATGTATTTTAAGGGCTCTAATTGATGTGCTTCAACCATTGTATCCTCGCTCTCCATGATCTTATTTCATTACAAAAGTGTATGCCAGATTGATGGCTCTCCATAAAAAAAAATGTAATCAGGTAGGTGAATATAACGTATCAAAATAAGGACATATATGAACATAACTTCTGTTAGACATAAAGAACAGCAGAATACATAAACAGCTCTGATTGATAAATGTTTTCTCCGCGTAATGGACTGGGTTCTAAGATATTGTGATATTCTGCTCACGCATACAGACAACGTACCATAAAGAAAACAATCAGGTTTTTGTTGATTCGTGAAGTTTACTTATCAGTAAAATACCTGTTTTGGTTCATATATTGACAATTATCATATACGTTTTAACCTTAGTCATCAATACATTCCCTTTGAGATATTTGTGTCTAGAATATCCTTCCTAAAGCGTCGTTAAGACGCCCCCACAGGATTTTCTTGGCGGACGCTCAATTTCTCTCTTTCTTTTCACAGCCAGATGATGAACCTGTAAATCAGTAAAACAGTTGCATGATTCACAGGTTTCACTTTCCATAAAGGAAACGGGGATTACGTCTGATTCATAGAATTTGCCATTTCAAAACCTATTGTTTCCCATATCTTATCATACATGACTTTACCCCACTTTCTTCCTTGCTTATTAAGCTCGGTAAATAAAGCATTTGACATGAATCTACACAGATATTGCGTTTTAAATCAATGTCCCTTTCCACATACTCTAAGATACATTTCGAGGATATAAAGTGTGTTTGATGGTCATTTTGATGCTACCCTTTTATCATTATGATTATAGTTCGAATAAACTTAGTTTTGTCATTTTCTCTTTTTTTATGTATTTTTCAGAAAATTGAAACTTGATTTTCAGCAAGGCCAATATGATAAGCTATAAACCAATATGATGTCATGATTGAATCAGGTAGTCTTTGATGAGAAGTAAAAAAAAATTATGTATAAATATAATGTCTACGAAGATACAATAAGTATATAACAAGCTTCTTTACACGTTACTCTTTGTTTTATTGTCTTTTCTTTTATTATTATTTTCTTTTGTACCATTCCTAAATTCAATTTCTTCAAACTTACCAACAACCCATTGAAAAAGTGATAGACAGATACAATGTATAAAGCACCTTTAAGTAAAATCCAATTTATCTCACGTCAACGCGCAACAGTTAGCCGACGTTTGATGTCAACTCAAGAACAATCTCGACCCACTACCGATGGTGGAGGAAGCAATGCAACTGCGTTAGTCGCAGCTGTGCTCGTAGCTGGTGGTGGTTACTACTTTTACAAAAAATCCAAAGATAAAGAACGTAAGTACTTACTATTTAAGCATAAACTACGACTTCACCATTAAGAGGCGATATTCGCATGATAATAATTGTCTTCTCCGTTCAGTTTATGAAAAGGGTGATCCAGAAGTTACTCAACGTGCCCAAGACAACGGACAAACATATGCTAACGATTTGAAACGTGATGTTGAAGGTCTTGGTCATAAAGCGGCTGAAAAGGTTAGAAGTGCTACCGATTCTGTTGCCGGTGAATTCCAAAACGCCACCAACCAAGGCTCTAATAACGAACGTAACCCCATGGTACGTGAAAAGATATCTTCGGAAAGCACTAAATCCCCCAAGGAAAAGAAGGAAGAAGCACACGCCAATGAAAATGTCAAGGATACTAGCACTTTAGTTGGTCGTGATTCTGATAAAACCAAGAAGGTATGGGAAGACAAGGAAAATGAAGATGAGGCTAAGCGTGTCCCATCTAAAGTAGCTGCCGCTTCACCTTACGAAGATGAAAAGAAGGGTGGATTCTGGAACTATCTTTTTGGCGGCAGTGCTACTAAAGAGACTGACATACCAAGGCCACCTGTCGAACAAGAATCCAAGCACAAATTCGATACCGCATCCACTGCTCACGGTAACCCCATGGTTTATGAAAAGGCCTCTACTGAACGAACAAAACCATCTTGGGAATCGCGTATGGAAGAACACGCTTATAACAATGTGCGTGATACAAGTACTCTTGTGGGTAAGGACACTGAAAAGGTGCGTGGTGTTTGGGAAGACAAGGCTATCAGGGACACTGGAGGGATTCCTGTTGCTCAGGAAAACCCGAGTTCTTTCTGGTCCAAACTGTTTGGTTCCTCTTCATCCACTGTTGAAGACGATGCTAGAAAAGCTAAAAATGAAGTCAAGGACAACGCTAACGAAGCTTATAACGCCGCAAAGAACAAGGCTGAATATGAAACCGACCGCCTCAAGAAAAACGTCAGCGGTACCGTCGACGACCTGAATGAAAAAGCTTATCGCGAAGCTGACCGTCTTCAATCAGGCTGGAACAAACTCAAATCAGATGTGAAAGAAGAAGCTCAATCCGCATATGATTCTGCCGCTGAAACTGCTTCCAATTTGTCTAACCGACTTAAGCATGAAACTGATCGTGCTGCTTCTGATCTTGAACAAACACAACGTGATGTCAAGGCGAAGGGTGCTGAATGGAAGCAACAAGCTGCCGATCGTTTCCAAACCGAAAAGGATCGTGCCAGTGGTACTTTGAACGATTTGCATAAAGAAGTTTCTGCTAATGCTGATAAATGGAAGTCTCAATCTGAGCAAGCTGCTAAGAGCTGGTACGAAAAGGGCGCTGAACAGGTCAAGAGTGGCTTCTCTAATCTTAAAGAAACTGCTGATAAAGATCTCCAATGGGCCGAAGACAAGGCACGCAATGGCCTCTACACAGCCAAGGAAGAAGTGGACCGTTTATTGGGTTATGAAAAGCCAAAGGATAGCTCTTTCTTAGGTAGCGTAGCTCGTGGTCAAAATTATGCTGAAGAAGAAGAAGGCGTCTTAAGACATACTCGTCATAACCTTGGCCGTGTCCCTGCTTCAGTTATCGTTGCTAATGCACATGGAAAGAATTGGTAAATCCGTTCTTCTTCCGAACATATCATATTTTGATCTTGTTTTTATTATACAAAGATGATGATTTGTCTACAAACAAGCTGACTAGTTAAAAGCCACTCTTGGCTTTGTTGTAAATATATTTCTTTCATGCTCTTTTTCTACTTTTCATTTCAATAAACTTGTACATTATTATTGGTTTTTCATCAAATCATCAAAATAAGAACGCTGCATGAATCTGAGTATCGTACACATTGGAGATCGGCGGGGCAAAACACCGCCCTGTCAAAAAGCCAAAAAAGATCATTAAAGAAATTGAACTACATTTAGTTATACCTTTGCAAATGTCATCGCATTTTCGAACGTGTTTACGGTTTATAAACAGAGCGGCTTTTTGCCATCAACCTAAATCGCCTGTTATTCGAAGAACAACGATCTGTCAATTACGAAAAATAAGCTCAACAGCTAGTGTACGAGAGCAATATTTACATGGTTATAAAGACAATGAAAGATACCACGGTAAAGAGGGAAAGAGCATATATGTTATATACATGCTTATAGTCTTATTCATATTTCTTACTTGGATTAATTCCACGAAACGTGCACAACTCTCACTCCCCTTGTCTCATTCAGGCGCATATCCCGATCGAACTCATTACTGTGGTCACCTTCGAGCATCGCATGAAGGTGACAAGGTTGTATTGTGTGGTTGGGCACAGCCAACAAGGTATAACTGACGAAATAAATATAGTTTGCCAACAATACTATTCATATATAATGCTTCCCCACTAAAAAGATTGTTGTTATAGACATTTATCTCAAGATTTGATATTCTTGCCGATAAAGGATCATACAGGGGTGACCCAACTTGTATATAGAGATAGTAATCAACAGCTTAAATCACAGATACAATCTTTATCGCCGGAAAGTGTTATCTGTGTAGAAGGTGTTGTGAGGAAAAGACCGGAAGGAATGGCTAATAGTAAACAAGCAACGGGTGATATTGAGGTGGATATAACAAAGCTGTATTGCTTGAATCCAGCTTCACCATCGTTGCCTTTCTGGCCCCATCATCCAGAGCTTGTAAGTAGCGATTAAAGGAGGGAGAAGAGGAACAGGGCCAATTGATTCTAGGAAAGAAAGAAAGAAAGGGGAAATAGTTAATACTCTATTTCTTTTTGTTTGTTTTTTTTCTGCCCTTGAACAAGCCAAATGAAGAAGTCAGACTACGCTATAGATATTTGGATTTACGTAGAGATGAGCTTCAACATCATATTCGTCTTCGATCTTTGATTGCAAACACTGTGAGAAACTATTTGACAGGAAACGGGTTTACAGAGATTGAGACACCTACTTTATTCAAATCAACACCTGAAGGGGCTCGTGAATATATTGTACCTACTAGGAAGAGAGGCGCTTTTTATGCTTTACCACAAAGTCCGCAACAGGTTAGAAGAAATTGGAAATTATACAAAGAGCGAAGGATTATTATAGAAAGCTCATTACTGTTATTTTGTTCTTTATCTTCTATACCCGACAAAATCAGCATAAACAAATGTTGATGGCGGCTGGATTCGATAGATATTTTCAAATAGCTCGTTGCTTCAGAGATGAGGATTTGAGAGCTGATAGACAACCCGAGTTCACTCAAATTGATTTAGAAATGTCCTTTGCCAAAGTAAAAGATGTACAAGGTATTATTGAAGGCATGGTGTCCGATATATGGGATAGAGCTTTGGGCATCAAACTAGCAAAAGACAATTTCCCTCATATGACTTATACTGAAGCCATGTCCAAGGTAAAAAAGAATATATTCCGGAAAGAAATTATACAGAGGTTAGGAGCTACACCATAAGCAAGGTATACTAAAAAGAAGACTTGCTGTTAGTATGGATCAGATAAACCAGACCTTCGTTTTGATATGAAGATTAATCAAATCGAAACTTATGCAGCAGATATAGCTCAAGAAAATGCATTTGACTGTATGGTTGTCAAACAAGGATCAAAAGCGATCAGCGGAGGGGAGCTCAAAACATTGCTAAAGGAGCTTGCTCTAACTAACAGCAAGGATATCGCTTTTGTGAAAGTGAACGAAAACAATATCTCTTCATGGCCCGCCAAATGTGTTACTTTAAGGCATTCTCAAGTACTACGCAATCAGGTAAATCAACTGAATGCATCGCTCAATATTCAACTAGGTGACTTGGTGGCAGTTCACAAACGTCCAACTTATTTGTACGGTGGAAATACTACCATGGGACGTGTACGTCTTTACTTGGCCAACCTTATGCAGCAAAAGAAGCTATTAGAATGCGCGACAGAAAAGTACAAATTTTTGTGGGTCGAATCTTTTCCTCTGTTTACACCCGCTGAAGAAAATGCTGATCAGCAGCCACAAAAAGAAGGACAGCGGAAATGGGAATCAACACATCATCCTTTTACAGCGCCCTACGATGAAGATATTCCTCTTTTAGCCACTTCGCCGGAAAATGTCAGAGGACAGCATTACGATTTAGTGTTGAACGGTATGGAAATTGGCGGAGGCTCAATTCGTATTCACTCGCCCGTGATGCAGACGTTTATTCTCGAACAAGTATTACGGCTGCAGAGACACGAATACCAACGATTTGATCATTTAATTGACGCATTGGGTGGCGGCTGCCCTCCTCATGGAGGTATTGCTTTAGGTTTTGATCGACTCATGGCTATTTTGTGTGGTACACCTTCCATTCGTGATGTGATAGCGTTCCCTAAAGCCGCTGGCGGTAAGGATTTCGTGGTGAATAGTCCTTCAGAAGTAACAACGGCGCAATTGAATGAATATGGATTGCAATTGACAGCCGTTAAAACGAACGAATAACATTATTCCAGTAAAGTGTTTTGTATCATTTATCAAATAGACAAAAAAAGTTTTTCAGACTTCAGTTTTATTTTTTTTTCGGTTGGTTGTATCATAGCTCCCTATTCAACTTTTGAGAATTGAAAACTCTTATAAGACATGCTGAAATATATTGACAGGAATGAGTTGCTGTAGTCGATAAAAGTTATCTACAGTCAACAGATTAAATCTAAATTCCAGTGTGTTTGAGCAAAAGCGTTACGCAGTGTAGATTGTTGTGCCTTTTTCGCGCCTATCGGCAATTATCTGAATTTTGCTGCTGCCGCTAGGTTCCTCATCAATGCATACCAAGGTCAATTATTGGATAGAACGACAATCACAACAAAGAGAAAGGTCAAAGGAGCATGAGAAGTACTTACTGAAAGCACTATAAAGTCATATTTAAATCATATTTCGAGCATTCGAAACCATAGAGATAGCAGTTATGTTTTGCTACAATAAGAAAGCATTTTATGCCTACGAGCATGTTGGATTAATCAAACCAGTTTGTGTGGTAAGGAAGAGTAAGCTTTTTGATCTTTTCAGCTAATTTCAAATACAGATATGAGCCAAGTAAGCATTTAGAAGACATCGAGGACGTTGATGTGAACTTTCACCATACAGTCATAGACTGTTATAAGGATGAATGATGTTTCAACAGACTTTTGCATTCTTTTACCGAAGCTTTGTAGTTAGCTGCATCACCTATCCACTTATTTATCAGTAAGACAGAGATATATAACAAACCTGAATTTTGTGCGGCACGTATAATTCTATGCGCATCATAAGCGTACTTGCATAATCTAAAGTAATGATATGGAAAGATTTTTGACTGATGACAAACAATCAATATTTGCAATAGAACTCGATATGCAAACATAATTCATGGTCTGATTGCATATTTTTTATTATTGATGCTGCTTGTAAGATCAGAAGTTTTTAGATTCTCTATGGCCATATCAATATCATGATTGATGCTTCATTATGCATAAATATTTTTGTCAACTGTCAAATTTTTATTCTCATGTGATTATATAAAGCCACTGTCTTCGGGGAGTAAATGATATAGCCAGGAGACTCCTTATCACAGTGTCCCATAGCTGACTAAAAAAGCGCAGACAAATTTCTATATTGATAGGAGAGGACCATTTCAAAATAAGACTTGCTTGGTTGAGATTATCATTTTTTATGGTATTCGCTCAGCATAGATACAGACTAAGTTTTTTAGCTATAAAAAGATAAAAAAAAGGGATTTATTATTCTATATATTCATAGTTACTTTGAAATTTTAAAGCAGGAAGGGAGCAAGGAACAAAGACTTACTATTCTTGTATTTTACAGGGTTTATACACCACCCCTTTGCGTCTGCGATATTAACAAAGTTTATTCGAGATATGCTATAATACTAAAAAAAAAAATCTATAGCAGGTTATGAGCATGACTATAGTATAGTCATTCTTGAACAAAAGTAACTTCTCTATTTTCAAGACACAGCTAGATTACTTTCATTAAAACCCCTAGCTATAGTTGAATAACAATTATTCATCAGCACTTATAAAAAGAGTTCGTTAAAAAGAGATATTGGAATGGTTTTTTTTCTTTTTCTATTCTTTTTTTTTTTTGGTTTTCTGCATCATGCTAGTATGTGATTTGACATATGATATAATCATTGTGGGGATGAACAATAAAAAAAAAAAAAAAAGGAAAAAAGCTATGAAAAGGTGTGCTAAGGCGTATAGCTGATAGGTTTCTGAGTAGAAAGGAGGTGAAGCGTTATACGCTTTAAAATGAGGGCAACGCTAAAAAAAAGTCTGAACGAGTCGAATAGCCTAAATACTATAATCTGAAGAAAGTTTGACTACTTTATACAGAAACGACAAACGACAGATATAAATTAAAATTGAGATTCATGATCTGCCGAACGATTTAATCTATTTAGACTTTCTCCTTGATAAAGATCATAAGAATTTTCATATTCAAAAAAAAAAAAAAAGCTTGTTTGGGATGTTGCGGAAAAGTAATAAAAAAATATGAAAGGATAATGCAGTATCCTTATTGTTTCTAGGATATCACTGATAGTTCATAAAAAAGAAGGTACAATAGGGCCCTCTTTTAGCTTTTTTTTTTTTTCTTTTTTTTTTTTTTTTCCTCTTTTTACTCTTTCCTTCCTCTTCTCTTCCACTCTTCAGTATAACCCAACATTTATCTTCTGACAAGATGGCCTATATTTTTGATAATGTCTTTTTAGTGCTAACTATGGGTGTTGCATGCGTAAGTTCCGCAAATGCATCGCAATTTTAATCATTATAGACTGACGGCCATCCTTGAATTCTAGTTGACATGGCTGATAACATTTATTGGCGCTTGTATATTTAGAGACGGCATTACAGGCGGTGGATGGTGGATTCTCATATTTGAATTCTTCTTAATATTTGGCATTTGCATCAGTGTGTGTACTGGAGCCTTTTATAACTATCGATTGTCGGTAACGTATCTGCAATAGTGTGTGTCTGTTTATGCTTACCCGCGCCTAATTGTTATGCATCCATGTCTTCGAATGTGTAGATTTTGACTTTCCTAGCAGCTAGTATTGGTTTAGTCATCTATCAGCTTGATTATGTTGTACCTGTGAACAAGTTTGAATCTGTTTATCGAGGTGGTGCTGGGGCATATGCTGCAGGTTATACATTGTTAATGATGATTCAGGTACGAGATTTTTTCTTTAAAAAAAAATAAAACCAGCACAAATTAAAGTCAGTTAGATAAACTTTACTCGTAACCTTCATTTGTTAGTTTTCTTGGATCATTATTTTTGGCTGTGAACCGAACAGTTACTTGGGTAGATACGCACCTACATGTAACTATGGGAATGCGGTGGGCGTTCATCACCATCATCATCAAAGAAATGGTAGCAGCAGTCGACAACAGCAGCAGCAACAACAACTGCCTCAGTACAAGTCAAGTCAAGCTCCCTATGAAATGATGATGTCGGGTTCCAGTGGAGACAAGACAATGTTAATCTCTTCTCCCGATTCAGCTAATATTCCTTCCAACACCATATCCACTACAACTGGCGGCGTCACACCTCCAAGCAGTTTTAACATGAACAATAACAGTAATGGGATGGCACATAATGTCACAACGGCACCTATCACAGCGCCAAGGATGACCGCTGCAACCGCTGATACCATCAACAACTCAACAACACCATTAATTCCTACTACAACAGCTTCAACAGATACAAAGGTGATTGATCCTATTATCGACATTACTGCTACATCTGCTACTACCAATATTACGACACCTGTTACAAATACTGCTCCGGGTACAGCACTGACAATCACAACGGCACCTTCTGCTACTGTTGCTCCTACTACTGCTACAGCCGCAATTAATCTCGTCTATAAAGAAAAAGTACAAGCGTTACATGCATGTAAAATATAAACCTCTATTGGTATTTTTCTGATTCTCAAAATTCTTATTGACTTTGACTCTCTTTTTCTCATTACATATACACACATACACATACCTCTCTAAGATCAAGCAAACCCGGAAGATCCAAATGAACTTAGTTTCACTAAAGGTGAAATATTGGAGATAGTCGATAGAACAGGAAACTGGTGGCAAGCACGTAAATCAAATGGAGCTGTAGGAATCATACCTAGTAATTATGTAAGTTGAATGATGCGTCGTTCAAGATAATATACAAATGATCTAAAATGCAAGTGCATACGTATTAACCAATATCAATTTTATGCATGCAATAGTTTGCTTCGGAATAAAATCATTCAAGCTGTAGGAAACAAACCCGCTCTACATCATAAAACATACATTGTAACTTTTTTCTATCTTAAACAACTCACAATAAGCCTTAACTTTAGTTTGATGAATCAAATAATCTAATTTTCCGCAATTCATAATCTCTATTTTGTATTTAAATGCCATACTTTCTTTCTTGGAAATATCTTTTTCTATTTAAACTTCAAAAATAAAACATACAACTCATCCTTTATCAGGATCAGTCTTTCGTAACAATTGAATGCTTATTTCCTGAGAATACAATGGGATGTAATAGAAACGAGGCATGATTGGTTGGTGCTAATTGTCTGTAATGATGCCATCCTTTCGATATAATATACTAATAGAAAAGTGATACATTCTACTATCTGATACCTATTACTGACACCACAGTAAGTTTCGGTGACGGTCTCTTTTTTCTGTCTTGTTATTTTTAACGTGGGAGTGAACCCTAGCCTGATCAGATGCTGTTTGTCAAACTTTATCTCGTCTATTTTTACTAGAAAACCTTCTGAAATGTTCTTTATACCAAGTCAAATCTTAATGAGAAGACTGGTGCGTGTTTGTGTGTGTCTCCATACGATTACATAAGGTACAAAAACCAAGAAAAAAAAAAACGAACGGGCCTCTTTTCCGAGCTCCTTGTTTTGGTGCACTGTACGTAACCAAACCGTAATTTTTTTCTTTTTAAACTTTTCTACAAAGTAAAGTTTTTCGGTCTAGGTTGCTTTGTTGCGAGGGCGTGTCTGCGGAGTTCCGTTATTCAAAAACCTAGAAAAAAAGCAGGATGCATTTATGATAATGCTACAAATGGAGATGATGAACAGAGATAAGGCTTTAAGCAAAGTCATCGCCTTAGAGAGTGAATTCCACGTCATTTTATTCTTCAATGACATGAGCCAATGGGGGAATGTAGCAAGGTTTATTTCTTTGGAAGCGAGAGGAATACGAAGAGTTGGTATACGATGTATTATTATTGCAGTCGTTGCTGCATGAACTGAAATAGATAGATAGATATATACAAAATAAAGAAAGGAACGGTAATGTACAGTATGGGATGAAGCTCCTATCCCGAAGTAACTAATAAGCAAGCGAGCCTCGTTGTTGCAGCCATTGATTTACTTGCTGCCTTGGTAATGGCTGCTGCTGTCGTTGTGTGTTATAATAGACGTTATCAGCTTCTTTTGTTAGTGCTGTAGTAGTGGTTGATACCGCTGTGTCAACAAACTCGGGAAAGGATACATAGGTCTTTTCAAAAAGGGATAAAGTTGCATTAGCTGCTTCTGTTGAGTTCTGATTCGCAGTACTGTTACTACTTGACTTTTGATAGTCGAAAGATAGTTTCAACGTATTTACAAGTTGATTTAATAGATCACGTAGAGTAAGTTGATTCATCTGCTGCATTACAAAATTAGAATATAGAGAAATGATAAAGAGAATGTTGAAGTTGTAATTGAGCGTTGCCTAAAACAAGAGATAGAGAGAAAGAAACAGCTTTTGGTTTATTAACCGAGCTTTTTTGGTTTTTTGGGTAGGAGGTATTTATATAGACTTGCATTATTTCAGATCCAGCAAACAATCTCCGGCAGACAGTTCTCCTCCAAAAAAAAACTAAAAAACGTTTTTTCCTTTCAGAGTAATTCCGTACACTTCTGTGAACTGGATACCTTTTTCATGAATAGTGAGTCCCACGTGGAGTTGGGTTACTCAAAAAGAAGCAAAACGATATTTACAGCGAGATGATATCACACAAATTATTAAAGACAAATCATCTTCCTTCGTGAATTAACTACAAAAAAAGCTTTCTTTTTAATGAAGAGAGACATGGCTCATATTACAGACCCTGGGGCAGTGTTACTCGCCTTGGTTCATGTAAGTCACCGTCTGCTGAACAAGAAACTTCTGTATGTGACTGTGATTCTGATTCGTTGTACTTATTCCAAATTGCTTTGTGTAGTCTAGAGTCTCGCTGTCGATCTCCCTTTAATTGAATATAGTATGACTTGAGAGCACATGTGCTTTTACTTCCATTTATATTGGAATGTATACTATCAACGGCTTTAGCTATATCTCTCTCCCAACTTGATACTTTACAGGAGGACTATGATCATTTAAACTCCACTTCAAACTTATGGAAAAATTTTTGTTGGTTTCTGATGATTAAAAAACCATTGCCCCCACTTGCACATTTACAGAAAACTGATACAAGTTTGTGCCTTGATTTCTTCACAACGGCAACTGAACATCATCTCAACAAAACTGTCGCATTGGAAATATCCTGCACCTAATGGATATAATATCATCGGCAGGATTCACTTTTACATTATCATGTACATTAGCTGTAACTACTATGGTTTATTCGAGCAATTTTGAAGAGGCTAGAACAACTAGAAAATTTTCTTTACCCATTTATAATTAAGTTTTTGCACAAAGTCCAATGTTTGCAAAACTTCAAATGTGCCTCCAATAAAACTGGTATCATGGTAAGGAATATCATATTTTTTAGCAAGCTGTTTCACCATGGGCTTGATTTTCGATAAATTATGACGAGGCATTTCAGGAAATACCTGATGTATAGTAGTAGAACAGGTAAGTATTGTCTCTATTCGATTCAGTACCTCTCTTTTTTTACAATAATTTGAATAAAACTTACATGATGCTCAATTTGATAATTCAATCCACCCATAATCCAATCGCCAAGGAACGAGCAGTTTACGTCACGGCCTGTGATTACTTGAAGCTCATAAAATTCAGTACGTGTTGCTTGTTCTGGGCTAAGCACAGGCATGCCATTATGGTTCATTGCAAAAACCAAAGCCAGCAAATATCCAGTTGTGATTTGACTCACGACAAAGAACAGAATGATACTTTGCCAACGGTAGCCGGTCCATGCCACTGTGCAGTATGTGAAAAACGCCCAATGAATCAACAAAAAGATACGCTCACTCAAAGTGATAAATCGAGGCTTGGAACTTATACTTTCATGTCGGTAAGAGTATATGACCGACTGAATGGCCCAGGAAAGACGAGCAAAGGCCAAGATGAAGAAATAGTAACGTGTTTGATGAGGTAAGATATGTTCGGCAATAAAGCGATCAAATCGACTGGCATTGTCCTTAAGGGAACCGTAGTAGTTGGCAGCAGCAAATTCGTCCCATAGCAGGATGGGCGCTGTGTCAATATCAGGATCTTCGCCAGAGACATTGGTGGCTGCATGATGCGTATTGTGCTTGTTCTTCCACCTATGTAAAATGTTGGTTTTTTTGTTAGATCTTTTTTATCCACAGATGTACAAGACCGCAAAAAAAAAAAAAAAAAAAGTTAAAGCCGAGCGCTCTCTCCGCCCCTTTTTATGATTGTTTTCTTTTCCCGCAAATGCGCGTCTTATCGTTGTTATCAAACGGTTTCAAAATTTCAAAGCGAACAATAGAGAGGACTTTTAAATGAGAAGAAAAAAATTCATCCTTACCAGGAGAGAGAAAAACCTTGTACTAAATTACCAAAGGTCACCAAGAATAAGTCATTGACGATAGGGTCTTTGATCACTTGATAATGGGCATAATCGTGAGCCAACCAACCACATTGTTGCCAAAAGAGACCCACAATCACAGCAGATGCAAGCACGGCCCAATTAGATGAACGGCCCCACCATTTCAGAATGGTTAATCCTACAACACATACAACCAAAGTAGACAGGACCTTATACCAGTAATAGAGCACATCGGCATCAAAATATCCCTCTTTTTCAAGTCGATTACGTAGTGTGCGGATCTCTTCAGCAAACGCGGCTGATTTACGTTTCTTCTCATTTTCTTCTGTGTGTATGCTGCTATCAATTATTTTAGGTTCACAATCACCTACATAGCAATTGGCTAAGCACTCATAAGCGGATGGTGGATGCATTTCACGGAACACGTCTGGACAGATGTAAATAAAGTTAAATAATTGATAGAATAATGAAGAGCAAGAGCTGCACTTTGACTATACCTGTAGCATCCCTTCCTTCCTGCGTTAAGATGACTCTTTCACCACCAGGGTGATCCGCCGCAAAGTCTGTGATATCATATACTTTATTTTCTACAACAATGAGTTTTCTAGCACCAGGCTTTTTATCCAAAACATCCTGATGAATAGAAGCCAATTCGGCACGCGTAAAGTAGTGCGGCACTATGTCATTCCAAGTTTATCATTATGAATATGAGCTTTTGGTGCCTGTCAATTTATTTGATGTAGTACATTGTTACCTGTGGCACCAGCATCTCTCTTATCCTCCTCTTTAATTGGGAAATGGTTCATCCTTGATCTTTCACTAGTCTCTAATAAATAGAACAAGAATGGCTTCAAAGTGACTAAAGGTTACTAGAATACTGAAGAGTAGGAAAAGAAAAAAAAATTTTTATATTGTTACAACCTACTCCAGCTTTTAACCGTTTATGATAAGGGGGTCTCGTTTTTTTTTTTTTGTTTCAATGTCCACATCCTGTCATTGGCGTTGTTCACGAACAATAAAACGGGTAGATGTTTTACCTGTCTTTTATTTTTCCCGTTGAAGTTGTCGTACTTTGTAATGGAAACGTCTAACTCTAGAAACTCTTTCTGTAGCAGACTCTTCTCTTTTTTTTTTTTTTTTTTTTTTTTTTTTTGGTTCATGAATAACTTTATTTATTTGGTATGACTGTTTAAAAAAAAGGAAAAGGAAAAGAGTTGTAAGAATGTTCAAGTTAGATATAAAACGTTGAATTATAAGAAAAAAAGATGACAAGAACACATTAGTATACATTATATAAAAAGGGAGGCGAGTAGAATAGTATTTTTTTTTCTTCTGCAGAGGAACAATTTATGTAAAGTGCAAATTTAACAACATCCACCACCTTGCTTGGCTTGTTCATCAGGTGTTTGAGAAACAAGGATAGTTTGGCCACTGGTAGGCTTGATGGTGTTATTAGAAGATTCTAAAGCTTTGTTGGATACGATACGATAAATTTCTATAAAAAAGCAAATTAAAGAAGCGTTATGAATGACATAAAGGACCCAAGGTCATTTTTCCTGCATTTCTCTATAAATATATTTACCTGTCAAAATCTGTTGGAAGGATTGATCAACATTGGTGGCATCCAAAGCAGAGGTCTCAATGAAAGAAAGACCGTTATCAGCTATCAAAGAGAAAGAAGGAAGCGAAAGGGAGAAGGAGTTGATGTTTGAGTGAAATGCATATAAATAAACAATCAATAAATAATAAACAATGAAATTGTCGAGCGACGTTACATGCAAATTGTTTAGCTTCGTCCGTGGGGACAGCTCGTAAATGTCTTAAATCACTCTTGTTACCAACAAGCATAATGACAATATTAGAGTCAGCATGATCACGTAATTCCTTCAACCAACGATCGACGCTTTCGTAAGTTGAGTGCTTGGAGATGTCATAGACCAATAAGGCACCTACTGCACCACGATAGTAGCTATTTCAAATTAAATTTGTTGTTGTGATAAGAATAAGGGATATGCATGTCGAACTTGTTGATTTGCAAGTGCTTGTACATTTCAAGAATACTTACGCACTGGTAATGGCACGATATCTTTCTTGACCAGCTATGTGTGATAATCATCAGGACGAGCAGTGTAAGCTTTGTTTTCGTGGCCCAAGGGTTATACACATCTCTCTTTCTTCTCTGGTTTCAAATGCTACTTTTTCTTTTACCTGTATCCCAAATTTGAGCCTTAATGACTTTGTTATCAACTTGAATACTTCTGGTAGCAAATTCAACACCAATAGTACTCTTTGATTCCAAGTTGAATTCGTTACGAGTAAAACGACTCAAAAGATTAGTTTTACCAACGCCTGAGTCACCGATGAGGACAACTAAACATCAAAGTAGGAATAATAAGCAATTCCGAGATGGAACAAGACTGATGAAGACATCTACCACGAAGACACTCCCTTCTTTTTTTTTTCTCTCTTTCTTCCTGTCACTAACTCAATATATATATTACCTTTAAATAGATAATCGTATTCTTCGTCTCGACTCATTTTATCAGTGCTTCTTTGTCTAGATGAGAAAGAAAAAAAACAAAAAAAAAGGGAAAGTGAGAAAAAAAAAAGTAATGTTGAATCAAATCCAAACGCACATATACACACACGCACCCACACACACACACACCAATGAATTTTTTACACCAACATTCGCGGTGTTACAACAGATTATTTCTTTGATTTATTCATTGCATGCACTCAACCTGTCACTACGGGTTCGGGCTTGTCTGCAGCAGAATTAATTCCACACCAGAAAATAGATGTCTTTAATTTTACGTAACAGCGACAGCAGGAGTAGAGTAGGTTGAGGAATTGATCTTTCAAAAGAAACGTGTTTCGCAGATGTACCTTTTTTTCAAAAAATCCAAATTTACTAAAGACGCTTGCTTTATATGTGAAGGCGTCACATGATATAAGCGCATTCATTCATTTATAAAAATTTGACGGGAGAAACTCATTACATCAACAGTTTTTAATACAGTGACAAAGTCACGTCAATGATTCTTTTGCGTACAAAATTAATCTCGGCTCATAAAGACAACATAAACTCTTTATTGTTTCGGAGGGAAGGTTTCAGGAACACGAAACTTGGATAACCTTCGTCTATGGATAGAAACCGTGTAGCCCATCAATTCAAGAAGTTCCTTGATTTTAAACAGCAGTCTCCATAATGATATTTAGAGCTGTTTTTTCTCTTTCTCAACCTCAAACTCAATCTTCCAACGAATGATTTTCTTTTTTCTATGTCTGTATTTGCCAAAAAAGGCGTATACACTTTGTCTGAATCTACGGGTATTATTTGGCTGCTTTAGGCAATAGTGGTCTGCAGAGATGAAGGAGGTATGTAGGACCCCATCCTCTGCCAGCTCAGCAACCCGTCTTGAATACGTCTCAAATTATACCTTGACTACAGTGGTTAGAAGCTTTTATTTTCCAGTATGCGTGCAAATTGGATGCTGCTCAATTAGAAAGCAAGTAAAAGAAGCCAACTACAACTATCAACAACAAAGCAAGTGAAAAACTCACACTTTGGCTCACTAAGAAACAGTCTATGACACAAAAGTAAAAGAACGTACTTTATGTGATGGCCCTTCGATGATATGATTTCAGATTAGATATTAACAAATTATTTGTTCCGTTTATTGTTACTTTTTTGTAGATATAAATGTATAAGGTATGCTGATTATAGAATCTCTTGAAAGTGATATCATTTTAAGTGTCTATTTCCTTAAAAAAAAATGTATAATTGTACAACCTAAGCTTTTACGAATGGATTCCAGCCAGCACGTAAAATTCTGATTGCCAAAGCTAACAAACCAGCGAATGTCATCAATACACCGCCAAAAATGATAGCATAGTTATAAGTAGGGTGGCCACTTTCTTCGTTGATAAGAGCAGCACAAATAGGCTGACCGAATAGCCCACCAAAGATCCAAGCAAAGAAAAGAATACCATTGGCTGCTTCAATTTCATCCATACCAACCACTTGACCCAACAAAGCAGGAACCATGGCCATATAACCGCCGCCAAAATAACCAAACAGGGCAGCAAAAGCCCAAATACCCCCAGCCGTGGTAGATGGGAGCCATAGGGCAAGAGACAGGACACCGGTCATAAAAATAACAATAAAGGTCATATTGGCTCTGCCGACAAAATCACTCAGCAAACCGCTTGTAATCTTGCCTACAATCATGACACCAGAAATAATAGCGGACATGTTTGTACCAATCCAGGGATCAAGTCCAAGATAACGAGCATAGGCTATGCATCAAAGAAAGCATTTTTTTTGTTGTAGGTGAGTATGATTGAAAAGTAGCGCTCTTCGCTTTATCTTCCCTTGCACCCCCATCCCCGATGATCATTTGATGAATTTACTGTCTTACCTGGTAAGAAACTAGAAGGTACATTGAAAGCAAAGTTACCAATGAATTGAATACCAAACATCAAGCAAAATTGAAAGTTACGGAAAGGTCGCAAATTCAGTAAACGGACGTCACTCTTTGTAGGCTTGTTAAGAGGTCTCACCAGTAGAGCAGCCACACTTAATAGCACAAGTGAAATAAAGCCAATGATGCGAAGAGCCCATTGATAACCAAGACTATCAAAGATGGCTTGAAGTATGTTGGAAAGGATAAGGCCACCGAAACCGGATCCAGAAATGGCAATACCGACACTCAGTCCTCGCTTTTTAGAAAACCATTGTTGAGCGGCGCTGATGCACGGAAACCAAACTAAACTGGCGGCTAAACCCATCAATACACCTTGAGTCAAGTATAATTGCCAAATCTATTCAAACAATGCATTTTTTTCCCCGGTTTTAGGGACAATGAAAAATAGTGTTAGAGGCAAATTGAAAAAAATGGCAGTTTCTGTTTATGGAAATAGTCTGTACCTGAGTTGCTATACTAGCTAACATTAGACCCAGTACCCATAAAATGACAGCCGTTGTCAGCATCCATTTATATCCAATGTAATACACAAACCAACTGTAAAATGGTCCTACAACATTCATCAGCGCTAGCCATAGCGAGCCAATCCACGATAATGCTGTCAATTGACCTACAAACACATGCTCGTTGTAGTAGTTCAAGAAAACACCGAAAATATAGTTATATCCTTGTCTAAACGTGTAATAAATCAATTGATATTAGCTACAAAAAGAGTAATAGTACAAAACTGATACGATGCAAGAAGAAAGAAACCTACGTGCAGAATAGACCCTACACTCATCAAAACAAAGGAATTAGTGTTAGCTTTTCTCGATGACGGAATATCAATAATAAGGCTTCTCATGCAATATTATGATCTGAACACGAAGCAGTCTTTTTGCACAGGTGTAAAAGGGGAAAGAGAAAGAAATACAACGAGTACTTACGCAGAAACAACCCAGTAGCACTAGCCAGCCTCTACCTCCATCCGGTGGCTGTTTTAGCACGTATTCGTTGGTCTCTGACTCAACAGATACGGCATCATCGTCTTCTTCTGTTTTGAACTGATCCACAATTTCTATAGAAGCACCATTTAATGCTTTGTTCTTTTCAAGATCTGTATCTTGAGGATGTTTTATCCTTTTTTCTTCTGTTATTTCACTATGGTCCATTACAATTGACGATGGTTTTGACATGATATGTTACTTGCACTTGTGATTTTGTTTATATGAAAAAGTAAAAGAATCAAATTAAAAAAGAAGCTGCCTTTCACGGTTTTATAAATGACGACAATGATTTGATGTGATCCATAAATGGAAAGGGGAAAAAAAAAGAAGGATACAACTCAACAGCCTGCATATTGAAAAGGGCCTTAAAGAAAGCGTAAGGGCATTTTCTTTGGTTCTTTTTTTTTTGCAGTTCCGCATTTGCAATTGAGGTTTGTTTGTCAGCAGCAATACATTACGGTTTTCAATGTAGAGTAATGTCTTTAATGGTTATTCTATTCGTTGTAGATTGATTTCCATACCTTTAAAGCCTATCTACGCCAATGATACCTATAAAGTCTAAATTAACAAGCTTATTTCCCTTTTTTTTTCTTTTATTTTATGATCCTGATACAAGCCTAAAAGAACTCTAAGATGTTCACACTGACATATTGGCGGTCTTTTCTTTATCCCCCCCCCTGTGATACAACCTCCGTCACTCTAACTTTCTGCTTATATGTGCCTGAAAAAAATGAATAGAGGAACCCCTGAAAAGACAACAGACAAAATCATCAGACAAAGTTCAACGCAAATGCAACGCAGAACTACCATTAAGCATCTGTAATGCTGAACTTTGGCCCTGTTAAACAGAATCCTACTCAAGGCTTGAATACTTTGATTTATCGCTAACGTTCTTTTGTCATGCGAGAAAATTATGAAATGTAACACGAAACCATCTGGCGGGAAATTGAAACTCTTTCGCAACACAAACGATTTGTTCAGTGATGAATGTGGAGTAGAAGGTTAAGGCTCCGGTACTTCCATTTCGCGTATCCAATTCTTTCCGTTTAAAAATTGAACTAGCAGCATATACTGATAAAATAGAGGCTGTTTTTAACGGACTTCAAAAGACTGTCTATTCTTTCTATCTCCCCTATACATTTCGGAACTCTGTGGAAGGTATTCCAGTTCAAGTTCGGCATTATATCACGGAGATAACAGATTAGACTAGCATGCGAAAAGTGGGTTGGGCGAAGTCAATCTTCAGCGGTTTTTCACTTTTTGAGATGTTCCAAATTTTTCAAATGAAATTGTTCAAAAAAAACGAAATGCTTGGGCATGTCTGACTTTTAAACCCAAGGAAGGGTATATTTTCAACAGATAAGCTATTTGTGAAATTCATTCGGTGCTAATAAGAAGGCCTCATTGGCATGAGGTCATCGCAGGAGGTCATAATAGCTACCACCGTAAGTGAATTTTCAGTAAACAACACCAACATAACGTCATCCACTATTGTAGAAACTTCGAAAGTTGTTAAAGGGTACCGTAAAAAGTGGCTGAAACCCTCTTCGTGGCTAGTAAAGGTTCGTATAGTCTAATAGAAAAACGGTTGAATTGCACAAGTGGCTTAAACGATGCTGTAGATTCTGAAGCTTCGCTCATATCTCTTACAATAGCCGATGGATGTATTGCCTTTCATACAAAATGTACGTTTTTAATGTAATGCTACGCTGCTACTCTTCTACTGTTGTTTGCATTTGACTCGTCATATTTGTTATAAATTATGTGCTACCTATTCAGCCAACACATAGCTTAATTCGCTCTTGAAGTTGGAGACATCACTGCCAAGGAACAACTCGGGTACATGAAGCTATGCAATAAAGTTTGGAAAGTGAGCTATTCACGTTTTACACGACTGAGTGACATTTGCCATACAGGAATCCGTACGCCTTTATTCAGAAACATTGTCGTACTTTCAAAAGTCTTGGGTCGTGTTTGTTATTGTACCGCTCAGAGATAATATATAGCTGTATACCACACCATGCTGCTCATAGGATATAGAGCATTATACGAACAAAAGAGGATTGGTAACACTTCATCTTGAAACAAACGATGACATTGGTGTTAAATTTTATTACAGTCGATTCACTGGGTAAAGTTAGCATACGCAATCAAAATAAATAAATAAAAGGAAACGATGACGCTAGTTTTGGGTGTCGACAAAACAGAAGCGCAGACCTATTCAAAGATGTTTATAGCGTTCCGAGATAACAAACCAGTGTGAAGTTTATAGAAATTTTAAACGGCGATTACTATGATGTTCTCATTTTCATGGTTGCGTCTTCTGTAATTTCATACGTCTAGGACGTAAATTGGAACGGATATGATTATACCTTATTTAGGTTAAGGTCTACGTACTCTCTCGGCCAACGGCAAAGACGCATTTACCGCAACGACAAACCAGCCTTTATCAATAAAAAACACGTTTTTATTGCTAATGTTCTTACTATTAACATTTGCCCTTTGAAAGTTTTCATTTATATTGATGATTAGCGTTTACCAGCAATTTGAGGTCGATAATACTATCCCATCTCCTTTCGACCTCAAGAAAATCATTTTCTTTTTTTTTTTTTTTTGTTAATGACCAGTCAGTGAGTGTGAGAACATAATAAGCATGATGTTTTTTCGATATATCCTATTAACTAATCGATGCCACATGGTTCTCTTCGGACAAAGCTCCTTCGAAATGCCTTATTATATAACGTCTAGGAAAAAAATGTGCAGTCTATCATTCTGATAAAGCGAAGGCGTGTTACTCTGCTCAAGAAATTACCCCATTACTAACGTAATAAACAATATTGATAATATGGAATGGAACGCAAAGTGTAATAATCTAAGGAGAGAAGGGCAATATGGTAGTAGTTCACTCATTTAAACCATTTCTAACTTGTTTTCTTGAATAATCCATGTCATGAAACAAGCAAAGCTGAGCTATTTTAGTACTAGCCATAAAAACGCCCTTCAAGTCAGAAATGTGGAAGAGCTACATTTTGATTGGGCATCTATAACCATTTTTCCTTATGTAGTTTTAACATCCTTACTCGCATGAACGAAGGAAAAATGTACTTTTCTTTTCTTCATAGCTGTTCACTTTTTCATAGATATAACGTGATACGAAGCACACCGTGCATTTAACCAGCCATATATCTCAGTTGAAGATACCAAATATAAATTTGTTCAAACACAAGATGACGGAATATAACGACGATTGTCAAGCGATTATTACGGAATACTTACTCCATTATTGCTATAAAGATACCGCCAAAGCTATGCTCAAAGACGTATGCAGCTTAAACGGATATACCAAGTCAATGGAGGTAGAAGATAACATTGGTAAGAAGCATTGGGAGGGCATTCTGCTTTAGCATAATTGCTTAATTGTTAAAGATGAAGTAGGATCAAGAGCAGAAACTACCATTCCCACTGTGGACTGGAAGGACATTGACGCGCGAAGAGGTACATCACGTTTTAATTGTAGTTTAGCCTATTTCATTAACAATGCAGCTCACATTTGCTTTTATGATGTATATCCCTTCTCGTTTAGAAATATTGACAGCCATAAAGGAAGGGCAAATTGATAAAGCGTTTATACTAATCGAAAAGCAATTCCCAAAGTTAATCAGAATATATACCACTATCAACCGCAACGAAAAGCTAACGGAAGAAACACCCCTATCAACACTACCAAAGTTGCATTACACTTTATATAAACTTCGCTGTCAACAATTCATTGAGTTGTTACGGACAACAGATGTATTAGAAGCTATACAATTTGCTCAGTGTTATCTTCGACCCTGCAGTAGAATCTATGCAGATTTGACAAATAGCGTCACGCCTCTAATAGCTTATGAAGATTTGGAAAGTAACGAGCATACACAGGAACTGCTTAGCCAACAGCGCCGAGATGACTTAGCAGATGAAGTGAATGAGATGTTGTTGGGTAAGTTTTTCTCTATATTTTTCAATATGGGTTCTATTAGAGAAAAAAAATGCATTCCTCTTCCATTCTTTGTTTTGTTCACTGATACACAATTCTATAGAGTCACAACAACTTCCATCACAAACAGCACTGGAAAAATTGTGGCGACAAAAAAGTGTTATTCAGGTTGAGTTGGATTCACAAACAAGGATAGAGTGTCTAAAAAATGTGAAAGAGCAGGGAAACAGCGACAAAATGCCAATGTAGTGAAGATGATAGAGGTATAATCTTATTCCTGCATTCTCCTATCCAAGTGTAAACGACGCCAAAAATATTGAGAATCGACATTTTTTTTTCATTCCACAACAGTAAACAAATACGCAGAAAAATCAACATCCATATAAAGTACTGCCTCATTGATAGATCATCATTTGCTTTATTAAATTAATACGAACAAATGAGTTTGTTGAGAGCTGTTGCATCGGAATTAGATTTCGTTGACAACAAGGGCTATAACATAAAAAGTTCAATAAACGATTAGAGAAACCTGATGACAATTGTGGGTGTTAATATGGAGAAGAAAAAAGCTTACCAGGAGGAAGAGATTGCTTGAGCTTGCTGGCCTTGGACTTATCCTTGACAACGAGAGTATAAAGGTAGCGGGAGCATCTAACCTTGAACTTGACAGAGTCAGCGTTCTTCTTGATGCGAGCAGACTTGGCATCTTTTCTGCGGGCAATTTCAAGGAACTGCTTAATATCCTTAATTTGCTGAGGCTATAAATTTGTGTTGTTTTGGAAAATGGACGGATGTTAATTCTTATTCTTCATAAACATCGTACAAAATAAGCTTTCTTAAGTACAGTCGACGATGCGAAGCCTATAATACGGCTACATTCCTCTGTTAGCAATGGCTAAGTGTAGAAAAGCTGGCATAATGCAAAGGCTGTCTTCCATTCGACATTTCCAATGCACAATGGGTTGACTGAAATAATTGATATTACATAATTTCCATCTATGTCAATTTTGCACACGTATCCATTTTGTATCAAGCAATCGGTTATCAATCCATTCAAAAGAGCCATTAAAATAAAGCTCTATTGACTTCCATCGTCGACTTTGTACTTCTTTGAAAGAAACTACTTTACCATCTCGGAGGATCTATAAGTGGTTCGGGAAGAGAGACCTTCCCTTACTGTATACAGCAGTTTGATTTTGTGGAAAATTCAAGAGGCGGGAGAGGCATTTCCTTCATTGCAAAAAGAGCCAATCAGATTGCTTCGAAACAGTAACTGCATTAAAACATACACGGCTATGTTTCCGTCTTTTGTTTATTCGCGCCTGACATCTTATGTCTTTCGAGCTGTTTTAACTGAGGTAATCTTAAGGCAGCTCTGACAGAGGGTATCTTGAGAGCAATATTTTGAATCACACTATAATAAGTGGATGTAAGCCAATATAAACCCAAGGCCATTGGCGCTTGTGCTGAAATAGGAATGAATGCTACTGATAATACTCTAAAAGCGTTTGTTAAAATTTTTTGGCTTGTTGATTGATTTCCCCTCGCAAACCATGCATTTAACTATAAAATAATATTTAGTTACATTCTGTTCCATAGGGTACAGTAAAAAAGGAGTTACCTCTACGTTAGCCAAATTACCAAAACCTATCAGAAACGGGGCAATCGTTGTTGAATCAACGGCCGTCAAATCAGTAAACCACCCTACGCCTTCTTCAGATAAACCCAAAGCAGGTATTTCCGATGTCATTCCAAACCAAGGAAGGGGCATCGCGCTTATATCTCTTAACGCGAGGGACATAGTTATAAATAATGGCATTTGTATCCAGGGTAAAAGCAGAATTTTCCACCGTGAACACCCATGATGAGCATATATTTGCTTCACTTTCTTTCGATATTGCTGTTGTAATTCCCCTTGATATTGCTGATAGCTGCCGCCTTTCTTGTTGGATTCTTTAGCTATTTGAACTTTTAGTGTTTCTGCCCAGCTTTGGATCATGGGTCCCAGATTGATCATTTTTCCTAAACTCCGTTGTTGGTAGATCGCTATTGGCAATGTTAAGCAAGATCGTAATAGGAACGTGGATGAGACAATGGTTGCCCACCATGGCAAACCAGCATTGTGTATACTGTATAAAAGCGATTCATTTGCTGCTACGATAACAGGTAAAGCACTCTCGGTTGTTGTGCTTACAGCATTTGTCAAGGGGAGTCCCATGGCGAATGCTGTTGTTGTTGGTCGTGTACCATCCGTTCGTTCATTTGATTGTATAACAACCGGTCTTTTTGACAGTGTAAGGAGGCGTTGAGTACAGAGACAATTCTTTAGCTTTTGAGCTTTTAATGGCTTTATACAAGACAGCATGAATGTAAAAGAGAACCAAATGCAGGTTTACCCCGCCTTCCCGAAAGGAGCAAAATTTGGTAGCACCTGCTGAACAAAAAAGTATTGTTTGACAAGTCTATCACTCAGGGTCTTACTGTATTTGTTCATTCTATCTAAGGATCTGTATCCATCATTCATAACAAATACTATATACTCTGTCAAGACTAACATTGTATCGGGATAAACCATGCAATAAAAAGACGGAAATAGTTATTTCTTTGTATCCGGTGTAAGCGGTGCAAACAGTGTAAACGGTGTTGTTTACGAATTCCCAGTACAATACCTGTGTAAATGGCTGCTGAACAGCTTCACTGTCATGTAGACGAGAAAAGTTTGCGCATGTTAGGCACCTTTTTTAGGGACAATATCCGTCATGCCGCTAAATTTGCTTATAAGTATAGTCAGTACGACAATTTAAAAGAAACGAGAAAACATAGCTAATGTATCTTTCCTAGCACTCGCTACGATGTGTATCAAACAGGGAAAAAATGAAGATGGAGAGGCGATTCATTTTATACTAATAAACCCACTTTTGCATTGAGAAGGCCTGTGAATAGTCAAACTTCACAGAAGTAACTCGCTGCTACAACAATCAAATATCCTACAATTGAATGTTCAATGTGCCAACGTTGATTTTATCTTTGATGCAAGAGAACATCTCGAACAAATGCATGTTCCAGAACTGTGGACTGCACCAAAAGATGGCGCATTCATAAACAGTTCAAAGTCGGCAAATTTTTGCATGATGAATGACGATATTTTAAACAGTGGGCCTACTTTAAGCTTTTTTCCTACAGCACTAACAATTTAAAATTAATAACGCAGCTTTCATGGAATGAGGACGGATGAGGAGTATGGGCTGCTTTCCCAAGCACCAGAAGAAGCCTCTGACGGCGAGCAAGAAGAAGCTATCGAATTCATTTCCTATGCAGAAAGTGATGACGATGATGAGGATCCCTACTTTATGCCTGAGCACAACAAGCGTACAAGTACTTGGACATTTTTAAGGTAAGTATTTAGACTATCGTAATAATGGCGACAGCAAGATTCTCAAAACACTTTGTTTAGGCTAACATGTGCGCCGATTCAAGTTGTTCGGTTTTTGATACCTTCCCTTTGCATCGTAACTATCATCGCTTATACCATTACTATTGGCGTCATTACAGAGAAGAAAAAGCATGCCCACCCTTAATACTAAACTTAGCATCTCCACTTATTGAGCGTCAACTGTTGTCTAATCGAATACATCGCAATAAAATGACAAAATACCATAAAGTGATTATGGTAATTACAAAATGGAGCTGCATAAACGAGCAAGTTTCTCGCTACATCTTGTCTTTCTTTCATAGTTAAGCTTTTTTTTTATTTTCAGCATTAAAAAAATGGAAGGTTTCAAACAACCCTAGTTTATTTTCGATCCCGAGAATATAAACTTCTCTTTTAGTTTACGACATTTGGAATGGCCGAGCAACAATATAGCAATGAGCAGATGGAACGAATGAGAGCTGCCATGGGACATGATAGTGAAACACCCTTACAAAAACTAAAAGCGAAATTCCAGGAAGAGCCACTTGTACCAGCAGGTAGAGTATAAAGCCAGGCACACAAGAAAGACGAACCAGATCCCTTATGAACCTTTGTCCATTACAGGTGCTGCTTTAACAACTTTCGCATTGGTCGCTGCAGCATATGGCGTCAAAAAGGGTAATAGAGCCTTTACGAACAATATGTTCCGACTTAGAGGTAGGACAAAAAGAGAAATACTCAAATTGTTTTCGTGAAGAACGTCAATTTATTGAAGCAACATGCAGTTGGAGCGCAAGCTTTCACAGTGTTAGCGATGGTTGGCGGCTCAGTATACTTTCAGTATAAGAAAAATCAGGAAAAGAAACAGCTAAATCAAATTGAAAGCAAAGTATTTAACAATGCTAAAGAAGTCCCACAGAAAGAGAAAACCCAGCAATAAAAATACATTAAGGACGAGGGATTCATAGCCACCCACTCGATGGAATTTTGAGCAAATACAGTCTTACTCAGATCTTCTCAAAGTACAAGGCGCCAAAAATGTTCAGTTATTACTTGGTGCATTGAATTTGACAATTATCACCCATAACATAGATCCCTTCAAAGAAAAAACAGTATTGTTTCTTTTAATAAAAGCAAGTTCCTTGTTTTTTTATTCGATTAGTTTCTCGACGCCTCGTAGGGATACTTTTTCAATAGTTTACTTGGAGCTATCGAATAACTCAAGCTACGTAATCAAACACAGTCTTTAGTTAGTTAAGGTACGGGCAGATGGAGCCTTTAGACTACAAATATATTAGTTTATCTGGGTTGGTAACTGTGAGAGATTATTCAAAATAAAAGAATACAATATCGGCAACGGCTGGTAATCAATCAAATTCACTGGTAGCTATATATTTTTCAGAGCGTGTTAGAAAGAAATAAGGAGCACAAAGCCATTTTAAGGTAGCAATCGTAGGTAAACTCTCTTATCGTTTGATGCTCAGCATTTGTGCTAACGTAAAATATCATTTGGGCGCTCAAAACCCTTGATATATTCATATGCCTTCCGCGCTCATATCTCTCATATCGCTCCTACAAATACAAAGTTGATTCCTTAATTTAGGTAGAATTTTCTTCAAAGCCTGTAAAATGGTTCGTTTATTATAATGGGTGTTAGCAGATATCGTTGCTTATGGATAACACTCGAAGCGTTCAAAGAGTGAATATGAAATGATCATTGGTTCACCAACATAACTTGAGAACATTGGAAACATATTTTGTTAGGAAAATAAAGAAACTCAGATTTACCATACTTAGAGCAGTATTGCCAATCAAGGTTGTTATCGACTACGATATTGCTATTTTTTATTGGCTCCTAAGTAAGGTTAGTCTGAAAGCTAGAAATACAAATTGCAATATGGGTTGAAAGCGACTTAAAACGAGGATATGAACCATGTGATCTAAATGGAAATTAGATAATAGTCTATTTCTGACACTCTATGTTTGGATAATAACGTGTATTTTGCTTGTAGAATTTCTTCAAAATACTATGGTTGATCATCCGAAGGCTCGCTCTGTAAACTATAGTAAACAGAAAAGTCAACAGATACATACATAGGAAAGCACGGGAAGAAGAAATTTCACTAGAACGTACCATAGTTCTTTTCAACGGAACACCCAGAGGATGTGGAAAATATACGTAGAAGTTAAAAAAAAAAGTACGCTTTTGAAAATACATAACATTGAATAGCACTCTAATTTTAGCTCAATACAAAAGATGAAAGAATCAATATTAACGGCTGCGTAGAGTCTAGTACAAATTTCAGATCAAGCCTGAACCGATGTACAGACTACTTGAGCTTCTTGTTGTTGTGCACCAGATAGCTTTATGAATAAATCACTTTAAGGTACGTTATCATTACTGTTCACATGCATGCAAAAAAAGAAATGGTCCATCCTTTAAACTTTGACGAATAGTAGCGCCCAGGAACAGTAAACAAATGATTATTCTATTTAGTAAATTCTAGGCTTTTCATCCTCATCATCATATCTTCTGTTTGATTAGAGCTCGGAGAAGATGTTGTAATTAAGAGAATAACCAATTCTATTGGTGATATTATGCAACCTAAAGTAGAGTAGTATTAGCAAGAAATATTAAAAGACTTTGACCAAAAACTCTTAACTCTTTTTTTGCGCTAGTAACATAAAACAGCGAACAGGCCACTGATTAGCCATTGATCAATCATTTATTCGAACCAAAAAATTCTTCTTTAAAAGAAGAGACGCATCTGAAGGGACTTGTTACTTTTTTCTTTAATTTTCTCTTGAAAAGGCCCGGTTGCCCTTCTTTTTGTATATACGTAACTCTATTACTGACTTCTCCTCAGAAAACAAGAATGCAAGTTCACTTATCCTTCATTGCTGCCATTGTCGCCTTCTCCGCTTACGTTGCTGCTGCTCCTACTGCTGCTGCCCTCATCAAGCGAGGCGAATCTTATTCTGGCACTGCCACTTGGTATAAACCTGCCACTGAAGGTGGTCCCAAAGGAGCTTGCGACGGACAACATATTGATGATGACTCTCCCATCGTGGCCCTCAATAAAGATCAGTATGGGGACTTGGACTCTAAGTCTGACATGTGTGGCTCCAAAATCAAAATCAAGGGTGAAGCAGGTGAAGCTACTGCAACTGTAAGTAACTTAGAATACGTGTAGCAAACACACGGAAAAACGACGCGTTACATTATACTCATCAAAGTATCTTTCCTACAGATCGTAGACGCCTGTCCTGAGTGCCATCACGGAGATTTGGACTTGACTCCTACTTTATTCAAAAAGGTGGTCGGTGATATGGATATTGGAGAGGGTGACATCACTTGGGAGGTGGTCTAAAGTTTGCTATAAGAGTTGAACTCATTCTACATTGTATTTATTATTGGATGTTAACAAACCAATGAATAAGGAATTGATTTCCTTTTTGTAAAATAGCTTTTGATAATTTTATTTTATGTTTATTAATATTAAAATAGCGTTGAATGTTCAGTCGCATTAAAAATACACAGTGTCATACATTAAAAAGGATAAAGAAATTCTTTGTATCTACGAATTAGAGTGGGGATGAATTAGCAAAAAGAGTATATAGTACAAAAAAAAAAAAAAAAAAAAAAGACAACCAAAGTGAGGATGGGGAGGGGGTATGATATTTGATATGTAAAGTGACTAAAGTTAGGTACTGGTTGTTTCCACATAATCTGGTGGAGGAATAGAAGGTATCCTTTCAAGTTGCAACGAAGAGTTTTCATTAGAAGCAGCTTGTAATAATTGAGCTTGAGCGGCCATATCCATTTGGCGACGAAACTTGAAATAACAAGGGCATAATTGAGGTTGTAATTCAGCGACTGAAGTGAATTCTTTATGTTGTGGATGGATATCTGCAGCAGCATGTGCTGTCGGCTCTGAAATGACTTGCAATAAATCCTGCTCCATCAAATCGGCCATCATCTTATTCTTATCATCGTTATGAGAAGGGTTGGTCGTGACGTTCAATTCTGAATAGGAGGGTAATCGGCCATAGTCTTCTTTCAAACGACAATCGAAAACAGTAATAGGTGTCTCCAGCCGGATCGTCTCACGCTTTCTAATGACGTGAGTGCCGTTTTCTTTCGCATTGACAGGTTTTCGTAACTTGGAAAGCCATGTGGACTGAGCATGTGCCTGGTGTTGTGACTGATGTTGCTGCTGATGCGAATGTGCACCCGAGTGATTGTTGTTGATACTAGGATGTGCGTTATTTGTAGGGTGATGATCGGATGTATTCAAGCTACTGCTACTCAAGTTGTAGGGATGTACAGATGAAGTAGCAGGCGGCGTAGAAGGATTACTGACGGGAGCAGAGGCCGGCTGTCTATGGTGAAGATGGGATGAAAACGCTGTGTATGCAGCGGGAGGCGGAGGAGGGAGCATCGCCTGTAGAGCATCCGTCGCTCCTTGATCCATATCAGCGGAGCCCATGGGGTGATTTTCTTGAGTGGCACCCATCGAAACAGGCAAAGCGACCGTTCTTTGTACATTTGCCATATCTTCATTCAGACTGCTGCTACTGCTATTCGCAGATGGTGGTTGTGATTGGGGTCGTTGAGCTTCAGCTGTTAACTGATTGTCCACAAAAGAAATAGTTAATGTAATGTTGAGATGGTGCTTGAAGAGTATGTCTTTAAAGTAGGTTGTGTGATGGATATTACGCATGCAAGTGGGGGTGGCAAAGGTAATACGGTAGGCTATCGTATCCGTCAAATCCACACCTCGTCCATGCTTTGAAAATACAGATCTTAGATCCCCTTCTGTTCCTGGTATCGCAATTTCTCCACCTTCAGCTAGTTTGACGGATGCCAAGTAAGGTAAAGTAAACTGCTCAGAATCAGTTCTGTTCGCACGCACTTCTGACACATGATATCTTCGATTCTCGGTAACTGTCAATTCCACGTGGTCCAAACGGACTCTCTTACGTTGAGGTTGTACAATTAACTTTAAATGGAAAAGATCGCCTGAAGAAAAGGCAGCCCTTTCAACTACTAATTGTATATCAGCAGCGGGTAAATGTTTTTCATAAGTACGAGACAAATCTTGCAATGAATTGTTGGTTAAGAGCGAATCGGACATGTAGGCTCGTAATACAAGAACAGGTTTCGAAATGTGCCAGTTGTTCAAGAGCTGTATGCCTGGACCAATAACTCTGGCATCTACGGTATGTCGTACTCTGCCATAGACATCTTCAATCGTTTCTACAATAGACTAGTGTCAGGAGGGAAAAAAAAAAAAAAAAAAAAAAAAATTTTAGTGACCCAATTTTCCTTTACCAAAAAAATGCAGAGAGAGTAGATTATGTTACATTAGGAACAATAAAGGCGAATGGAAATCTATGGACCCCAGAAGGAAGCTTGATATATTCGTCCTTGTTCGTTTTCAAGATCTGGACAGTTTCTTCACTCAAGACCTTTTCGTGTGTTAAACGTGTTCCACGTGCGCCAATGCCTAGCAAAATGATAGGTTATGAAGAATCCATGCTGATGTGCAATACTTTCTTTTCATACCTTCAGGCCAGTAAGTAGTGGCTGTTGATTTAAAAGTAACGGTAATCGAATTCACTTTTGTTGTCTTGGCTAATGAAAGTACAACATTGCCTGTAAAGACGGAAGAGGCGTTTTCTGATGGTGGTCCACGAAGAATCAATGGCTTTATAGGGTCAAATGATAATCGTTCTTGTGATAATAAGCCCAAATGCATGCTTTTTCTTTTTTCCTTCTTTGGCTAAAGGTGGAGGGGGCAAAGGCAATTTCGGTTTTTTGGTATGGCAATGAAGGTTACAAGGCAAGTTGTAGTAGAAGAAATGGAAAGGAACAAGTTTTCTAATTTGATTTTAATGAAAAAGATAGGTAAGAATGAAAAGATGAAAAATTCTGGTTTCAACCCTTTTTTTTTTTTTTTTTCTTTAATTTTGACATGTATTTGACCCTTTCAAAATGGTTTTTTTTTTCCAGAGTGTTACCAAATTCGGTCAAAAGGTTCTATAGGGCAAACTCCGATAATAAGGCAGATAGACAACTCTTCCAGACTCGTAGTGAACAGACTGTGATATTTGCTTATCAAACCTGCTTTCGTTGTATGTATTTTGCGGTCAAGTAGGAAACAAACTTCAATGAACGAATCTGAAGGTACAATAAGAGCTGGTAATGACCCAAATATCTTTCATTATCCAAAAATTACTGTCATCAGATGGAATAAGTCTTCCGCGGCTTACTACGAACCTGTTCAATGTTTACACTGTATAAAGCATCTTATTTTTTACCGCGAAACTGCTTAAACATCGTCTGCAATACTATGGCTTTTGCTTCACAGATATGGATCTTTTTTTTTTTTTTTTGTCAATGATTGTTTTCTGCTCCTAAATACAGCAAGGTAGAGGAAAGAGGACTCGTGTCACTTTCTGACCATCCATTTATGCTGCTGTCATCAAAAACCATTGTGCTTCCGAGAGGGACGGTAACCTTTTTTTTTTTTTTTTTGTGGTAAGTCTACAGCGGGTTCCGTGCTTTCGTTTTAACCCTTACCACACAGTCTCATAATGACTCCATTCAACACATTGCTCGAAGTGGTCAAACACTGCGACAAATTTCCTTACACTATTGACCCTCAATCGACTGAAGAACAGCATCACGCTACACCTGTTTATTTAGGGCGCCACAAAATAGGCAATATTCTTCCTCACGTTCTGCCTGCCTTGACAGAATATAACAATAAAACTGAACCAGCACCTTTCGTCATTAACAAAGACAGCATCACATTTGCCTCGTGGGTGACTACAGCAGAATTAAGAACCACGGTTATGAAGCAGCTGATGGATACCTGGCGAGCCAACAAAACTTTCAAAGTGCTTGCTGGTTGGCGTAACGAATTATATCCTGTCTATGGCGATTCGGAACAAGAAGGCAACATTGCTTTTGTAATGGAACGAGCAGCAACACCGTTGTTTGGTATTTCAACCTTTGGTGTCCATATCAATGCTTTCACAAGGGACGAGAATGGCCACATTTTAATGTGGGTTGCAAGAAGAGCAAAGACAAAGCAGACATGGCCTGGTCTATTGGACAACTGCGTAAGGATACATACCAATGATGGATAGGGTTGCTTAGCATGTATTTCATCTAAAGGACGATTTGAACCTGTCAAAAAAATAATAATCATCTAGGTAGCAGGAGGTATATCCTACTCTTACTCCGTTAAAGATACCATGATAAAAGAATGTGACGAAGAAGCTAGTATTCCTGCAGCATTGGCATCCAAGGTAGAGCAACAGAAAAGGCTAAGCATACGTATAAAATGCAATACCCTAACTTCATCGCTTGACATGGATATGGATAGGCCCATAGTGTAGATGTGATTAGTTATTATACCTATACAGATGGAGGTTTACAGCCCGAAACCCAGTATATCTACGACTTGGAATTACCCAAAGATTTTACACCTACACCCTGTGATGGTGAAGTAGGCTGCTTTTATCTGTGGCCATTGGAAAAGGTAAAAGAAACCATTTTGAAGAATGAATGGAAACCCAACTGTGCACTTGTGGCCATCAACTTTATGATGAGACATTCCTTTATTACACCCGATGATGAGCCAGATTATATCCACATTTCTTATCGACTCCACAGACGATTGGAATTTCCTACAGTCCGTAAAGGGCATTCATCATGATTGAAAATAGAATAAAAAAGCTCATCCCCACCATCCACAAAAACAAGGATGTGTTTATTAATCGAGAACCGGTTGTTTTATTTATTCATGTTTTGCGAGATAGATTTATGGTATTTACATAGCTAGCAGACTCATGTAGTGGTATTTATCTCTTCCCATTTTTCAAAGCTTGGATTCAGGGATGTTCTTATGGAGAGTGGCATAACCATTGTTAACGACTACCACGTCCCTTTCTTTCACTTTGGCAACAAAAATGACACCTTGGACCTTGGCATCCGGATCATCTACTTTCCACATGTAAATTTCGACAGTCTCACCAGGAAAAACTGGAGAGGCAAAGCGCCCCTCGATGGATTTGAAACGAGCGGGTTCATTATTGGCCAGCTTCTTGACAATAGCATGACCACAAGCACCATAAGTACAAAGCCCATGGAGAATGGGTTTGGGAAAACCAATCTTGGGAGCTAGGGCAGTATCAGCATGAAGAGGATTGTAATCCCCTGATAGACGATAGATAAGAGCTTGAGAGGGCGTGGTGGCAAATACTTCAATAGCATCAGGATGACGCTTGGGAGGCGGGTAAGCTGTGGCCTTGGGTCCTTTGGGGCCCTAATCGTTGCAAACGGAGATGATTTCTTTCAGCTTTTTATTTGGAAAAATCACACGATGATCATCCCATGATATTCACTTACGCTCCAGCCACCATAACCACGGACAAAGGATTTTGAGACCATACTACAATACTGAACCTTGTCTTGCTCATCATAGAGATCAATAGTCATCTCAATGACCATACCAGAACCTTGCATTTTTTTTTTTTTTTTTCATTTGGATTCAGTATTAGTTTCTATGATGGCAGCAGGGCCAAAAAAGTCTCTACCACTCCAATCTTACCTTTGTCGTAAATACCGGTACAGGTTTTCCTGGCGGTGAAAGTACCACCATTGACAGGGAATGGCTTATGAACTCTCAGAGATTGTTCGCCATGCACAATTTTATTTGGGTCATAAGGAGGCATGCCTGGAAGAGAACCTTTTCCTTGTGCACGTTCCTTGAAAACATTGACATCGTAATCGTTTCCTTTCAATTGAAGAACAAGAGGATACGTAGGAAGGGGAGAGAAGTCCTTATCTATTCAACACTCTATTAGTAAGAAGCATCCACATAGGAGTGAGTATATCATGACAATTGCTTGCAGTGATGATTACCTAGTTCATAAAGATATTTCAATTCGTCTTCTTTTACGCCTACACCAAGAGCATACAAGAGATAATCACGTCTGTTACAAACCACCTTTTCGCTGGGAAATTGATGACCAACGGCCTTTTCAACGTCGACTTTAAACCCTTCCACTGGCATTGTTAATTGTACTAGAAAACAGACAAAAAAAAAAAAAAAAAAAGAAAACGAAAAAGGGACGAAGGAACCCTTTAAATCAGGGTTTATTTCTGCTGACGAATAAACTTTCGCACAACATCAAAGTAAGGACTCCCGCTAGTTTTTTTGGTTTTTTTTTTGCATTATGAGGCTAGAAATAAGCTTCATTTCTTTCTGCAGAAAATGGACCAAAGAGGTTTAAAAACTTTGACAAAAGGCCTTCCTACTATTTTCGTACGTTTCACTGCCCTTGTGGGCTGTTTGCTGTAGGATCAGTACAACAAACAAAAAAGGAAGAGGTAGACTATGGCTTATCAAGAGACCTGTGCTGAAGCAAGCTTCCTGTTGTAACAATGAAAAAGTGATGTCGGTTTGAAGGCCACCCCCCATTGGCTTAGACTTTGCTCTCGTATTTGCCTTTATCTACACTCATAACAGCAACCTAGTATTAAACAATAACTAGAGCTATCTACTCTTTTTCTATTGAAAAAAATGACAAAATAACCGAAACGGCTGTCTTTTTGTTTGTCATTCACATTTACTTTTTATATTTGTTATCAGTCTGTTTCAATAGGAAAGTAAAATGCAAACAAAACTCTCACTCTTGGCTTCCTTTAGTTTAAACAAAAAACAAGGACGATGAGTCACAGTCACAGAAAATGAGGTTTTGTTGGTAATAGCATGAAAATTCAAATTTATTCTCGTTTTCCCAAAACAGCAGGCATGAACAGACAGTAAATAAACCACGGGACTGGGTTTATTCGTATTTCATTTCCATGCGATCTTTGCCTACAGACAGTTTAGAGAACAGGTGAGAGGCTTATACTTGGAAACGTCCATGTCCTTTATCATCGAGAGACAATTGTTTGATAAAGTGACAAAGATTCGGTAGTTAAAAAACACGGTTAAAGAAAAGCCTGGAAAAAAATTTAATTCGAAAAGATAAAGCAATCAAAAGAAGAGCGCTTTCTTCTTCTTTTCTTCTTTATATTACTTATCTTTGTCAAAGTATTACAACATGCCCAACCCCAAGGTTTTCTTCGATGTCTCTGCTGACGGCAAGCCTGTTGGCCGTATTGAAATGGAATTAAACGCTGATGTTGTTCCCAAGACTGCTGAAAACTTCCGTGCTCTCTGTACCATGGAAAAGGGTTACGGTTACAAGGGTTGTTCTTTCCACCGTGTCATCCCCAACTTCATGCTCCAAGGTGGTGATTTCACCGACCACAACGGTACTGGTGGTAAGTCTATCTATGGTGCCAAATTTGCTGATGAAAACTTCACTCTCAAGCACACTGGTCCTGGTCTTCTTTCTATGGCTAACGCTGGTCCCAACACCAACGGTTCTCAATTCTTCATCACCACTGCCAAGACTTCTTGGTTAGATGGCAAGCACGTCGTCTTTGGTTCCGTTACCAAAGGGTAAGTGTTCTCTTTATTTAATATGGGGGGGAGGGGGTTATGAATTGTGTTTGTTGATTTGGATAAAGAAAAATCGACGAAACAATGGAGATACTCATGGCTTTCTGTATACAAAATAATAGTATGGACGTCGTTAGAAAGATTGAATCTCTCGGTTCTGACTCTGGTCGCACCAAGGCCAAGATCGTCATTGATAACTGTGGTCAACTTTAAATAGCTCCTCATTCTAAATCATGAGTATTCAAGATATCTCATTTCTTTTGTATAGTCCTCTTCTTTTATTGAATAAATAAGTTGTTTGTTCGGTATGGTTTTTTTTACCTTCCTTCCGTATCTATGATGAAATGTTAGTAAGGGAACCTTAATTCTTTTAATGTGTGTCACCCATAAATGACGCGTCTTTATTGTTTCTCCTTTATTTCATCTCGCTTTTTCAAATATTGATCATGACAGCCATCAAAGGTGTCCTTATTGATTTAAGTGGTACGGTCCATATTGACAGCAAAGTCATTCCAGGCGCCATTGACGCCATTCGACGATTGAGAGCAAGCCGAATTCCATTCAAGTAAGGATGAATGGGTCACATCACAAGAACACCTCCCCCCCCCCTCCCCACTCCCCAGATAACGAACGATCTGGCCTAACCACTTTTTCTGTATGAAAGATTCGCCACAAATACTACCAAAGTATCCTCCAGTAAATTAGTACGAAAATTGATCCATTTAGGCTTTGAAGTAGACGCAAAAGATGTAAGTTGGCAGCAAACGAGTATCGGCACAGGGTGGGATGACTGTCAAACTAAACTATACCCATTTTGGTGCATTTCATGCAACCAAAAAAAAAAAAAAAAAAGGTTTTCACGTCGTTATCTGCTTGTAAAGACATGATTCAGACGAGACAATTAAGGTTTGAGAATACAAAATTGTTTCACCTTAGCGACGTGGTTTTGCTGAACGGCATCTATTCTAGACCTCTGTTGTTAATGGAGGACGCCGCTTTGGAAGAGTTCAAAGAAATAGAGACGTCAGACCCAAATGCAGTCGTTATTGGTTTGGCACCTTCCAAATTCAACTACGAAAATGTAATCTCCAGTGTCACTTGTACTGTTTGACCGATGGAAACGTGTCATACTGACTTGTTTTATTGAACGGCGTAGTTGAACGAAGCTTTCCGTTTGCTATCATCTGACGCAAACGTACCATTGATCGCCGTGCATAAGGCAAAATATTTTGCTGACAATGACGAAAAGTTGTCTCTGGGGCCTGGTGGTTTTGTTCAGGGTAAACCATAGCATTCTCTGAGCCAAGTGCCAATAACATAAATGCTAATCCAACCATTGTAAAGCATTGGAATATGCTACAGGTACGACAGCTACGGTTGCAGGAAAGCCCACCAAAGACTTTTTCAGGCTTGCTTTAAAACAAATGTAAGATGAACTGTATTCCAACTCATCATCATCAATCTATCGTCTCCTCTCCACTCTATTCACGAGTTTTTTTGGTTTTTTTTTTTGGTTTTTTTCCTCTTTCCTCCTAGTCATATGGAAGACAAGCCTGAACAAGTGGCGATGATAGGTGACGATGTACAAAATGATTTAGGAGAAGGCGCAGAACAGTTGGGCATGCAGAGATTCTTGGGTAATACTTTAGACTGACTCACTAACCTATCTATTCAGAATAAGCAGCTAACAACGATCGATTCTCATAGTAAAAACCGGTAAATATCGTGAAAATGACGAGAAAAAGAACCCAGGTGTAAAGGTCTTTTCATCGGTCGTTGAAGCAATAGACTATATACTTGAACAGCAAGACAGCTAAGTGCCTGTCATAAACACTGAATAGGAGTAACACAAAAAACGTGTTGTTTGTCATGTCTAGTGCAGGATCTTTTTTTCCATCGTTCTCAAAATAAATTTTTACTTTTCCCTCTTCACCTGAGCTTAACAACCGCTTCGGTTGAATTCATAAATAATTTCCAATCTATCGACAGCAAAAAAAAAAAAAAAAAAAAAAAAAAAAAAAGGTACATTGAACGCTTTTCGTCAGAGTCAAAGCAATAGCGAAAAAAGCCAACAATGACGGTACCAGATCACCAACGCCATCGTCTCATGAACCATCCTTCAACGACTTCATCGTCGTCTCGTTCTCTTCACGACACAACTGCGGAGATCAAAGTAGGAGCGCATTGTCAGGTACAAGGAAAATCAGGCGTTATACGTTTCATAGGCAGCACCAGCTTTCAAACAGGCAAATGGGTCGGTGTTGAACTCGATGGCCCACAAGGTAAAAACAGTGGTGTTGTTCAGGGGAAACGCTATTTTGATTGCAAAACGGATCATGGTGTATTTGTAAGACCTAGTCAAGTGAAACTAGTTTCCTCCACTCAGGAAAGAGGACTCCCTAAAGAACAACAACAACAACAACAGCCGTCAGCAATAACAAAAAGTGATAGCACCCGCACCAGCACCAGCACCAGCAACAGTCCCAACTCATTTGCCCCTGCTCAGGACCCTCAATTGCAAGCAGCAAGATCCATTCAGCTGCATTCTCCTGCCACGAGTGCATCGACACTATTACCTTCACGTATCGCTTCCCCCGCAAGAATCAGTCAACTGCCGAATATACGTTTTACTCGTCCCAAGACGAAAAGTAACAGCAGCACCACGACTATCGCTGGATTAGTGACCGCAAGCGCGAGGAGACCCGCCGCCGCCGCTTCAGCTGACACTGACGCACTCGGAAACGCAAGAAGCCCCACATCGATGGCCACAACCAACATTCCAACCTTAGGCGAACTCCATCCCAACAACTCAACCCATCCCTCTGTCCGTTCCTCCAAGGTAGAGGAGCAAGAGCCACTTCCCAGTGAAGGACCCTCTTTCAAGGAGGACAGCATAGCAAAGAGAAATAAGCGAGATACATCCATTGAATGGCCAAGCAACGATAACACCGTCATAGCACCTTCCTTCCAAGCTCTACCACGACAACAGCAGCAGCAGCAGCAGCAGCAGCAGCAGCCACTACAGCCGCAACAACAAAATTATGGCTCGTTAGCACCAGAGCTTCCCATCAGTAAATCAGACCAAATGGTCCCTTTAAAAGACTATGAAGAGCTTCGCTTTAAATTAAAGATATTAGAGATGAAAAGACAAGAAGATCGTGAGCGCTACCGAGAACACGAGAAAATCAAAGAGGATGCTGAACAATTTCTCACTTTACGGAATAAACTGCAAGATAAGATTACAGAGCTTCAAACGGACTTGCGCGATACCAAACGACAGCTGAAAGATTCGGACGCGGAGCGGGAGTCCTATGAAAGCAAATACAACGATCTTTTAGAGTCGTTGGAAATAATGACGGTCGACAAAGAGGTAGCTGAGGAGAGAGCTGAAACCCTGCAGCAAGAAGTGAACCTATTAAAAGACAAAATAGAAGAGTTAACCGTAGATTTGGATATACTGAGAAAAGAGACAGACATTCTCCATCATGGGGCTGACGATGGAGAGAACACTCGTGTGCGATCCCAGTTAGAAGTGGTACAATTGGAGCGGCACAATGAGAGACTGAAGGAGGCATTGTTGAGGTACAGTAGAATTGTTCAAAACAGTATTCTTATCTATCATCAAGCTAAAACGTCAATAAAGGCTCCGTGATGCAACCGTCGCAAGAGAGAATGAATTGTATGATAAAGTGAAGGAATTAGAAAAAGAGAACAGCAAACGAGAGGAAACAAAACTACTTTATGATAAGAACAAAGAGAAGTTGGAAATGGCCGAGCTTACTATCGAGGAGTTGAAGCGACGCCTCGATGACGCGCTAGGCGCAGAGGATTTAGTGGAGCAGCTGACTGAGAAAAATTTAGCACTCACGGAGAGTAATGAAGAACTGCGCGCAACCATAGATGATTTGGAAGCGTTGAAGGAACTTGCGGATGAACTAGAGGAAAACCATGTAGAAACTGAAAAACAATTCCAAGCAGAGATAGGTAAGATAAGAAACAAAAGCATAGCAGACCCCCCCCCCAAAATGTCGAGCATTTACCAGTAAGTATTTTTTGTATCGTTAGACCACAGAGATATGCTGTTGAGAGAGCAACTTGAACGACTTCGAACATCTGCTGAAACAATTGTCGATTATGAGGCTACCATTCAACAGTTCAGAGAACTCGTCACCACACTGCAGAGTGACCTGGAGCATTTACGTACGAAAGAATCGGATCAACAATCAGAACAGCAAAGTCTAAATAGTCGGTCCCAGGCCATGATGTCTCTTAACCTACAGCTTCAATCGACCGTCGTCAAAGCACAAGCAAAATCCATTGACCTTGAGCTAAGAAAATTGGATGCGTCTCAGGCAAGCGATCGATTGACCTACATCCAACCCTATCTACCCGACTCATTCTTCGAAACAGAGAATGATGCTGTATCATGCCTTTTGCTTTTCAAACGATTGGCTTTCAAGGCTGATTTAATTGTGAAGCATTTGGATCAAGTTCACCCTATTGCAGAAAATCTTATAGGAACGATACCACAGAACTTGGTCTTGGTGTGCGAGATTCGGCAACGTGCTGGATGGCTAGGTAGCTTGAGTAAGCGGTTCGTCACATTTATTACCCACTGTAAGCCTTTGGTATTCATCAAGATGGGGCAAGTATATCATAATCTGATCGGAACAGAACGGCGATTAAGTGGGCTTATAGAATTGCTACGAAATAATGATATGAACGAAGCAGATTACATTTCTGAACTACAGCGACTGATAGCACAATTAGAGCATCTAGCTGAAGTTTATCTGTCAGACACTGAAGAGACGACTCATACTGACCAGTATTATGGCCTTATAAGAGCTGTGGATTTGAATGCAGATAGCCTGACAGTGGAGCTCAGTTATATTAAGCAGACTATTGAACAGGCTGCAAAAGAACAAGGTAATCCAAGTTTATTCAATTCACCTTTTTATAGATGCTTACAGCAAAACTTCTGGACTGGTAGAGATCATCATTACGGAGGGGTCCGAATATCTCGAGTATGATTTCTTGGAGCCAATCGGACGTCTTATTGTCCAAGCAAAGACCAACAAAATTTTGGCTAGGTAAGTACCACTCTGAAACCCTCCTCGATTCAATGCTTACCGTTTATGCTGTCCTTTATAGAAAGCTACTACGCCAATTGGATGATTTATCAGAGCAAGCACTTACTTTGAAGACAGAGTATTTGCATCAGTTCAGGACATTAAATTCAATGGCACTGAAGCTCGGAAAATTCTGTTATACTGTATATAAGCAAATCATTGCTTATATTGAATCCAAAATTGACAGTAAAGAAGAGATAACCTTGAAAATAATGCAGCAATCCATCTTCACAACCACGGAGGATGTATTGGAAGTCGCCGAAAGCAATATGTGGGAAGGCTGTTTAAGAATTTTAAAATCATTAACAAATGAACTTAACAATACATTGGACCGTGTATTAAATGAAAGTAAAACCAGTAAGAGTAAGTAGAAGAGCTTGGTTCCTAAGATAGAAAACAATCATTGCGGTTTTGAAATGTTAATTACATTTGTAGTTGCAACCGTTGTTGCGCCATGGATTCAACGAGCGTCGAGCTTAAAGGCTGAAATAACGATGCATCAAGATTTGGAAAGAAAACTGCAACAACATAGTGACGAAATTGTCAAACTGATAAAGGACATCAAACTAAAGGTAGCCCTAAAATAAGTTACCTGATGAACCCTCGCTGTCCGTCGAACTTACTCTGTTATTGAAATAGGATCAATTGTTGCAGGAATCTAATGTCAAAATTGAAATATTGGAAAAGCGTATGGAAGTTGCTAAAAAGCAGGCAGAACAAATTGCCTTACTAGAAGAATCACTCAATAAATCGCAGACACAAGAACAAATATATGCTGAGGCCATAGAAAACCTTCGAACGGAGTATGAGACACTTGAACAGGAAAACTCAAAGTTGAAGAAAGACATGGCCAGCAAATCAGAGGAAAAGAAATCAATGCCAAAGCAGAGTATCGATCTAAGTAGTGCCACGAGGGGTTCAGTAGTTGATTTTGCAGCAGATATAGGCGAAAATGGCCCTGCTCAATTATACAGGCTTGGACTGCAAGTAGAAACGTTACAAACGGCTATCCGTTACTTACGCGTTGAGAATGCTTATCTGAAAGCCACCGATGCTGCTCGAACGCTTGAGCTAGACAGCCATAGTGCTACGTCAATTATTGACAGACCAAATCAAAAACAAAGCGATAAACCTTGCAAATCGCTGATAGTCAATTATACTAACGAAGCACGAAGGCTCGTTAAAGATGCACGCGCTGCCATTGCCACACCGAAAGTGGTTCGACTTTCACCAGGCGCGCGCGGTGGTAAATGGCAAAGTAAAGAGCAATTACCATACTATAATCATTATATGCAGAAGTCCGTTCTTTATACAATTCAACAGAGGTGTGAACAACTCAAAAAGAAAGTAGCCATTGTATCACCCACTTGTCTGGAAAGACCTTTTAGAGCAACAGGCTTTACAAAGGTAATGTCGCAGTATCATAAAAGGCGTTTGACAATGAATTGAAATTACTGTCTCTCGCAAGTACAACTTTTGGTTATTCATCTGAATACTTTCCTATTAGGATTGCAGTAAAAAGGAGCCCTATTCTCAAACGTTGATCAAGATACAGCTGCCAAACAGGAACGAATCAATGAATAATAGATGTATTCAGTTAAAGAGTCTATCCGAATTTGAAAAAGTTCACAGCATCTTCACGGCTTGAATACTCTCTTGTATGAAAAGCAGTTAATCTCTGTTTTTGTAAATTGTAAGTTATTGTTGTTGTTTTTTTAAAATGCAGAAAAGATAAGTTTAGAAGAAACAGATCAAAGATAAATTGATGGAAGAACGATAATAACATATTATTTAAAATGATGACAATAAAAATGAAGAATAATTACTAAAAATAAAATAAAAAAGCTAATAAACGATAGGGCTAAAAAAAAAGGGGGAAATAAGGCTTAAGCTGAGGTCTTGATAGTAGCTTTGTGAACATCTTCAATATGAACGCAGACAGGCTCTTCGTCACTTTTATGTGAGCGCACCTCTCTCAAGAACTCGTCAAACAGATACACAGTATCTTGAGGGCCACCTTTAGCCTCGGGATGGAATTGAACAGAGAAGATGGGTTTAGTTTCGTGCTGAATACCTTCATTAGAGCTATCATTAGCATTGACAAACATACGCTTCCATCCTTGAGGCATAGACTGATCATTGAGAGCATAACCATGATTTTGTGAAGTGATATAGCATTTTGCAGTATCAACATGAAGAGCAGGTTGATTGTGTCCACGGTTACCAAAAGGCAACTTGTACACTTGGAGTCCAGCGGCAATACCCAACAAAAGGTTACCCATACAGATACCGAATATAGGCTTCTTAACAGTTTCTATAGCAGTCTTAAGATGCTTGATTGTTTCGACACAAGTAGTGGGTGAACCGGGGCCATTTGAAATGAAAATGCCATCAAATTTGTCAGCAACCGAAATGAAGTCATAATTATGAGGTAATACAGTGATGGCTGCCCCTCGTTTAGCTAAACAACGCAAAATATTGTGTTTAACGCCGCAATCAATCACAGCAATCTTGACATCACCTTTACTGTTGTAAGTAATAGGTACTTTGGTAGACACTTTAGCAACGAGGTTCTCTTCATTGGGATTCGGGAACGACAAAGAGTTTATATCATTTAGATAAGCTTTCTCACCGACACATAACTGTGCCAAGGTAGAGCCTTGATCACGCAAAAGTTGAGTTAAAGCACGAGTATCTACACCAGAAATGGCTGGGATATTGTGGCGAGTACACCATTGACCAAGAGATTCTACAGCAGTCCAGTGAGAATATTCGGTAGCATAATCGTTCACAACGATACCCTGGACTTGAATGGTACCTGACTCAAAATACTTGTAAAGGCCAAACTCGTCCGTCTCTTGGCCTGGTACACCATAATTACCAATGAGAGGTTGAGTAAACACCAGAATTTGACCAGTATAAGAGGGATCTGTCATAGACTCCGGATAGCCAACAACGGATGTTGTGAAAACAGCTTCACCAAAAGTTGAGATAGGCGCACCAAAGGAAGTCCCATGAAAAATTTGACCTGTTTTCAACTTGAGTGAGGCAGGAATTAAATGGTTATCGATAGTAGTAGGCATTGTTTTCTTTTAGTAATTGGAATTGAATTGATAAAAAGGGAAGATGAATAGATTTAATTGTTTGCTGTAGCTTTCCAGACTAAAAACATGAGTAGATGATGATTAATGACGAATATATATTGCAGCAAGAGTGATGATGATGTAAAGAGGTATTACTTACTTTGATCGCAAATGTAATCGGCTGAACACTTTTCGTATGCGTGAATATACATAAATTTACTTTAAAGTAAAGATTGAATGCTTTTCAATTGCTTAAGCAATGAATTGAGTACAAGGAGATGTGCTTTTTTTAAATGAAACTTTACTGATCCGAAAGGGAAAAAAAGTTACAAAAAAAATCTGGGGTACGAAAAAACAATTTTATACATTCCATCTTTTTTTTTTCTGTGACTGGTTAACATTCATAGCCTTTTTAATTTGAATCAACATGTGTCATACGTACAAAACATACAGAAGTCCCACAAAAATCGTCAGCCACTAAGACCATTTCGTAGTATTACTGCATGTTAAACTACCATAAAAAAAAACGAAAGGGAAGCTTGGAAGCAATCATGAAGAATGAACTGAGAGTTATAAAAAAAGTTGTGTTATGTTACCGTTTTCAGTAAATACTTTTTAGAAGAATGACGCTATCTCTCTCTGTTTTTATCGTGGCAGTAAGATTCAAACTCCGTTATAAACTGGAGTAAAAAAGATGGAGAAACCGAGGATTGAACTCGGGACCTTTTCTATGCGAAAGAAATGTGATACCTCTACACCATTTCCCCAACTTGTTGAATGACAAGTCCCGTAGCTAATTTATCGGCTCACTACAGCGGGCTTCAAATTCTTGCCCAATTTAGTAGGTCAGATGTCAAAACCCTCGGGCATTTGTGCCTTCGGTCCAAGCCATCCGGGCATGCACCCTTTCCTTGGTCTTTCTTCCCTTTTGCTATTTATGGTATTTACCTCTATGCTTATGAAAATGTTTAACTATGAATTCAAGATCAAATTACACAAATGACTATTTATATATATTTTTTTTATGTTTATGTTAACTTAGGGCAATTTGCACGATATAAAAGGACTTAGGATTTTTAATATAATAAAATAGGCTCTTCGACCGCAAAAGTTTTTTTTCTTAAATTTTTTTTACTTAGACTATTTTTCTATTTCTTAAGGTTCGCTTAAGGGGGAGGGATACACACTCAAATGGTTCCCAATTATCTAACCGATAATTCTGACACAATAGGGCCCCCTCACTTGACATGAATGTGAGATGTGGAATTCGGAGTTATCGAATAACAGCAAGGTCTTTCGGAGTTAAATTAGTAGAATACACGTGATATATCATTGGAAACTATTGTAAAGAAAGTTATTATATAATGCAAGGAGCGATTTTGAGATATCGTAGTAGATCGGAAGTTAAATCAGATAACTTAGTGTTGTATTTGCTTATTTAAAAAATTGATAACAGTTGTAAGTCGATGACTATGAACTTAGGTGTCTTTATTATTCTTCAGATGAAGTAGAAGGATTATTTACTTTGTGAGGTTTAATGGGAATTATATTATTTGAGGATGCGTATGCTAGTCACTAATTTCAGGTTCAGATGCTTATTGGGTGATTATTATACTTAGGCCTATATCTTGTTCTATGTTGTACATAACCTATATTAGATGCAATATAGATAGACCGTGGTAGAATGTATTCTCTACCTGGTTGTACGTACTCGAGTATTGTAGTTATTATCTCACCAAACACGTCACTTAGAAGTAGACGCGTGAGCTCTCTTCCTGACAAGAGACAACTAAAGTTTTTAGTCTTATAATTATTATTTTCTATCCATCCGATTGGAAAGATACATCCATTACGTTTATTTGATTGCTTGTATAAAAAGAATCTACACGTTTAACCTCATTATATTTATTGAATTTGTCCCTGGATTTTTACCGTCGGTCTATTACAAATCTTGTCAATTGATATAGTTACTAGTATTTGCATAGTAGCAGGTTTACACACGTAATATGAAAATTTATTTTTAAAAAATTGATGATCAAATAAAATTTATTAGTCACGTGCTTGCACGGTGCGTAATTTTTTCTCTTCGGTTGATATTCCGTATACATTCCAACGTTCCAATGCATGAATGTGCCGTTAATAAACGTTGATTCCAAGATCGATCACCTTTTCATCCGGCAATGTCAAAAGTTCCCTCTTGTAACCATTCAGAGGTGAGCAGTCCATCCAAACGTCAATTTGGTACCGAAGCCGAGTCGAGCTTTTCTATTTCTACCGATTTTACTACCGATTACGATAATGGATCTGTTTCTGCCGCAACCGAGGATCCAGACCTACGCGAAGTGTTCAATGCACTTTTAGAATTGGAAGCCAGGAGTCAGCCTGAAAGCTTTCAACAGAATAAGGAAAAAATAGAAAATGCTATTATTATAAACGAAGAGATGCAAGCTTTCGCAGAAGAGCAAATCTTACAAATTGATTTGATGCTTAAAAAGAACACAAGCTTAATGGTTAGTTCGTATTAAACCCTACTTTGCTGATATAGTCGATAAATAACTAACAGCTTATCTTGAAAAGAATGAAGCTAGCCAAATAGCCCTTATAGAAAAAAGAGCCTGTCAACCATTTTTGATTCATAAACGATACAGAAAAGAAGCAAACTATTTTGATGGAAATGAAGTATTGAGACCATCAAGTGCGAATTCTGAGAGTAACGCTAATAATGAAACCGACCAGACGATAGAAATTTCCGAGAGCACAGACTTACTGTTAGAAGAAAATGAGAGTGATGAGGACGAAACTGTGCACGAAGAACAGGATGATGATACAGAAAAAAATTCGAAGATTTGTAAGTGTTAAAGCATTACCCTTTTTCTATTTTGATTTCAATGAGGGGAATATTAGTATTCTCATATAACCTTATGCGTTCTATAGGGTCGTTAAGAGAAAGAAGAATGTTGGAGGAAGGGATACTATCCGAAGCGAAGCGGATTCTTTGCCTTGAATTTGTGCAAAGGTAAATGACGATACTTGATCTTGTAGTAATAATGTATTAAAGTCTATATCCCTTTCGAATTAGAAACGAACCATGGCGTTTTTGGGAAGTTGAGAAAATGGATAAGCACCAATTAAAGAGCTTTGATGTGAGTCGCCTTGACTGGCAGCGTATTAGCAGTATGCATGTAAAGTAATGATATTGAGTAAAATGAAACTTGCAAGAAGCAAAGTACTGATGTAGAATAACTTTTTAGGTTATTACCAAAACCGCTACAGAATGCTTGATTCAATGGACAACACAAGAGCATCCCTCTATAAACAAAAAGCCTTGGTCTAAACAAGAATCTGAGCGACTATCGCAACTCGTCGACGAAATTGGACTCAATAGTGGACAATGGGAGTTGATAGCCAATCGCCTTGGAACAAACAGAACGATTGCACAATGTTTTTCACATTATATGTTTGAGAAGAACAATGATAACTCCAAAAAGAAATGGACAGCAGAAGAGGACAAACTACTCGCAAGAGGTGTCAAAATATTTGGCAATCATAACTGGCAAATGGTCGCATCTATTATGGAAGGGCGTACTGGACAGCAGTGTTTGCATAGATGGCAGAAAGCTATCAACCCCACCATAATTAAGAAAAAGAAATGGTCAGAAGAGGAAGATAATCAATTGAAAAGAGCAGTTCAGTTATATGGTGCGGGACAATGGAAGAAAGTACAGCGTTTAATACCAGGAAGGACAGATGCACAATGCCGCGAAAGATATATGAACGTTTTACACCCTTCTCTTAAGAAAGAACCTCTGACAGAGGAAGAATCTAAATTGCTAATGGATTTGATCCGTCAACACGGAACGAAGTGGTCCTATTTGGCGAGATTAATGCCTGGAAGAACTGATAATTTTCTCTTGAAGCAATATAAGCGTATAATCAGAGAGCAGCAAGGCAAAAAGAAAAAGAAAGCTTCAGACGGAGAGCAGCAATCGAAAGCTCCAAGCCTTGAAAAAGAAGAGCATACAGAGACGTCGAAGAAGAGAATTAGCAAAGGGAAAACCGCAAAAAAAGCAACTGCCAAAAAGGCAGCTGCAAGACCATCTAACTCTGAAAAGGATACTTTTAATAAACGCTCACCTCATGGAAATGCCATGAAGGCGAGAATAATAGATACCACTGGAACTGATGATAGAGAAACAGTATACAATTTAAGGAGCAAAAAGAGAAAATTAAAAAACGCATGAATCATATACCCGAATTCTGGACATACCAAAGCTACAGTAAATGGTGGCTTATCAACATTTTCTTACTGCTTAATTATATTCTATTTATTTTTATTGTAACGCTTTACACACTTGAACTCTTTATTCTACGTTAATAAAGACCATGGTAGATTGCATAACAGTTTTTGCTATGCTGCCTGTACCTAACTTTTTTAACAATTACCTGTAGACGGGCGAACACGTTGAAAAGGAGAACGATAATCAAAAGCATGGTATTAAAGAAAATCTCAACTGGAAAATAAACTATCTTGCCGCACAGGTAAAGCATCGGTCAAGCCTCAGTAGCAATGCAACTATACAAACACAGTTTTCTTTATCAATGTAGGCAGGTGAAAAGACTCATTTGAAAGTAGCGCTTATTGCCGCTTCAAGAGCAAAACATCATAAGATACACAATAATCAGATCGCTGATTTAGATCCAGAAGTTATAAAGAAAGAGCTTTTAGCTGCCAGGAAGTTGAAGTTGGAAACAAAATTGGTATGGTCACTAGAATTCACTTTATAAAGCTTAATGAAACTTCACTAAGACTGTAAAATAGTATCATGCACGAAAGGATCTCAGAGGTGCACTGAAGAAAGCTAGGACAGCAGAAATACAAAAGCAAATCAAGAAAATCAAATCTACACGGACGTTATTAGATGAAAAAAACGATGAATCAAAGGAGGATACACCGAAGGACAAAAAACCCAAAAAAGAAGTGTCCGAAGAGGATCTAAAACTGTATGAAAAGGAATTAGAAATTCTAAAGGTAAACTTCATTCGAGGCCATTATTCGAAGGGGATATGTTCATTCATTTAACTTTTTTTTTGCCATATGATCAGAATATAGAATTGGATTCGCTTGTGGATAGGACCTTGAAGAAGAAATTGCAAAAGCATCCCGAATTGAAAGATGACGAGCTTATTAAAGACACAATTATATCCTCACTCAACACGCAAAAAACAGATGATTTGACAGTGCAGAATATCGAATCACGATTATTAGCCAATAAGAGTATCAATGCTGAAGTGGCTGAAAACATCAATGGTTTCTATACCATTATTAAGGGAAATATCGAGAAAATAGAACAGAGAAAACAAGAAGCGCAAAAGAGAAAGGAGGCAGAAGAAGCAAAAAAACGTAAACTTGAGGAAAACGGACAGAATCCGAAAATGAAACGTTCAAAAACAGATGCATCTTCAGAATTTACGGACAGTTTGGGAATACCAAAGGGGCCTTATAAGTATGATGAAACTAAGGATGAATTCTTCCAGAAAATATATGAAGGCAAGAAGAAGCCCAACAGACCTGGGCAAAGGCAACGAAGAAAGTATGTAAATTTGTTTCTATTGACACTTTCATCATAAAGCTCATCTTCTGTTAAATTATAACTAGGCAATGGGAAGAACTATATGGCAAGGATGCAAAACATATACAATCAGAGTATGAAAAACGTGAAGAAAAGCGCCGTGCTAAGCCTGACTATAAACCCCCCAAGAAGAAACAAGCGCCTGCAGCTCACAGGACGAAAGCTGCACCCGCTGCTTCTGCTGAGCCTGTACATCCTTCATGGGAAGCAAAGAGAATGCAAGAAGAAATCATGTCGAAAGCTCTTAGTGGTGAAGGCCCAAAAAACAATAAAATTGTTTTTTCTGATGATTAAAAAAGAACTAATAAAGCTCTCAAGTCATTTATACCCGCAGTTAACTTCTTTCTTGCGTCTTTACAACATTTCACTTCTTTGAATGTATAGTTGCCTGGAAGTATATATCATTTGGGGTTGTTGAATCGCAGAGGGAAAAAAAAAACCTCTGTTTTCCTCTCTTTGTTCACCCATATCAGCATCCCTTATTTGGCTTTTAACTGTTATCATTTTCTGAACTTGCAGGTTTCGCACTGATTGCTTCCTTTTTAGTCACGACAATAAAAGCTTGAAACAGTAGTATATTTATGTAGCAGTGCTGTCAATTATTCACTCATCTGCAGTTTCAAAAGTATTTGTATATAGCCATAATAAGCTACATTTCTTCCTTAACTGCTTTAACTGAAGCTAATTAAAAGTTTCACGTCTTCAAACGCATTGTACAATAAAAGACCTATTTGAATCGAAGGTACAAATACTAGCAACTCTTCTGTTTTTATCGTCTTTTTTGCATATAAGTTGCTGCAATATAATGAGTACAGTTGGAAGTACTGAGAATTCGTTGTAAATACAGCCTCTACGTAGACGCACGGTTATCGGAGATTAAATTTACTTTCGGCTTCTCTTAACATCCTATTTTTTGGCAAAACCATATACATAACTAGAAATTACACAACTACTCTTCCATCCATCCATCCATCAGCGATAAGAATATGGTATGCATCCATTGCTCAAACATTCAGTTATTATCCACCTTGTTTGTGTCTTAAGCATTAATTCTATTTTTTATCAATCACAGTCTCACAGAAAGTACGAAGCCCCCCGTCATGGTCATTTAGGTTTCGGTCCTCGTAAGAGAACCAGATCACATCGCGGTCGCGTTAAGGCGTACCCCAAGGATAATGCCAAACTCCCTGTTCATTTAACTGCCTTCATGGGTTATAAGGCTGGTATGACTCACATTGTTCGTGATCTCGAACGTCCTGGATCCAAGATGAACAAGAAGGAAATTGTTGAAGCTGTTACAGTCCTTGAAGCTCCTCCCATGGTCGTTGTTGGTATGGTTGGTTATGTTGAAACTCCTCGTGGCCTCCGTTCTTTAACTACTGTTTGGGCTGAACATCTTTCTGAAGAGGCTAAGCGTCGCTTCTACAAGAACTGGTATCGTTCTAAGAAGAAGGCCTTCACCAAGTATGCTCAAAAATATGCTGAAGGTGCTAAGGATATTAACCGTGAAACTGAACGTATCAAGAAATACTGTTCCGTTGTCCGTGTTATTGCTCATACTCAAATTTCTAAGGCTAAAATCCATCAACGTAAGGCACATATCATGGAAATTCAATTGAACGGTGGTTCTGTTGCTGATAAGGTTGAATGGGCTCGTGAGCACTTTGAAAAAGAAATTACTGTTGGCTCTGTTTTCGAACAAGATGAAATGATTGATATAATCGCTACTACCAAGGGTCATGGTTTTGAAGGTGTCACTCATCGTTGGGGTACCAAGAAATTACCTCGTAAGACTCATCGTGGTCTTCGTAAGGTTGCTTGTATTGGTGCCTGGCATCCCAGCAGAGTTATGTACTCAGTTGCTCGTGCTGGTCAACGTGGTTATCACCGCCGTACTGAGATTAACAAGAAGATCTACCGTATCGCCAACGGTTCTGACGCTAAGTCAGGTTCTACTGAATACGATTTGACTGAAAAGAAGATTACTCCCATGGGTGGCTTCCCTCACTATGGTGAAATCAATGAAGATTTCGTCATGATCAAGGGTTGTTGTGCTGGTGCCAAGAAGCGTGTTATCACTCTTCGTAAATCTTTAACAGTGCATACCAAGCGTTCTGCTTTGGAAAAGGTTTCTCTCAAATTTATCGACACCTCCTCCAAGTTCGGTCATGGTCGCTTCCAAACTCCTGCCGAAAAGCATCAGTTCATGGGTACTCTCAAGAAGGATCTCTAAACGATGCACCACTGCTTGTTGCATAAATTTATTTATAAATAAATCATTCTCTTAAAGGCATGAGTTGTGTCGTAAACACAGGCACAACAATAATCACACATTCAGTTTGTTTCTGCTTTTTTCTCTGGTTAATTTTTCAATTTTGAATTGTGTGAGGGTTATCATTGGCTTTTGAGTGGGAATCAGACGATCATACATTAACCTTTCGAGCAAGTTCACTCATCATACTCAACAGGTCTTGGATAGTAAATTCCAAATGAACTCCCGTGTCAGGGTAGCATTTGCTTATCAACTCTTCCATCTTCTCGTGTTGGCGAATGAACTCTTCTTGGATTCCTCGCCATACGACTTGTAATAAGCCTTCCTCTTCTGTGAAGTGCTTGTCTACACGCTTGTAAAGTTGCTCTAGTGATTTCTTGATTTCTTTGGGCGGATACATAGTGATGACCTTACGCAGTTGCGTTTTGTTGTAGTTCATGTGAAAAGCGACTTCTTCGGGAGTATTTGTATGGGTCATCTGTTCAACACCTTCGAAGAATTCGAGTAACTTTCCAAGAGGACGACGAATAATCACTTTGATGTAAGAACTTAAGCTACTATCATACTGGCTCTTGGCATGTTTGATCCATTTTTCAAGGACATGTAGCTTGTTTGTACGTAAAGAGTTGTACATGTGATGCATATTTTCTTTCGTTCGGTGCAGAAGTAGAAATGTGTCAGTGAATATTCTATTGATTATCATATCTGATATTGCAGTACTCACCAATATACATTATTGTAGCATTCAGCTGTTCTTTATCATCTCCCACTTGGTCACTTTCGCGAGCAATACTATCCAAACTTCCCATCATAGCCTGAATAATCTTTTCATAAGCCTGGTTAACAGTAACGCGTGTTTCTGATTCCGGCTGAACATTCATTGCAGCTATTTCTAAACGCACAGCAAGGACAGGGAACGTCCTAAAGAATGACAAAATACCGATACGCTTTTTCGTGGTTACCTTCGTGTCTTCAATAATACGAACCTGATCAGACTGAAAGCAAAATGTATTTTATGGTAACATTAATATTGCGCTTAATTAGTCATTCAAAATACTTAATGCTTACTATGAAATTGTTGAATATCTTGGTTAGCCTTTGCAGTAGTGATTTGCATAGTCTTAACGCAAATTCTTGATCAGAACCCTCCCATTTTTCCTGCTGATATTCAACAGCACCCAGCATACTAACGGCTTGACTAGAAAGACAAATTGCATTGATTAGCATAAATTTCAATTCAATAAAATGGCAACTCTTGCTTACGTAGGATCGCTTTTTACACCATACTCCAGTAGATCAACAAGACTAGGTTCAGTATTCTCAAAAATTATCTCCATCAACGACCTACAGAATTCAATTATTAAGTAGGAACTGCCTCATTCCATCAATTTGCCTATCTTACAAGATCTTTTTCGCAACTTTAACATCCTTGATCTTATCTCTACGACTATAAAGATCACTTTTATATGGCACTTGAGAATATACCATCCCTCTTTCCAAAAATGATTTGGGCCCTGTCACAGTCAGTCCGAACAAATCACACATATAATTTTGCTCTCTGCTAACAAGCATTATAGCTTGACTAATCATCTGTGTAAATGCCTAATATGAAGAAAATATACATATTGTTTGTTAAGGATGTACTGCCCTTTGCGAATAGAATAGGAGCTTACATCGTCAGCCGCCTTTTCATCCTCATCAATACTTGAGCGATTGCTACTACTAAATCCTCCACCCATCACACCCTCTACAGATTCACGAAGCATGTGTCGATAACGATGCGGACGTGAATCATCATTGCCACGCAGGGTAGGTGCATAAGCTAAGGCTCTCACTGGACGCGAATCGTCAGCTTTGAATACTAGACGGGGAAAGGGCAATCAGTGTTTCTGCTATTCAATGTGATCAGGCACTGACAATTCTTACGATATTCAAGGTCATCAACACTTCTCTTCCTTAGAGCAGCGTAAAAAAATCGAGTGGCATCAATCAAATCGCGAACATCACGCTCGTAAAGGGGTGCCATCGCTTGCGCATAGCACTAATACAAAATAACAACGATGATGAGCTGACGCTTCAACAGTACTTTTCAAATTGTACCCAAAAATCAGATGTTTACCCTTTGAAGCTCATTGAACATGCGCGGCTCCATTTCTTTTTCCCATAGATTAAATCCTTGATATTTAATTAAATGATCTTCTATATGTTCATGAGGGTGAGCTACAATAGCTTGTTGGACATTATTACTGCCGCCACCTTTTCTATTACTGGCTGGTGAAGTCCTAGCTCTCTGTTCTGCATAATTTCTTGCTTGAGTTTCGAATTGGTCTTTGAGAAACTTGTAGATTCTCTCACTGAACTTATTGCTGTAAATATTGTAAGATTCTAGCCGTTGCTGTACTGCTACCATATCTTGCAATCCATCTTCAAGTTTGGATTTAATTACTCTTTGGAGCATTTCGGCGGACTCTTGTATACGAATCACATCATCCACAGTGTCCATAGGGTCATTCTGTAAACTATCAAGGCATTTTCTTGGTATAGATATGGTTGTCTATAGGAATATTGATTGAAAACAGGAAAAGTGTAATGTTAATAGCGCTCCAAAGCTGCTACAAAAAAGAAATCCTCATGCTTGTTCTCTCATCCTTTGTGTACCAGTAAGCTATCTAATTCAGCCATTAAAGCACGTTGATTTGAATTCAGAATTTGAAGAGCTCTATTTTGTATTTCAATCTCACGGATATCATCTCCCATGCTCTGTTGATATAAGAAAAGAGAAAGAATAAGAAGATTTAATGTTTAATTATTAAGTAATCAGCAAAAAATAACAATAGATGAATGTTAGAATAAGATTGAATGAGTGTATAATAGACATGAAAGAGGGGTTAAATGTCAAAAGCGTAAAAACAAATAAACAAAAAGGCAGCAAAATTACAATGGGAAAAGCAGAGAAAGAAACAATATGCGTAGAAAGCGTATAGTGGAGTGCAGTATATAGTAGTAAATTAGATGGTCTCTGATTTCTCATTACTTACATTAAGCTCGGCCCCATATAATGATAACCAATTCTCCATACTATCCAATTCTGCTAGGGACTTATCAATGTGTTCAACAATGGATCTGACACGTTCATCTGATTGAATAATAGCATGTACATTGGCCTAAGAACCAAGCTATGTGAATTAGTCATATTTCTTTTTCTTTGCAATAAGCTGATACATGTTTACTCACGGCTTCTAATGCGTGCAATTCACCAGTGAGTCGCTTTTCAAGAGCGGCAGCATTACCACTTGCTTTCCAATTGAAATCTGTTAATAATTCTTCCACATTCATCAAAGAAGCCTGCTCAGCCATCTTTTCTTGTATCTCTTCTGCTTTTTTTTGACGTTGCTTCTCATCTTGTGCTTGTACCTCAAATCTTTCACGTTCCCTCTTCATTTCACGAGTCCTGTCTCTCTCTTTACGTTCATCATGTTGTTCAATACTCGGATTATATTCTTCAAGGGGTGCTAATATTTACCAAAGTTCTATTACTAAAATGCGATTGTACACCAAAGAGTTTCTATTTCGTAACTAGCATTTTACCTGGTAATTGATGTCGAGGCACAGGGGGGCCATCTGTAACTGGCTGTTGGGCAATAGGTATAATTTGGGGCTGTTGCTGTTGTAATGAAGCAGAAAGCGGCTGTTGATAAGTGTGCTGAGGTTGCTGCTGCTGATAGTAGGTTGTTGTTGGTGAGGCTGGTGGCTGGTCATTTGTTGATCTGTTTGACGTAGAAATATTAGAATTATTATGAAGTGAACTGGTCGAAGGCGAGCGTAGTGTGGAAGGTGATATCAAATCCAAATGACTACCGGATTTATCAGACATAATAGTGTTTGTTGAACCGCTCAAAGTAGGAGCAGAAGGATCAGCCAGATCTATTAATCCTTGAATCTGTAAGAAAAACAATTTCAGACTCTATTAACCAAGTATTGTTCAAGCTTACATCGCATTAGACGAGCTTCGTCAATATTGACCAACTTTGGCATTCGTGGCGCTGAGCGTCTACATGACTATTTAAAATCAAAGTATCAATAAGTTTTCAAAATTATATACGTGGTTGATGAGCTTACATCAATTAAAAAAGCCAAGAAGATCATTTTATCCCGTCCTCTTTCAACAGCCCATAGGTAAGACTTATTGACAGTAAACGAGAATTGATGTGACTATAATATGATAAGTGTGAGCAAAGAATACAAATGCCACATATATAATTGCTGTAAAAGCCTTTTACATCAACGTTGTTTATTTGCTTGATATCTTCCAGAGGCCAAGCTTTACTCGTGCTGAAAGTACCATTTTGATTTCTCTTCACCTTCAACAGGCGTACAGCATTCTTCTTTTCTAATGGTTAAGACCAAACATTCGTTTAGGCAAAAGGAATTAAAGTGACAATAAATGCTGGTTCACATACGAGATAAGCAAAGATAACGTGGTGTTCCTTTAATATCTTTACTGTTATCGGACGGCTGAATATCTTTGTATGTTTTCAAGTGAATAATTAATTTTTCGCCAGAGCCTACAAATTTGCGACCAGTATGTTAGAAATCTTAGATATATCATGATGCACTTAATAGTAAAGTACCCGAAGGAAAAAGGCTGGAGATTATCGCTTGTCTGATGTCAGACATCTTTGAGCTCGAACAAAAGTTGAGGAAGAGATGAAAGTATGCTAGAAACGAACTTTTTTGTTGTGCTAGCTTTTGGCATCAAAAGTTTAAGGTTAAACCCCGAATTAAATCGCCGGGAAATGCCTTTCATTTTCAAACATTTGAAAAGCCAAACAATAGATATATATGACATTACGGAGTGTATGTTCTGTTTATTGCAACGGGTTATGGGAGTAGAAAAATGAATACATTAGGCTAATGTGAAAATATATCAACCGATGATATAGTCATCGGCAGCCATGTATATCTCTTTAGAAAATGTGGTTTCAGAGTTATTTTCCACATTAGATACACTAATTACATCAACGCCAGAAAGTAGCTTGTCACTAATGAATGAAACCGTGACAGGGAAGAAACCGTTAGCATCATCACCAGGAATATTGCATTCTAACACGCCAGATTTGTTAGAGCTATTTATAACGGGTAGTTGCCATTCAAGTACTCTTCTTGCGCGATCAACCACGTAAGATCCGTCTACTTGTGTAACATCAGCTGTTGGTTCAGCACTAAAGACAGGAGAATGCCAAGTTTATCAACATCAGCTTACTATTTTTCAAATCGAATGTGCACTTACGATAAAGGAATACAAATAATAACTTCACGCAATTCTAAAGCTTCATTTTCTAATTCATATTCGACGTTCACATCACATGTACCATTACCTGAAGGTGAGGGCCAGCATGTAACTAATGTTGGCATGAGAAAGATTGTGAGCACTTTCAAATAGTAATAGAGCTATAAATCAAAAATATCACTAACTTGTCAGGGGCATGAGAGTTTCATCTCTAGTTATTAACTTCCATTTCACGACTTCCAAATTATTATTTGTAGGAAAGGGTCTCGATAAATCTCTCATTTGCACAATCTTTTGATCTTTCCAAGCGTTTTTATCCACATTAGGATGGGTCTTAAATTGGATAGATGTGTCATCACTCGATTGGAGTGCAAGGCTAATACGAGCATTATCAGGATCAGTAATCTTTAATGTTAAAACACCTCTTACGTCAATCTGCTCTAGTCCACCATCTTTGTTGGCTGTAACTGATATACGTTCCTCGATATCAATGTGAACACTATTACAAATGAGGTAAGTAGATGAGCGGTTGCTACTAGCTTGAGCGTGCAAGGTACTTTACCCTTCTTGGTTAACAGTCTTATGATTTGTGGCGGCAGGAGCTCCAAGGAGAGGCTCTTCAACATCAGGTTTAATGGCTTCAAAAAGATCAGCAGCCTTGGCCTTACGGCCAAGTTTCATACCTCTTGCTTTAGAAGTAGCAGAAGGTGTAGCACTAGCAGAGCGACTACAAGAAAAAGTAGAACCGGTCAATCAAACTGAAATTGAATACTCTGAATATCCTTTACTTTTTAGCTTTGTTACCTATATGATGAAGGGGATTCTCTCATAGAAGGCATATTATCCAAAGCGGGAGAGTAGGCTCCACCACCGCCGTAACCGCCACCCATACTGTAGCTGCTACTGGAGTTGAAGTTGCCTTGCATGAATCCTTGACCACGTTTCTGAGCTTCCTTTCTTTGCATTTCAAATTGCTTAGCTCGCCTCTTTAGTTCTTCCTTGGCTTCTTGTTCTTTATTCTATACGTTTTTATGCAAGAACAAATATAGATTAAATTACAGCACTCGTTTAGTTGAGACTCGACATCACAATATAAATAAATCATACAAAATAGTTATACCTTAGCAATAATCTCTTGAATTCGTTCCTCGTGGCTTTCCATTTCAATGGAGCTCTTCACTTGGGACAAGTTGACATTTTCTCTATAACCAACTGAGATAATTTCGTCGAAAGCGCATAAGAGCTCGAAAGCGTTACGAAGGATGTGGCTTTCATCGCAGGAACGACAAATGTCAGTAACCACACGAGCGAATAAATGCAGTGATTCAATATCTTGCAAGATGTTGGACTACAATTGTTGACGTTATTGATTTAGCTTGTATGATTCTTCTCCTTCTTCGTAACTACTTAAATTCGCTTAGAAGTTGAATCAGAAGTGCTTTTACCTGACGGTTAGTGATCAAAACCATAAATAACTCGTCTAAAGGTTGATAAACGAAGCGGACATGTTCAGTTTCGACAGTTGTATGTTGTTGACCTGTGCTGGTTAGTTTGGGAAAAGAAGATAAAAGTCCTTCGATACGAGAACGTTGCATCTCATGAAATTGACGGGAAAGGACAGCTGTTCATCCAAAGAATTAGCTTAACGTTTGGTTCATCATAAATTGTAATTCAAGTACCTTTTCCACTTTTAGTAACAACAGCAGCAGCTAATACGACCTTTTATAGTTTGAGTGTCAGTAAACACTAAATAGTCTGTGTAGGCTTTACTATAAGGACATAGCTCAACGTACCATTTTGCTCTTATCTTCTATTCACAATAAATGTTAGCGGCAACGCGATGAAAGGTGGTTTTCAAACTTCCAACACTTCGCTGCTGTCTTCAATTTGAATTCAACCCACGACTTTAATTCAACCCACGCCTTGCTTGCGCTCCTGCTATTTTGGTTAAGTATTGATTCCTAAATTTGCGACAATTATTCGAAATCTTACGGTCCCCAATAACTGTCTGCCGCAGTACACTATTTCTTTTGCTTAACGCTTCCAAAGCCATTGTGATGAAGATATGTATTCCTTTATATACCAATCTACATCGAACTTCGAATGAACAGTCAATAGTAGTTAGAAAGTTAAGGCAAATGCTTGATGAAAGAAATAAGAATATAATTTATTTATTCAAAAAATTAAAAAAAAGAGGTATTAAAGGAAAGGTTATACAATGGGGGTTTGAACACGTAACCGAAACAATTGGTTTGCATTTTGTTTCAAGGATAATTGCTGCTTAAAGTCTTTTTTGATATTGACTTCTTTGATACCGTCCTGTGTCTTCTTTGAATTCATGGTTATTTTGTCACCACTAGTAATCATCAATGGATGTCTTCTTTCTTTTCTGTTGCGTTGCAAAGATTCATAATGAAGCACTGGCTCTTCGGGTTCATGTTCCTGTGTTTTCATCATTGCCTTTTCTTCGTTTGTCTTCATCAAGTATGATTTTCTTGAGAGTTGATGTTTTTTCCTATACACAGACAGAAATCTTCTTTGACCGATGTTCATATGCTTATCCTTATACAAAGGATTTTGTTCTTGCTTGATCGATGATGATAAACCACTACTATCAATATCCATCATCACATCGTCGCCTTCTTTGTCCTTTTCTTCTGTTGAGAAGTCGTAGTATTTCAGCAATTCTTCGGCATCTTCGGTTTCGTCATATGCCATCTTACAATGTCCACAATCCAGCATATGTTGTCGAGCTGCAGTGGAGGACTTGTGGAGTTTACCTCGGCCATTACAATATAAGCATAAATACTGATCGTTAATTTTGTACGATAAATAAGATATAAGTCCTTCGCAATCAAAAAGGTATTCAATATCAGGTATGAAGAAGCCGTGATTTTTTGACATGTGTCGAAGATTGTCATCAAAACTTTCTTGAGTTTGGTTACAGAATAAACAGTTCTTCACAACATTTACGGCTGTCGACGTCTGCAGTACTGAACTATTACTGCTGGTTCTTGTGGCGATCTTATTCTTGTGTTTAGAAGCCATATCTGAGTGTTTCTTTGATTGGATGTGATTGTTGAAGGCATTTTCTGTGTAGTATGATTTGTTGCAACTGGAACATTCATAAACTAAGTCTTGTTTTTCCAACTCTTCACTCCGCCGGGCTTGTTGTGCCAATACTTTTCTATTGAATTGCTCAGCAGTCAAGGAAGAAAGTGCTGCGACCTTGCGCTTCAAATTGTATTTATGCCAATCTGTATGGTAATGGTTTCTTTGGTCGCTGAATGAAGAGAACGCTATTTGACACGCAACACAGGTATATTGTTCGGAGCGTTGAACACCAATTTGATGGATACCAGGAGATGAGGGCAACGTAGTAGCAGAAGCGGTTAGATTAGCAGTGTCTACCATAACGGAAACGAGTTAGAGATTGAGTTTTTTGGGAGAAAAAATATAATGCAATAAACCATAAACTGCTCTGTCTTTTATATTGGTGCTTTGCAGCTGCTGCGGCGGAAGCAATTCATACTGCGGCAAATCAGTTCATGCGCAGTCGGTCAGGAACCATTAGATATCATTGCTGGGGTTCAAATAGCTTACAAATTCGAATCCTTTCCAGCAGGGCCATTTTACCCCGAATTCACTATTTGACGAAAGCATATTGCAATAGCAAAGAACAGCGAGCAAAATGTTTGGCAAACAACCACCCAGCAAGAATAACAACGGTGATTTTAATAACTATAACATTGACAATGCCGATCAGCAATTCCAGGATGAGATCAATGCCATTCAAAATGCTATGAACTCTATGATGCACGGTGCCTTTTCTAGTCTTTTCAGTGAATTTTTCAATTCGTCCAACACAGAAGCCTCAACCTTTTGGTCCGGGGCATTTGAGCCGCATGATACTGATGGCACTACAGTTACCATTCTTGATGGCAGAAATATCAATAATATGTATAGAGAACGTTTAAATTTTCCAGAAGATGACACAGACTACAGTGGAAATGATTTTAAACGTTTAGCGAGCAAGTCGAAGCAGAAGAATACAACAGTGAAGGACGATGAAGATATTGAGAGCAAGTTACTACAAAAGCATCGAAACGACAATGCTACTATACGACCGAATGTTGGGACAATTTTTAATCTTCTTTATCAGCCTCCACCACAAGCACTATATATGAAAGCAGGTAACTTGCTCAAAGACAGTCAAATCATAACGGCGCCAACAGCAACACCAGCAAAGCAATTTGACAACATCAGTAAATCTCATTTTGATGGAAGTCGTAATGCAGGATGGTCATTCACTTCTACTACCAAGAGAACAATATATCATCCAGACGGCACTCAAGAAACGGTCATTACAAAAAAGTCCAATGGCAATACAGAAACGATCAGACAATATTGTTATCCTGATGGACGTATGGAGGAAATACGGGATAAGAAAAACAGTACTTTATCTCCCAGATTATCTCCATCAACTTGGTGGGGTCAGCTTTTTGGGAAATAATAGTACTGACGAAGGCCGTTTTGAGCCGTATTTAGTCATAACATATATACCAGCTTACAAGCACTCTGATGCTCACTCCTGTACAGAAACTCATCCCATATTTGTGGAAATAACAATAAAAATTCAAGCATAAATTCAAATTTGAGTTGTTTTTTTTTTTGTGTTTAATTCACGAACTTTATTAGAAGTGACTAGAAAAGAATTTAGATGATATATGGCAATAAAAGAAATGAAAAGGCATAAACGGTAAAACTACTGAAAAAAACATTAAAAGTATACTACGAGCTCGTACGGAGTGTTCTGAATCGAAACTCGTCTTGGTAGGCGGTACGAACTCCTGCTAGAGACCAAGAGATGCGATCAAAATGGCAACGCCAATGATATTCCAAATAGTTAAAAGTATCAAACTAACCTGGACGATTGTGTGACCCGGCAGAGGAGAATTGTCTAACGGGGAACAGAGTGTTAACAATATATGCCAAATGCTGGTAGGTGTGGCAGGAAAAGATATAATTCGATTTTCCTGCAGTGCCGTGATCCAAATTGCCAAATAGGTGGACAACCAACGAGAAAATAAAAACCATCCTCAGGGGAGTCTCTGCAATGGTGGTAAAGGGGAGAGTCAGCTATGACAGGATTGACGGAAAACAGCCAAGCTCTGTACCCAATGCAATTATGCCATAAACGCCACCATGGAGTTAGCACTGCATGAGGGATCGAGAGTGACCAGAACCGTTTCCACTGAGCCGGAGGTCGATACCAAAGAGGAAACACTTGAGGAATCCGAGGAGCGTCACTAAAAACGCAATAAACAGGATGCCAGTATAGCCGTATCGTACCAAGCGATAGCCGTAATACGGTGGTATCTTCTGAGAACCAGGAGGTACGCACCAATGGGACATATCAGGCAACCATAAGGTGCTGTAAGATACATTGAGCCATCATGAAGTGGGCGTAGGAGCAGCAGCCGGAGGAGGGGCCCGGGCATCAATCAATCGGTTCTGGATAAAAGGAAGCCATTATATTACACCTTGGAAAGCAAGCTAAGAATTCTTTTCAACTTCGGATAGTCCTGAAAATACTTATAGCCTAGCGTGTAGAAGCAGTTAGTTATCAAAGACCAAAAGTAGAACAGTAGAGACGATTAAATGCAGTGGGAGGCTATTGAGATCCATGGGTAAGGGGCCTACAAACTTGGGGGAACGCTGTAAGGCACTACGAAGGGGCAAATCAGCAATCCAGCGGCCATGCTATTAGGATGAAAGAGATAAAGAAGGAAGTCTCATCAGCCGTGAACATAGGTGGATCATATTCGGAAGGAAGCGAAAGGATGAACGATAAATGGCAGTCGATAAAATCCATGGTAGTAAGGACGACTGACCAGTATACACTTGGATACAATGGGCCAGTAATGGAGAGACAAAATCAGTTGATGAAGGGGGCTGTAGGAGGCGCTGAACATACACAAGATGAAGAGCTAAATCAAATTTGAGATAAACTTTCTGTCTGTCGCAACTTGGTGTCTATCTTGTACTAGCCAGAGAAGGATTTGCATTTATGTCCGCGACTTCAATTGGGATAAAAAGATGGTCCGCATTTAGAAAGATTCAACAAATGCATGAAACTGCGTTTGAATTATACAATTTTGTATAATGTAAGCAAAATCCTTGTTGGCCTCTCCTTTCTTGCTCACAAATTAGCAATAGTCGAAGCGATGCTGCTTTTCTTCTCTTTCTAAAGTTTCTCTTGAATTTACCTTTTTAAAAGAAAGAAAAAACATAATTATTATGTTAGATAAGTACGATCCCTCAACCTATAATCACCGATATGCTCAAGTTAACGGTATCCGTATGCATTACGTTGATGAAAATTCGACCTCAAAAAACGCCTTGTTGCTTTGCCATGGTTGGCCGGACCTGTAAGTTACTGGCATTCATAATCAAGCCTTCATTATTGTACTCAAGATTTTTTGCATTTTCTACGAAAGTTGGCTTGGATGGAGAGAGCAGATTCCATTTCTTGTACAATTAGGATATCGTGTAATTGCACCTAGTCTTCGCGGTTTTGGTGAGACAGATGCTCCAGAAAACCCTTCTGAATATGGTTTTGGTACTGTTTCTAAGGACCTTGCCGAACTTCTCGACCACTTAGAAATACCCACTGTTACCGTTATCGGGCATGATTGGGGTGGACTTGTCGTTTGGCGCTTCGCACAATTCTACCCTGAGAGAGTCAATGCTATTGCCAGTTTTTGCACACCGTATATGCCACCTCACAAACAAGAAATAAGTCTAGAACAAATTGTGCAAGCCGTGCCCAATTTCAGCTATCAGTTATATCTGGTGACACCCGAAGCCGAGAAAGATATTAACGATAATGTGGGTAAATTCTTTCGTCGCATTTTCCGTCCAGTAAATGACATGGTGGGAGATCCCTTCATTGATCCTGATACCAAACGTTTGGCCGAGGGGCGCCGTGATTGCAAATCTCTCGTCCCCGCAAAGGTCCTTGATTACTACATTGAATGGTACACTAAAAGAGGCGCTCGCGGTGGTTTAAATTGGTATAAACAAACACATAACAATTTTCATCAATGTAAAAATCTGGACCCTGTTATAAAGAAGAAATCACTTATGGTAACAGCCGAAAAGGATTTTGCTTTACCCCCTTCTATGGCCGAGGGTATGTCAAAGCTGATTCCTGATTTGCAATTAAAATCGATTTCTGGCTCTGGTCATTGGGTTTTATGGGAAAAACCAGAAGAATGTAACAATTATTTGGAGAAGTTCTTGGCCGGTGTTGAGCCTACCATTAATAATAAACTGTAAAGCTTTTTTTTTTTTTTTGTGAATTAAAAGTTATATTGATATCCATGGTATATAATATAGAAGCGAAATCTATCATTTTCGTTTTCCTTTGCCAATTTATTAACAGCCGTTCGAGATCATGTTTTCAGTATGTCTATTGACAATGAATTGGCAGCGCCTGCTGCTAAGCATAAATTACGTGCTGTGAATTGTACAGTGTATATTGGTGTGTTTTTTGTAGGAAACATGCCCAGATGATCATTACTATTATGTGATGTATTGGAAGATTAGTGAGCTGTACCAATTCTAGATTATCCTACTTTCCAACTCTTACCTTTCTAAAATGCCTTTTTTCCTTCGACTGTTGCTGTCTGCTAACGATTTTGCCTTGTCGAGATCTTTTTTGCTCTCCTTTTGCTTTCCGTTTACCATTTTTGATCGTTTTGTTGGTGTATCCATATTCTCTGGTGTATATTCAAAAGGTGTGTCTTTATTCACATCCCATACACGAACTGTGTTATCTGCGCTTCCTGATACCAATACAGTGCTGTCATTATTGAAGCTGACAGAATATATAAAACCCGTATGACCTGTCATGGTCTTCAACTTTTTGCCAGATCCCAAGTCCCACAGAATGATAGTTTGATCTTCTCCTGCTGATGCCATCAGTCTACCGTTCGGTGATATTGCCACTGTATGTACAGCACCTGTATGCCCTGTGAATACTCGTACACAAGTTCCTCTTTGCACATCCCATAATCTCGCTGTCTTATCTGTCGACCCTGTCACCACATATTTAGAGTTGGGATGAAATTTGACGGTCTATGGAAACCAGGTACTTTTAATGAGTAATCTTTATGATGCTTTGAAAATGATAACCATTGGTCTCTTACGTTAACATCAGATAAGTGACCGGCAAATATACGAAGTGGATTGGTACGATCACAGCTCCATAATCTCGCTGTTCTATCATGCGATGCGGTTGCAAAATAAAACCCATAAGGCCCAAAATCCACATCCCAAATAGGATAATTGTGACTTTTATAACATACTACATTTGTGAATGTGTCGAGGCTCCATAGCCGCACTAAAATAGAGGATTAGATAGACAGAGAAGTTACTGATTAGTTTGAGTGATTTTCTTTTGATGGTGCGCTTCATGTTCAATTCAGCACTACAGATTCATCTCACCTGTTTCGTCTTCTGAACATGAGATCAAATATGCATTATTATGACTAAAGCTTAATCCATAAACTGGTCCTGAATGTCCAATCAACTTCTTATACTCTGTGCCTTCTACATTTTGTTCCTTCTCTGATCTACTCTGTAATCTTTTTCCTTTCATGCTCCACACTTTTATGTACGACTCAGAAAATCCTCCAGCTACCATTGCTGTGTCATCTGAAATAGCCAAGCAGTTTAACCTAGACAAAAATTCAAATGTCAATCCAATTATTGTCAGTTTAAGTTGGAGATCAGAAAAGGACTTACATATCATGCGTGTGATGGAAGTTATATAAACTTATACTCGGTAATGCGGCATTTCCTTGAGCTATCCGTTTTCGTAAGTCTTTCAGTGTTTCGAGATCAGCTTGAAGGTTAGTGCTTCGACTATTTGCGTTCAAATCGATATATCAAATCATTAGGATGCATTGTTACAATAAACCTACCCCCCCCAATCATTTCACTCGTTAGAAATAATACTTTACTACGTAACAGCGGGTATCTCATCAATTGTTATCGAATCTAACGTGTTTTCTTGTTTTACTTTTTGTAGTGCTATTGTGTCATCCTGAAATTATATGCTTAATTGTTACTGCCAGTATATCCAATATTTACTGCGGTTCACTCTGTTGTATTATTCCTCACCTCTAATCCATTTATATAATCATGTATTTGATTATTGGCAAAGAGGCCTGTCGACGGTGATAAGTTTCCATTGATAATATGTACATTTAAATGTTGCTTTATAAGGTGTATTAAATTTATGAAGTTATGTTCGTTTATGAATTGCAATAATAGGTCGTATGATATCGATGAAATGTGTATATTGTATTTCTTATTGTAATATTTTTCTACTGTGATATTTGAGCTGTCATCTATCGAACGCACATTCTCGAGGGAAAGAATATCTTGTTCATGCTGGTCAATATGATTTGATTTGAACTGTTGGAAGAAATTGTTTCCTAGAATCATTGGATATAGATTAATCTAATAGCTTGTATATTGAAGTTATTGTGATTCTACAGGCAAGTATTCGCAGGAATCCTCACCTTGATCATATAAGCCCTTCGATATCAGATTGAGGAAAGAATAAATAAATACGGGATACAATAAGGACATTAGTTCGTGTCTATAAATATCGAGTGAGTTTTCTATCCAGTCTTTCAAAGACAAGTAAGCTTGAGTTGTGAGATCTACTATGTTCATTCCATCACTTGCATTCTGCTCTTCGTCCTCTCTAGATCTTTTCAAAATTCGCAGATAGTCTGGTATCTCCACTGCGTTTGCTCCTGTTGCTTGCTCGTCGTCATCGGACTCATTCAGTATTTTCTTCGTTAGCTCGTCCAAACTGATAGTGCTAAATTCTGAGCCAACAATATCTTGTTGTTGTATATACGCGAGCTCTCCCTCTGTAAAGCCTTTTCTATGAAAGTACGCCTGCAGAATCTGATTCACGTTAGCATTCGAATTAAATCTATTCGACGTTGGACTATTCAGCGGAGTGTCGCCTCCCAAAGAGTGCTGTTGAGAAGGTAATGACATTTTAGATAGAGTACTGTTAATAAGCAAGTTGAGTCAAATGAAATGTTGCTGAGGTTGACTTAGGGTCGAATAAATGACAACTTTTTACTTTTCACTTTGGAAAATAAATCCTTTCGTTTCAAAGCAAATCAAAAAATCCTTCAAATATCCGACAGGACTGTCACCTCCAGGTTTTTTGGTTATTGGCTTTTTTTTTTTTGGGTCTTCGATTCCAACGATACTTACGACTTAATACTTCTTCTTTCCCTTGTCGATTGTTCAAACATGCCAGGCCAAGGGGATCGTCAGGCTTTGACAGATGTAGAAGAAGGTTCTGACATTCCGAATGGTAATCTCAAAATGATTATTGTTGAAGCGGAATCAGACCATATGAACGATAAAGAAGAAGCAGAGACAGTTAATGATCAAAAAGACGCCGAAACGACAGATCCCAGCTCACTCGAAGAACATATTAAAGAAGCAAGCTATAAGAAAATGTCAAAGACCAATCAAGTTCAAGAGGAAGCCGAGAGTAATACTTTGGAAGAAGAAGAAGAGGAAGATCCTAATACAGTTCTTAAAGAGCGTCAACTATATGAAAGTCTGGCAGATCTCAAGGAGGCAGCTATACGTTATGCCAGGAAACGAAAATTTGCCGTGGTTACGTTAAGAAGTGGAGAAAGGCAATTAGTAATGACATGTAAACACTCGGGCACTTATAGGGCCGCCACGAAGAAAAAATCAGATGAGATCGAAGATACAGAAACAGAGGCAGCAGAATATCAAGAAGACGATGGAGACGATTCATCATCAGGGGGGAAGCGTAGCCGTTCTGCAGATACAGCTGACAGTATTGCGAATAAAAGAAAGCGTTTGCGATTGAGTCAGAAGATTAAATGCCCTTTCCAAATCAGAGCGAAACCAGCTAGTGATGGTCAATGGATAGTTTATACAATAAATGATATTCACAACCATGAAATGGCTTCTGACATCAAAGCATACTCTCAACATAGAAAAGTTTCTGATGATGTGAGGAGACGTATTTTGGAACTGTACAGAATGGGTGCTAGTGCTAAAATGATCAGCCATTATTTGGAAGAGCTAGGAATCACCAATGTGTTCACAAAAGATATCTCTAATATTCGAACAAATTACCTCAGAAAGCGAAAGAGGAAACTGGAGGCATTGGAGAAGGTTAAGATAGAGGAAGGAACAAATGAGGATATCAATAATACAACTGCATCTCAGTGTTTAGACGCCCAGAACAGTTTAGGCGAGCCATATGAAGATCTAGAGCCACTCGATAATGATATAGTGATCGAGCTTCATGAGTTCTATCAACGATATGTAAAGAAGCCTTCTAAGAAGTCATAGATTTTTTAGTAATCGATTTAACGAAGCGTCGTGTATATACCACTTTCTATTTGAAGCATACTCTCTTGTAAATACGCTTGCTTTGTGGTTTATTGTATAGCATTTCTTTCAAAAACCATGTTTCATTAAAAGTACAAAAATACAAAAATAATGTTTAATAGAAACCGACTTTAATTTTGCAAATGTCTAATAATGTTTGTTTATTTGTAATATGTGACTATGAAAAAAAAGATAAAATACAAGAAATTCAAGTGATTTCGAACGTTAGGTAATCTATGAAATTAGATATCAAAGGTAATGGAGAAGAACGGAAGAGTTTCCGGGAAGGGCATACTGTATAAAATAATAATGGGGTTTTATCTAGTGCATGAAGAGCATACCAGAACCTTCATAGACAGCAGCAATCTTTTGAATAGCATTGATGTAGGCAGCAGAACGGAAGTCAACCTTCTTTAATTCGGCAGTTTGTCTAGTTTCTTGACAGGCTTGAATCATGGTATCTTCGAGACCGGAGTAAACCAAGTCAGCTTCTTCGGCACCGTGGACAATAGCCTTACGTTCAGCTTCAGTTAAAGGACGACCAGCGTTCTTTTCAACAAGGGCAACAACCTTGGCACGAGCACGTTCGTCCCACTTCTTGTTCATACGACCGAAACGGACGTGTGACAAGTTCTTGAGCCATTCGAAGTAGGAAACGGTGACACCACCAGCGTTCAAGAGCAAGTCAGGAACGACGACCTTACCAGACTTTTCGAGAATGTCATGAGCGGCAGGAGTGACAGGACCGTTGGCACCTTCACCAATGATCTTAGCCTTGACGTTGTTAACGTTACGAAGACCGATTTGACGTTCAAGAGCAGCGGGAATAAGGATATCACATTCAGTTTCGAGAATTTGGCTAGAGTTTTCGAGGATTTGAGCGGTGCTGGAGTAACCTTTGAAGGTACCGTTGGCTCTGTAGTACTTGTGAAGTTCTTCGACATTGAGACCATTAGGATCATAGATGCTGCAGTCTCTTTCACCAATACCGACAATCTTGGCACCGTTTTCTTCGAAGAACTTGGCGGCGAAGTAACCGACGTTACCGAAACCTTGAACGACAACGGTGTTCTTGCTCATATCGCCACTGACACCGGTCTTTTGTTGAACCTCGGGGTAGCTGATAAATTCACGAATACCGTAGTAAACACCCAAACCAGTGGCTTCGTTACGACCACGAACACCACCCAAAGACAAAGGCTTACCAGTAACACAACCGGCGGCATTAACCTCACCGACGTTGAATTGAGAGTAAGTATCCATGATCCAAGCCATTTCTCTGGGACCAGTTCCTACATCAGGAGCGGGGACATCAATACCTAGTTAGGGATAAAGTAAAGGTGAGTATATCAATTTTTGTGATTTATCATGAATCATTTGAAATCTTGAGAGCAAGATTGACATACCGGGGCCAATGAATTTCTTTTGGCAGAGTTCCATAGTGTAACGACGAGTGATTCTTTCTAATTGGTCAGGAGTATACTTCTTGGGATCGATTTTGATACCACCCTTAGCACCACCGACTAAATGTTTCAGGTAATACAGAAAATGGAAATTGTATGGATAAGTATTTACGTTGAACAAACAACATTAAATCTTTCTGTGCTATTCTGTAACTTACAAGGAACATCGACAACGGCACACTTGTAAGTCATAAGGGAAGCCAAAGCTATTGAAGCGGTAAAGGAACATTATTAATCTCCAAAGTACTCGCCTTTTCATAATATGATGCAATATTGTTGTTGGCCATATATCTTTACCTTCAACTTCTTGCAAATCAACTTCTTCAGAGAAACGGATACCACCCTTAACAGGCAAACGGTGGCGAGAATGTTGAGCACGATAACCTATTAGAGATGAGGGTTTATGTGTGTTAGGATTAAACAAATTTGGATTTCGAGATATAAGGGCAAAGAAAGTTTGTCTTGTTCCTAAATTATTCTACATACCTTCAATGACTTCATATTCACCGTTTTCCTTTTCGATGGGGAAAGTAACACGGAGGACGCTGTCAACAGCACGAAGATGAGCAAGAGTGTGAGGCTTAACTTCGCTGATTTGGGCAGCAGCATCATAGTACTTTTCGACGGATTGCAAGAAAGAAGGTTCATCGTCGTGACAGGCAGCTTGAGTGGCAGCTGTTGGAGATAATAGTTAGTGATGCGAGCTAGCCTGTAATAATGTTGTGTAATGATGTACCTGTAGTGAGGAATCTAGAAGCCAAAGAAGGAAGGATGACACGGTTCAATGCTTGCTTCTTAGCAATGGAGGGGCGGACAGCAGCAGCACTATTGATGATGCAAATAATTGTGAGCTATTGATATACTGAGCCATGACTTTCTTTATTGTTATTATAAACATACGTCAAGTTCTTCAAGAAAAGGGAGGACATCGTTTTGGAATAGATATTTTACGAAGAGTAAAGACGAAAGAAAAAAAAAAAAAAAAAGCTGAAATTGCTAGTAAATCAAGGCTGGTATTTATGGAAAATATGAAATTCGGTGAAAAAGCTTAATCCCCAGAAAAGAGTATGCCATTTGACATTTGGTTTATTTGTGTGACTTTTAAAGCATTTCCCCGCATTATCTATGTTCTAAGCTTTATCGCAAACATATTAAAACCTTTAAGAGTTGAATGATAGAGAACGAATCCATCAATATTCTGCATTAGATTAAGGCAACACAGAAGCAGATAATTCTGTCCTGTAATTTCCTATCTCGCGTCTTTATTTTTGGCAAGAGAAAACTCGTATAAATCAACTTAAAAGGTCGCTGCATTCCTATTCGAGCATCTCAGGTTACGTGGGAAATTACAATACTATTTCAGTAACCTCCCACGGCACTGAAAAGCAAATTATCTCAAAATTCAGGGCCCTTCTACCATAAATATCAGTTACATTCTACGCTGTCATTTGATTTTTTCAACGACTATCTCGGTGATGTATATCTGCTTTCTGGGTTAATTCCCAAGTTTTTTTATTTTTTGATCCGATAAATATCATGCAGACAGAACAATTATATCCTACAGCACTTTTTATGAATGGCATATATAAATTTAGAGTAAAAATAGAAAGCGGGCCGTGCGTAAAGATGTTTTGTTATCAGGCCAATGGGATCTTTATTTTAATGGCCTTCAGAATTAATAATAAGCGTTTGTGTATGTAAATAATTGAATGTGAATCGCAGGCCAATTTCATTGTATGAACTGAAATCCCAATAAAAAAAAAATTGCTTTCAAACTGCCAGTGTAAGCCGTAGAGAAGCAAGAATTATATTTCTTGAAGAGTGCCTATAGAAAGTTATAGTTTGAATAAGGAAATTTCCTTTTAATATATTTGAATTTTAAGACATTTCTTTATTTGTGTCTGATAGGTAAAGAAGCTTTCCTATCAATTAGTAGCTTAACTACTATAATAATAGGGTGTTTTGTTGCACTCTAGTATATTAACAATATTATAGTAATAAGCGTGATTGTTTGAGCTGTTAATGATCATCAATGCAGTGCGAATCAAACTTTGCTTCTTATCCTTGCTATAAAAACAAATAAACGTTCTTCGGTCGTCACCTGCCTTTAATGTAACTTTTGTGATTAAGTCGATCAGTCGTCAGAGCTGGTTTTTTACTTTTTTTTTTTTTCCTAAAATAGGTAGATATTCCAATTTGTAACGCAGTAATGCCTATTAAATATGCTACAGCTGTCCCAATCAGGAAAACTCAAGATGTGTCTCTGTAACCCAAAATATCAACATTGGATTTTCTTATCGATTCCACTTACATAATCTGTGGCGTATACATGCTATAAAAAAAGGTACCTCTGCTGTAATCACTTACGCAGATATGAGAAAACTGGGATTCCATCCGGAGATGAGTTGTTTAATGCGAGAGCTACATATTTTGCTTATTACATATCTAATTATTTTTTCAATTTATATTACGAATTTGTGAATAAGTGAGTTTTTAAATTTATTTTTATTTTTTACTTTGCCTTGTCGATCAGTTGTTACTGAAGCTGTCGGCACGTGAGTGCTTAAGTTTTATAATTATTGGTAACCGGTACTGTCTCTGCTCTGCCGCATTTTCAGTAGCAAAATTAAAAAATAAAATGAGGACGGATTGTTTGAAGAGGATAGGTACTTATGGTTTAGGAGGATAAAAGTAGTCTAGAAAAATACAACACTTGTCTTTACGACCTTGGTTATTTTCTGTATTCAACCGAACTGATAAAGACACTTGACTAAAGCCAAAATATATTAAGCTTTGATACTGCTCCACATTTTTAGACAACGTATCGTCAAAAAATTCGAGTAGATTATTCACCTTTAAATAACAAGTATATCTATATCTCATTCAATACGATACACTTTTCATCAAGTTTCCTGTCTTTCACGGCATTTCAACAAACGGGCTTGCCGCGTTCAATGATAGGTCTCTCATATTTGGTGACATACGCGAACTTAGCCAGTATTAAATAGTGGGAGAGAGCAATGGTGTGAAACATACAGTACTCATAATGTTGTTAGTGATACTTGATAAATGGCGAACTTAGTTGCCTCTATCGTCTTTTTAAAGAATCACTTTGCTTAATGTTATTTATTTGGTTTTTCAAGATCTTCAAATAAATTGCAGCATATTGACAATTGTCTTCTGTATTTGCGCATCATATTCTATTGTGCCTCATTGATTTATTTCTTTGGTAAGCTATCCAATATAATAGCTGAAACCTGCTTTAACTGCATAAAAATGAAGAGCGTTGGATCCGGTCATCAGAAGTATGTGCTGTCTCAATTCTTTCGGATAGCGTTTAAATGATTAAGAATAGCAGTGACGTTGTGATGCAATAGATAAATTGATAATTGATGGTCTGGCAGCAAAGGTACATTAACCAGTTTAACAGGAAATTGAGGCTGTGGTTTATGGTTTTTTTTTTACCTTTTGCATGAGAATCTAAAATAAAGATTTGCTAGATATAGTAGGAAACGGAATATACTGTTGGTAGAGCAGACTCACATGGCTGTTCATAAAGACAAGTTGTCACAGTTATTGCCAGTAGATTACAATAAATCACACTACAAAGGTATGCCTTTTACCGAATGGATAATGGGCAGAAGGTGATGATTGTAGCTATTAGCAATAATTCGCGTCAGATTGTCGACAAACACATAGTTGCCACTCTGTTAGTTGAAAAGATTTATAGCATACAATCAGCCGCTTCAACTTCTCCAATATCATACTCTTCAATTATACCAAATCATTCCTCATACGAACGGTTTCCCCTTTGATTTTGGTAATATTATGCCGCTAAGACTACTTTAATGACATGTTTGTTGATTTGTCAGTTAAGCCTCTATTATATAGTGGAAGAGAACAGTAAAGTTGTGCGCATACGTTTTTCTATTTTAAAGCTGGAGCAAATTAGGAAGAGTGAGTTCTGCATACATGACCAATGATGGACAGATAAAAGAGTAAAATCTCGGTGTAATTTATTGTTTGACATGAGCTTAATAAAAAGTAGAGTAGATACTGCAATATATAATATGGGTAAAGAGGAAGTAAGATGAGCTAGTTCGCGAATGATCCGCAGGTATTAACTAAGCACCTTGCTGTGACTGTCATGATCTGTTGAGACAACCCAGTCTAGCATAATGAGTCAACAACCTAGAAGCAACTAAGGTTCATACACTCATGGGTTATATGGTTAATAACATACTCTCACTGGAACACATGTATTACTAACTTAAAGTGTAAAAGACCTACTCCTCAATAAATGAATAAAGGGTAACCTCTTTTTGGCAGTCTTGTTATTTTTTATTCTAAAACATAAATCACAGGAAGAGAGGTTTTGTACTTTCTTGGGTAATCTTAGGGCTTTAGAGGACTAAAGCTATTGTAAGGCACTGTCAGTATACCAAGACTCGATATCACTAATTCCAGAGTGTTTTTAAAATGTTACCTGCCATATCTAGTGTATAGTCTTTGTAAATACTTTATCGGTTGGCAGTTTCAGGTTGGGCAGACCATGTCATACATCTTCAGGAGACCGTAAGACATGAGAGAGAGAGAGAGCTGAGAAAATCATGTAATAATTGCCATGAACAGGTAGCGACTTTATGTGGCAAACGCAAAGACAAGAAAACTTTCCAAACACGAGGATGGCAAAACCACAGAACTGATACCACGGAAAATAGAAAAAAAAACCATTAAAAACTACACGCACCACAAACCGAGGTACCCATAAAAATGCCGGTGGCAGGAATCGAACCTGCGTCGACACGGCCACAACGTGATGTACTGCCACTATACTACACCGGCAGTGCGACTCTACGACCGATATATAGAGCTAGATACCACTTTCAAAATCGAATGTAAAAAACGACAAAGGCGCACTTGGACTGCTTTTTGCAACAAACTCTCTACAAGTAATTTTCTCGAGACGGTAAAGACTATCAACGGCATACGAAGAAGCCGCAGCACCACACCCCGATTTAACCATCCTGATGGCCCTGATCAAGCGGCTATATCCATGTCCCGACACCTTAGGAATATTTTTGCTGGTGACCATCTTCCAGCTGACCGCCAACCAATTCCTCCCAAGCCAACTGGACCCCATCCTTTTACTTTTGCTGAAGAACCACAACATGACTGCCCTTTCCAGGAAAAGCTAATCTCCACCATGATAAGGAAAAAATTGTCTCGCAACAAAGCCCCTGGAGTAGATCACATCCGCACGGAAATTCTACTTCCTATTGAAAAAGCACTGACACCCGTTATTACGCTATTGTTTCGATTATGTTGGAAATGGGCCTGTGCACCGTCTGACTGGACTATTGCTCAAGTAATCCCCATATATAAGAAAGGCGATCCTCTTGAGCCTGGCAATTTTCGACCGATTAGTCTCACCTCGGTTTTCCGCAAATTACTCGAGTTATGTATCCAAGAGTTGTTGACCTCAACTGCTCCCCCTCTCGATATCGTACAAGGTGGTTTTCGCGCCAACCGAAGCGCACTAGACCAAGCTCTTTGTCTCCATGAGCTTTGTGAACAACATGCAAAAGACCACTATGGTGAGCGACCCGTCCTCGCCTTCTTGGACATTAAATCTGCGTATGACACTGTCGATCGAGCGATTATTTGGCGAGCTCTCGAATTGCACATCTCTGCCCCACTCTTAGCCCTACTCCAAAGCCTCTTTGATGAAGTTCATATTGAAGTGTTAGTGCAAAATACGACCTCTCCTAGCTTTCATCCGGTCACCGGGGTACTTCAAGGTTCTATCCTCTCCCCCTTTCTATATTCGATATACATAAATAGTCTTCCAGCCTTTTTGAGAACAGCTCGTATCCCACCCAACAGAGCATTTGACCATCCAATCCAACGCCGTTTCAATGGTACCTGGATCAACAGCCTACTCTATGCCGATGATGTTGTCCTCATTG